GTTTTTTGATCTTATAACTTTATCTTGAAGAGTAATAGTTTTATTTTCTCTATTTCTTCTAGAATAAATATAAATTAGTTTAGTTTTATTCATGTCAAACTGAATTAGATTCACTTTTTCTCTTTAAAAAATTTCTTGTATAGCTCTTTTTATATTTTTACAATTATTTTGTATAGTTTTGAAGCTGATCATAAGATTAATATCATTTACATCACTAGAAGTCCTTATTATTATTAGGCTCAGCGCCCGACTGAGCCAGGCCCGGTGCTCGATTAGGCCTAATCCATATCACGTGACCAAACGATCATGCGGGTCGCCCGATTAGGCCTAATACTCGTGACGTGACCACGCGACCATGCGGGTGGTTATAATCCAGGCAGGCCCTAGCACCCCCTTTCATCCCATCAAGCTTAGTATTTTGTTATATAGCAGTTAGGAACGCAGAGAGTTTTCTTCTTATGCAGCTCGCATTCGCTCCCTAACAATTATATGTATACTCTTATTTTAAATAAATTGACTATATATATAGCAAATAAAATAGATGATATTAAAGAGTTTTGAGAAACTTCTACTTCAATATCAACAATTACTTTAAAATAGTAGTTATTTTTTAAGTAGTAGCAAATCATAAAAGTAGCAGTTCATTTTTTTAATAAAGTAGCAAATTTTCAAGTAATAGAAAAATAAAAACTCTTTATTTCTCAAACAATGATTATCATTTTAAATTAATATATTTATTAAAAATTTACTAGATATTTTGTACTTGATTATTGATTACTTATAAAAACTAATGAACATGTTAAATTAAGCTTAATTAAGATTAAGTTAACTAGTATAGCACTGCAAGTTCTCTAAACACAATTTCATTAACTAATTAATTAACTAAAACTACAGAGTTCTTGTTAGTTAAAAGCACCAGTTAAATCATTTTATTTTGATATATGATATAAACTATATACTATATTATCTCTGATGATATATACTATATTGTACCTTAGTTATATAAGATATATATATCTTATATAGATATTAAATTTATCAATATACATAATTAAATCTAAATCTTTATCTTTTATATAGTATATTTATACAATATATACTTTGTAATTTTATTATTTAATAATTATAAGCTCAGATTTTAAAAAACTATAAAATTTAATTATTTGAATTTCAAAATATCCATCTTAATTATTTTTTAAACATACTTCATAAATTAAAAACAGTTTAACTTTCAAGTTTTAGCTCAAAGAACACTCTTAATATATAGTCTTTTATATAAATTTCTTGTATTTATATATCTTTCAAAGATAACTTTTTTATGAATTTAAAACTTATAGTTAAACAGATATAAGTAGTTCTGAACATTTATAAAAACTGAGATATTTACTATAATAATATGTTTATACTTACTAAAACTACTAAGTAGTTAATTATAAGATTATATTGAATTTTTTATTAACTCATATAAAATTATTTTATAAATATTCTGAGTAATTTACAATTTTAAATAGTTTTATAGATATCAAGTTTTAAAAATAGTAAGTCAAATATTTTAAATAAAGATCTTATAGATCATATGTATTAAAACTTCTGCTATTGAGAAGAATATCAAAACAAAGTTGTTATTATCAAGATATATATCAGAGAATGAACAAATTCTAAAAACTTTTCATATAAAGTGTTGAAATCAATTATGCTGAAAAAGTAGTATCTAAAAATTTATAGAGAAAATTCTTAAGCTTCTTAAAAATAACTTTTACTTATCTAACATTATTTGTTATACAGAGCTCATTAGGATGAACAAGTTCTCAAACAGATTGAATAATAATACTATGAAGATTAGCTAGACAATGAATATCAGTATATATTCAACAGATGAAAATGAAAACACTTAATCAATATATATTTATACTTGAATATAGCTGTGAATAATGAACATGATTTATACTTTACTTCAAACTGATGTAACAAGTAAAGCAAAGCTCAGTTCTAAGTTAATTAGTATATCACACATAATCAGTTTCACAAAAATTATATAATTAAATAGCTAACTAAGTTAGAAGAAGCAATTTTCTCTTATTAATCTTTAAAATGACAAGACTGCAAAGCAGAGTGATCATCAAAAAATTACAGACATAGTCTTATGAGTTGATTTCAAATCATCAGTTTAATTATTTTTTTTTAATATATATAAATTTATTTGAATGATTAATATGATTTATTGCATAATGAGCTATGTAGTAAAATCATAGCTTTAAGTATAAATTTAAATACCTTCATAATTACAAAATAAAAATTAGTTAAAGTAATATTATTAATGAGAGTCATATTTACTTAAGAATGAAAGCTTTGATAGAAGTTTTATATAAATAGCTATCTGACTCACTGTTCAGAGAATTAATGTTTCATTCTCAATATATCAAAGTTACTGAAATATATATACAAATAGTTCTCTATACAATCGCTTGTACACTTGATTTCTAGATATCTCTTCTATTTGTAAACATACACTTGTCTGCTTTTTTAATTAGTCAAGCTCACTCTTTCAGCTTTCTCTATAATTAACTTTATGTGATATCACTATTGGCACTCTGTCTCAATGCTGTCTTATTATAATTGTTTTTTAAACTAATGATAGAAGCAGCATCTAGCTATTTTGACAGTTTCAAAATGACTCTATTTTCTAGATGAAAAGATTATATAGAACTTAATAAGACAAATTTTATATAAATCTGATTTTATATTTATTTTAATATAGATATAACTGTGTTATTTAATTTTTACTTTAATGTATAAAGTATAGATTAATTTTTTCTTTATTTAAAGTTATATTTTTTAATTACTTTAATAGCTTATTGAGTTTTATATTACTATATTTTTTTTAATTTTTCTTTTGTTCAAGTCTTATAAGCTACTACTTAAGCAAATTATTATTTAAATTATCTTTTACTAAACTTTTTCAATTATATAAATTTATTTTATATTTTATTGAAATCTTTTAATATCTATTATGTAGTTTTCTCTTATTTTGATCAGTATTTTAAAAATTTCTATTATCTGTTAAACTTTAGATAATATAAAGATTTATATATAATTAAAATAATTATAATTAAATAGATTTAAACTTTTTTTATATTGACAATTTACTTCTTTTCAAAATATAAAATACTTGCAAAAGTCATATTTTTGTGTAGTTAATAATATCTTCTTATTAATATAAATAATAATGTTTTTGCTACTATTAAAAAGATACTTTTATTAAAGATGAACTTTTCAAAATTTAAATCATAATATATAAATAGTTATAAGTATAATAATTTAATTTAAAGTTAAATTATTTAAAGATATTGACTTTTTTCTAAATTAGTAAAAAATATACTCAGAAGTAAATAAATGAATAAATATTAATAATTATAAATATAAAAAATATTCTAAACTATTAAAAACTACTTTAATATGAATTTAAAATTTTAAAAAGCTTTATTTTATTATTTAAATAAGTTCAAATTTATTGAAAAGTAATTCATTAATTTTATAAAATATACATATGCTATAAAACTATATAATTTAATATTTAAAAAAAGCAGTTGATAAGTAAATTTAAGAAAAGTTTTAAGAAAAGTTTAATAATTCTTATTTGCAAATTTAATAAATTTTATATTTGTACTAAAAATAATCAATTAAAATAAGATATCTTTTATAAATAGATTAATTTTTAATATATTAATTAAACATTTATTATAATCAGTGAAAATTATAAAAAAGTTATTATTACTTTAATATTTTTAGAGATTGTAAAATAAATTACATTATTTTTATACAAATTCTTTAATTATATATTTAATATATTATGAAACTTCTTCTAATAACTTAAAATAAGTAAAAAAGTTGATTTATCTACATATAATTTAGTAAGTAGAAAGATTAATTCTTGATTATTATTTTAAACTATAATAATCTGCTTTAATTTAAAAATTTAACTGATATAATTCATTTGATGATTTGATTAATAGTAATTAAAAAGACTTTTTGTTATTAAAAGTTGTAAATATCTAATAATTTAATATTGTATTTTTAATCTTCATATTCAACAATATAACTAGTTATAATTACTGCAAAATTATTAATCAAAAATCATAGAAAATATTAACAAAGGAACATGTAAAATTTCAAATTACTAAATAAAAATAGTGCTTAAAATAGACTGGATTATCTGTAATCTTTATGCTTTTGATTAATTTCACAAGTAACAAGCATGAAGAGATTTAATTTAACTCTTATGATACTCAATAAAGTGTCCCACTACATTAACTCTTTAGTGGTCTCTTTATGAGATTTTGAATAATCTGAGGAGAAGCAAAGTCATGACCTGCAAGTTCTTCAATATGAAGCAGCAGTAGCTCTTCTGCGAGTTCATGAGCTTTTCTACTCGTGTCAAATGGCAGTTTCATTATATGAGATTTAAACATATCTATGCTGCTGAAGTAGGGTTTCTTTGCTAACTGAATATATTTTGGCAGTAGCAGTATAACTCTTAAGAGCTTTTGACCCCTCAAATCTTCAATCGCAAGCTCGGTTAAAACCTCATTTGGCATTGTGAATGTGTTGGAAGTGAAAGAATTCGAACGCGTTGGTGTTGTCATCAGTTTCGTGGCATCGGTTGAGTAAATGGCCGTAGAGCAGGACTTTCTTTGTTTACTAGTAACACCTCAGAGAGTAGCTTTCTTTCACCTTTCATGTTTCTACTTCTTTTTTTTCTTTTCTTCAGCTTTGAATATTCGTCTATGGTGCTTTATTTGCATGCTAGGTCGAAGAAAAATTGGCATCGCTGCAAGAAGCGTTCTTTTCTTCGTCCTGGGTAGCAGCAACTTAATATACATTTAACTTCTATAACCAACTCTTATTTGCCGAAGACGATGATGCTGCAGACGCGTGCTGGACGTTTCAGATTGAAAAAGGGGGGGGAGGGGGGCCTGTCGGATAGACTGTTGGCGTATGCGATGGGTTTTGGAAAGCACGGCTCTGGGAATAAGGATTATGATGAGTATGTTCATGTGTTCCAGGGGATAATCACGGGCAACGCCGTGAGAAGATTGCGTGGCAAAGATGGAGTGGAGGAGGATGATGATGAAGATGAAGATGAAGACGAGGACAACGATATGGACATGGACATGGACATGGAGGAGGTTAAATAGGATGGAGTTTCTCTTGGTTCCCCAGAGAAGGCGAGTAGTCAGAACGAGAAGGATGAGAGTGGAAAATACGGGTGGGAAGAAATAAATGTTGTTTGTTCACTCTTGGTGTTTGTACGTGAAACTCGTAACCAGAGTCCACTCTGAGTCCCTGCCAGGACTCTGGAACTAGAATCTGCAAAACACAAGTTTCATCATTCTACCACATTTTGCTCTCAGTAGAGAGGTTGACCGGACACTCGTACAAGGCTAGTTTCGTTTTTGGAGTCAGGGCCATTATGAACGTCTCAATCCGTATACTCAAAAAGCGCCCAATGTGGATTGATCGTCTTTTTTCTTGGGTGACTGACGGCTGATCGTTCATCTCCACATAGTCTCCGACGCAACAAATCTGCTTATCTGCCAACGGAGCCAAGCACGATATAACGTAATTCTCGATATGCTTTTGACCTATCTCAAAGAGAGATCGACTCGCCAGACGACTGAGACTCGGTACATCTTCAATAAACTCGAACTCATCAAATATCACATACATAGGTAGGTAGGTCGGAAAGAGGTACGGTCTTATTCTTCTTTCTGGTCGCCTCAGAGTTAAGTTTAATGTGCCGTAGTTTTCGCTTTTTAAATAAGAGATGGCTTGATTGCCCGTTTCCGAATGATCGTCTCTTTTTCGCTTCGCACACGGCGCATCCTGGGCTTCGTTGCTTTCCACATACTCTTCGCCTGCAAAATGGTTCTGTCTTTTGAGGTTCACTAAGAAGGGCCCTATCTCTTAGACGAAGCGGTGTGCACTCACCTGAGAGGCAGAACAGGGATGGTCCATGTCTGTTATGCTTGTTGATATGTGGTATGCCTGGCGAGCTCTTGCGATGGTAGCCAGCCCTTCCAACTACCCTTCCTCCATGGAGTTCACCCTTAACCACCCAAAAAAGATTCCACTGAAGAAGCATTTAGGGTCCCGTAGCCGCCTAAAAATAAGCGGGGAACCTCTCCTTTTCCATGCAGGTCACTGGCCTATTGACTGCTCGTTACGGAACGGCTCGTTGGGACTTTGTTCTGGTCATCTCCATGGAAGAAGCGGATATCATTGGAAGCAACCCTTGCGGTTTCTGCCCAGTACAACTGGCTCCCAGCAGAGTGGCCCTTTGTCTTAGCATTTACAAAGGTTTGGCAGGGCCGCACATGACACTCTCCCGCATGGAGACCCTCAGCACCGGGACTGAAGAGATCAAGAACGATTATATAATTTCAAACAGAAATTAGCTTGACGAATGATATGAAAAGTGGGTGTAATAATTCACAGCACAGAATCAGGTACTGGTTGTAGAACCATATTTATGTACATGGCTTCAGTTTGGAAGCCTGTGGGCCTTATCACCAGTTTGGCTGGCTGCATCACCGGCTGTACCAAGGGACTCGCCGGCGCGGATCTCCGTCGTTTTGGGATTTCCCCAAGGTACTTCTTCTCCACATTCAACTGGAGCCGCAAGGCTTCATTGGGCATATTCACCGGGCTCGGTTGAACCCATCAGAATCATCCAGGGGTGGACGTTAAATCAGAAGTTGTCTGTTGCTCTGAAATAGACGAACCATTATTATAAATTCACCCCTATGTTCGTTTGCGCAGTCTCAAGCAATTCGGTATGTCGATGCTCCTTGTCGAAAAGGTCTCCAAAGTTCCTAGTCATGCCCCAAGCATTGAGTCTGGTCACAAAGCCCCGGGGTCGATTCTGATCTCCCAGACTCGCTGACAAGATAGTGTATAGCTTGAGTATACCACCACGATAAATCACTGACATCGTGTAAGCATTGTTATCGAAGGTCCGTCCGTGTTGCTGGTAAGATTGTAGAGGATGCATGCCGCACGCTCCCAGTGCGCCATTATAACATGCTTGTCGTGTAGCAACAGCAAGGGATCCATCAGGACTTTTAGCCTCCAAAAAGAAGTTCAGAGCCATTGGCAGGTCATCCTGAGTTGACAGGACAATATGATGGCTAGGATCTTCACGGATCTCACGATCAAGCTGTTCGGGACGCGCGCCATAGGAAGTGGTCTGGTTTGACCGAAACCAGTGTTCCATCAGTCAAGGGGGGCAAGATTTCTGAATAGGTAGTCCCCTCCAACACATTTAGGGTTTCCGATATCGCTGTCCAGATATGGAATCACTGAGAATGCGACAGGCTTCTTTTTAGATGTGAGTGAGTGAGTGTGTGTGTGTGCATCTGCTCGTTTAAATTTTCTAAAACCTCCATCAGAGAACTTTTATGGGAGAGTGTGAAAAGGCCGGGGCTGAGCCAATCGTTCAATTAAATATCTCCCCAATATTATTTGGCGTCGAGGGCATCTGGCCATCAGGGTACCCATATCCATCAGATAAATAACGCGGTCGATTAAATTCTGCTGAAAGTTCCGAATATATGAAAGGCCGAGGTGCTTGAAGTTTCGTGCTTGTCTTAGATGCATCTTCACCTTGACGCTCTGAAGTCTCGGAAGCATGCTCAGGTTGTTGCTGCTTGTTGCTGCCTGTGGGAAAGACGAAAGGTTTCCAGAAAAGGCATATGGCGGGCAGTTGTAGTTAAATAGCGCTCTTGATCACGAAGGTTGGGAAGAGAAAGTAGAGGCCTTCATATGAATGATTACAAGTATCTGAAAGGACATACTCACTCTACTTGGCAGTTTTTAATAACATGGAGGAATCAACCCATGCACCTTTCCATTGTTACATGAATCTTTTCACAGGAGCAACATCTCTAAGTAGCTTGCTTACTCGGGCTCCATCATTTGAAAACTACCTCTGTCGTTGTGAACCAGTTTTGCATCTCTCAAGAATACTTCATCCCATTTACTTGCTTGCTTTCTTTTTCCCTATTTTTATCAATAGTATTTTGTTTCAGTCCCTGTTCATAAACTGATTGGCGGGAATCTGCCCACTTCCCAGTTCATCATTAAGTTAATTTTATTTTTGGGGCTGACAGAAAGGAGGAATCAAAACACACCCCATTCCGTTGGGGGGAAAATTTGCATCAAAAATCTTAGCCATCAAGGCAAAAATTTCAGTGCCTATCTATCAACCAGAGACGGCCAAACGCCTGCCACATACACACGCCAGCCTTTGGCGCCTGGAGGTTTGATCCATCAGGAGGGCTTTTCCTTAAAATGCCATTTGAGGATGGTTTTGCGGGCGATAACGATGTGCGATCCCCTGACAGATCTGGCCGTGCTTTTCCAGCCAAAGAGTTGAGAGATATGGTGTGCTGATCAGTGTTCACCAACTTTGTCCCTTTAATCAAAGATGGTTTGTGTTTTCTTGACAGAAGATGCTTCCGACCCTCATATTTTGTTGTGGATGTACCCTTCCATCTGAAACAAAAGTGGATCAAAGCCAAAAATGAATGCTCCATTTTTCTCATTTTGCGAAGTGCAAAGACAACATCTTCCATGTGCACTTTGGAGAGAGATCAGTTTCAAAAACCAGATGTTGCTGTGGCAAAACTTTTGAACAATAGGCAGGTTTCTTACGGATATTGGGCGAGACGAGATGGGATTTGGGATTTGGGGCGGACGAATGTTGTAGAAAAGCAGCTATGGTGAAGGGGTGCGTGATATATAGAGTGGTTCTATCTACTTAGCTCTCTCGCGAAGTATTGGTTTCTGGTTTCTTGATTTTGTGAACTGCGCAAGAAGGTAACCTAAATAAATAGCCATGTTAAATCTCCCAGTCTTGCTCTGGGGATAAACACCGGGCAGATTTTTCATTCTCAAATCTACTTAACCAGACTCAGTGCTGGTTGTGCTAGTAGTAGTAGTAGTAGTAGTAGTAGTAGTAGTAGTAGTATGTAACATATCAAGAAACGGAATCAACGGGGCGGGTTTTATTGTGATACCCGTTTTCATGACGAGGGTGGTTCTCATGTTGCCGTTGCTGCTGTTGCTCGATGCACTCTGTTGTCAGAATGCGCTTCTCAAGTTATCGAATCCGGTTTGGGAGGGAAAGGGGTAGTTGGTTATGCTCTCTATCTCTTCACAAAGCTAACTGCAAAAGCTTCTTCGGGACTCAGTGGCTCACAAGAGGTCATTGGGACGGGTAAAGATAGATAGATAATTTAAACGGAGAGTGGAACTTGCGGAAAGATGCCAGGCCCTTAGCTAAGCCATCAGTCATCAGCCATAACTTATAGTTTTATGTAGGTAACTCTGTAGTTAAACTAGGTTGGTTAACTGGCTTTTGCCCAGCCACCGTGTCCAGCCCGGGTTCTTTCGCCTCCGGCCGCGCCTGAAAGAGGGCAAGCCAAGAGCCAAGGCTTCCTCAGGCTTTGTCTCTCTCCTCCTTCAGCCCAAGCCCAATGCCCAATGCCCAAACCCAGACCCCAAACCCCAAACCCCAAACCCCAAACCCCCAAGCCCCAAGCCCCAAGCCCCAAACCCCAAAACCCCAAACCCCAAACCCCAAGCCCAAGCCCAAGCCCAAGCCCAAGCCAGAGCCAGAGTCAGAGCCAGACCAACTTCCACTTCCAACTTCTCTTCTCACATTCTTCTTTCTCTTCACTCAAACCTCCATCCAAACCATCACCCAATCTTTACGTCTTCCGCATCTACTCTCCTTCTATTCTCTTCTCTTTCCCCTTACTATGCGTTTTTAGCCTCTCTTCAGATACCCTTCCTCCACGTCTATGTCATGATGGTCGTTTTTTCTCGCATTTTTACTCCCCTAATCCCCGGTTCGTTAGACAGTCCCTTGCTTTAGAAGGGAAATTTCCACCGTCTACCCCTGTTCTCATCATCCCAACAATCCATCGATTTTAGGTCAGTATATCATTTAACTGTCCCTGGTTTTCATTTTTGGAACCTTCATCGTGTTGGCTATCCTACGTTTTTGTTTTTGCCGTCCCCTTTTTTTTTTTTTTTTTTTTTTTTTTTTTCCACTGAGGATCTCGCCACCTTCGTGACGGAGTTGCTAGTGCCGAAGAGCTCTTTTGCCCATAAACCACCTGATGTCTGGAAGTCATCCAATATCCTCTTGTTAACAAATCTTGAAAAGTAGAGTCAACCCCCGTCCTCCATCGCCATAAGGCCAATCTCGTCTTCCAAATTCGATCTTGCGCGTTTTGCAACCAGCGTCTACTCCATATAATGATCTCCCATCCCGCGCTCCTCTAGGTTTTGAGTTTTACAACGGCTTTTTTTCCCCGTCTTCGCCCATCGAAATTCCCCTCCCCCCGCTTCCTCCGGACTATCGCCAGAATACATATAAAAGCATCACGGATCTTACAACCCCAGTGTTTCTCCGAACACCCCCCTTCAGTCTGATGTAGATTGGCCCATCCAGTCCACTTATCCTTAGAAGCGTTACTTAGTGTTTAATCCTTTACACAAGTACGGTCTCTCCAATCCTGAAATAATTTTTTCAGACAAATCACGATCAAACTAAGACCTCCCTCAGGTTTACATCTTATCTATATCTCAGGTTTCAACTTGGTACAGTGACATCTACCATCCACCATCATCATGCGGGAAGTAAATTTCAGCATTCCGAACGTCAACAAGGCGGCTGTCAACATTACGACTACGCTTTACGACCGACGCGCCCTCGATTGCACGTCAACACTACCGCTCATTAACTCCCTGAACCACCTCGCCTACCTCACCACATCGTCTGCCAGGATTCGTGATATTCTGACCGTGGATGGCGGGATAGAGCAGCTAGTATGCATTCTCAAGGAAGGGAGAAGCAAGGACTTGATGGAAATGTGGAAATGGAATCTGGCTTTCCAATGTGTCGTCAATATCGGAGTTCGTGGTACAGAGAACGTGAGGACGAGAGTGGTTGAGGCAGATATTGTGCCTGTGGTGGCCACAATTCTCGATAACTACATTCGCGTTGTCGATAAGATAAGGGCACGTGCGGATGCAGAAGCCCAAAGAAACTGCTCCAGAACCAACAAGCCTTCATCCCGATCACACAATCAGGGCAATCGTTCATCTTTCTTCGACAGGGCCCCCACTACTTCAGACCACCGCACTACTCGTCGACAAGCACCACCACCGTCCATTGAGATCCCTCATCCCTATTCCCAAGACTCTCAGCCCGGGGAGTCTGAGGCAATGGATATCACCCCCTCTCCTCAACTCGTCTTGACATCCCCCCCAGAACGTACGACCTTTCCCCGCGATGCTCGCAGCCACCGAACACATGAAGGCCGTCATCAGCCAGGAACACATCGCCATCGAATTATGCAGCCTCTTGCTACTGCTCTACCTCCTGTGGATGGCACTGATGGCTTTGGAATGAGACCAGTTCGTGATGCAGACAGGTTGCCGTCGATGGTTCCAGGCCTGCAGCCAGGGCTTAACTCTCAACCCGACTCACCCACGACACCCCATGCCGTTCCTGATAATCAAAACCCTGCATCACTCACTGCTAGAGCCAGAAGACGCCCGTCAATCCGGCAACAACCTTCAGGATCAGGAGAGTCTGATGACACAAATGGCGATGATGTTGCCATGGGAGAGGATCCCTCCCCCCACCCTGTTGCTGAACCCATAGTTGATGTACAAAACGGAATGGAAATCGATAATGTTGGTGAAAGTGGCTCGATGCTCGACGGTAGTTCTGATTCCCACTCAATTACGATTCCCAACCCATCGGATACACCCGAAGCAGAGACTTTCAACATTACGCATCCATCTGCAATTGATGTAAGCATCATAAACACGACGACGCAACCCGGAAACGGAGGTACTGGTTTGTCTCCCGCTCGCCCCACTACCATACCTACGGCATCTCCTGTTATCCAACAAACACCTTACCCATTTTACTTGCGGGATCGGCAGGTTGCACCAAACGTTTTGACTGCGATGCCTCGAGATGAAGATGTGTTGATGGCCCTACAACTTTTGGCATATGTGTCAAAATATTGTAATTTGCGCTCCTACTTCCAGAAATCTCACTTGGTCCCCAAATTGAAGTTGGGGAAGGATATTCATCTCTTGGACGATGCCACCGGTCAACCTCATACTCCATTGGAGCAGGAAGAGGAAGAAGAAGAATACCTCCTTCCCGATGATTTCAATATCTTCCCCCTCGTTGAAAAATTCACCATTCGACATCATACCAAGGATATGCAGTATTGGGCGTGCGTTGTGATGCGAAATCTATGCCGCAAGGATGACGCGCGGGGCGGGATTCGCCAGTGCGCCTACTATAAATGTGGCAAATGGGAGGAGTTTCAGCGGCAATTTGCGAAATGTCGCCGATGCCGCAGAACGAAGTACTGCAGCAAAGAGTGCCAGAAGAATGCCTGGGCATTCCACCGCCATTGGTGCCACATTACTCCAGGACCATCAGAGCAGGCCCATTCATGAGAGAGATCATGTATGTTACCATGTTTTCTCTCTAAGACTTTCCTCGGGGAGCACAATCCCTACCATTCAAAACACCTTACTCCATAGGCAGGCCGTGCTCCCATCTCATATCCCAACAATTACATTTTTCTACCAGCGATTCCCCCCATTGTTCTAACAAAAATAAAATCACATGATGATATCATTTTTCCTTTGTCTAAACTGCGTTTTGACCATCTACCGGAATTTCCCAACTTTGCTTCTTACTCAGAAACTCATAACTCTCGCTTCCCCCGTACAGAATCATATATATCGACGAATTTCCTTCGTTTTCTTCCCTCTTTTCAGTCAGGAACCCATCTTGCACGCTTCGCGTTTTACGTTAATGAAGAATGTGGATCCCATTTGCATCCACCACTCATAGTCCTCATCTTCTCTTCCTCTTCTCTTCTCTCGCCCAGTGTGTTCTCTGTGGCTTAATGCAACCTAGTTTACATTTTTCTTTATACTCTTTCTTTAACGGTCTTCAGTACATGCTCATATATCTTCGTTTTGTTCATGGGTTGGGAACGGGTCTGCAGTTGACATAGCGAATCCCCCCTTTGCATTTGGTATTTCCTCTTTTTCCTCTTTTTCTCCCCCCGTTTCTAATGTCTTCATCTTTTGACCTCTACTTTCTTTTGTACATGCTGTTTAATTTCATTTTCATTCCCTCCAACCTTATATTTTGGTTGTCCTGTGTGTTTTCTTTGCGTTGAATCTGCTGTTCTGCCATGGTTCCGTTTTTGTGTTTTTCTTTCTGAACACTATAAGCCTAAACAACCACTGCCAACCTGCACTACATTATTTCTCACTTACTCATTAATTCACCAACATATATTCATTTCTCACTTTCCTCCACTCTCATTACTGTTGAACTAAGCTTTTTCAACTTTTCTTTACTCAACCTGCCGATGGTTTGAGTGTCCAATGACATTGTCCTTACTCCGATCGACCTCCGATTCCGATGAAATGGAATAGGCACTTGAATAATTGTGCTTTTCTCTCTTTTTTACTCCTCCTATTTTACTACTCTGTTTTGTCACTTTGTACTTCCTATATTCTAAGTTAGTATATCTTATCTATTTATCATCGAATGGGTGAAAATGAAACGAAATGGGTTGGGATAATCGGAGGGCAAGTGGGTCAGGTCAGTTTTTTTGGGGAGGGAGAGAGTTGATCGCTGGTTGATGGTGGAACATCTATATGAGTGGGATTGTGTGCGACGTACGTGTTATTATACCTTATGTACTTACACATGACCGATAACATATCGAACACTGTATTTCCCCTCTTTCTTTTCTCCTTATTGAGAAAACTTCATTTTTCCCAATGCGGTGATGGTTTGCATGAGGGTTTCTTTTCTCTTCTCTTTTCTTTCGTCTCTCAAATTGATATTGTTTACCATGTTTTATGAGAGTGCTGGAGTTTTGAAATGCTAGGAAATGAACTGGCGTCATTTTCTGTATGTTCAGAATATCTGGCTGATTGTTGTGCTGAATGAATGCAAGTGTTTTATCAATTCTGTGGCTCCAGGTTTCACAAGCAAAGCTTAAAATAAATATCCCAGAATGGAATTTCCTTTTCTGCGGTGCACATCTAGCTCAATGAAGCTTGTCAGGGGCCCATTTTCTTTCCCGGATGTTCTCTAGAATGCAAGAGGAAGAAGTGAAGGAAACGAACAGCATCAGTAGACGCTCCATCGAGATTGAAGAAGATAGATCAGGAGCAGATTTACGCAGAGAAAATAAAGAGTAAGCAACGCAACGAATCACTGATACTCCTCCCTTAAGCCACCATACGTCGCCGCCAATCTCCCCGCCAAATGCTCCCTGGCAGTTAAGGGCCTCTTCTCCCTACTATTACCATCACTGCCAGCCCGCTGTTCCTCCGTTCCCACAATCTGCCTCTTTCTCTCCTCCTCAACCAGCTTGCTAGGCACAGGCACAAGCTCCGTGCTATCCACCGGATGGCAGAAATATGCCATGCTATACCTATCACGGCTTCCTTCCCCCTCGTGCGGCTGTTGCCACCGCAGTTCCTTTTCCTCCTGTGGGAACACAACCCGATGCACCGTCGACTTCAACAGCCCAGCCGTCCAGTAGCTCAGCAGATCACCGATGTTTATCAAGATCGGTGGGAATATGGAATCACTGCCGGAAGCGGGGCCAGTGGCAGCGGGCCGAACAGGCACAGGCGCCCATTCCCCGGCTGGCGTGAGGATTTCCAATCCCGGCTGCCCGTCCCGCTGGAAGAGGAGGGTGATGCTTCCGTAGTCACTGTGGGCGCCGGCGCGGACGTCGATGTCGTGCTTGAATGTTGAGGAGGCGGGGGAGTCGAGGGAGGGGTAGTAGAGGAAGCGGAGGGTACAGCCTGATGGGCCGACGGCTTGGTCGTGGCGGGATGTGAACCAGGTTTCGGGGATCTGTTTTTGTGGGCAAAGGATTTAGTTTGATAATGAGGGGGTTTGGGGCTGTTTTCTAACTCTGAAGGAGGGGATTTTTCTTTCTCTTTTCTGCTTCATCTTTGGCTTCATGGGGAGGGAGGGAGAGGAGGGCAGGTTTCTTACATCCAGGCCCAGCGCAAGGGTGGTTAGGATGCGATGACATGTCTTTTGGCAGAGGTTCGTAAAGCGGGCTAGTTCTGCTTCATGAGGAATGAGGGATTTAGGAAGTTCCTGTTGTGCCTTGTTGTTTTTGAATTCGCCGAAGTTCATGGCTCTGCATGGATGTTTATTAGCTGTCATGTATCAAGATATATATGCATGGAGTAGGATATAGGCATATGAAAAAGGGGTTAGGTTGGAATATTATGTACTCTTTGAAATCCCCCCTCTATTTCAAGCAATGAAGCCAAAGAATGGTAATATATTGTTAGCCTCCACTCTCCATATGTTCCCTGCAGGTGAGCCAGAAAGCTGGATGCCATTGATTGCGCTGAATATAGTGGGAGGCGTACCTGTTGGTGTCCTGGGTCAAGCGTTTCTGCATGCATTCCAGACCAGCCCTTGTTCTAATTCAAAAGGTGAAAAAAAGGGGAAAGCTTCTAGTCAATTGAAAGCTTCACAAAGCTTCACTTCAAATGCTGGGATTCGCTGATAACCAGCTATGCACAAATATGGAATGTATGCACAGTACATCGAACATACATTGGTACCAATCTTGACAGCAGCCTTTTCCTCATAAGGAGAGGCAAAGAATTCCCGAGCCTGAGATGAAACTCCAAATTAGCACTGAAAATACGTAAGCGATGTATCTGATATCTAACTCCATATTAGATTCGGAAGGGAAACTTGTGGGTTGGTATGCATTGATATGTATATGAAAACCCCGCTCACCGCACGCATTCAGCTGATGGGGAGGGCATACCATTGCAAACGCACTCTCCACGTCATCGTTGGAGAAATCGCTACTAGCACTATCGACGTAGAAAAATCCGTATTTAGTCGCCGCATCAATCATGGCTTTGCCAACTGCGGGCGTGGCTTCGAATAGGTTGATCACTGGCAGCTGCAAAAGAGCTCCCCGGGTGGATTCGCTCTCCGCCATGATGGTCAATGATATACGAAGATAGCAAGGGGGCAGGTTTAAACTCTCAAAGTTCCTTTGTTGCTTGCGCTTTTTATATTCTCTGGTTCTTTGGTCTGTATCCCCTCATCGGGCTCCGAAGTCTTGCATCGGGTTGACGATGTAGTTAATTGTTGATAGTTGGCAGGGAGGAACAACAGAACTCTTTATACGCGGTACGCAATCCAACTTTTCGTTCTAGTTACAGATGAAGTCGATCATTTGGATGTGACTCAAATATTTAGCCAGCTGTGGATGGAACAACTTTCCGGGGGGTTTTCTACCTTTTCTGATTAAAAGCGGGATTGGAAGCTATGTGTATAAAAAATCCTTAGGATGAGATATTCGAGTATTTGGTGTCCCGGAGACCAGGTACATGGTACTACTTTTCCTAACGCTAAAAAGCACACCAAAATAAAGTATGTGCAGGTACCCGTCCCTCTCGCACGCTTACAGCCACGCCCTGCCCGGTTGAGCCCACTGCCCACTACTGGGTCGTCGTAACTTTACAACTTTCAACTGCTCATTCACATCTTCTTCCATTCTTCTTTTCATCGGAACCAACAACCACGCCTCGAATCACAACTCTGTGCTCTGCTCTATCATCAGCCTTTGCGCTGGAATTGCCACCCCACAATCCATCCCTTCTACCTACATTGTGGGAATCTAACAAGGCTTCCAAGGCTTTTTCTTATGCTTAGTAATTCCTTGCGGTTGTTCGTCGTAGCTGAGCTACCTTAGGAGGACCTACTTATTCGCCACTCCGGTGAGCTATGCTCTTTGGCTGAAAGCAGCTTACTGACTTGCGGAGTCCTGCTTCTCTACCGCCCGCCTCTTATTTGCCAGCTGAGCAAATCACCTCAACACAATGACAAGTACGTAACAATTGAAAATACCGAACCACTGTCCTAGCCTACAACTAACCCGACCTCTTGCGTCTGCTTCCAGTTCGTGCCTTCGACGATTGGGCCAGCGGTCGTGCCCAGACCCTCCCCCTTTCTCTCCTCAAAGGTGCCGTCATAGGCATCGATGCCTCCCATTATCTCGACCAGCATCTTAATCATCATGCGACGAAAGAACCCCTCCTCATCGCCCTAGGGGGCTTTCCATTCTCTCTGAAAGCCAACATCGAAAAGGAGCTCCAAGCCTTGAAAAACGCCGGCATTACCTGCGTATTTGTATTCAATGGACTCGATTTTGGAAAGCGCGAGCCCGACTTCTCGACTCAAGCTGACTCTACCCGTGCCCTGCAACAAGCGTGGGAGCTCTATGACCAGCAACAGGCAGATCAGGTTGTGGATGCTTTCAGCTCCGCTGGTGAGGAGATTTTCCCTTGAGGTATCTACAAATTTCATGTCCGTCGCTGATATCCGCCATGCAGGAAGCGCAAAACCGGAGACTCTCTATAAGTTCTTGCAAAGAATCTTTCATGAACAGCGAGTCGACTTTCTCGTTGCTCCATATGCAGCTTCGGCACAGGTATTTTTGTAATCACGCTCTACCGCGATGTGGAATACTTCTGATTGCGAATGACCTTGCGTCTCCTTAGCTTGCCTACCTTGGAAAAGGCCCAAATAGATTCGTCGATGTCGTTTTCGGTTCCTCAGATCTCTTCCTTTTCGACCTAGATAAGGTGATCACCAGGCTGGATACGGATCTTTTCCAAATAACATGGATTTCTAGGCAGGTATGCCAGGATGACCTAGGAAGGATATCAAACGACCAATTCATCGAGTTTTGCTTGCTTCTCGGCTCCAGATACCTCCGGACCTTTCCACTTTTCGAAAACGCCACCTTCCCTGGAAAAAGAGTTAGCATCAGGGAGGCAATGACTACATATAATTCAGCCGGACGTAATGCGTTGGCTCTCTGCGGCCAAATAGAAGATGATCCTCGTGTCAATGACCCACCTTATGTGGAACAATTTAAGCGAGCGCTCATGATAGTGAAACATCATATCATAATGGATATCGATGGGAAAGTGACTCCGATGGATGCGGAGAATGTATCCAATGATTTACATGAACTCATCGGACAACGTTTGCCCGAAGAGCTATACTTCTACATGTCAAAGGGTATTATTGGCTCACAAGTTCCTGACTGGTTGACTTCCGGCGAGCTTTTGATAAAGCTGCCACTGGGGGCTGAGATTTCGGAAATCTATCGTCGTCTTCAGGGAGATCTTCTTACTCCCATTAGAACACAGGCGCTGTGTCTCCTTGCCAACTCTCTCCATCGGTTCTACCAGACCAAAGCGATTAATATATGTACCTGGTACGAGCCGAAATCAACACGCTCTATTAACCTCAAAGAAGACCTGCCTCTGGTGAAAGCGTCTACGATTTCGTGGAAGATTCGAAGCGACCAATACCCAAAGAGTGTGCAGCAGCTTCATGTATGTTTCTCTGTACCTACCTCTGTATTGTTTCTTCCTCTGACTTGTTCTAGGTCGACGAAGTTCCGTTTACCTTTGCCCTCCGAGCCGTGAAAGACCAAAATTTTGTTTCAAAGTCGTTTGCACCCAGAGATGCCCCTGTATGTGTCCTATCTTTATTATTGAAAAGATAACAACGTTGTCTAACATTAATAGGTTCTATCATCGAAAGCAGAAATTCTCGCAAATGTGATGTGGAGGTTCCTACAGCTCCGGGGCTATATTGATGAAAAACACCAGCTTACCCAATGGGGCCAAGCACTTGAAATAGCTATGTCGTCACTCAACCCTGCGGAGAACTTGGAAGAAACAACTTTCATCGCAGTTGAACTCTTGAAACTGGGGATCCTGAGCTCTAAAAATTTGTTCGCGGATATTTCAGGTGGGCCGATGAGGGGTTCTAGTAAGTGGTTTGATGACTCCCAGCAGTTTGCGTCTAGTTGTAAATGCTAACCTGTTGATCAGATGAGGAGAAAAGGTTCAATCTATTGGTATCCCAAGTTGCATGCATTGGCAAAATTCGTCACAAGTCCATTGGCTATTCAGGGCCCCTCAGTAGACAGCTTCTGTCTTTCCGCTCCTTAATCTGCGCTGTCCGATCCAGCCTTCGAGACTTGATTGAGGTGGTTCTAGCAAGTCTTTTGCTGAATGGGGACGCAGACCGAGAACGTTCTGACTGGACTGATCTGGGCCTCAGGTCAGTTGAAATCAATAAACCAATAAATGACATCTGAGAGTGTGTGGTATTAATTTGATTTTAGCCTTCCTTTCATCGACGACAACAATTGTGGACTTGGGATCGCTGTTCGGACGTATCTTGACGACTTACCGCAGCAACCAGAGCCAACGTCGCCGAGGGTTCGAGCTGAGGTAAAGTCTAAAGGTAAAGAATGGTTCCAACATAGTGAGAGCTTTAGCGGAAACCTTGACATGGCCTTCAACCTTTGGGATGCGGTACGCTTAGCCCGATTGACTTCCCTGAGTACCATTTCCTGTGAGCTGGGTTATATTGATGATTTTTCTAGGTTTATCAAGCAACTCAAAATGCTGGAACGGAGTTCAAGGATGCAAAATTTTGGGAGGAGACGAACAAGTGGTTGACGGAACGGAGGTGAAAGGGAACCCTAGACCCAAACCTTACTTCGGGTGGATCAATATCCGTTTCGTGCATAACTTGCCTGCAATCACAGGACTCGGTTCGGTATCTACTTATAAAGCCTATTGTTATTTCCTCCAAGGATTGAGTGGTGAATCCTGGTGATATTGTATTAATATTATGAGTGTGGCCCTCTGGTCAAACCATCTGCAGCTGGCTGGCGGAGCTTAGGTATCATTATGCTATTCTGCATAACTGAACATCAGATATCAATTGCTATTTAGCTCTAAACTTAACAATAAATTATGAATTTTTAACTATCCAAATGAAATCTCAGGCTGCGATAAATAGTAAATTAAAATTTTGGGCCGTTTCAACCGGTTTTGGTAGTTTTAGTAATGAAACGCTGTGTGAGCATTTTCTGGATGCGTCAGTGGGTCTAAATAGGTTCCGAACACCGCAAACCTTCTGACGGACAACAACCAACAACCATACAACAACCACAACCAAAAAGAAACAAATACATCTCTTCCTGAGGAGGTGGCCATTTTCAGGATATTTCAATCAGTGCTGGAAAAAAAAATTTCTCACGAGGAAAAGGAGCCCAAAAGGACTGTGGTAAATCCCAACAGGCACTCATCATGACTCGCCTGAGCTACCTCCTCCTCACCTCCGCCTTCCTTCTCACCAGCATCGTCCCCGTCACGGCCAAATCCGCCGTCCTCGACCTAATTCCAGATAACTTCGACTCAGTGGTTCTCAAATCCGGTAAACCAGGCCTGGTCAAGTTCTTCGCACCCTGGTGCGGCCACTGCCGCAACCTAGCCCCAATCTATGACCAGCTCGCAGACGTCTTCGCCAACGAGAATGTGCACATTAGCAAAGTTGATGCGGATGAGCATAAGGATCTAGGAAGGAAGTTTGGAGTGCAGGGGTTTCCGACATTGAAGTGGTTTGATGGGAAGAGTGAGCAGCCCATCGAGTATAATGGCGGGCGGGACTTGGAGAGTTTGGTGAAGTTTGTATCGGAGAAGGCGGGGGTTAAGCTCAAGGGTGCGCACAAACCGCCTAGCAATGTGCAGATGTTGACAGATGCGACATTTTCCAAGACCGTTGGTGGGGATAAGCATGTTATTGTCGCGTTTACAGCGCCGTGGTGTGGACGTATGTTTTTGTTCCCTTTCTTGCAATTTTTTTTTTCATTTCTTTCTTGCACTCTTTCCTTTTTGACTGAAAACAATCTACAGATTGCAAGAACCTTGCGCCCATCTGGGAGAAACTCGCGGATGACTTCAAGCGCGAATCTAAAGTCATAGTCGCCAAGGTTGACGCTGAAGCTGAAAATTCAAGGAGGACCGCCGAAGCACAAGGTGTAAATTCATACCCCACGATCAAATTCTTTCCAGCGGGGGATACCAGTCCATACAATTACGAGGGCGGACGCTCGGAAGAGGACCTCGTCGCTTATGTCAACAGGAATGCTGGGACCCATCGCCTTGTCGGTGGCGGTCTTGATAAAGAGGCTGGCACGATTGATATTCTGGATATGATTGTTGTACGATATGTTAATGGTGGCAAGCAAGATTTGGCCGGCTCCTTGTATGAAGCTAAGGTGGCAGCGAAGGGATTGAAGGATCAATATGCACAGTATTATGTCAAGGTGTGGGGTAAGCTGGCTGAAAATCAGGATTATGTGACGAAGGAGTTGGCGAGGTTGGAGGGGATTTTGAAAAAGGGAGGTCTTGCGTTAGAGAAGGTGGATGATCTGATTTCGAGGAGTAATATTCTCCGCAAGTTTCTGTGGGAGAAGGAGGAAGAGAAGAAGCTCGAGAAAGATGAGCTGTGAAAGGATTGTTGTACATACAATTTTTGGGGTGTCATTTTCTTGTCTGTTTTATTATTGGATAGAGAAGGGGAAACGTAACTTTTATGATATTGTGCAAGGATTAGAAGCTAAGTATGTTTAAGGTTATCATCTACACCCTGAGTTTCTGTGAGTTTTGATTGTTTTAGTTTTGATTTGACTCTCGAGGTGCCCTGCTTGCTTTCAGGTTGCTATTTGTGTAAGGATCAATTGGGTATCTTAATACATCCAACAGAGATAATAAAAGGAAAAATTCCTAGGAAATAAATCAAATAACTAAAAGATGCCTCCGCTCTCCATGAAAAATTAGCCCACTGTTAATATAAAAGTACAAACATTTGCGACGACAGGACAGATGTTCATAAGTCGAGTTGTATATGGAGTTCATCAACGTCCGTAGTCAGACACGTCCCACTATGGATAAGTCCGCGTGGAGAGACATAATGACAAAAGCTCCATTACGACCGGATTGTGTGCAATGTCGCCGCTCTCTCCATGTTTTCAACAAGATCTAGTCCGCAATTGGAGAAGATAGAGACGTCCAGTTTTCACGACGCATGTAACCCAGTTATAGCCGTTCCGAAATTTTGAGCGATATCATATATTTCCCCATCCTAGATTTAAAGAAAGATGGAAGAAGCGATATAAAATTATCTTATCTTCACATGTCGCGAAATATAAAACAGCAAAACTCGCTTCAATGTATCAGGTCGTCGCCGCATGTGTTTCGGTGGAAGTGGTAAGGGACGCCTCTAGCTGGTCAAGTCTACGCATCATGTCATCCACTGGTAGAAAGAAGGTTTAGATTAGCGTCTGTGTGTATCCAGAAGCACACAGCATATGCAGGTATATCTGTAAGAAGCCTTTGTGCAGGAGAGCATGGGAAGGGATTGGGGTCGTTGGGGAAGCCGAGGGACGGGACTGACGGGCCTTGTAGCAGTCTCAATATAAAATCGGAAATGTGATGGAACGCTAACTTACATTTCTCAAAGATCTCCGCCGAGACTTTGTCAAATTTATCCTGGAGCTGATCTAGTAATTCGTCAACTGCTTGAGCTAGTTGGTTTGAGCTCTCGTCCCCTGCTGTCGTTGGCTGTTGTTTATTCGAATGAAACTTGTTAGCGAGGTATCTCGGTCGGTTTTGGTTCCCGATTTTCCATTCTCGTTTAGATTGGGGCTTACCTCCTGTATTGACGAGCGCTTGTTGTCGGTGCCAGTACTGTTGTTATTCGAGCGCAGCTGCGAGGGCCTTCGCGTTGGGGTTGACATGTTGTTTATCGGAAGGTTTGAGCCGCTCTCCTGGCTTGGAAGATATGCGACATTTGCTGCCTCGGATAACTCCATTTCCACCTGGAAATTCTCCAGAGAGGGGTGCGTGGGATGAGAGAAAGAAGGGGAGTCGGGTGTCTCAATTATTGATGTTTACACAAGGATGGAGGTTTGACTACTTAGGGTCATGTGATCTGTATGATTGTGTTGGGCACACGTTGCCCGGGCAGCCGCCGCAACCGCATCGTGATTAGTGTATATATACAGCCTTTCATCCGGAGCAGAGATTGAACCAATCTCCACAGATTGAGTTGGTGTGGATTTAAGGTTGTGGAGGTAATAAAAATGACACTTCTCTATTGGCTTCTCCCAGATTTAAGCGCGGAACGGCCCATGGAAATCCGGCCCGGGCTTCCCTAGCTTTATTTGAGCCGCATGTTTATAGTTTCTTTTATTTGAACCTCTATCAATGGTCGAAATATTCACAATTCTGAGTTCTTGTGGTGGATATTTTTTAATAGTTTTGATATGAGTATCTGTGTTTGACTTTTGGACGGCAGGAACTTGTGTAAAAAACCGAGGACAATTTTCATGTACTGTGTGCGCATGTAACTGGTACCCTTGAGTTACATGATGCACGCTCTGCAATGAACTGTACATGTAACATTCTACATTTCTGCTTGCAGCAAGTATGGAGTACATACAATCAAAGGAACACTGAACCTGCAAGGGTATTCCCTTTCAGCTTATCTTATTTTTTCCATTTCTTCCGGTTATCTTCCGCTCTCCCTGCACAAACAGCCATCCCGCCCTCATATCTGTATATTTGGACAGTCATAATACGCAGCATAGTCTACTCAACTTTGAAAAAAAAAAAAAAATAATAATTATATGTGTTTTCTACTATCATCACACCGCTTTAAAGGATGTTCTCCTCTAGGGTTGACGTCATAAAATAGTTAGTTTTCTTTGAGAAGAAGAGGCATGGGTTGGTGGCTAAGTCAAAGCTAACCCACCGCAATACGCAAGCCAAGATCATTGAATTCAATATTCAAATGAAAACTGCGGGGTTAAAGGAAGAGGGAATGAGAAGGTAACATGAGATTTCTTTCGTCGTTCACAGCTCTTCCATGACTGCGATCATCCGTTTCATTCTTTGTAGGGAACCGTGCATCAAGCTGTTCGCCTTTTCAGTCAATACTCCGAACTCATGGGGAGCACGACATATCTCCAGAACTTGAACCTCAAGAAGGCATAAAGATCTGCTCTCCCTCTCTGATTACTTGTTCACACTGATGGAATCAGTCATAGGGATGCGTACGTGTGAGAAACTGAATTTTTGTATCTATCTATTATTAAACCCTTTTATCTTGGTTTATCATATCTGCATGTATTACGCCTTTTCATCCTGTATCGCTCCACTTTGTTTCATTTTAAGTCTGTTTCTTTTCCCAAACCAACCTCTGAACCCTGTTAGTCCTACCTTAAAGCATTAAAGGATATTGGAGACCCCTAACTATAAGCTCAGACCTTAGTCCAGACTTTAACACCCCCTTTCATACCACGCGCGACAATCATGCATACTGACCCGACAGCCAATATTATCCCTGTGAAGATAATTAGGTCTTCGAAGCTGTGCGACGCTGCAGCGTCCTTGACAGCTGCCATTGCTGGTAGTCCAACGAGAGCTCTGTATATCAGAGAGAAGAGAAAAGAAATTAGCCTCCAGCAAGAGTGAGAATAGAGGGGCAAAGGAGGAGTAATACAGCTAAGCCTCTGACAAGAGACGGGCGGAAGAGGTGGGGGAAGTTGCAAGCCTACCCAAACGCGAGACCAATGCAGACGAGCCCAAATGTAATTCCTAGGTTCTCCAGCTGGCTGTTGGCAAGAGACACGACGCAAGGGGCGACTAAGCTGATAAAACCACCGCTGGCAACCCCGTAGATTCCCCCAAAGATAAATATACCTGTCGTGGAGGGACTATAGCTCAAAGGCAACCAAAAACCAAGAACCGATGCTGCAGTGAAGGAAGTGACAATGCACATAACATTAAATGCGCCCAGTTTGTCGGACATAGCACCGAGACCAACGCTACAGTATACTTTGTTAGAACAGAACAGAAATATATTTACACAAGGAGGGGCAGAGGAAACACTCCAAGAGAGGGATCGATTGTTACACCTACCGACCAAACATAGAGCCGGCACTAGCAATCAACAGTTAGCAAGGAATTCCTCTTGTAGATAATTTTCCTTCCCACCTCCATGACTGTTCCTTGGACTTGATACTTACTTGGTTACTGTTAGAGTGTACTGCGCCAGATCTGGGGACATTCCACTGGAAACGGACATCAGAGGGAGGTAATTGAACGGCGCTAGGAACGACCACCTAAGAAGTAGCAGAAAATCGAGTCAGTAACCAATACTTGTGCATGTACGCACATTCGTGTCAGTGGTCACACACATGAAGAAAAATGTTCCGAGAACGAAGCCAGCCCAACCAAGTGCTTTCCGTTCAAACAGGGCATTAAGTCCTTTCTTCATATTACTCTCCCCGTTTACTGCTGCTGTAGCAGAATTAAGCGAATCCAACCCTACGACCCCAACTTTGCTGCCAAACGAATCAACATCATCTGTTTTTAGATCCTGGGAGCTCTTCCTGGCTGTTTGCTGACCCTTTTCCTCGTCGTTCTGGAGGTTCTTCAACTTGTGCTGCGGTGGAAAGGGGGTGTCGCAAAGCAACACACCAATCAACATGGTTATACCAACAACGAGCATTGACCATCTCATGGAGTCTGCAAAGCCATGAGACGTAATAAGTCTAGAAACCATGATGGGAAAAATAACCCCTCCTATTTGTTTCTATTAGCATGGAAAGTTGAAGAACCAAATATTATTATGTATATCCAAGGAAAGGGATGTTTGGTCTATATTTATGATGGATGCACTCCTGCATTTTAAGTTGGGAAAGGGGGAAAAAGGAAATGGGAAAAGAAAGTGACAAAGGGAGCTGGAAAATAGGACATCATTAAAACTAGAAATTACTTACCAAGACTGCTTCCACAACTCGCAAGACCAACAGCCAATCCTCGTTTCGTTGAGAACCACTGGGATACCGTCACGATAGCTGGCAAGCAGGTTCCAGAGACCGCAATTCCAAAGGCAACGCCCTGAGCCAGAATCACTTGATAGTACTCCGTGCAAAGGCTTAGCATACCAAGAGAGATAATGGCAAGGACAGCGAATGGAGCAATGACTGGTCGAGAGCCATAAACATCCACCAGTTTTCCCACAGCCGGCCCGCACACAAAAAAGAATGCAATCTGAAGAGTAGTGATCCAAGCAAGCTGAGATGAATTCTTTTCAGGGAGCATGACATGTTGATAGTAAAATTGGAAGGTTCCACAACTGACAGATGCGCAACGGGTTTGAAGGATATCAGTATACTAGTTTCCCATTTTATGATAATATCCGCATGATTCCACTCTGCAGGACAAGATGGCGAGAAAGCAATGATTGTATAACGAGATCATACTTACGTATTGAAGTATCCAAAAGAGGACATTTGAAGCAGAAAAGAGCCTAATACCACCGTCCATGCTCTCAGGCCTCCATTTGGAGGATCGGGGCGAACATAAGCCATTTTGGGGAATAAGTGTAATGGAGAATGGATGCTGCAAGGAAGATGAATGCAAGAATCTTCAGCCGAACGAGTACCTGGAAGATGATAGTATTGAAGGCAAGTGGGCTTCTATTAAGATGTTGGAATGTGAATAGTTGCTGAGTTATAGATTGGCTCTGGACATGGGACATTTGGTTTGTGTAGTGCATTCGGCTCGCCGTGTTATTATTCAATTGCCGTTGAAAGAAGTCTCCACAACCTAGGTAAAACGGGCAAACACTGATGCAAGCCAACTCTTCAGATAATATCCAATTCTTTATGTTCAGCGAATTCCGGGGGAGAAAGAGATCCATTTTAAACAATTCATATTTAAAATGACTGGGGTACGAAAACGAATAATATGACCTTCGCGGAAACCCAGAAAGCAACATCATAAAAAGAGCTGCTGGATTGAAGATCTTCCAGTTCAACCCCTCTTGGCGGCTTTGAGGTGTGTCTGATATTTCACTCATCATCCAGGGACCGGAATCAATCCACGATGTTGATGTATGCCCGATTCGACCGGCATTGGGTAGGAGGGCTAGAATTCATAGACCCACTATTCAGTTTGACAATTGGGAACAGACATCCGACTGTCAAATTCAAGGCTCGTAGCATGGATATTTGCTTTGTGGAGTAGTGCACCGCATCTTAGATCTGAAGCGGATGAAAGACATCACAAAGGATTCAGTCTGAATGGACCGCCAAATGATCGAGCTTTGTTCAAGATGAGGAAAGCTCCACACCCTCCTGGCAGCCATGGCCATGATATCAGTACTGCGAATAATCCAGAAATAACCAATGGAAATTTCGATTATACCCCGGACTCGGCTCCCAAGAAACCGGTAGCAATCAGATTAACAATAAAAGCACAAATGATGCCACTATCCGAGTCAACCGCCATGCCGCTGTCTTGCTTTAAGCCAGTTAATCGTAGAATTTTCAACCTCGGCTCGCTTTTTGTGACACAAACTGGTTGATGCGTCATATCCTGCGTCATATTTGCATAGCCACTCCCGTAGGGTTTTGACATATAAGCCCTTTCATTAACCAATGATTTTGTAACGCAATCAACACCGATTTTCAGCCAGCATGCGTGATAGTAAAACACCAGCAACTTTGTTCAACACTAGCTGCATGTGTCTGTCACATCTACTCTTCCGTAGTGGCTGAAAAATATTGTCATTTGCATAAAAAACATATTTGTGTTAACAACAGTTACCCATGAAAGTGAGATGCATAGCCATCTATATCCAATGTTAAGTAGTCGGCATGGAACGCGGTTGTTCCTGACCCGTAAGACTCCTCACATGGATGGGTGTCTGCATGGAGCCAGGGACGAGGAGATGGAAGCAGGGGTTTTGCGGGTTGTAGGCGTGGGTGATGAATAGCTCTCTACTCTGAACTGCTTCCCGAGGCAATTGCAAGATATGATTGCAGATCTTGTATTTAAGCATGCACTATGGAGGCAAAAATGAGCAGGTATCAGTACTACCCATGCATTTTCCACTGGCCGAAATAATACAGGTATCTGTTGATGAGTTGGTAAAACTTCCCGGTTGAACTTTGGTTCTAATTATATATTCGTCAGGCAGAGTGTCCGCTTGAAGATCTGTGCAGGTCACCCAACCGAGCCCGGTCGTCTCTCATCCGCTTTCTTCCAGGTTGACCGCGGGGTAAATTCTGCACACATCTGGTCGTGTACTCTGTGCTTTGTAGGGCGATGGGGATAACATGAAAATTAGCCATCCCTGGGCTGAGAATGTGCTGAACGTATTTTGTATCTTGAGTAACAGAAATTCAAGCCCGGAGGTCGATCCACTTAACCCTCCACCTGCAGCTAGAAAGTGCACAATACAGGTAGACTGATCTACCAACCATAGAATCCATGGCCGGATATTCATTTAAACTATTCACAAGTGTTGGCGCAAAGTTAGTCTGTACAAAATGCATCTAGGTTCCATCATAACATATAAGATAGTAAGGATAGGCTAAGGTAGGTGATGGTAAAGCTTGTCCTATCAGCCTATAGAAGGAACAAAATTTCGTAGAATGGGATAGTGAAAACCGAGTTGAGATGTGGTCAATCGCCTCAAGGTCAACAGGGACTTTCACTTCGAAATTTCAGCTCAATATTCCCGGTCTTTTGAACTTCAATTAAAGACTCGAGAGGGATGGAGAAGCTAAACCTGGGTTACAATCCCCCACGCAATGGTCGAAACCTCCAGAAGTGTCATAGATCCCGTTTTGCTCAATTTAATTGCGTCGATGCTATGAGGGAAAAGCTTCAAGAGGGAACCTGTATATCAGGTGATCAGGGAGAGGACTATCCTTAGAACAGCGAATGCTCTATTTCATGTCAGACGATGAAGAAAAACGATGCATTGGAGTGAGACATAATCATTTTTGTAGCCGTCCATAGTTCTCTTTTATCCTCGAGGATCGGGATTTGAGTTGCATGTTTGCTGGGCGGGATTTTGAGAACGAGGCTCGTTGTCTTGGTAAAATTGTGACCGTCCAGGCCACCCTGACTCCATTAATATGAGGTGATAATTAGGTTGAACCACTTCACGGTCCTTCTGGGAATAGACGTATAATTCTATTTCACGGAGCTCGTCCTGCAGGTCAACACTTTTTCATCCTGGCACTTGCATATGGTGACCCAGTTGCTGCTGAGGAACAACGTGATCATGTCGCACACCAATGGATCTGGAACAGAGGTTCAAAAACAAAAACACAAGTGACCACAACAGCCAAAAATATTGAATGAATACAAGTGCAATTCGACCATAGAAGCCTGTGACAAGAGTTGACTTGAGGATGCGAAGCAGGCCCATGCCATCATATTATCGAGTTCAAAATTTATTCACAACCCGGTCAGCGTACGTAAACAAGGCCACCCAACGATAGAGACCGTGTGGTGTCAGAGTTTCCTACATAGTTTTGCAGCAACTTCATGCATGGATCGGCAATTTCACATAAGATCGAGGCTCTCTCAGGTCGCGTCACACCATCTCAGACAAACAAGACTGACATTGAAGCAGGAAACGGATCTTTCACCTTGTCGGGATCTGGTCAGCCTGGTCGGCGATTCTTCAAGGGTAATATGATTTGTGGGCCAGGAAGGCTTCCAGGGACAAAAAATCTTGGCAGGTGTGTTTGCAACAGGATTTCCGGCCTGACCGCCTGGCCGCCTGACCGCCTGGTCGCTGAAGAACAACTGACACTCTGAAGACAAGGTATATTTTTCAAGCATATACGCAGCGAGATTGGTAGTGTTTCATGAGGCATGGCCATTGAAGAAATAACCAAGTAGGTTTGGAAACTTCAATAAAACAAAACTTGTGGTATGTTCTTACATTCGCGAGGATCATAAGAAACGGCAGACGGGTGATGGTGGATTGCAGAGAATCAGCGAAAATTGAATGAAGATGTTGAGAACGAAAGTCGAGATATCAGACCATCCCAAAAAGGAAATTTGCTATCCTGTCATCACGTGGAGATAAGGCACGCGAAACAAGGTTCGTCATACGCTTGTCCTAATGTGGTAAGGATAAAAATGCCCCAGATACTCTCCCGCTAACCTGATACGAGTTAGCGCCGTGCCAAAATTTCTGTTACTTCCAAAAGCTCCGTACATTTAGAGATATTCCGTCGCCCACAAAGAAAAATCACCCCTTGAACGTCCCGTCCCCATATTAGCCTTTCTTGTTTTCAGCATTTTACTCTTCATATATCCACCATGGCCAAGAAAAGTAAATTGTTGTTGGCACTAGATGCCCATAAAGGCCGTAATTATGAACTAGAGCGCCAGAAGAAACTGCAGAAGGCAGCCGAGAAGCGGAAAAGAATGAAGGTGGGAAATGCTCAAGATACCAACAATGACAGCGAGAAGGAGGTAAATCAACATAATGTGTGTGTGTCGGATAGAGCCCCTAGAGTGGCAATGTCCCCGGCATAGCGGCTAACATTTGGTGATTACAGGATCCCACTCTTCCACAGCAAAATGGCGCGGGAGAGAAAGAGGAGCAAACCGCTGATGTTACCCCTGCGCAAGACGACCAATGGACGAATATTGAAGAGGAGGAAGAGGGAGACGAAGAAGTGGATGAAGAAGATATCCCATTCTCTGAACTTTCAGAAGAAGACGCAACTGACGTAATACCACACCAACGCCTCACCATCAATAATTCCGCCGCCATCCTCTCCTCCCTCAAACGCATCTCATTCATCACACCTCACACACCCTTTTCAGAACATAATTCTCTCACTTCCACAGAACCCATCGACGTCCCAGACCCCAATGATGATCTTACGCGTGAATTGGCCTTCTACACCGTCTGCGTCTCCGCCGCGAAATCCGCAAGAGACCTATTGAAGAAAGAAGGCATACCCTTTTCGCGGCCGACAGATTACTTCGCCGAGATGGTCAAGTCCGACGAGCACATGGGCAAGGTGAAAAAGAAGCTGTACGAAGAGGCCGCAGCCAAGAAGGCAAGCGCGGAGGCCAAGAGGCAGCGCGATCTAAAGAAATTTGGAAAACAAGTGCAGGTCGCCAAGTTGCAGCAGAGGCAAAAGGAGAAGAGGGAAACTCTGGATAAAATCAACAGTTTGAAGAGGAGTGCGTTCTCATCATCGGTTCCATATCCTTTTTGCTCTTGAATTTGTCACGAGCTGCATCATTGACGCTAACATAATTATCTCTCTGCTTTAACAGAGCGTAAAGCCAACGATGGTGCCCCCACAGAAGAATCAGATCTCTTCGACGTTACCCTTGAGGACGCTAGCAAATCTGACTCACGCGGAGGAGCCAACAAGCGTGCTCGTAACGGACCCGGCGCGCAAAATAAGCGGCAACTGAAGGATAAGAAATTTGGATTCGGTGGTAAAAAGCGATTCGCAAAAAGCGGAGATGCAGTTTCCAGTGGTGATCTCAGTGGATTCTCAGTTGGTAAAATGAAGGGACATAAGAAGGGAGGCGCGCAGAGGCCGGGCAAAAATAGAAGGGCATCGGCGAAGAGGATGTGAAAGGGAAGCGAGCGATATGCCAGAAGATACAGTTGCGTACTGCTATAAATTTTTCAATTTTTCCTATGCGGTTTTCCTGCGCGTCCACCTGCGGTTCCTTTATTTATTCTCCCTCGGGATTGTAGAATTTTTTTTTATATCCAAAACCGTTACCATAGGTAATCGTTCCTTGTTGGAGATAGATACCCTTTGAAGGACATTATAAAGTTGCTCAATTACAACAGTTACAAAATGGCTACGAGCAGTGACTCTTTTTGCATTATATCGATATCGTTTGATTTGAAGAACTTGGATGGGTCGGGTCATCAAATTTTCATTTAAATATCATTTCGTCACATCGTTAGTGTAGTTATACACTGGAAGCATAACAGAACCAAAAACTAACCGTAGTAGATCTAATAGAAACGATGCTCCTAGCGATTAGAGCACTGCATCCATAAAAACATTGGTTTATGTTTCGTCTGAAAAGTAAGCAATGCACAACCACGCATAAAAAATAGCCTTATGAGTCCTTCGGGGGTGGTACACATGGCTTCTACCGCGCTATGAGTATATATATGATAATTGCCTGAACGTCAACATATTAGGACACGGAATCGGTCTTCTAAGAGCGTTAGCTATTAGCGTTTGGGAAATCACGAACCTCGAGAGCTTACAGTCTCTCCACTTCATGTTCGTTGAGGCGAAAGAGAGTGCTTCTTCGGACGGGTTGATGATTAAACCGGTCAAGGTAGCGACAAGTCGTTGATTGAATCGTGTAAGCCCCCGAATACTCCAACTCTGTTCTATTTGTAATGGCTTGATCCCTGGTGCTGTAAACAGGAACTAGCAACAAGTGAAGGCTCATCGCTTCGCTCGCTTTGGGGAAGATGATTCACCAATCTCCAACTCAGAAGTTCCTGCCGATTCCTGATGGGATCCAAAATCGCGGATACGATTTATAAGATGACTAATGGAGACGTTGACATTTTGGCGCTGCTCCGCGAAGACAAGGTTCAGTTTGGTCTGCGTGTCCTCTGCATGGACCAGGGAGTGGTCTAGGATCGACTCTTTGGATCGTTTTGAACCGGCTTTGTAAATAATTTTACCGCATCCTTGAACGGAACAGACCCAAGTATCCGGAGGTAAATTAGCAGGCTCTAAGTTTTCTGAGGAATGACTTATGTTTTCGTTGTTACTGTTCGCAGGGTGATTGGTCGCCATGATGCTATCAAAGATTTTCTGCAATGGTATTTTCCTTGTTGAGGCGACGTCTGAACTAGATAAGACGGAACGAGTGCTCTCATTTACCTTCGCGGACAACGGATCGTGAACCAGACGGTGGCCTCGTGTTTTCGAAGATGTATCCTCCGCCAACGTCAGCTCCTCCTCTTCTGAATCTGAATCTGTATTTTCCACCGCTTGTGAATTACGTTTGCTAGCTCCCTTGGCCGAAACTGAGCTCATCTTTGGTCGAAGGAGAGATTTCCGTACCCGTCGCCTTCGCCCCTTTGGGAGAGGGAATTCATCCTCCTCTTCACTTTCTTCTCCAGATGGAGAAGAGGCGCTGTCCCCCATTGGCGCTCTGGGATGCAGTGGGGTTGCACTGATGTCTTGTAGACTTTCTGAACTTTCCAACTCTTTTAGCTGCCGATATATCGCCTTTCGAGACCAGTCAAATTTTGAGGTTTGCGCATTATCCATCATTTCAATAAGGAATCCGGCTCGTGCGCGAATCAGATCGAGAGCATAATTTAAAGAGGTCATCTCGTATCGTTTTAGAAGGGTTTCTGCAACAGTCATCACATTAAGCCGTCGTTTAGAAAGTAACCCAGACTCCTTCATGTCTAAGATAACTTCAAACACTGTATTAGCCTGTTCTCTACCGACGTCTGGAGCATCAAGAGATCCCTCTGGTTCTTCGTCCGATTCACTCTCATCTCGGGCTTCCTGTGCAATTGCCTCCTCACGCTCAAAGACGTCCTTGAAACCATGTTAGAAACTAGAAATTGCTGAATCCTGCCTTACGGAAAGAGTTTTTTTTTTTTTTAAAAAAAAAAAATAATAATCATACCGGATATAATTCTCGTAGATGAGCACATATTGGGGTCGAAGCCCAATCCACATTCTCCTTGCCCTGAACCATCTGGTTTATTAGAAATTCATGGTGCTTATAAAACACTTCCGCTGAATCTTCTGCATCCTCACAAGCCCCATTGGTGTGCTTCGTATACTGTTGAGGAATGTAAAAGTAAGCGCAACCGCACAACTGAAAACGCTGCTAGAACAATCAATTCACAAACTTATTTTCCGAAACGAACCTCGTCGAAAAGATAATCTATTTTCGGATTCCACTTTTTGCCCCGCCGCTTGTTATTTTGGTGTTTATCCGCTAGAAAATAAAGAAGATCAATGGCCTCTACCATTTCGTTGAACATCGGTTTGAAGCCTCTGGCGGGTGCAATGGAAAACCATCCTGCTGAGCCCGCAACCCACAAACCAATCTCACCATCGTCATGTTGTCCGTAGGCATAGTGAGTGACGTTATCAATGAGAACTCGTTTATTTCGGTAGTTATCATCCAGGACTATCAAATATCAGGGCAAAAGAAACGCGTCAGCCAAATGCAAAACCAACTATCCACCAGGCGGATTCTCCATACCAAGATCCTCCTGCTCCTCCTCTACAATTTCTAGCTGGCCTGTGACACGGACTGGATTCTCTGGAGAAGCAGTCAGGACATTAGCATAGCGCGCCTTGCCAGGCACAAGAACCTTGACATCGGTTAGGGCAAACTCTTCCCAGTCGTTCTCATCCTTGAGGGAGGAGTCTCTAGCAGCCAGGACATTCTCAATTCGCGTCGTCATATCTCTGTAAGCACCATGATGGCTTGGAAAGGAGCTTTGATGTTGTCGCTGATGGAGATCACACGCATTGAGTGGGGATGAAGAGCGAGAAACCGAGATGAAGCCTTGAAGGCGATTAGGCTAGTATCGTAAAGTACGGTATTATCCAAATTGTATGTGTATCCGTACGTACGGTTGTAATACGGTACACATGGAGTAAATTGGTGGTGATGGGCGTACTTTACCGTATTTTGGCGTACAGCCCTACTCTCTTTTCTCTTCAAAGAATCAAAAGCTTCAAAGTCCGCAACAATCACTCTACAGTGCAATTCACCAGCACGCGCAATTGATGTATATTTCTAGAAATTCTACGTACCTCTGAACGATGGACGGCTGTTTAGTATAGCAATTCCTTCCACCCTACAATCTGCGACACCCCTCATCGTCACAATCTCCCTCTTGCCGATTCCATCCAATTTCCGCTCCGCCCGACACAAATCCTTCAGCGCCCATGCACTTCCGCTTCCGCACCAGAGATTTCCCAGTCATAATGTCTCATGCCCGCAACCTGGAAGGCGTCTTTGGTTTGTTTATTACTCCCCGTTCTTGACCCCAAGAAAAGTCACATCTAAACTAACTCATCCTTTTTTTACAAAATTAAAAAAATTCAGCCGTCCACAAACCCGCCGGTATAACCTCAGCAGAAGTGCTCCGTGACCTTCAGAAGCACTTCACCCCCTCCCGCTTCTTCCAACCATGGGTTGACACAGAGCGTATTCGGCGGCGCGCTGAGAGCAAACACCAATCGCGCAGACGGCGCAACAAGCGTCTTCAAGTGAAACTCGGACATGGGGGCACCCTCGACCCCATGGCGACAGGCGTGCTGATAACTGGCATTGGCAAAAGCACAAAGGAGTTGAATAACTTTCTTGCCTGCACCAAATCATATGACGCCGTGGTATTATTTGGCGCCGCGACGGATTCGTACGATTGTATCGGGAAGGTGGTGAGTAGGGCACCGTACGAGCATATCACGCGAGAGAGGGTGGAGGAAGCGCTAGCAGCGTTTAGGGGGAAGATTATGCAGCGCCCTTCAATATTTTCGGCGCTGAGGGTGCAAGGGAAAAGACTGTATGAGTATGCAAGGGAGGGGATTGAGCCGCCTGTGGAGATTTTGAAGAGGCCAGTGGAAGTGATGAATTTGGAAATTGTGGAATGGTATGAGGGGGGTACGCATGATTATGTCTTCCCAATGGAAGAGGTGAACAGTACGGAAAAGGCTATAGCGAAGAAGATGGTGTCTAAGGACGCTCTGCCATCTACGATTCCGAAAAAACAGCACCGAGATAACTCCAGGGAGCCCGAAGAAGCACATGGTGTGAAGAGAAAGCTATCCCCATCTCCAGCCTCCGCCACTTTCCCAAAACGCCAAAATCCTGCCACTGACACCCTTATCTCTACAACGGCCACCACCGGTCCTGGTCCCCTCACAAATACTTCTGACGGCTCTCCCACCGCTGATGTCACGACAACTACTAACACATCCACCTCCTCAAAACCACACCCGTCACCGCCCGCCGTAAAACTTACGATGACCGTCTCATCCGGCTTCTACGTTCGTTCCCTAGCCCACGACCTTGGCCTCGCACTTGACAGCAATGCAATATTGTCATCACTTGTCCGCACGCGCCAGGCTGACTTTACGCTGGAGCCTGACAAAGTGCTGGAGTATCGCGATTTGGAAGCGGGAGAAGAGGTGTGGGGGCCCAAATTGCAGAAGTTTTTGGACGAGTGGGAAGAGAGGAAGGGGAGGGTGGAGGCTGAGGGAGTCGTTGAGGCTGTGAGTGAGGGTGAGGATGAAGGATTGTGAGATGAAGAGGCGAGAGTGGCCAGGGTTGGGGCCAATTGATTGAGTTATCTGGGGTTTGATTTTCCGGGTGTCCTTACTTTTCCGCTCCTTGTTGCGTTGGGCTGGGTCGGTTCAGTTTTCATCTGTCTATACCTGCGCATGTTTATTTTGCATTTAATACATTGTAATCTACATCAAAATATCTCCAAATCGCCAACAATATACCATGCTGTTTGCTTACCCTATATTATTCAATGAACACTTGCATGTTATAGGATAGAAAATGGAATCGATTAGGGCCTTGGGAATAGGACGATTTGATATTCACACAGAACTACAACATAAATCCTACAACTTTATAGAATTAGATGATACGGGATATCCTTAAAATTCTAAAGCGATCCGTATTAAAAAAAAAATATGAAGACTCGAAACAACACTGTTGGCTAGCCAGACGTTGCTCAGTAATTCTATAATATTTCCGGGTGTAGCAGAAACCGCCAGGACGAGTTGGAAATTGAGAAGAAAGGTGTTTCGAAAGTAAGAGAAGAATAGAATAGATGCGGCAAGTGTTCAAGATATGCGCCTCAAACACTAAATGAAAACAGGAGGACTAAAGTTATAAAAGGTGTATATAAATGGGAAAAACTAAAATAAAATAAACAATAAAAAATAAAAAATAAAAAATAGGGGGGATATATAGTGGTGGAAATAGAAGACGAAATAGAGAAGGGGAAGAAAAAGGTATCGAAACCGACAAGAGACACTTAGAAAACAAATTGGTCGAGGGATAACAGCAAAATAAGGCACAAAGGGAAAAGACAAGTAAGAAATAAAGTGGCAATAGTATAGGAAATCAACCTAGAAAAACTCCCAACAATAAGTTAGAAGGGAATCAGAAGATGAAATAAAGGAAGAAACAAAAGAAAAGAAAGTAAATAACTACTTGTTTTACGAAAACAAGAAATATGGGGAACACCAAACAAAGCCCAGTAAATAGGAAAATAGGTTCAGGAACAAAAGCCTTTAAAAATTACTAAAAGGGGTTTTCAGGCCAGAAGCAAGTGGCCAATAATGAGTGTGGACGGATATTTGGGGGAATAAAAGCAAGAAGGAAAAACTGGCAGAGGCAGCGGTTTAGACGTGTATTGAGGGGGTAGATTGCGTATGTGAGAAGTGAAAAGGATGGGAAAAGAGGAAAAGAAGAAAAGAGGGTGACTAGTAGTGCGTATCGGCCCCGCCAAAACAAATTCCACTGTCGACGATATATATGAAGTATGAAGTATCTTTCATTACCCGCTCAAAGGGACCCAAGAAAGTACCAGAAGCCCCTTGTTCCCCAGCATCTTTTCCATACCCTCCCCACCTTGAAGATATCTTCATCGTCACATGTACCTAGCCAGCGACGTCTTCTGGTGGAGATGTCCATTTTAAGGACTGTCAAAAATGTAAACAAGTTTCGATCAATCCAAGAACGAGAGACGAACATCTCCGAAGATCGTCATCGACAATCGAAAGAGGCATAGCTGGTCAGCCGGCGGGAAAGTCCAGTTTCTCGATTTGATATCGATGGCGGGCACAAAATAGCGTAGCACTGGGGTCAACCAGCAGGGGAGGGAGGTATGTGAGGGGCGGATAATTTTTTTTTTTGAAAAAAGTCAAAATGAGATATATCATAATATCATAAAAATCGTGAAATATATGATAAGGGGAGATATAAAATCCTGGGTTGAGGTATAATAAAAATTAACCGTAGTTACATAGTACCGATCCCTTCCTAAGTGATTAGGCAACCATCCTTCTATGATTCCTGCTGAGGAAAGACTAGGTGATAAGACCGGTGAGCCTCCAAAAGAATCTGAAGGATAGCATTTTGTCCCTGCCTCGACTCGCACGCACATTGCAACGTGCTACCATCTAGGAAATCCAGCACAATGCTATTAGGAAGCTCCTGTCTATCTTGATCGGGCAAAAACGGCGTCCGGAATTCAGAGAGGTGATACCGCTTAACAATGTTTCGCGCAATGCCATCGATGGTCCCAGGAGTCAGAATGAGATAACCCAGGTCATCTATGCGCATGAATCTTCGCTTCCAGAGGAGAGTGTCTGGGAATTGCACGTTAACTTCTCCAATATCAATCACTTGCGGAGGCTCTGTGGTTGCATCTTCGTCGTTTAGAGAGGCCAACTGGGAATCCTCTTCTTTCAAGGTTGGACTGAGGGCGTTTATTATACCTCGTCGTGAATTGGAGGTGATTGATGACATACGGCGGATAATGCGTGATTTCCTGGACGTCTTCTTTTCCTCTTTTGCCTCATCGACACGGTCAAGAGGGCCATGAGGAGAATCGGCGGAAGGATGTGGATTGTGTCCTTCATGCTTCGATCGAGATGATACGGAAAGCCTGCTTGATATAGAATCCGAGCGGGGAACACCAGTAGCTGTGGAAGCTCGACCCGATCCGATGCTTGATGAATTAGAGAGCCTCCGTTTTTCTGGACGTGAGATGGTTGAAGTAGAGAGACGACGTGGTGTTTCGGGAACATCACTCTCAACAATAAGAGGGCTGCGCTGGAGGTTTAGGACATTGGGTTCCGACGGGTTCACGAGAGATTCACTTGAAGGTGCAGTTGGATCCCGGATTATGCGAGCAGTCACAGATACCGAAGTAGACTTTCCTCTGTAGGTTGACAAGCTATCAACCCGTATTGGGGGATTGGGGGAACGGGAACGTTCCTTGGGAGACGTAGGGGATGGAGTGTATGAGGGAGAGTTGCTTCTGATCAAGGCTGCAGCAGGTGGTAGGCCCGGTTGGGAGATAGACGTCCGTTTGCGAAATTTTTCAAACGGTGATATTGAGGGATCAGTTGGTGGAAGGGGAGGCTTCGGCGCCAAAGAAGGTTGATGACCTTCGCGGCTGGTGAACATTTCCAGCGCCTTGATTCGTTTTGAGATCCCCGAGGAAACATTTACCTTTTTTGCGACAAGGACAGGAACCGCCTTCTGATTTTCATAATAAGAGCCGGATGCAGATCTGCCAATGGGAAGGGCTTGCACGTCTGATCCAGAATTTCCTGATTTGGTCGGATTAGAAACAGCTCTGGATCCCCTCCAATCGGCGGGTGAATTCAACTCTCCGTTTTTTACGAAGGTCGGGGTTTTCGGGACCGCTATTGGCTTCGCTTGTTGAACTGTAGCACTTCCCAATTCCTCCATGAAGGAGTCGTCAGACAACAGATGTTCCTCATCCGACTCATCCAGTTGCGTTGCAATATGAATAGGATGAATGACACCTTTGCGCCTGCTCTTTATATCAACGGATGCGGATGCCTCTTGTCCGGATAAAGATTGATAAAATTTTGACATATCATTATCACCAGCGGCAGATATTGATGTTATGGATATATCTTCCTTGGATTTTCGTGGGACAACTGACGCGGTCTGGGTGATAGATTGTAGAGACCCTTGGGATGTGTCTGTCGGCATCATTTCAGATGTTGTAGGCGCGGATTGAGAATCTGGAGATGTGTTGTTTACAGGTGTTGCTAGGACTACCCTTGGGGTGGCCTCCGGCGAGCACATATCAGAAGGAACCTCAACTACGGAGACTTTAAGCCCCCCAGTTGGGGCGTCGGTTGACTCAGCAACATGTTTTATTTCACTCCCGTTATTCGAGGTTTGTATTTGTGTATCACTGGCGGCCCTGGTCTCCACAACTTGTGGATCAGCCTGGTTAGATCTCCAAGCCTCTTCAACTTTGTCTTCCTCCACACCTCCACACTGGTCTGCTACCACAAGTGTTGGAGAATTTCTTTCAGTTGAATCAGACGAAGGAGTGGTCATATGAGGTGCGAATGAGGACGCAGGTTGATCGTTTTGGGGTTTTGTAGCTCCGACATCTACAGCTGAATCGGGGTTTGAAGGATCGGGCGACGGAGGTGTTGGGATCTTCTCGTTGATCAGAATGACAGATGGCGGGTGTTGCTGACGTTGGGACGCTGGGGTGGATTCAGTATGAGAATCGGTATCTGCTTCGATAGAGATAGGTTCAGTCGGTTCTTGGTGGGTAGTTAATTCAGCCTCTACAATATGTATGTTCTCTTTGTTCTCCTCAGCATTGACACTCTTCACTGCTTCCTCTGGCCCATTAATAGGCACATCCTGCTTCTTTTCATTTTGTTCTATACGGTTTTCCATTTGTTTCTTCCGCAATTCCAACGCTCGCATTAACCTCTGCTTTTCAGGGGTCATTGAAAAAGTTATTGGCACGCTCACAACCGATCTCGGGGAACCTAGAGCATTTCTCGACGTAGGGCCAAGGTTGAACGACGGAGGCGGCATCAGTAGTGGTGGCACAGGTGGAACCGCTAATGGGTGAAGTCGTAGAACATGGATGTCCGGCTGGGATTTGGGACGTCCTGCAGAAGGTCCGGTCTTTCGAGTAGACGTCCTAACCCCTGCAGGTAGTGAGGCAACGGGACGAGTGTCGCTCGATCTGCCTATTGATCCCGCCGTTCGTGGTCGTCCACTTGTGTCTATCGAAGGCCGGGGACCTAACTTAACCTTCGGACGACACACACTTATTGAATCCAGATCCCGTAAGTATGGTCTAGTCGACTGCGAAGATTTTCGCGAATCGGGAGGGGAGTACGCTAGCGAGTCAAAGAGGTGCCTTTGCGCAAGGCCATTCGACTGGCTATCACTGCAATTTGGAGGAATAGAAGGCAAGGGTTTATCAGCTCCGGAATCGGACACATTGTCTCGAGAGGGTTGTAAAGAGGTATGAGTTTTAGAAGTATCTGTGGACCCCTGTGCCCTATGATGGTGGCTTGGTACAGCAGTTGCGTCCGATGTCCTACTGAAAACGCTTTCGCGTCGACTTATATTCCCATTGTTGAGATGCGCATATGTTTCTTCCCTGGGGCTGGCACATTCCTCTACATCTTCAGTAATTTCACCCAATTTTTGACGAAGCAGAGAGCTGGACGAGGAGGTCATAGAACCAGATGCGGTATGGAGTAGACAAGCAGAGGAGAGGGCACTCTCTGTCAATTCCGACGAAAGGGCCAGGGAGAAGACGGCATCATTGGGTGTGAACTTGTCCAATATGGACTGGAATTGGACCGTTATTCGTGCTAGAAAATGGCAGTTCAGTTAGTTAATAGCCAATGGAAATTAAATACCAAAATCTAGCTTGAATTGAAGAGATAAGTACCTTGGATCAACCTTGAGATCCCTTCGGGGACATATTTTAATATTATCTTCCTCCGACGATACTGTAGAAACCCGTAAAGGGGGGATATTTCCTCGTAGCCATCGATGGTGATTCTGATCTCAGCCACTCCTCCCGTCCCTCGAGCCAGGAGGGCGACTGTATCCCGGGTGATATATTTGAGCAGAAACCTTATAAAGAGAAAAGGCGAAGGAGGAACGGGTACATAGTCAGCGCAATACAAACTCTCAACACACAGCGCTCAACACAAAGGGGTTTGCAGCAACATGAGGTTGTTGAATCCATCTCGAAGGAGGCATTGCCATGGGCAAAAACGAGCGGGCAACAGAATAGAAGCAGCATCCAAAGGCCAGCAACAAAACAGTTAGGCAAAGGCAATTGGAATGAAACTCACCATCCTCCAGCTTCAGCAAGTGAAGCCTGGTAGGACTCAATGACGGCGGGATCATCTAACCCATTGAGAGACATGGCTGGAGCTGCATTGGAAAGGACGAAGCCCTAGAGAGGCAACGCGAAAAGTAATACGGGGCCCAACAGCAGCAGAGAGCGCGAAGGGTGTTTGCGTCTGGGGATGGGGAGGAGAGAAGACGAGGAGTTTGCGAGGTTGAGCGTTATTTTGGAGAAAACTAGCGTAAGAGCTTACGCTAACCACAACCGTAGCACAAACCCTTGGAAGCACGACAAGACAAAAGGGGGGAGGGCAGCCAAAAAAAAAAAAAAAAAAAAAAAAAAAAAAAAAAAAAGTGAACAAAAAATTAAAGGTGGAAAAGAGGGACTTGGAACAAAATTCTGGAGGAGCCAGGCAAGAAGATCAGAGACATTTAGCTCTGGGTGTGTTATTTTAGAGATATTTTCATTATGCTTTGCTCAGTAGTGGAGACGTTGAGATTGGGAGATCCGGGCGGACAAATCAAAGGCTGTCCTTGGCGGCAGATATGCTATTTTCAGGGGTCAACAAAGGAAGCTCAAGTATTTGCACACCAGGAATACCCCACAGAGGAGTCCTTTTATATATTAAGATCCATATATAGATATATATATGCTTATCCAATTACTATCCAGGTTCTGGTTCTCCTGCCCAAGCCAACAATTCCAGCTTATTCATTTCTTGGAAATTCATAGCCGCTAACTCATTAGCTCGAGGACATCGACATACATCGGCATCAACGTCAATATACTACCAATGTGTTAGAATAGTTTAGCTTCAAATTAATTGCTGACATCTCTCCTATTCCTCGGTTGTGGCACTTTTGCTGCCGCTCAACTACTATTCACTGTTTGGTGCCTTGTCCCAGGTCCAAAAGAGAGGGAGAAAGGCGACCAATCCACCGGCTGTTGTTGTGACATTAGTTATCCGACCACGTCGATTTAGCGGGTGGCGACAAAACCTCCACACCAGAAATCGCTTAACCATGTCTCTTGCCGCAGGAGAGATCAAAACTTTCTTTAACATCCAGCGATCCTATATACTGTCCACCAACGCGGAGGCCCCAGCTTCGATATAACTATATGTATGTATGTATGTATGTATGTATGTATGTATGTATGTATGTACAATGTATATTGACTACGACTTTTTCCGAAATACTTCCATCACAAGGGCGCTTTCTATTGGCGTTGAAGATCTGCATTTTACTACGTTAATTCCGCCCGAATCAATGCACTTGTAGGTTCTTACCAGCCTGTTAAAATCCATCATTCCTAGGCCTATCTACTTCAATGACACATGCGACGGGAAAATCGCTCTTAGTTTTGCACATCTGCACTTATGCGCTTCACAATTTGGAATGGAGTGCTTGAGGTTCCAGGGATAATAAAACCAGCCAAATCTTTGGCCTGGTCCTCGGAGGCCGTTTAGGCACACCAGGATGTCTCATGTGTGTTGATCTAAATGCTAACCAACCCGGATCCTGGTCCCACCCATGTGAAATTATATCTTTAGCTTTCGCTTTCTTCGGCTTTCTTTTTCCGGTTTGCTGCCAAGCAACCAATCGTTTCGTTGCCGATCCGATATGCCATGTGGGGGGTGTTTTTGTTCAATGTTCGCACTCGTAGCAGTGGAAGATCATCACGGCGCAGAGAGAGAGAGAAAATGTATGTATATATGACCGATAGCTAACCCCTCGACAACAAGAAAATCGCAGCGACACCCTCTTCACGAAAAGTTGCAGAACTCGAAATAAAGTCACTGGGAGTTGTGTTGGGAAAAGCCGCCCCCTCCATGCCTTGTGACAACCCTCCCCCTACCGACTGTGGTAACTCCTCCACCTCTCAGGCATAGTTTGTTAAAACTATGACGGATAGTATTTTTCATTTTATTTGGCCCCACACGCCTGCCCTCTGCTGAAGGAGGGATGATAATAATGACAATATTAGTACTGATATCGATTCATTAAATGAAAAACTAAAAAGTCTTAGGTAACTAAGTCGCACTGAGTGTTGTCGTGAGTTTCATGCTGAACATTCATTCCTCAATGCATTCAATCAAACTGGCTAGGTCCGGAAATCACAACAAACTCCTTCTCTGTGGGCATTATACACTACCAGAAAGATGTGTCAGACATCTGCTTTCGGATGCACCTCATGATGTTGGACCTGAAGGCCTGGCGCAAACATATGCCGGAATGTGAACTGTGCTGTGATACATCTTTCCACACATCTGTGATGCAATTTATATGTATGCGAAGAGATAGTTCGTGTGGGTGAGTGGGTGAGGGGGGTTGTTGGAAATCGGGAATTGGGTGCTTGTGCGTCCATTCCCCCAACATACCTGGGCGCAGATCTGAAAAATTTCTTGAAATATTTACATTAGCACCATGCAAACGTGTAGTTCAGATATATACCCGACGAGGCGATAATAACGGCGTGTGACACTCAAAAGCTTAGCAACCCAGATGGTGACGCACCCCGGCGACCTCCTGGATGGAACAGCTAATTCTTCGTGAACAGTGTCTGTTGGTTGAGTTAAATTATACAACTGCTGCATATCTTTCGCTGTTTTCCTTTTTTTTTTTTAAAAAAAAAAAAAAACAAAGGAGGGGGAGGGGGGGAGTCAATATCCTCTTTATTCGCGGTTTCCATGTCCTTTTTCCTTGACGTCCTTATCCAATCCTGTCACTATCTAATCTTTGCGACTGCTTGACAAGTCGACCAAAGAACACACCTGTAGATGAAGTCTGCTTGTGCCTTATATCGCTAATGCAATGCTGTATGAGATGATATCAAAAATTCTCAGAAACAATCATTTCTGAACGTTATACATACATATCCTGGAGCAGTACTGATACGGTATGTTTGAAAGCGCGATCCATCAAAAGATGTTCCCTGCTTTCATAGCCCAGCCACAAGGCCCATTGGTAAAAGACCCCCGATCAGGCGGACAATAAGTTGCAATCCATTTCCTCTATCGCTTCCTACCTAACTAACCATGCTAACAGGGTGGTTTTCTATCCGGTTGTTCGTTCAGGACATGAAAATGTACAACCACGAGCGGCAGGAATGAAATTTCAATCCCAGAAATAAGTTCTTTCGCAGGATAGGCGAATGCGGGAAAATTGAAAACTGTTATGGTAATTGTGATAAGGAGTAGGACACCACAGATGATATCTGCTGATACTCCCGATGTGATCCTCACTCTTTTCAACATGTCGAGTGTAAGATGAAAAAAAAAAAAAAAAACTCAATTGCTCCTCTTTCTTGAGGGAGCGACGCAGAAAACCAAACCCCACCCAAGTTCTCTCAGAAATTGGAGATTGGAATATTCCCAGCTGTCGAACCTCACTTCAGAGTGGCCATGATGAATCACAGGTTATGAAGTTGGTAGGAGCTAAAAATTCGATTATCTTCAAATCCAGCTAACACCTCGTCTTTCCTTCAGAAGTCTTGCTCTCCGGGTATTATGGATGTTAATGATGAACTCCCACTCATCAGGCATTAAATCTCTACATACCCTCTACACACGCGTCAACATTATACCATATAATAGGCACAAAATAAGGACTTTTGCAGGCTGCACAATATTGCAGCTGTGAAAAATCTGTACCTTTATTAATATCGCTGAATAAAAGAATTTCTTCGCCGTATCGACCTGAAATAAGAGTGGAGCTGTTCAAGGGGTTTCTGCGGGGGCAGTTTCTTCAAATGACTGTGAGTAAAGGACAGCCGCTAGTTTAACTTTTAAATACTCGGTTCCTCTTCAAGTTTCATAAGAGTTCAGCACTGTAAACAGGTTTCCGCGGAGTGAATCGTAACTCTTTAAGGTTATTTAAGGTTTGACCCGGCCCGTCCCACACATGAACCACTCGAAACCGAGATTCCAAATCCGAGGATAGTTTGATATCATTTTAGTGTATATGCAGCTCTTTATACGTTGATGTTAATCCCTGGGAAGGTGTTTCCGGCCTTGACGAACATTGGGGGCTCTGGAATTTTCAAGTCCCTTCTAAATACCTAGTTATAATACGACGGCTGCTCTTGGTAGCCGTCAAGGTCATGATGAGAATTCTATGTGAGTTGTCAGCGGGCATCGTTCTTTAATGTTTGCACTATTGCGTTGCAAAATACAGTAAACTCTCACTACAATGAACTTTTAACCTCTATAAAATGCACAAAAATTCGTTAAATCTCTCTATACAACGAATATTCATTGGATTTTCTTTCGTTAAACCGAGTCAAAATGCTATGCAGAACCTTAATGTCAGTCAATCAAAAGATAGCTCTACGCACTCATTATTTGCAAAATCTAGCCCTCAGCAATAAGACCTTAAGACATTGGTAGAAGCTATATAATCAAAAGATCACCCTATCCTCCTTTGCTGAGACCCTTTCTTTATTTTATGATCATCTTGTTCAGACAGTCACTGTTCTTCGAAGCAGAAGCGCTACCAACAGTATATCATTGCACAATTAGACTCTGATGACGGGAGTGATGAGGATGAGGATATGAATATAGAAACCCTTCCACGGATTACGGCTTCGGAGACTTTGAATTTGGTAAAATGGCTTCGTTTGTATGAAGAGCAGCAGGATCAAGAGAGATCAGAGTCTAATTCAACAGCTTAATTACTATGAGAGAAGGTTAGGAGCACGGAAACTTGAAAATCAGGCAGCAGCAGGATATTTGGGCGTACTTTGAACACTCAACCTCTATATAGCGAATTCCTCTATGTAACGAATTGAATCGGTCGTTGCAAACTCCTCCGGCTGCTTTCTCGTTGATCGTTCTTCTCGGGCCGAAGCTCATGTGATATGCCGAATGAATTCACATGATCAACGTCAGATCGAACTGATAAGACAAAATAACTTCAAGGTTCAATCACAGGAACTTGGACCTACCAATTATGCTCACTATGATATCCAGCTCATTTTATTTCTCACTAAAAGAACTAACCTAAATTCCACGCTCCCTCCCACTCCAGACCTCAAATTCAAAATCTCAAAGCCATGCCGCCTTCTCTTCCCCCAATCTCCACACTCCCCTCCCTGCCCGAAACTACCCAAACTCAAGTCCTCGACACCCTCTTTGAGTCCTCCAAAGACTTACATACTATTGCCCTCCCCCTCCTTGCCCATCAAACTTTCTCTTCTTACCCTTCTCTCATCAATGCAGTGGGCGCTCGCATGACGGCTCTCTCCGCAGCAAATTCTTCCCAAGACAGAAAGATTTTGCATGGGATTCTAGGCGCGCATCCTCGTCTTGGGGAGAAAAAGCAGGCAAGCCTTAGTGAGTTGAGTAGGCAAGAACAGGCGGGGTTAAATGCCGGAGCGGGGGAAGAAGGAAAAAAGGCGCAGGATGAGAATGTGAGGAAGAAGGCAGAGGAAGAGGCAGCGGAATTGAAGAGGTTGAATGATGAATATGAGGAGAAATTTACCGGATTGAGATACGTGTATGTGATATTGTTTCAAGGGATAAATTACCTTTTATATATACTTCGTCCTTTCATCACATATGGCAGTGCTAAAACAGTTCGTACAGGGTGTTTGTAAACGGACGTCGGAGAGAGGTCATAATACAGGACATTCGTCGGCGTATCGACAGGGGAGATATAGAGAAGGAAAAAGAGGAGATTATACAAGTAAGTCTCGGTCTTTCGCTGTCTCTTTGCTTCCATATCCCATTTCTATTGAGATCCGACAGTGACAGTGGGTGTGAGATACTTACGCCTTGTGCTTTTTCGGTGAACAACCTAGGCAATGTGTGATATCGCAATTGATCGGGCACAGATGCTCCAAAGCTGATTTCAAGTCAGTGTACAAAGCTACCCACCACGAGTTGTTTCACAACAGTTTAGTGTAAGGATTTCCTATGTGAATATACCTAGGAAGCGTTGTGTCTGAATAGATCTCTTAAGTGACTTAATAATGATACAATGGCCAAGAATAAATAGATAAGTGCAAAACTATCCTTGATTCATAGTCTCCATGATAACAGTCGGACATCCTGAATAACTTACAGCGGTGCAGTGGAATTTATCCAGCATCTTACTATTCGCGACTCAAACGACCTTACAAATATGTAGCCATGCGGATATATTAACGTCCTGTTCATTCGTCCCTTGACAAGAGTGTCTCTAGGGTGTCTATAACTTGATTTGCTGCTTTGGTACGACACATGAACTTGAGGGATCCACCGATATATTGTGATACGGTGCCCTTGAGAAGATAGAATCAGAACTGATCGAACCACATCCGTGGCTCAAATGGTCTAAACGCCCATTACCACCTGGCTATATACAACTGACGTGTTCGTGGGAAATGTCGCTGTCTGTGAATAAAAACCTTTAACACGACAGAGGGGTAGGGTAGATGTCGCAAGACATCATAGATCTATTATTTCTCTGTGGACATGGTTATCAAGCTTTCCGGACCATTAAACCATGATTACGATGCGCGGATGGACATCGTAAATGAATGACATCTCCCCTTCACGGACCCGGTGCTTACTGGGAAAATTCGGAGTCAAATGTCCATATCAAAAATATGATATCCAAAGCAAGCATGAAGAAATTTTGTTTCGTGTGGGAGACTTACGAGCGAAGGGTAATGAGTAACGAGAAAGGGTATTGGAAATTAGTTGTTAGCCCTGGAGGGTCCTGTCATACTAGGATGGAAAGCTAGGCTCCTATTTGAAGGGGATAGAATAGGCCTGTCTTGATTCGCATGTCCAGTTACTGACTTGGTCCTGGTAGCAGATCTCAGATAGCGATAGGAATTATAGCTTGGGGTAGTAATAATAATTGGTTAATTTGCTCACTTTCCTCAAAGATACTTGAAATCTGAATTGTGTATAATTAGTGCCCTAATATAATCCCCATGACAAAAACTTGCATAACTTGACAGCAGCAGAGAGAAGCGTAAATAGAGAGAAGACCAAAACAAAAAACAAAGCAAACATTAACAATTCCTTGAGAGTATTTTTTTTTGGACGACTCAATTCTGTTTATCATGAAAACATTAGATTCAACTCATGGAGGAATGGTGAATTTGAATATAAATAATTAAAAAATATAAAAATATAAAAGAATATGTTGCTCTGAGACTCAAGAATGGAAAACATACAAGGGGTAAGGTAGGGGGTTGGAGAGTGGACATCCCTTTTACAAATTCTTGTCAGGGTGTGGTGATGTCTCAATTTCGATGCAAAAAGGACAGAGGAAATTTGTGGAAATCTGTTGGGGTTTATTTTTAACGGCTAGGATAAGGGAGAGTTTTGCATGTATATGCAATTGCACATAGCATGTGTGTATCTGTCAGCACAACGCGGATGCATGTCGAAGACGACAGAATAACTCGGAAATTGTGGTTGTAAATTTATGTCTCAATGCCATCAGTCTAAGAGCATGGAAAGTATTTGGTTAGAATTGTCGAAGGAGAAGATAATGCGAGTTGAAAGCTTGCATGAGAATGATAGAATTTGGAACCCATTAAGATCGAATTATTGGACTTTGAAAATAATGTTGCTTGTCGCACCCTCTTTGGAGTATTTTATTTCGTTTGAGCTTGGATGGCGAAGGCTGCAGATGCATAGGACGGAGTAACCTGGTGATAAGATAACTATAAAACAAAGGGCGTGTTGACACTTAGAGTCCAGTGATTGAACTATCGAGAGCGGGATATGCAGTATGTGCTTCGTAACAAAGAACTTATCGAAAATTTCCCTTTAGAGAGTTCATATGCAGCCGGGATTCCACAAAATGTAGGTTTCGACAAAAGTGGAGATTGGGCTTTCAGGCCTCCAAGCCGCTGGTCTGATTTTAAACCTCCACGTTAAACGTTACGCGTGCACGTAGAATCCAGATTCAAGATCCTACGTGATCATTTTCGCTCTCGTATTTCCGCTCAATACCGGGAGTGTATAAATGAGACTTCCTTTTGCCGTTCCTATTCCAAACATATCCCAACTGACTCCTCATCCTCGACGGATTCTGTCAGCAGGAACTGAGAACCAAAAATGAGGGAATCAAAACTAGCAATGTCATCGTGATCGTCCACAACCGGCTCTGAGGGCTCGAGAATGTTAAAATCACTGTATACTCGGTAACTTTTCCCGTCGTTGCCTTCCGACTCCCCGTCACTGTCGCTGTCGAAGTATCCATCTTCATTATCGAAGACATCATAATTCCTCAAGTCCAACTGGGGTGGTGGTGGTAAGGGAATATATTGGCGGAGAGATGGAGAGGGAGAGGGAGATGAGTTAGTGTTATAAGGGTTCTTTGTTGGGAAGGGTAGATGATGGTTCTGCAGATTGGGCGATCTCATTGAGGGCTTCTGGCATATCCCTGCTGTCCACATAAAATTGTCAGAGCGCGCCTGGGCATTTGCAAACGGAGCAGTTTCGGTGGGTGACAAGAGGGGATTCTGGTGGGTCAGCAAAACGGCCAATTGTCTTGCTACATCGAACTGGAGGGGGTCATTGTTGTGGATAGAGAGGGCATGTTTTCGGACCCGGTTCATAATAGCGGCTTTCCTGAGCAAATTGCGTCCTAAGGCTTTCTGCTTGGCCCAGACGGCAATTTTCGATGAATCCCGACCGATGATATGGGTTGGAGGGGCAGAAAACGGGAGGCTGAGTCTGGAGGTGACAAATACTAGGCGAAGCCGACGTTTCTTGTTCTGCAGGTCCATGGAACCCTCTCCGTCAACATCGGTAAGTGGCCGTGGACGCTTTGAGCGACCCTGGTCTAGAGAGGGTGGGGTTTGCGGGAGGGAGAAGGACAAATGGCAAGGCATCGCGGGAGATGCGGAGAAAGTGAAGACGTCCATGTGTTGCGGGAGGGAGAGACTTCTACCCTACTGGCCATTCACTATGAAAATACATGGCCCCTGGATTTGTCAATCGGGCGAAAGTGTGTTCCGGAGCAGTCACAGTACGGAGAGCTGTTGACACGAAGAAAACACAGATTGACCGTACAGAAACAATGACTATGTGTGGATAGGACAATTAGAAAGTAGGGGAACGATGTCGCAGTGCTTGTTCATGGATGAGGGTTAGAAAACAGTCGGTCTTGGTCTGCGTGGGATCGAAGAGCAACAGTAATGTGAGGTGATGCTTCTCCATCGAACCGTTCGAAGGTAGCCATCATGACAGAGGAAAGAAACCAGATCTTCCTGGGGAAATCGACGTATCAAATAGGAGCCGATTCAGCAATAATGCGGAGAAGCCGCTAACCAGTTTTTTTCCCTCGTTGCTTTTTACTTGATCAGGCTTTGATATTTCTTTTCTTTTTTTTTTAAAAAAAAAAAAATCCCTGGGCTCAGCTGGGAGGCGATAATTTATTTATATTCTATTTTTTTTCATTGGCAAGAAATGTCTTTTAGAACCACCATCAAGCCAGGATTCTTTCGAATACTGGGGAAATTTCACCCAGGGACACAGGGTGACTGCATCGCGTCGCTTGCTGTGAATGCTGTGCTCTTTGTTGAACGCCTCATCCAGTCCTTACCATTATTCGAGGACTTTCGAGTTTGTCATGATCCCACACCCCCATCCTGAATATCCTTGGTAGTGACGATTCCATGAACAATCCCAATTGACAATCATCAACATCGAGTCGACGTCTCGTTGACGGGAAGCCAAGACATGGGACTGTTGAGCGCTAACGTGAGGCTATGGCGGCCCATCGGGTGCAAGGACTTAACTTTAGACCAGTCACAAAAGGCGTGGAAACGCACCGACTCATCGTCTTGTCGAAAACCACTGAGGCTAATTATTATTGGGGAAACATTTGTCTCTTAGCACCCGGCAACCTAACGGCGACCACTCGAACCACCCCATCCTCGACAAGCTCACCAGGTGACCGGCCTTTTTAAATCGCAGGAACTTGTTCTCCGAATTTTCATGGAGCTATGACCTGTATTGCACGAGTGGGAGCGCCCAATAGGGTGAATGAAGCTGATCTGGGACGGACTCCATCCAAACTAGTGACGTTTTACGTCTGTGATGACGACCTCGTGACCTTCAGGATGGAGACGGATATCGGATGGACTTTCTTGGTCGGATGTGAGGGTCAATGGCGTTTGAATTAGCCAACTAAGAAGGATGCATTCCGCAGCGCAGTTGATCGCCTGTTGATTTTTGGACAACTCCATGCTCTGTATATAACTATGTGAAACTTCCAAGGATAATGCAGACCGTGTTTGACACTCGACACGGGGGTTGTCAATATCAAAATCGAGCCCTCAGCCATGAATAGTTATCTTGAAGCCGCAGTAGAATCCTGTCCAGAAATGAACACAAGTGTCCCTGAGAGAATTGTTGTAGTTAGGTGTTCCCAAACAGAGAAAAAAATAAAATAAAATAAAAGGAAAAGGAAAAGTGGAAAAAGAAGAAAAGAAAGAGAAAAGCAAAATTTACGTTTCGAATCCTCGCATTTCGATACGACTTCGCATTATGCAGACATGATGTCATGTAGAGCAACTGGGGCACTGCTTAGCCAGGCTGCACAAGCGAGGGTGCAAAGTCTAGAGACCTCCTAGCGCAAATTGCAGGATGCTACATGCAGGCGTGCAGTTCCAGGCGGCTTAGAGAGAACTAGACGCATAAGAAAGGGGGATGGATGGAGCACTTCAAACTCAGGGATGCGGCCATCCCTGATAAAACTTTGTGGTGTGTAATGAGAAGCTCTGAAACTTCCAAGCGGAGAGCAAGTGAGATATTTTCCCTGCTTGGATATCTACAGAGCGTCCCATCTGGATTTCTGGTTGCGGGGATCAGAAGAAATCCCTTGTCAACAACCCCTTGCCGGGCCATCTGGAATGCGCCTGCATCTGCTCATATCATTCGTCAAAAAAATATAAAATAATAGCTTCACCCCCCATCCAAAAGTCCTATCCCTGTTGGTGTGGGATGAAATCCCGTCCCTCCGGCACACTTCGTCTAGTTCCATTCGCTCCGGCCCCACAGCAGGGTTTGGGACGCTTTTAGGACTTGGCCTTCCTGACAAGTTGTAATATGAATGACAACAAAGATCGATAATTGTGCCTCGTTTGATAAAGAATGCCAGTCGGAGCAAGAGGTTGGTCGCCTGCTGCTGTCTAATACCTCGCGCTTTGCACAAAAGGAACTGGAAAGATCCAACCTTAGAAGACCGGGAATTTCCACGCATCTAACGGAGTATTGTGAACGTGAAGAAAACGGCGTGCATGGCGCAACTATGCCCAAATATTTGATAAATAATTATGCAAAACCTTTCTCCAGATGCTACATTTTGAGCCATTCATAACGTCTGGCTGGGCTTCAGTGTCCGGAGATCGCCGTGTCGAATCAGCTCCATCGACGGATGGCGTACGGTAGATGAGCGCTTCAAGGATCTTCCCGTGTCTATTCGTGGAGATATTCTTCGTTCAGCTTGAAGATTCTGAAATAATACGTTTCAAGCTTAACGATCACGTAGTTGGGTGGGGAAACGAAGAAAAATTGGGTTCGCGATTCAGCCTTGTCCTTCTCATTCTTTGGTTTTACCCCTGACGCTGTTCCACGGTTCTGGATCGGCGTCTGGGGATATACTGAAAATACGCCGGATGGAGTATGGGTCGAGATTTCATTTTTCTTCCTCTGCCGCTCTGCGGTTTTATTTTTCAATATTTAAGCAAAAAAAAATTCTATTCGCCGGTGTTGAATTTGTGACTTTGTTTCTGAGCAGAGAGAGGGGCAAGTGGACGAGCAAAAGCAGAAATGTCACGGTGTTGTACACGTCTATGTATTAAAGTATCTATAACGCCAGGGAAATTGTTGTCCGATGTAAACATGAGTTTCCTTCTCTTCCTTTCTGGAAATATAAAAATACAATCAAATGCAAAATGCAAAAAGAACCTGGCCCATAGAATTTGGCAATGTTACTGCCCCTCCTCCGTACCCAGCGAAGCTTTCATCTCTCAACATTTCTTCCTGTAATCCATTTCCATTCCGCGTGTACCATCTCACCCTACTGGTCGTCATGCGCCTGTGGACCACGTCCAAATGCGACTGAAATTTTCACCAATCCACTTCACATGGTATAGATTTAGGTGTTTAGTGGTTGATGGTTTGATGGATTTTTTGAGGTGTTATGCCAGGTCTCGTAGTTTTCCATCATAACGCCAACAAACCCAAAGCCTTTGCTGCTCCATGTCTCCAGTAAATGGGTACCTGGCATGCGAGAACGGTTCCATGGAAGTTACATATCGGGATTTCAAAGTCCTCAAATTTCACGAGACAACCTTAGAAGACTGCCCGCCCCCACTCGTATCGCGATAGGATTTATTGTCAAAAGACACCTAGCTGATTGAACTTATAGCATGACTATGCACGCATGCCACGTCTTATTATCGAAAAGCCCAATGATCAGCAATTACTCCAAATGCTCTCGGTAATAGGGAAAATAGAAAGGTGGTCCTTACCTTACTATCCTAACATTCAATCCCGCTCTCACTCTAGAGTTGCGTTCCCGCATGAAAAAAAAAAAAAAAAAAAAAAATAGAAAAGAAAAAGAAAAGAGAAAAGGTACACATTGCATCTCCCGAATGCGCTTTTCAATGAAATCGCCGTGAATCCACCAATCTTCTCCGCTGATACCGCCAGACTATGAATCCCATGACGATTCCTACGGCGGCGGTGCCGCCAAAAATGATCCCGAGAATAGAGCCGATAGAAAGGGAGAGACCTCGTGAGCGGCTGTTGGTGTCTGAAGGGTTACGGGTGGGTGACGAACGGCCGTTACCGGTTGATGTAGGGGTTGGTATCGCGGTTGGTGGCGTGACAATCTGGGAGACCAGGCTGGTGAGATTGATGGAGTTCAAAAAGGATGAACACGCGACGAAGTCCTAGTTAATATTACATGTGTAAGTTGGAAAGTTGCGACCAGCGACGAAAAATAAGAATGATCGAGCTTAGAATTTAAGCACGTCGTTCATTCGTACAGAGAGTTCTACCCACCCCTCTAGTCTGTCCATCGCAATACTGCAACATAGCTATCTGTCCCATAGCAGCCAACTGCGACTGCAAATTGCTAATGGCGCTCGCCTGTGCAGTTGCCATAGCTAGATGTCGCGACGCAGAAGAGAGTGCACTTGTCGCCATCTCATTGGCCGATTGGGCAGATCTCACAAGCGCTCGCAGTGTTTGATCATTGTCTTTATTTGCCTCCTTTGTCGCCTCGTAGCTCAGGGGAGCCCAGACCCCGAACAGAACTGTAGCTGCGACTGTGAGGATCACACAGCCCCAATGGAGTAGAAACACCAATCCGTTCGCGGGGCGTCCGGGCATCTCAAAGTTCTGGGGAAGCTGTCGTTGTCGTGGTTGCAGTGGTGGGATATCTGTTCCTCCCAGCGTGTCGAGGTTTATTGACACTGGGTGGTAGGCAGTATCTGACGAGCTCATTCCTCGATGTTTCTCATGTTGGTGATGGTCAGCTGTCTGTTCCCTTGATTCCGCAGGTGATTCCTGGTAAAAGGAACGCTCGATCGTATCGAGGAGGGATTGTTGAATGGAGGGTTCCGAAGACATATTGATTTACACTGATTCCATGTATTTGTACGTGTCTGTATTTCTTGACATACATGCAAGGCAGCGATATGGAGGCTCGGTATATTTTCCCGTTAGAACGAGAAAACGGGAGCTGGAGAATCGCGAATATATAATCAGACCCAGCCAGGCAGCCAAACAGCACCAGCACACGGGTACTGGCAGCCTGCCGGTCGAAACCTTAACATGCCATAGATGATGGCTTTTCAAGATTCTTTTGCAGCCACTCGAGCCTCATCCTTGAAAGAGGTTAGAGGCTGGTCTCATCGCCAAACCATAGCCACAATGACCAATATCGGCCAATGTACGTCCGCCATTTTTCGTCTGCAAGGCAAAGAAGCACGCACAGTTGATATCTCCACCCTGGCCACATTTTCGCCGTTTCTGGGCCAGCCACAGCAAATGTTGGTCGAGGAGTCCATATGATTGGCATCTCCAAGCCTAAAACACGACGCCAATAATATGGGAAGCCACCTCGCTTGATGAATGAGAACTCAGACCAAAGGAACGCTAAAGGTTTAGAGTTATCATGGACGCGGAAGGACGGTTGATGATCATTACCTGGCCTGGGACATGCCTGTTCACCAAGAGATTGCTGTGGTATCTGTTGAATTAGGAGGTTTGTAGTTAAAGTATTGTTTGCCTCGTCATCACTAGGTGTCAGTCCGCGACGTTGGAGTTTTATTAACACTGTATGTGGCCACGAGTAATCTCAACGTAGGGATATTTCGCGTCGAGAAGAGCCAGCCCAAATGCAAGCACTCAGAATTAAATATCACTCTACTCCGTATCTCAAAATCGGCGTGAACCCGAGTAATATTGGGGGGCCCTACGCTTTTGTAAACGCACCATCGACGATCCCGATCTGCCTGAGCGTAGGTTTGATATCTCCGATTTAGGGCTAGGGGTGGCTCCGTCAACCAACGGAACGCTGAGTTTGGGGGGAAATAGGAGTTGCGGGTAATGTATGGAATGCCAATCTCTCAAATAACTAACGTATAATCCTTTGTCGCCATGAAAATCGCCTTGAAATAATTTGCTTAACACGAACCCACCTATACATTGTTTCATAGATTCAAAACTCCCCCAAGAGAATTCGGGCATATACACCCGCGAAGAAGGAAAATCATATGTATGACAGGAAAATTTGGCTTATGGCCTATGTAGAAAAGCTACAGCCTTCACATCTCTCCATACATAGCTAGTACATTCCAAAAATACAAAATTTTACAACAAGCTATCTCAACCACAAACCCTCCTATTTCTTGCCCTTCATAGTATCCACAAGCACCGCAGCATCAGGGTAAACTTTACCGTTCTTCAACGCTCCCCCAACTGCCTTCCCAACCACCGGCTCCCCCTTCTCATTTCTCGTCAGCTTATTCTTACCATCCAGAATCTCAAAGGTCGCAAGCTTGATCTCCTTTCCATTCCGCGTGCGGATATCAGGGACACCGAAGAAGTTCGCATGGACGCGATCGTAGTTAATGCTGAGCTCATAGTAGCCACGATAGTACGAATCTTGCCATTGCAAGGGAGTGTTGTTCTCGACAAACCGCTGAGACTCCTCTGCTCCTCGGTCGAAGGTACCATTTTGGCCAACAGGACCCGGGGAGGTGACCCCTGTGCCCCCGAGTTCGACGCCGATTGCTCCTGATCCAGATTTGGGGTCATACTTGCCGTGGCCGGTGTATACGAGATCAGAGACATAGGCGGCGTGGGTATCGCCTGCAAGGAAGATAGTGTTCTTGATCTTGTGGTCAAGGATGGTGGAGAGGGTACGGTTTTTGTTGGCGCGGTACCCGTCCCAGGCATCTGCGTTGTACAGCTTTTGTTCATTCTTGCCATAGAAGATGTCGGAGATGAGAAGCTGCTGGCCTACGATTCTCCATTTAGTGTTCCGCTTGGCAGACTCGATGAGCTGGCGGTAGAACCAGGTCTCTTGACGGGGACCCATGAGGGAGCGGGACTGCTCATCACGGATTAGATCGAGGTAGTGTTTATTCCAGGACAGGTCGGTAATGGAGCGGTCATAGACACGAGTGTCGAGCATGATAAGGCTGAATAGATCTCCAATCTCAAAATTGCGCCAGATACGGAGGGTGTCGTCCATATCGACCTGGCGGATTGGCATCCACTCGAAGTGGACACGGACCGCATTCGCTTTGACTTGATCAATGGAAATTCCACCCGCTTTGATGAATGAGTCTTCTGTATTGTTCATAGTGGACGAGCCGGCCTTCCACACATTATCCTCCACCTCTACTTGGAACGCGTTAGGTATTATTACAAGAGTGAGAAGAGATAGGACTTACCATGGTCATCCCAAACAGTGATCCACGGGAAGTGTTGGTGCGAGTAAACTAGATCAGCGTCGGTGCGGTAGCTGGCGTATCTCTTACGATAGTCAAGTCTGTAGAATTTATTAGAGAAGAAACGATACATGCGCATTAACTAGACAGCCGTACAGAGTTTTGATATCGCGATCCGGCGGCTGCGGAATGCGGTTCATGGACCAGCCCCATCCGTAGCCGCCTTACATTCAGAAACACATTATTAGCCTCAGAATAATACAAGTTGGGGCTTCGAGGAGCAGAGTACTTACCCTCTTTGTACTCATAGATATAATCACCAAGATGAAGAACGTAGTCTACATTATCCTTACGAGCAGAATTTCCGTAAGCATTGAAGAATCCCTGAGCTGTCATTACCAGTCAGCCAAACGTCAAAGTTACAAACGACAATTCGGTAGGCGAACTCACGATAGTTTGAACAAGAGAAGACAGCAAGGCCAATATCCTTTTTCACTTTGTCCCGCCTTCTGGGGGTGGTTTTGGTACGTCCCACAGGAGAAGAGTTTTTAGAGTCGCAGACAGTAAATTGATAGTAGTACGTCGTGTACGGCCTCAGACCAGTTGCTTCAACCTACATCACACACAGGTCAGCTTGGGATCGCGGAAACCAGTTAATATTAAATATATAAACATATATGTGCACAAATTTGGCATACCTTCACCGTGTAGTCAACATCAGATGAAGTCCAAACTTCTCCGCCAGTAACCACTCTCTTCATCTTCTGATCCATAGCGACCTTATACTTCACACAGACGGGCGCAGTAGACACGGAAACATATTTCTCATTGTCATGGTCATACAGCGGCGCGGTGCCGCTGACCGTCACGTTGGAGTCGCTGCTCTCCGTTGTGGGGGAGATGCGAGTCCAGAGGATCACGGAGTCCGGGTATGGGTCCCCAGATGCCACATTATGGGTGAAATATAGCTGCTCTGGTTTGAATGGGGAGGTGTGAACATTCCGCTTCTGCACCTTGTTGATGGCAATTCCAAGATCGGGATGGTTGTGGGATGGAGAGCGGTAGTCTGGCAATTGGCATTAGCTTATATCCCAAAGGAAAACAAACTCCAGGATGCTGAAGAGGCTGAATAGAGATGAAAGGGTACAGGTATATAATATAAATATGAAAATGGCATACTCAAATTGGCAGAGAATGAGGCATAGACAGTTAAACCCAGCGAAAGCCCTAACAGACTAATCTTGATAAGAGCCATATTGACCACCGAAAGTCGACTGAATAGGTCTGGAAGGGGGAAAACCGACTACGAAACCAGAATCAAAAATCAATTGACAGAGAGATCTCAGCATCGTTTTATCCTTATTCGTCATTGATCTACCGCTTTGTGCGAGGTCCACCACCGGAATGCTGAACCCCTTGACATCCCGAGAATCGCCAAGCCAAAATTGGAAGCCGAGCTCATAATGCCTCCTCAACGGAGTAGCAACATATTTAGGTCAGTGGGAATCCAGTGCTTATTTGCCAATCCTTTTGCTGCTTGCAAGACCGTGTTTCCCATGTAGTTAGTTATATGACGTGCTTACGTTATGCGGCCCGTTGGGACACACCGGTGCCATGTCCACAGTTCGATGGATGCACGTTTTCGATGCCTGGGCTTTGGGGTGATTGTTGTCTTGCGCTAACTAAGTTGCACCGTTCTATGAGATTTCCCCGCTTTCTCCCCGTCTGAGTGTTTTCTGTCATATCGACTCCCCAGACCCCATCTTGGGGCGTTGATCGCGCAAAGGTATCTTGACAAAGGGAATCACCACGGGATTCTCGGTAGATACCGCAATGCCGTGGCAATCATAGCATCCATCCCTGGTTATTTCTGGGAATGAGGATCTTCTATTTCTCAGAGAGGGCGACGTGCTGTTAATGAGAGAATGCTTTTTGTTCCAAGATCAGCATCCATACTTGTCAATTGATCAGGAGAGATTTTGGCCCCTTCAGCTATCAACCAGCAAGCTCTTTCTTCAGAGGGCGCTAGTTGCAGTTCGTAAGCCGGCAGGGTATTCTGGTTGCGACCTCAGACAGGGGAACAGGAGAAACTGTGCAATCATGGTTGGTCCCGAGTCCATTGCCCCAAAGGAGCCCTGGAAGTTCAGCACCAACTTTCTTGTTGATACCAAGCATGTTCAACATGCAGTCCTAGAGTAATCCATATTGCCCAATGATAGACAAATTAAGAAAGTAAAAGTAGGAATACAAGATCAAAAGATTGAGAATTGAGAGCAAAACTTGGTTGATATGTTTGATGAACAGAGTAACTAACTTGTTAAGCAAGTTAGTTAACTATCCGATAACTCCCCGAACGGATATTCCCCAGTGTGGATCTCTCGATCAACCAACCAGCCAGACATCTATAAAATGGTCTGCAAAAAGATGGGCTTCTGCTCACAGCACCTCGAGTAATAATACAGACACATACGTATCAGAGTGGCTTGGTTCGCCGTTTTCTTTTCTTTCTTTTTTTTTTTTTTTTGGAACGGATAAATCGAGGTTGTCAGATGGTAGAATATTCATGATGAGGATGAGCAATCCTATTTTGACAGTCAAAGAATGCCTTTCCATCATCCATTGATGGGATGGAATTTACCCCTAGTCTTGAGTGCGGGATAGGAAGATTAACTGCCCAAATGTGCTGATGATGAACTATGATGAGCAGAGTGGCGACGACTTGTTAAGATGTAAAATTTCATCTGATGAGACCGCCAGGAAGAGGTCAAATCTCCAACTATTGCTGTTAACAGACCAGTTTAACTACTAACGAAACTAGCTAATCTGCGGTGATGACGACAAAACTACACGCTTAAAAAGTAGTTAACGAAGCCCTTCCCCGGACACACCCTGGCATCCCTCAGGAGTTTGCCCGATCTGCCGCTATGTCCATGACGCAGTGACGCGATGCAACTATAGCAATCCGTGCTCCAGAGAAGTGCTTAATTTTGTTATAATGTTCATGTCTCCTCCACTTCTTCAAATATAAATCCCTAGGCAGGTATTTCTTACATCAGCATTTATTGCAAGCAGGCAACGTAGACCGTGGATATAAATGTTTGATTAGATATAATTAGTTAGCCATAATTTACATGACCCAATCCAACCCAAACACCAACCCATCATCAGAGACTCCGCAACTACGGACCTTATTAGAAATGCCATCTTGCCGCCTCTCATCAGTCAGCCATCCCTTGCATTGTTGGACCTTTGTCTTGTCTGGCTAAATGTCATCTGCCCACAGGTACAATTGATCCTCCTCCACTAAAAAAATATTCCGCCAGAAGCATCACCGCCGCCGCCTCCTCCGACACCACCACCACCACCAGCACTTCCAGAATCAACCACAGCGGAATGAAGCCAAACGAGTAAGTCGGCATGGACTGATTGAACCAGCTACTGCACTATCTATCATGAGAGCGGTTTCTACCTGTCCGTTTCCCCTCTCGCGTTTCAATGCCCCTTCTTCCGATAGCCCACCCCGGACGTGGTGGATGGATACCTTTCGCGTGCCCTGACGATCCCTAACTTGCTGTCATCACAGCTCGTAAAATGAATAAAATGGACCGGAGTGGCAGTCTGCGCAGACCTGCTTTCGGTGGAGGAGGACCTTCTCCCGACGGTAAGAGAGAGGCTTTTTGTTACGTTGCCATTCGGCCCGCCCTCGCATTAAAAATTGTTACTTGACTCTCTATTTTTTCACGTTGCGGGCCAGCTGTAAACCTTTTTTTCCCCCAGGTTGTTCAGTTATGCGCTGGCTCATCCTCCCTGATATGCAATCTTTAATTCGCGACTGCTACCACGTTGACTATGATCCCAAAACCCATGCCGGATGCTGATACAACTTGCGGGGCTTGCAGGAAAACTTTCTGCTGCTGCTGCTGCTGCTGCTGCTAATGACAACGGTCCCCTGCTGCATCGTCCAGAACCACAGACCAACCCTCGGATCAGTACACCTAATGCCGCCGCTAATAGTAAAGATGAAGAGAGTAACGATAACAACTACAACAACATCGGCGACCGCAAGGCCCTGCCAGTGAACAGTCATGCATCTAACACTTCCATCTCTAAGCCGCGGTCTATAGCTACCTCACCCTCAGTGTCTCAGTTACAACTGAAACTCTCTGCGGGCACGAGTACAAGCAATCGCCAGTTGCGACCTCAAACCCCAATCGACCCGCTTTCTCAGGTATGTTTCTGTTGATTGTTCTGCACATGATATATCATATGTTCTCCCCACCAAAGGAGCGACAATACTCGCCATCACTCCTCGTCTATCTACCCTAGCAATCTGTCCTCTTTTTTATTCTTCTGCCTGATTCTCCTCATCCTTCGTTCTCCCCGCTTTAAATGCAACCATAAGCTACCCGAGCTGTTAACGGGAGGATTGTCATGCTGATTATTTGCGTTATCACTTGCCATTCACAAGCATATCCTGCAACGTACAAATACGGAGAAGCCTGCGCCCCCCAGATTTCGCCCTCCTGCAAAAGCCGATACGGAGCCTGGTGGATCAGAATCGCAGCGAACATTTACTATCCAGAAAGAATTGGTGCCTGAAATATTACGAGAAACAAACTTCTCCCAGAAAACCTCAAAAGATAAGAAGTAAGTTCTAAACTCTCCCTTCGCAAGAAAACAGGATCCAGTGTTTCTCCTTGCTTGAGTGGAAAATATGGATGAAATTTGCTGTTCCATGGCTACCTGAAATAGCTTATAAGCACCCATTTTCCAAGAGTCGCTAACAGTATTGTTTTCTCTCCTTATCGTAATGGATTAGAAAGGGAGTTTCTTTTCTAGGCCGTATAATCGGCGGCAAGAAGAAAACCTCTTTCCCCGAGTGGAAAGACGATGACTCTGAAACGGGCGAGATTCGTGCCACCGGTATGGACGCTGAAGTATTCGCTCAACCGATAGGATATATCCCTCGATGTCCTCCGCCACCGAAGTATATCAAAGTTCGTTCGCATTACAAGAAGGACAAAATCTTTGATCGCCTGTTTCTTGCTCAAGAGCTCTGCGGTACAGCTTCATCGGCTACTAGTAAGCTTCACGATGACAGAGAGCATCCCTCTAGTCCAACTAGTTCAGAGGATACGTCGTCGACCGGAAAGGCTATCTGGACGCTTGAGTTTTCCCAGGATGGCAAGTTTCTGGCTGCAGCCGGCCAGGATAGAAAAGTTAGGGTTTGGGCTGTCATTGCATCGCGGGAGGATCGCAAAGCGCATGAGATCGAAGAAGAGGCCCAGGACGATAAGCCATTCATACGACTCAGGGCCCCTGTATTTAAGTCCCAACCTGTGCGTGAATACGAAGGACACACCGGGAGCATTGTGGATTTGAGCTGGAGTAAGGTATGTTACTCTGTAAAGGTGCAAAAATTGGCCCTTATGTATCGAGGAAGTGCTAATCGAGGACCATGAAGAATAATTTCCTCCTGTCCTCGTCAATGGATAAGACAGTCCGATTGTGGCATATAACGAGAGAAGAGTGCTTGTGTTGCTTTAACCACAACGACTTTGTCACCTCCGTTCAGTTTCATCCCCAAGACGACCGCTTCTTCCTCGCTGGCTCTTTGGATACGAAGCTGAGGTTATGGAGCATCCCGGACAAGAGTGTAGCGTTTATTGCTACCCTCCCTGACATGATCACTTCTGTAGCTTTTACCCCAGATGGAAAACACTCCATTGCCGGCTGTCTCAATGGCGTTTACCTTATCTATGATACGGATGGCCTGAAAATACAGTCTCAAATCCATTTAAAATCAGCGCGTGGACGGAATTCCAAGGGCAGTAAGATCACCGGCATTGGGACGATCATCCAACCGCCGGATGATCCCAATGGCGCAGTAAAACTTCTTGTCACGAGTAATGACTCGCGAATCCGTCTCTATAATTTCAGGGATCGCACACTGGAGGCCAAGTTTCGAGGAAACGAGAACACCTCTAGTCAGATTCGGGCCACATTCAGCAGCGATGGCCAGTTTGTTATTTGTGGGAGTGAGGATAGAAAGGCGTATATATGGCCTATCAATTCGCCTGAGAAGGACCCAGAGAAACGCGCTGTTGAGATTTTCGAGCCACATTCTTCTGTCGTCACGACTGCAGTTATGGCGCCGGTTAAAACCAAACAGTTGCTTGCAACCTCTGGCGATCTTCTCTACGATATTTGCAACCCTCCTGCCGCTGCACCGGGTAGCGAAACCGCATCTATGTCATCCAAACTAAATACAGACTCTGGAAGCCCTCGGAGAGACCCTATTCCCTCCACTGCCAGAACGTCAACATTTCCACTTAATGAAATACCAGAGGAGTCTCTGACCCATGCGTCGAAATTTGCTCACCCTTGCGGAAACATAATCATCACTGCCGACTGTAACGGTACAATCAAAGCCTTTAGGCAAGATTGTGGATACAACAAACCACGCAGCGAGAACTGGGCTTCTTCCTTCTCTCGAAAAATCCTAGGTCGAACTAGCTCTGTCTCAACCCGCCACAGCATCGCCTCCTCCTTCGGGAAAGACTCCGTTCACAAAACCCCCTCCGAGCGCATCCTATCATGGCGAAACACCGTCATTAGGACAGAGAACTCAAGCCTGGACAACCTTCTCTCGAGCCTTTCGCTGCGCACCCGCAGCACCTCGCCCAGTAAATCTTCCAAGGTCACAAAATGATAAACCACAGCGGAGCCACATCCCGAAGGGCTCTATCTCAGCGGCCACAGAGACGTCCATATTTTCGTTCCCCCCACCGTCCTGTTATCGCCTAGCCCATCTCACATGAGTAATCCCACTCCCAATCCAACCCCTCTCCCGGCACAGTATCCTCTCTGAGTATAGTTCACAGCCATCTCTGCGCCTGAAAAGGCGTTACAATAAATGCCATCCCTACCATGAACACAATCTCACCGTTGGGCAAAATCGGAGACCAGTGCAGATGACAGAACCGCATTGGGTGGAAGAAGATCAGAGCTGCATGTTTTGGAATAACGGGCAGTTTGCCGCGTTCAGGCGTGGACGAGAATGCGGCCAGTAGACTCGTGTGAGCTGAATGGGCGGCATCCGTACACCCGACTGCAGTCATGGTGGTGGTGGTGGTGATTATTATTATTAGATGATGATTATGCGGAGGATTTTAGTTGCTCTCGCCGTCAGAACCAATTTCCGTGCGATGCGGATGAAGAACTGGGATCAAAAGTTGAATTGCGTCAGGGTGTGGGTTTCCTGCAACATTGATGTGTGATTCCTTTTGTTCTTCTTAGCTTTTCTTTGTCGTTCTCCGGCCTACAGGTTGATGAAATAATTTGTGTGAAAGATGGACAATGTGTGCACGAGCCGTGTACACATTCAAGGATAGTGTACGTGTTTAATTCTGTCGTCCCTAACCCATGCCCTTTTTTTTTTCTTTTATTTCTTTTCCTTTTCCCTTTTCCTTTTTCATATCGATATGGTTTTCAGTTTTGGATTGCATTACAAGGTGGACTAATATGTTTGGTTTTTTTAGATAACTTTTATGAGGCATCTATGGCACTATACAATGCTTTACTCTTGCATCTGTACCAGGAGAGGTTCTTGCTTGTGGCTGAAGCTTATGACTCGCCTTCTTCTGTTTTGTTTTCCTTCCCCTATCATTTCGAATAGAGTCTAGAGTCCTTTTTTTTTTCTGTTAGAGTCTTTCACGATAGATACGTTATTTGTGGGGCGATAACAATCCGCCAGTGATTAGGCATGTCCGGGATGCATAGGTATTTTGGAACTTCATACTTAGCTGGTACATGTACTTCTTAATGGCCTTATGGCGGGGGGAAATATACGGAGTTAAATCAATTAAAGATAGCTTAGATATACTTGTCGGTAAATATAAATATTTAACCCTAAAGAAATCCAAAGCAGTGCTTTATGACTCTCGCTATCGTCAAGGTTGCCTGAGGCTCATTCTCAATCCATGGATGACTTTCTCCCCCACAACTTCATCCACTCTCTCCGTTCAACCTCCAGCAAGCAATTCACTGTACGTCATCACATCTCTCCACTCCGTAACCTCGAGCAAGAAATTGAAGTAATAGAAATTCGGGTATCCACCTGAATCCAGTGACTGACTTCGTCTCATTATAGCGACCCATATATTTCCCAGCTTTTCAACACCACCCGAAATCTCCGAAAAAGCCACAACCCGTGCATTTTGTGTCCGGCTTCAATATCTCGCCATGGTAGCTGTTTGAAATGATTCCTCGACCTACATCATAAATATTGGAAAAAGAAGATCTGATATCTTCACTCGAAATAGGAGGAAACCAGAGCAAGATAAGAACGTCAGAGGAAGCAAAGTGGACGAGAGGAGCGGATCGAACACCAAGAGCGAGAGCACATCAATTTTCAAGAGCTGTAGCCACAATGCCTTACCTATCAACCTCTCAAGAATATCTGGAACAATCAGCGCTCCTGCTGGAAGCATACCCAGATACGGTATGTAGTGTTGCACACAAGCCTAGACCTTTCCAACACCCTTCCTTTCCTTCTACCCACAGCGGCCCTTTTGCATGTCCGATGATTGATATCACTAACACAACGCCTATCAGACCCGAATAACAACAAAATACACCTATCCCGCCTCCAAAAAGTCCCAATCCACCGCGAAATCAAAATCCCCAACAACAGCAACACCTACGCCTTCAGCTACATTAGATCCTACTTCCGCACCAACACCGGCACCAGCACCAGCACCAGCAACCCTAACTTTGAAAACCTTCCACCCCACCAGCGGCATCTGTCTAAAATACCGCACGAACAAAGCTGCAGAAATCGGCCGGTTGATAGCTGGCTTGGGCAAATTGGCAAGCGGCGCGCCGGTTATTGAGACCGTAGAAACGACGAAGGCGGATGAGGAGATGGTAGATGCTCCTGCGTATGTTCCTGTGGCCGGGGATGCGAGGGCGAGCGCGAGTTCTGGCGGGAAGGGGTCTAGTGCGGGTGGAGCGAGTGCTGGTGGTGGAGGGAAGAAGAAGCAAATGAAGAGGAAGAAGTAGGCTATCTACTTGTCTCTCTATATCCATGGAATCATCTGCTGGGGCTGGTTAGGAAGCGTTATAAGAGTCGGAGGGTTAGGTGGCAAAATATAACCGTTCATATTCCGTTCTATTTGAATTTTTTAATTTCCATAAAACGGCATATAGAATATTCCCAGGAGAGAGGTTTTGAGTTAACGTGTAACATCAATAGATACAAACGAGGTGTCTTGATTCTAGGTATTATTTTTCTTGATGTTAGCCATATACAACATTATTTATAGAACCCTGTATTCCTCATTCTCAAGAACAGGTGAGTGAATTAAAAAGCGTATGATTATTTGGATAACTAATGCTAAATACCCTAAAGTATACTTCGCACAAAGATGGGTAAATTCCTCTTCAACTCCACCCATCAGACACTTTTCCCCAATCACTCATGAACATCCTCTAGCTAAATTTAAAATCAATGATAACGCCATAACCCATCCATAAAGAACTGTCGTGAACACAATCAATAAATTGGAGAGGGGAGGGAAAGAAAACATACAACGCAGTCATAGAGTCAAAGTACGAGAAAGGAAAAGAAAAAGAAATGCATGACGATGCACACAAAGGCCACATATAGAAGTACAGGTCAACTCGCAAGATAAAAACCCAACGAGAAGTTATCCGTGCGAGGAAAAAATCAAAAAAAAAAAAAATACACAAAGCTTTGGGTATGCAGTCAGAATCAAGTCGAAGGAAAAGGGTATATGCGTCACGGACGTCAAATACGAGAGAATTGGAAATCTAGAAACAGACTTATCCAACCAAAAAAAGAGAGAGTAAAAGGACAAGTTTAGAAGTCTTCATCGAAGGTGAATGCACCTCCGTTTTCATTTTGCTGTTCCGCATCATCGGATGCAGCCTCCTTCTTGGTGCTTGCCATAACACCAGCCTTCTGGTAGTCACCAACACGCTTCTCAAAGAAGTTAGTCTTTCCAGTCAGCGAGATGTTGTCCATGAAATCGAATGGGTTGGTAGAGTTGTAGACTTTCTTATTGCCCAGAGCAACGAGGAGTCGATCAGCAACAAACTCGATGTATTGGCACATGAGCTTGGCGTTCATTCCGAGAAGTGCGCATGGGAGAGCATCTGTGAGGAACTCCTGCTCGATGGCGACAGCTTCTGTGATGATTTTCTGAACAGCCTCTGGGCTGGGGCGGTGGCGCAGGTGAGAGAAGAGAAGGCAGGCGAAGTCAGTGTGTAAACCCTCATCACGAGAGATAAGCTCATTGGAAAAGGTAAGGCCTGGCATAAGGCCACGCTTCTTCAGCCAGAAGATTGACGCAAAGGATCCACTGAAGAAGATACCTTCGACAGCAGCAAAGGCGACGAGACGCTGTGCAAAGGTAGACTCTTTGTCTTCGATCCAGCGGATAGCCCAATCAGCCTTTTTCCGGATGCAAGGAACTGGAAAACGCGTTAGTCGGGTTACTCTGTTGGAATTAGGTATTAGGATACGAACTGGTGTCAATGGCATCGAACAAATATGTACGCTGCTTTGGTTCCTTGATATACGTATCGATGAGAAGGGAGTAAGTTTCGGAGTGGATGTTTTCCATCATGATCTGGAAACCGTAGAAGCATCGGGCCTCAGGGACCTGGACTTCTCCGCTGAAACGCTCGACGAGGTTCTCATTGACAATTCCATCCGACGCGGCGAAGAATGCCAAGACGTGTGAGATGAAGTATCGCTCGTCATCATTCAATCTATTGTTCCAGTCATGAAGATCTTTCGAGAGATCAACTTCTTCTGCGGTCCAAAACGATGCCTCTGCTTTCTTGTACATTTGCCAGATCTGTGTTGAATTGCGTCGGATTAGTGGCCAAAAGGAGTTTTAAAGATTACTGGTTTTCGCGAGGGAAAAACACTTAACGCGTGACGCGTCGAAGTGGCACGGAGACTTACCTCGTGATACTTGAGCGGGAAAAGGACAAATCTGTGGGGGTTCTCCTGGAGCAATGGCTCATCTGCTTCAAGGTCCTTTGCGGTGGAACCGATTTTCTTCTCTTGCTCCACTGGTTTCACGGGAGTGGCATCTGACTTTTTGAGGAGCTCGGATTCAAGGACAGGAGGGACGGGAGTAACGGAGTTTTCCTTGCCCGCGGGCTCGAAATTGAGCTTCTTAGCAGGAGAATCACTCATTTTGAGGGTTTCCAGAGAGGATGCAGCCTAAGTGAACTCATTAGCTGGACATTCACCGGCTCCTTCGACGCGTCGATTGGAGGGGGGGCGGGTCAGCATACCTGTTTCGAGGGAGTGACCTGAGCAGCCATTGTAGTGAAACGTGCAAGGATATGGTGAGAGAGATTGCGAGGGTATAGGCACGTTTGGTATGGTGGGTGTCTGAGAATGTCTGTGGAGGAGTGAGTTTGCTCTGAAGAAATAACAGAAGCAGAGAATGAGAAAAGCAAAAAAACCCCCAAGAAATACCCAAGCAGGAACGCGCTAAGTCACGGGGCCACGCGAGGCAACGCGACTTCTCAAACAAAGTAATTATGTAACCGCCAAGCTTTTTGCTGAGATTGCATTTCGGCACGTGATGTGGCTGAGCATCTTGGGGAAGGATGGAGCTCGGTGATTCGCTGGACTGTCTCAGACCCAACGGAAATCTTGATATCAAAAAAAAGAGACGCGACAGAAGAAAAAAATAACTCACCAGGTTGCTTGTCCATTATACTCTACCTTGGCAGCCAGCTAATACATTATCCAGGTATAGCTAGTTATAGTTAACTAGTTAAGTACATATTCGATTATATAAGTATGAATATGAGTGCTGGTGCGTATAAACGCGTCAAAGCAGGGCCCAAGAGTGTTAAGAGCAGGACTCCACCACAAGTCAAACTCCTCGTCTGTGATCGCGTCCATGTGGTGCCACTTATGCCGACCCCCCTTCTCCGCTCTGAGAAAGTAGCAGCAACTGGTGCAGCATTACTGTTTTGAGGAGGCGATTTGTAAGAACAGAAATTTCCCCGTAGATCTTGACGTATGAAACTTTCCAGTATGCCTCCTTGAACTGGGGCACGTTTTTCTGAACAAATTTCCAGCAATTTGGTTCTCTGGAACCTCAGATTGCATGCCAGGTGCTATCAGCCCAGCCACAGAATGAGATGTTGAAAACCTGCGGTTACAGACATGTTTTGTTGGTAAGTCACCATCACATCCATCTTCGAATTAGGCCATGGGCTTAGGCCACGTCTTCGGGTCAGGATTTCCACTCTGGGATGTCCTCGGGGATTGCACTGCGAGCGAAGAACCAGACAGCGATTGCAGACACAGCTATATCTGCAGCATACACCCCACCCCAATTGTGCCGAACCCGTTGCCACAAGATTCCGCCTCTACAGCGGTGATGGCGCATCAGATGCTGATGTTCTTTAACTTAGCACGGATGGCACACTCGTGAATTGCGATTCTCCCCATGAAGCTTCCCTCGTTATCTACTGGCATTCCGGGACGGCGTGCAGTGCCACTGAATTGCCAGTTTGCTAGTCTATACCCTCTATAATGTTGATTTCGCCATATCTAGGTCAGTTGGGCCCGATCGTCCAGCTGACACCACACTTCGTCAGCTGTGGTTCGTTAGATATGCAATCCTCTTCGAGATGGTTCTTGTTCCTTGTATGTCAGCACTTGAAGTATCAGACCCTGGTCGTAGGGCTTTTTGCTCTCAACTAGAGCGCTAGCTCTCCCTCCTTCCAGTTGCGACGATGGTTCTGTCAAATTCCACCTGATGGACTCGCTATTAGGAATGTAAAGTTCGTCATAGAAGTTGTGCACATCGAATGTGTCCACTAGTGTGTACACGGCTTGAGCGATGGCAAAAAGTCTACTCACAAAAAAGAGAATAGAGAAATGCATCTGCGAAAAATGTGTAGATAAGGTTTGGTAGAACCGAAAGAGAAGAGAAGCGACAAATTGCGGGAAGCGAAGTTTGGCAGAATCTGATAGAATATTTCCCTTTTGCTGCTCTTATAAAAACAAAGAATGGCTTTCTTCATCGAATGAGTAGGAAAGTTGGGTGGAAGGGGGGAAATACGGCTCTCTTCCTTCTCCGAGAGCTAACCTTCACTCTTGCCCCAGCACAAGTTGCAGTCGTTTATCTCAAATCTCTCACACGTCACCTAAGTAAGGACCTGTGGCGCAACAGTTGCGCGTCTGACTCCAGATTCAGAATGTTATGTGTTTTAAATCACATTGGGTTTAGGCCATTTTCCATGATATGGGATTCGTTTCACCGAAAACATTCGTGGATATTAATGAGATATTTTGGGATACTTGTTGGAAGAGATCTTTTCACTGAATTTGTTGGCCATCTTTCACTTGTTGCAAGCAATCTTGGTTGAGATCCCTTCTTTTGCTACCCAAGCCCAGGTACTTTTTTTTTGGTCCAAGGGCTGAATTTCACTAACGCCGAAAGACGCAGAAGGGATCACGGAGAACATGATGATAGACACTGATGATTGAATTGATGGCGATGGTATGAAAACGAATAGTGAGAGAAGTGATGATGACACAATCTCTCTCAGCTCAGAACATGGGACTGACTGGTTGTCTCCACACCGTGTTCGGGTTAAGACGCTTCTTCATGGTGAAATGGTGGTGCATCACCCCTAATGCATCCAAAACGAAACAAAATTCTACACAGGATAAAACCATCCGCATTCTTCCTCTCAGATGTGAAACATACCTTTCTCCGCTTCTTCACACATTCGCATTTCATATTAAAGCTGTATAAGTGATGTAGCTTTTTGATCTTTGCACCTCGGGAAGATTATGTGGGGCGCGCATGCGATGTCTGTCAGAAACGCCTGTAGAGTGTCTTCTTCATGCTTGGTCGAATATTAGGAAGTAACGCTGCGGAGCTAATCTGCACGGTGATCGTACGAAAGCAATCGGTGTGACATGAGCTGAAGTTTATAATGATACAAAAATTGCTCAACTGAGATGGCGATACAATGTAAGATTGTGCGTAGTTTTTACGTGCCCCGAGCCCCAGCAAACAGATTAAGAAATAGCAGACGGAATTTGAACGATTTTTCAATGATTTTTCCAGCATTGACTGGATTGCGTTGGACCTGTCACCCCGAAAACCATTTTAAGGAATCAATATGGATGAAGAATATCACACCTCACTCTTCGAAACAATTTGTATGACAAAATAGTGGTATTGATGTCAAAAGAAGAGGTCCTAAATTGCAAAAAGAGAAATGAAAATTAGTGGTATCAAAATCTAAATTTAACTGTAATCGCTTAAAAAAAACCCCCGAAAAAAAGAAGTGATATCAAAACCAAGGGGGGAAAATGCCTGATATATCCAAAAAGCCTCTGAACCGAGGTGTGATCGGTTATATGGTAAAGGGAAAATAGTAGACGATGAAATCCACATTCAAGGGATAAGTAGGTACACTTGGTTAAACATATGCGACAAGTGGGTATCTGATTCTTGGGTATAAATGCTTGCAAAACATGAACAATTATATTTTTTCTCTGATGGAGTCTGGTAGGATGTGATCTTCGAGTCTTCGCAGAAGTTTGTTGGTTTGTTCAGCCAAACTCAGTGTCAAAATCTAGAATGATTCGTTAGGTCCTGCGCAGCGATATGAAGATTTTCTGGGGTCAATTGGGGTAAAAACATACCGTATGGGGTAGGATACGTGCCAAGTGGGCAAAGTATCCTTTGTATATGGCAAGAATGCCTTCTTTAGTAATGGTTTTGTAGAGGCAGTCGAACACTCCCTTATAGAGGTTTCCGGTTTGGTTATACATTCGTGACATGATGGTATCTAGAAAGCGAGTTTAGTCAAAGCAAACATTCTAAGTCTGCACAGAAAACTCATACCCGGAGGGTGCATGACGCAGCAGACGACAAAACCACTGCACGAGCTACTTGTCAGATGCAAGGCCGGGCCATCTTCCATTCCGAGATGTTTAATTAATCGCCGTTTCGCGAAGAAATATGTAGGAAGTTGTACGGAGCTACCAAACCCGGTACGGACCATCGCAGCGGTGACGCCGCGATATAGACCTTTCACACCCTCAGCGGCATGGATTTGTCGCAGTCCGTCCCACGAGTTTCTATACATATGTTGTGTTCCCACAGGAAGGAATGGGGAATAGGATTGGAGTCGTGTTTTCACCAGGAAAAACGGGGAGCCAGCCGCAGCACCCAATACCCCTGAAGCAGCTCCAGAGAAGACATTTATGCCGAGGGATTGGCGACTTGAGTCTTTGTAAATCGCTCTGGTGATCCCTACCCGCAGCGGTTCATAGAAACCAAGACGACAGCCATTTAGGAGAATTTGATAGATATACTGTAATAATTTGAGTAAAAATTTTGCCAGCTGGAAGAGAAGAGAATTGCAATCGGAATATGGAACTTACGGCTGATCCGATACCTCGGAAGAGGCCCCGAGGTCCTTCATTTTGAAGAATGACCTTGACGCCGTGGAAAACGCCCTTGTATTTCCGGACTGCTTCTTGCTTCGATTGAAGTTCTCCTTGCAGCTGCAATCTTCATGATGTTATCAATAAAATGTGGCCTCCCGGTATCAATCAGGGTCGCATCCTACCGGATCTTAACGGTTTCGAAGCTGTGTGTAACTGTTACCGCACCACATGCTGCCAGACCTCCCGCAATAAATGCTCTGCAACACGGACCATTAGTTAGAACAAGGTATCCTCTTCCACCGGAAGTGTGGAAGCCTGCTTACCCGGTGGTGGTGGACATTTTGTGTAATGCAATGGAGAGTCAAATCTATAGGAAACGAATGCGCAAAGACGAAAAAGGAGTGAAAAGAATGAGGAGGGAATCACACACACCAATGACCAAACCGGTGCAAAAAACAAGAAGAAGAGGAGAAGAAAGAAAAGAAGAGAGGGGGACGTAGAGCCAGAAGAAAATCATGGGCAATGGAGCAGTTGTCCTCTGCTCTGCTTGTTCTGCCGCCAACGAGAGAGAAGTGTGGCTCTGATAACGTGACCAACCAAAGATTTTTTGCTAAACTTAATTATTTATATTAAATTTAATAAAAAGATTTTTAATTAGCTAGTTAAAAATTCACTAACTATTATAATATTATATTTTTAAATGGTTTATTTAAGTAAGTTTTCAAATTTTTATAAAATATATATTTAAAATATATTAAAATACTTTAACTTTATATTATTTTCAGAATAATTATCTATACTTTTGATAAAAATTGTTTTGATTTATTTTATTATTATTTTTATAGAATTAATAATTTTTAAAATTAAATTAATTAGTAATACATTTATATAAAGAATAATATAGTGAATTTCATATTTGTTAATATTAATAATGTAATTTACATCTTTTTAAAAGAACATTTCAGTTTACTGGAAGCATTTACACTATGTTCCAGAGAGTTGTGCCGGATCAACTTATTTCCGAAGGTGGTCTTACCGTATTGATAGACGCGAGATGAAACTTCAAATTAGGAACGACCTTGCAAAGACGGCTAGGAACTGGGTTACCACCCCGATGTCTGGCTAATATACCGAATCCATATCAGTGGTGGCATTACGGTCAATTCCATAATCCCCAATTTAGATTCTCTCCGCAATTGTCTGTTATGGCTGAAGGTGGACCGCTTCCTCCCCAACCCGCCGCAAAGGTATCGGAGGTAATCAAGAATTACCGGGCTTCGAAGGTGAGCACAGGAGCGAGATATCATGCGATCCGTGTGTATGTATATCTGCTAATATTCTTGTCTTTCATCTAGTGTTTTCGTGGAACTGTCAAGCAAGATGGACTTCCAAGTAATATTACATCCTTAGATTTCGACGACCAGGGTGACTACCTGGTAGCCGCTGGGGACGATGAGGCACTACAAGTGTTCGATATAAAGGAAGGGAAATTAACTAAGACAGTTCCAAGTAAAAAATATGGAGTGCATCTGGCAAAATTCACACATCATTCCCGTCAGATTCTTCACGCTAGCACAATGGTGGATGGTAAGCATTTTTAGGGCGTTGTTTATTTTAGAAGTATGTGTCTGACAGTGTGATATAGATTCGTTACGGCTTTTAGACTTGCACAACGAAAGCTACCTTCGATACTTCTCCGGTCACACTGACAAGGTTACGTCCGTTGCTGTTTCTCCGGGAACCGATGCGGTTTTGTCATGCTCCAAAGATGATACTGTTGCACTGTGGGATCTAAGCTCAAGGAATGCGCAAGGAAAGCTCAAGCTAGCCACCCCTTATCTCATTGCTTTTGATCCGTCTGGTTCTGTCATAGCTATAGCTTCTCAGTCAACATCTTCGGTGCTACTATACGATTTCAGAAACTATGATAAACCCCCATTTGCGACATTCGATCTTGCCCCCCATGAAGACAGATTCACCCCTTCTACTAGGGGTAGGGCGTGGACGCGACTGGAGTTTTCTAATGATGGTAAATATCTCCTTGTAGGAACAGACTACCATGGACATTTTCTTTTGGATGCTTTCGAGGGACATGTGAAGGCATTTTTGATTGGTAAAACTGGAGCCACGGGGCGTGCTGCGCCGGTGTCGGCTTCGGGAAAACCGCTCGGTCAAGGAGATGTTTGCTTTACTCCAGATGGGCGCTATGTTCTTGGCGGTACTGGCGACCAACCTGATACTTTAGTATGGGACACTCAACAGCCTCCGGATGCGAATTTATTCCTTAAACCTGCTTTTCGCTTGCCATACCGTGCCCGTTCCGTTATTGTACAAGCCAATCCGCGATATAACATGTTTGCAACGGCAGACAAGGAGATCACATTCTGGCTCCCAGATGATAACGCGAAACCTACAGAAAAATGAGGTATTCAACAATTCGTTTAGTAAGACTATCTGAAGCGGATAGGGCGGATTGAATTCCGTTTTTCTGGGCCGGATTGATACCAGGACAATGAATCCAGCCTCCGATTCAGGCTACATCTAGGTGCCGAGGGGCTCCGCCACTCGTGTATAGCGTCATTCCCTCGGACAGGCAATAGGAGGTATAACGGTTCTATTCCATTGGGAACAGCTATTTAACTCTTCCTATTGCTCTCCTTGCCAACCAAGCTCCTTGCCGTATCACAAACCCAAACAAGCGGGCCTACCAATTCATCATCGCCGTTTCTGTTCTCCTCGATGAAGACTTCTATCTGTTTGGCCACCGTCCGATTACTCGAGATCGTCGTCCGGCCAGATGCCCAGCCATATAGAAACACACTGGTGTTGATATCACTTAATCGACTCGCAATTTCGCTAGCCTGAGGGGGCAGGATCCCGTCTTTCCAACCCCGTTCGATTTCAGACTGGGCATTTACTAATTTAATTGGAATGTTCCAATCCATTGGAACTTTGTGATCCGATAATTTCTGAAATTGGGATATCAACTCCTCTCTACCCAACTTTATATCCGTTTCACCCATCATCAGCTTCTTCCTTTGCTTCTCACTCGCGGTACCAATTGTCTCGACAATTTCGTGCATTCTCTTGGCGGCTTCTTCAGTACACACCAGCTCCCTATTGTACATTGCCGGCCAAAGTTCTGATGTTACCAATGGCTGTTTTGCTTCGAGTTCAATCTGCCGGATAATTGCGGGATGATGGATTGTTGATGGATCGATGTTATGGAAATGTGATAGGTCAGACACCAGAGCTAGGAGCAAAGTGCAGTCGACATTTAAGGTGGAGCTCATATGTGGATGGGGATCAGGTAGCAAAGTCAGAAGTATATCCTCCATTGTTTTGGGTTTTTGGTCGGCATCCTCTGTTCCTCTAGAAGCTGTCCAAAGCTTGGACCCATTTTCTGGGTCGCCAGCACACTCCACTGTAACACCGACTTTTCGAATATCATTAATAATACTATCAATTTCTGGAATCTTTCCCTCCACAATTTTGGAGAGAACGAAACGAATCCGAGGATGCTTATATCTAACTCTTACTAGAGCTGCCGCTTTTTTCATATCCGTAGCAAGTTTTACCAATTCGATGGCATTCTCATCTTCATCGTCGCTATCGTCATTTCGCAGCCTATATGTTCCAGCATTGTGCTCCTCAAAATCGTCACCAGCCGAATCACTTCCCATCTCCCAACCCAATTTGGCCAGCTCGTACAGTAGCCTGGAAGGCGTGATATTGGACACTTTCACCCACTCCTCTCCATTGTCAGATACTATATCCACCAGCACACTTCTCTTCTGTAATCCATCCTTGTTCAGTCTCTCATCGATTTCCTTGTGGGTATCTGCTGAAACAGGTAAACCCTGTAACGAACGTTCAAGATCTGTGCTCAAAGTTGGAGTGTCGGTCCGTTCCGTCACATCTCCAGACCCATGCTCGCTTTTAGATTTATACAAGTAAAATCGCTTGTAGAATGCAACCAGGCCGGTGCAGGCCGTTTTTGCCACGCTCCACACGGACGAATAGAACTGTAGATTTGACGACCGTAGTGAGTGTAGTACCCGTTGCTCTTCCTTATCTTGACCCGCGTCATAATCATCTTCCGGACTGGCATCTCTCGGTATATTCGGCTTCGTCGCTAGTTCCGCAAACTTCTTCAAAGATTTTAACTCGGTTTGCACGAGGGACTTGAACTGACGTAGTTCGATTGCGTTGGGCTTATCGATGGAGGCAAGATACAATTGTAAGAATGTGATTTCAGATAGAAGTGCGTTGCATTCTTCGAGTAAAGACGCAGCAAGGGCTTTACTGGGTTGTGGCGGGGTATCGGTTGTTTCCCCTGCCATTGCCTAATAGATTCTCCGTTTTTGAGGATGGGGTTAAAGAGGTAATATGGGAACAAGGAATCAGGAGGTGAAGGAGGGGGATACTGAAGATCAGGCAAGTAAGTATAGTATCCCCCATGGACGTATGATGCGGGGAAGTTGGGATTACATAAACGCTATGTTGAGCTTCCAATGATATTATACTATGTCGAAGCGCCCCCTCCGGCCCATCCGTGTTCAACTTCACATCTCTTCGTTACCCAGGGCTGGTTCAGCTTTAAAATCAATTTTTCATTATCTGAACTTCTAGATAGATCAAACATATTGTAGAACATGGGGTATTTCCATAATTTAACTGGGCATTTATACCAAGAAGGTCCGCCAGCACACCAGAGAAAACATGAGATGTCAAAATCCAGGAAGGTGGACAGATTCATGGTAAGGGTCCTGTATGAATTCATCATAGCAAAAACAAAGCAAAGCCTCTAATGATAGAATAACCTGGCTTGCAACTGTATAGCTGTGCTTATTGTGATATGCAGGGCGAAGAGATTCCAGGAGATTCTGTAACCATTAGAAGATTGGATAGCAGGAGTCTCATGAATCAATGTCCACGGGGCAGGGAAACAGAACCAAAACAAGAGTACACAGAGAGCGCATAATACAGAAATGAGAAGAAAAAGTACATAAATTATCTAGAAACGTTTGCAGAAACATAAAAGTATTAAAAAAAACGCCGTTCAGCAAACCATGTCGACTATCGATTTGGAAACCCTCGCGACGGAGGAAAAGAAATAAGCTCGAAAAGTCTCATTTTAGTATTAGTCACCGTCTTTTTGCACTAGCCTTTTTCTTTCAGTAGAATTACGGGGTGATTCGTCATCCGACCATCTATCTCCGTCTTCTCCAACAGCAAAAATAGTTTCGCCATCGAGGGACTGTCGGCTTGGTTGAGGAACCGGTTCCATAGGCTTTGGCGGAACAGGGGAAAGATCCCTTCCATCGCTACCACCTGAGCCTCTTGCGCCACCTCCCTCCTCCTCGTCGATTGAGCTGCCATAGGAGCGAATTTCGAACCCATCATCATCTTGGGCAATCTGTAGAGACGTTAGATGCTTGTAGTAAAAGGGGTGAGGATAGGGAGCTTACTTCGTCGCTCATTGCGAATCGTTTGTTATTTGCGGTTGGTCTCCATAGGTATGCAATAAATGCAATATCAAATAGATAGACGATATTGAGCCAACCATCCAGCACAAACCACCTCGATTTCCAGTGGTCCGGTAAGAAGTCGGCGACGCTTCGACTTGCAAATACAAAGGAGTTGATGAAGAAGAAACCGAAGATGACAATGACACTGCCTAGGATGCACCACCAAAGCTTCTTGTACATCATAGCCTTGACAGATTGCTTCCTATGGATTAAATCCTTCATCGTTGCGCCCAATGAGTTAAGCGTCCAAACATAGAACGCTGTTAGCGTGCCTGCAAGGGGAAGTATCACCAGGAGAACCAACGGTCCAGCACTGTCTGGAGTGATGGACAAGCTAGCCACGGCATATACGACACCGAAAACGAAGTGACCAATTGCGAGGAATCGCACATAAACCATGGTGCGTCCAAGGGACGGCTTCACAACACCATAGCCCATGCAGACGATAAGGAGTAAGAAAAACGAGAAAGAATTGCGGCCAGCATTAAGGATGGCAATGATGATCATAAGGACCTTGGCGACTGCATTTGAACCGTGTCGGTTTTGATAATCTGGGAAGACGTTAGAAGAGACATGACGGAACGAATATGGATGCGTGCTAACCGTAGAAGCCCCAAGTCATGAGTTGCTCCACGATGAGAAACACGATAATAGCGGTGATGTAATTTTGGACGGGTACTTTCGTACCGTTAGCAACAGAATATCAAGCTCTTGGGGTTTATGGGTGGAGAAAAATTTAGGACGAACAGATATCATGACGGTTCTGTACATATAAGAATGCCCAAAATCTGATTTCGTTAGCTTTACAGCATATAAAGGGGTTTGCCTTGCATGGGAAACATACATTCCAATTACCGCGTACACTATCGTTAGAGCCCCGTAGAATGGCAGCTTCGGGATTTGAGGAGCTGACAATTCTCCATATGAATTCCTAAACGTCACAACCCCTTTATAGTCATCGCCGGAGAAGCCATACGTGCTCACGCAATAGAACCCCGTGCGCACGACAGGGTAATTGATGGGTTTGGGATTCTTTAAGTTGATTGCCATCGTAACGATAGGGGACTTGGCTAGTTTCGTCGCGTTCTCGGCCAAGATGAACGAACCCAGTTGCTCTTGTGTGCATAGCTTGGCCGCGATATTTTCTTGGTCGCATATCGGTTCCTTTTGCGTCTGGGATAGGTTAGCAGTTGACGAACGACTAAAAGGAATCAAACATGCAACGGCGACATGCCTTGTCCCGATCACCCGCAGGATATCTCCCAATAAGTCCTTCGTCTTTCCACTCAAATACCACCAAGCTCACGAGATGATCTGATTCTGGATTCATTAACTCGCCCTTTTGAATTGTAACTAGAATGAATGGGTCCTGGCTTCCTCCCCAGGCTTTCCGGCTGTACATTCCCGAGCATTGTTGTCGATTCGATTCATCTTGTTTCTAGGAATTTAACCAGTGTGATTAGTGATACGTATTTGTTCCATAGGTGGCTACTCTACTTACCAATTGCATATCATTTGCAAGCACTCCAGCCGCAAGCAAGCCCGATAGGCAAAGGGAGAAGCATAACCCTTTCATTGTGAGTTGGGACGGAGCTGGATCCTAAAACACACCACCCCTCAGCATCTGGCAGACAAGTCCTGAAATACTGTGTGAAGTCCCAGTATTTATGCAACTCTTAATAATCAGTTATATATTATTAAACTTTGTGATTGCCATTTGTTGAGAGAACTGCTTGATTTGTATAACTTCGTAATGCCCAAAGTTGATGTCTGTCTTCATGCTGTTGGATGATTGTTGACCCTGTACAAGGCTGATTCAAGGCTAGGTCAGGTGACCCATGGTCTTCTGGGGGAAAAAAAAAACGAGTCGAATCGCATCGTAGCAAACTCCCCGATATTATATTTAAGATTTTATTTGATACACCCTACACTCCTTTAATGTGTATCCATTCGTTCTCTCAAGTTGTCTGAACCGATGGCATGAAGGGACAATCTATGGATATTTGTATGGACTGCAAGGTAGCGTCGGTCACCCAGACCGTTCGCAAGCGGGAACTCTGTCAGTAAGTACACCTCATAAATGCATATATTTGTGGAGCTGACTGGGAGTCACTCAGACAGTGCTTTATTCTGTTTATAGGATCGAAAGTTGTGAAGCGCATTGAGAAATATCGCCCACAAAATGCCCCCAAGGATAGACAAAGAAAACTCCTATTGCCTCTATCATTTGGTGTTTCTTCCTCTTCATTGCTCCATATCCTGAATCTTCAACTTGAGCGGCAAATTTCAAACGGTATAGGACGTCGTGCCTACGATATTCACGTCTTGAACGTTGCGGTTTATGGGCAGCCTGACAGCGGCAGGCTTGATTTATTTCGCGAAACGTATCCTCTCCATACATATTCTCAAGTCCCCTTACATTCGATCTTTCAATATGACACAGCTATAAAGGACGTAATATCAGAATACGGATGTCCGGAATTCGTGGGCGATCCGTCAATGACCGACGCAGAACTCCTAAACCTCTTCCTGTCGTCTCCTTCGTCGGCGACTTCACGAACAGACATCGGCGCCATTATATTTACAAGACTTGTCGTTGCCTTTGCAAAAGAACACAATTGCGATGGAATTTTATGGGGGGATTCTGATAGCCGGCTTGCTTCCAAGGCTCTGTCAAATGTCGCCAAAGGCCGTGGCTTTTCCGCGTCTTGTGATGTCTGCGACGGTATGTCTCCGTGGGGCATCCAATTCAATTTCCCCCTGCGAGATTTGTTCAAGTTTGAATTATCCACATATGCCTCCGTGGCACTTCCAAAATCACTTATCGTGGCAGACCCTGAACGTCTCTCGATGGATAATTTAACTAATAAGAACATGTCTATCGAGAATCTTCTTGCCCACTACGTCGAGACGCAAGGCGAGAAGTATCCTGGCATTATGGCCAACATTGTTCGTACAATCGATAAACTTAATGTTCCACCCGGTGATGCTGGCTCAAAGTGCATTTTATGTAGCATGCCGGTTGATAACAGTGGAGAGGACCCTGCAAACCCTGTGGGAACGGAGTGTTCTCAGTATGTGTTGAAGGATCACCGTGAGCTACCTATTACCGGTACGCTTTGCTATGGTTGCGCGAGGTCGCGTTTGGATATTTCCAGTCCGAAATTTGCTCCATCTTAAATTACTGGGGGACATGTATTGTTTAACACTCTGTTCAGAGGATTGACTGACACAGCAGCGTGCTTCTTCGGACTTCATTTGATTCGAAGCGATGATGTGGGAACATTTGGCTCTTCTTATACGACGCAACGAATTATGGATTAATTAGACGTGAAAAAAGGGTATTCGGGTACACAGATTCAGTTTGATTGGAAGAGTGCGCCTGCGCATATGTCGGAAATTCCCCCCGACGACAAGGATGCAGCGCAACAGTGATACCTGTCCTTTAGAATTATAACCTGGACACAGATTTAGAATAACGTGTTGTGAGACCACATTCTTATTCAGGCGGCTTCTACTGAGATAATAATGCTGCCAGTAGGTGAGCTTGGCTGAATTTTGATGCTTTTATGTGTTCATGATAGTACGAACGGCGCTATTATGGAAACAAGGATACCACAAGCTATCATTGTTTAGATACACCTTGCTGAAGTTTTCCTTGTTGAGATACCTCTCTTGGAACATGCAAAATCCGTAACGCTTGTAACGATGTCAAATAAAATATCATGATGTTAGTGAGATATTAAAAAGAAATATGTAAAATGCTAAGTTCCATCATTTCCCATGGTAATGCTAATGCAAATGAGGGTATCTGAAGAGTAAGGAGAAGAAAAAGAGGGAACATCGAGTTACATCCTGCCCATTTCTAGATCTGGTTCCCTTTTGCGCCCAGGGGAAGAGATAGGGTTCCTTGACGATTTGTCAGCGTGAACTCGTGCAGGATTCCTCGATGGCCGTTCTGTTTGAACACGGGCAGGCTGCGGTCGAGCCGGCGAATAATCTCGTGGCGGGGTAGTCTGTCGTCCTGATCCTCGCGTGTTCAATTGTCTCTCCGGACTTGGATCTGTTCGCCGCTCATGGAGCCGTAACCCTGATCGCTGCAGGTTCTCATCTCCCCGTTTCTTAAGGAACTGTTCCAGAAGGACTGCGTTTCGGGTGTTGCACTTATACATAGCGTCCGCAATATCGCCGATGAAGGGGATCAAGCCCACGACAAAGTCGAAAACAACATTCAAAAGCATCCGCATTCGAACACCAGCGGGGAGACCACCTTCGACTTTGTTACAGCTCGCCACCACCATCAGGGCCATGAACATATCGAGCGCATCGCCGATCCTGATAAAAAAAAAAAAAAAGAGCTTCTGTTAACATTGTTTTTGTCCGTGACGGAGGGCGGAATTTCAGGGGAAAAATTGCACATGCACATACGCTGGAACTAAGCCTATGACACTGCTCCACCCGAAACGTATTCCGCAAAAATTGCAAAGAGAGAGGTCCAATCTATATGCGCGCCGTTTCACTTTTGTCAACACCTTCGCATCGTGGGTCGATATGCCTTCCGGTGCGGCCTTTCGCTTCTTTTCTGTTGTCGGACGTCCCAAGAGGTTTGTCGCGGGTACTGATTCAAAGTATGGATCCTAGTAGTTATATAGATCGAAGTTAACGGGGATTGATTTATGGCTTAAATGATAACTACATGGTAGGGGTATGTTTCTGAGCTTACATCTTGTCCAAATCTATTTTCAGCTGACTCCTTCAGTAGCTTTTTTGAAACTATGCCTGCAACATGTGCCGCCATCTCTGCAACAACAGGGTATGATTAAAACTAAAAGGGGAGAGTATATTTTGGTTAATGGAGATTAATGTGTATTATTTGGGTAGAGTAAAGGAAAACAGAGGGCTGGAGAACGGAAAATTGATATAAAAATTGAACAAGAAAAATGAAGAGAACGAGGGAAGCATTCGACTCCAAATAGAAGAATTAATAGTAATGCTATTTCAGCTAATCATCAAAGGAATGAGATTGAAAGGACTGGTTTTAGGGTTTCGTGCTCAAGGGAACTGAGGCGACCAGTAGATAGACAGTCGCAGGTAAGCACATCTCTGGTTTGAAACAAAACAAAAGAGAATCCAAAGGTTTCTTTGGGAAATCCTGTGCTATTTGTAGAAATACCAGGCTAATCCAAAACATCAATCCCAGCATTCGGCCTGTCATTGTCATATAGACCCCTTCTGCTGATCGCATACAACTGTGTTTGTTGTTTGTTGGGCGGTAAAAAGTTGGAAGAAGCTTGGTTTCGGCGCCAAAACGTCCTCTGTAATTATGCCGAAACGATGACGTCACTAGATTTGGTATGCAATACGCAACAAGTACCAAAGTTACAGTACACAAATGTCAGATGACTAATGACCTCCTCAGCCACTTGTGGCAGTGCAAAATACGGCCCAAACGTTGTCCAGCCAATCAAATCGCGCGTCCTTCGTCTGCGTCAGTCCCAACTGCCAACAACAACCTTTGAATCTGTCCGAGATAATTCACCTCGCACCAACCGCTTACTATAGAATCTGTGATTCACTTGGGATTCCCGGGTGCCCAACTGCTGTGCCGCGCATATTTATCTCTTAATTAAACTTTTGGCCATTTTCCATAACCTTCTTGGTTGCTCTTCGTTCTCCCCCATTTTCTTCCTCTCTCATTGCTCCAGACGCGATTGGCCGGATTGGTTGCAGGCAAGACTGGTGGTGAAAACAGACTGTGCAGGCTTTTCCCTGTGTATTGCCATGCCCCAGTGCTGCATAAATTATGACAGAATCAAAAATGCGCTTGGAAGACTGTGGGTATAACCTCGTCCTGTCTCTCCCATTTCGGAGGACCACGGCAGAATTTGCTTTCCTGCTGACAGCATGATTTCTATCTAGGGTTGGATGACCTTTGTGTCCGTTTCATTGTAAATCTTCCACGAGAGGAGTTGGAATCCGTTGAACGAATTTGTTTTCAAGTTGAGGAAGCACAGTGGTTTTACGAAGACTTCATCCGACCTCTCGACCCCAACCTCCCCTCCCTAAGCTTGCGCGCCTTCGCACTGCGCATCTTTCAGCATTGCCCGCTGATGTCGCAATGGTCTCATTACCATCATTCTACTGCGTTTTCTGAATTTTTAGCGTACAAGACTCGGGTTCCCGTGCGCGGCGCGATCTTGCTCAACCAGGACATGGATGAAGTTGTTCTTGTTAAGGGATGGAAGAAAAATGCTAACTGGAGTTTCCCTCGCGGTAAGATCAACAAGGATGAGAAAGATTTGGATTGTGCAATTCGAGAAGTCTACGAAGAGACTGGCTTTGATATTAGGGCCGCCGGTCTTGTTAAGGACGAGAAGAAAATCAAGTATATCGAGATTCCTATGCGTGAGCAGAACATGAGGCTGTATGTCCTCAGAGGTGTTCCAATGGATACCGTTTTTGAACCAAGGACAAGGAAGGAAATCAGCAAGATTCAGTGGTACAAGCTTTCAGAGCTCCCAACACTCAAGAAGAGCAAGCTGATTGAGACCGATGGGCATAACCTTTCCAACAAGTTCTATATGGTTGCTCCCTTTTTGGTGCCTCTGAAAAAATGGATTGCGCAGCAGAAGCGGGCGGACCTTGCTGCCGCACAAAACTTGAATTCCAGTGCAGAGGCGATAGCTACAGATGGTCTTTTGGTAGAGGAAGATGGTCTTTCTGCCAATGAGGCTTTACCAAAGGAGTGCGCCAACGAGGCCCAGCTTCCTAGTGACCTTCCCGAGGTCTCTATGGCCCAAGATCCCTCCACTCATCTAAAGAGGCTTCTCAATATCAGCACCGGATCCTCCTTGCCAGATGCTCCCACCCCACCCCAGCCTCAGCTTATAAACCCGGACTTACCAAAGGGTAGTGCGCTTCTAGCTTTGCTGAGAAGGTCAACAGACACTGGTATGGAGTCTACTTCAGGGAAAATTGTAGTGCCGACCTCTCAGCCGGCGTATTTTCCGAAGGACATCATGCAACAGCAAGGCCAGCATCGTGCTATGGCTTCGCAACCTAATTATTCTCAGCCGCCAGCTCCACCTCACCACACCGTAGCTCCCATACCACCCGAACCAGGAGAACCCAAGAATCAAATCCTTTCGAAGAGCATGTCTTCCTCGGAGACTCCCGGTCAAGTCCCGTTGACCCCATTCCCATACCCTTTTGGTCATCCTCTACATCGTCACCAGCAGCCGCCTCATGTCAGTGTGCGCCAATTTCCCTATCTATCTTTTCCGACGGGGGTGGGTAACAGATATCCTGGTAATCAAAGATCAACATTACCCGAACCTCCAAGACCGCCTTTCGAGATGCCAGTGTCGTTAGAGCCAAGTCAAGTACCGTATTTCAATATGTCTTTACCACAGAGACAAACCCCAGCGCCTTACCAGCGAACTGGCGATCCCGAATTTGTTCAGAACCTCTTTCCAAATCTCCATGCACCGTCGATCCCTCCAGCCAGCAAGCTTCCGCCACCGAAACTTACACGTCACTCCCTTGCCCTCCTCAATGTGTTTAAGAATGACAGCGTTAAGAAGACAGATGTATCTAAACCTGAACTGGAATCGCAGTCGAGCGCGCCAAGCAAAGTTCAATCTCAACACCAGAATAGTCTGTTAGAGCTTCTGAAAAAGCCACAAGCTGCCGCCTTATCTGCACATGGCCGTGCGGAACTGGCTGCTCGCCCCACTCCTTCCTTAGGAATTGCGAAAGCTCCCGCGCCTGAAGTACCTGCACAATCACAACAGAAAACACAAGAAGAGCGGAGTAAGTCTCCTAACAACAGCGCCAGAATTTCAGCTACGGTTTCGGGGCCATTGAATTTGCCTAAGCTTGAAGCTATTGCGAAATCAGTATCAAAGAAATCTGTGACACAGTCATTGCGGCCTACTACCAAGCAGGAAGTTACACCAACAAAAGGAAATTTTGTTATTCTTCCACGACCGCCCACAGTAAAGAAAGAGGCTACTGTACAACAGCTTACTAAGCCTCCACCTTCGGCCGCGAAAAGAAACGTCCAACTTTCCGAAATCAGAAAACCGTTTCAGCCAAAGATTCTCCGCCGCCCTGTCAAAGATGACCTAGCTGCTTCGCTTCCCACAGAAACTGTTCCTGTTAGTGCTTTTACACTCTCTGAAAAGCAAGCTGTGCCTGAGAATCGACACGGAGAACCTGTAGCGGTGAATTATGACCGTCGGCCGAGCCAGACTGCGTCCCAAAAGGAAGCTTTGCTATCGCTCTTTGGCAAACCTCCTCACTCACCCGCAGCAGTGCCCCCTACGGAGCCGGTGCAAGCTCCCTCCCCTGGATCAAAGATACCGCCACAGTCAGCTATCATAAGCCCAGTTGATTCAACTTTTTCACAAGTTGGGACTTCAGGAGGTGCTCCCACTCCCGTGTCCAGAGTGAGAAGCATTTCTCCGGTTGTTGGAACTGAAACTAGTAAGGCGGGGCCAACATCACCAATGAACAAGGCATTTTTACTTGGATACTTGGACGGAGTTGCGAAAGGTACACATTGAGCGTATGTAAGGTTATCTACGGTTTAGATGATTTGGAGCGGTTTATTGTTCTGGCGACTCTTTGTTGGTTTGCTATGGAGTTGTAGTGAAGCTAAAAAATGGCTTCCAATGCCAAAATGTAAACGGCTAGGCCCCTGAATTTACTTGAACAGCCCCCAGTTATCTTTATTCTTTTCAATAGCAAATCATAATCGTCCTGTTCAGGTAAACGACGAACTGTTGGCGTTTTATGCGTTCGCCGCTGTTGTGTCACTAGCCGTATCCGCAAACCAGGAAATATAACTATATTCTGCCACACCATACCGCCTTTCAACTATGACTTCCCTATCTCTTACCTCCAAACCTCCGTAATGCATGCTGTTACCAAGTTTATTAAAAATTGTCAATCAGAATGCCCCTGCGCGTGTCTTTCGGCTCGCTATGTAGCCGCTGTTCGATAAATAAACTGCAATTTTTCACTTTCCGTGCTCAACACCAGCAGTTCCCTCAATCCCTATTATCCCTCCCCTCCGTCCCGCCTCTCTCCGGGTATGCCCAACTTCCATCTCGAGCTCTCATCGCTGTAACCGGGAGGGACAGCACAACTTTCCTCCAGGGACTAATAACGCAGAATCTCCTTACCTCACAAAATACCCCAATACCGAAAACAGGATTTTACGCAGCATTCCTCAATGCACCCGGACGTGTTCTAAATGACGTCTTTATCTACCCAGTCCCGCCAAATGATAGTTACAATGGCACCCCAGACCTCGCATATCTTATAGAGGTAGACAAAAATGAGGTTACAAACCTGCTGAAACATCTACGGAAACATAAACTACGCTCAAAGCTGGCTTTCCGTGCCATGGATGATGGGGAGCTATATGTATACGGCCTGTGGAATGAGGAGGATGCGGATCTATTAACGGAATATGATATTGAACTCGAGAATGGAAAATCGCCACCGTTTACATGTACTGATACACGGGCTCCGGGGTTTGGATTCCGCCTTCTCGCGCCTGAAAAGGTCGTGAACGAGCAGCCGATCATGCCGGGGGAGAGAGTCGATTTTGCCACATATAACTTGCGACGTATCCTACATGGAGTACCAGAGGGTCAAGGCGAGATTATCAGAGAGTCTGCATTACCGTTGGAATGCAACATGGATATAATGGGCGCCATTGATTTCCATAAAGGCTGCTACGTAGGGCAGGAGTTGACCATTCGCACTCACCATAGAGGCGTGGTCCGCAAGAGGATATTGCCCGTGCGGTTTTATGACATTAATGATCCGATGCCCACCACCGATACGCCGGATTATTCTTCAGAATCTAAACTGACCCTTCCGCCAGCTGGAGCTAATATATCCAAGGTAAGCTCAAGAAAGGGCCGGAGCGCTGGCAAATTTCTATCTGGCGTGGGGAATATCGGGCTTGCGCTGTGTCGGCTGGAAATGATGACGGATATTTCTTTTACGGAGGAATCCTCTCAATATAATCCCGATCAGGAGTTTATGATATCCTGGGATGCTGATGCCGAGGGAGGGGTTGAGAGGGCTGGGGAGTTGAAAGTAAAGGCGCTGGTTCCGCCGTGGACGAGGGATTATATAGTTAGAGGAGGGGCGAAGGACCCATCGGTTCCCGCTCCCAAGAGCAATGAGGAGATTGCGGAAGAGGTCGAAAAGCTGGAAGCTCAGATTGAGGAGATTGTGCAACAGCGGAAGGCCTAGAGCTTTTTGGACGTCATTGTATTTTTATTGGTGGATATTTGGCATGGAACGTCTATTTTTGTATTTTTGATCGTTGTTACAAAATGTGTAGGAGATACCCATCGCAAAATTCACCTTGGTTAAGATTCCAAAGTTTTGCCCTCGAGCATCATCACATCAAGTCACAAAGTGGAATCGTGAGGATGGAAAGCTGAATTGAAACATCCATATTTAAAGGGGGTATCTCTAGAAACAAACCGATGCACACGCTATTAGAAAAATTACCAACACTTCTAAAAATCCCATCATCCATTGATTCAGCGTTGATCACCGCGTGTGCCCGCCGTCGTTGAGCTGTAAATAGGTCAACCTCACTCTGCGGTTGCAGCCGCTTCATCTTCTTTCCTAAGCTGTTCCTCCAGCCTTTTTCTCTCAGCATTCTTTAATCGAATCAGAGTGAGCTCCTCTAAACTAGGGCGGCCGCCGTTCCTCGATGACGGTGAACCCATCGGACCATTAAATCCGGCAGACGAGAAGGAGGCAAACGATGGGACCGATTTTGCACCATTACTCTCTTTCGCGGGGGTTGATGACGTCGTGTTTAGGCCTGGGAAATCAAACTTATTTCTTGATGTGGTAGTGGAGGTGGAGGCGGATGGCATTGACGCTGTTGACGGTTCCTGTAGATGTCGAGTAGGCGATGAGTCCCTTTGGAAATCGGGTTCCTTATTAGATGCCCAAAACACTGATTCAATGACATCCCACTCCTTGCCTTTTTGCCTCTTGTAGTCTTCCACCGCGGCATGGGCGCCAACGATCGACGTATACACAACAACACCAGTAGCAATAGTTTTCTTTTCTCGTGTCTCACCCACTCGTTGCCTCTTGTCTTTGAGGGTGAACGTGCTTTCCACCTTTCCAAAGACAGAAAAAAGCGATTCAAGTTTGTCCTTGTCAAGCTGTAATCCAGCACCCTCCCGAACCCAGCGGATTTTGACAGATCTATCAATTTCAGGGACTGCTGTTCCCCCGACATTCGACTGACGTGCTTCATTTTCCTGCTGTGCAGCCCGTTCCTTCTCTTCCCTTTCCGTCTCCAGCCTCTCTTCTTCTTCTAATACTTCCCTCCTCAGTAATTCTTCCTTTTCTCTCCTCCTTCTCTTCCCATCTTCCGCTAGTCTCCTTATTTCTTGCTCTAGCTTCTCTTCCGCATCGTCATCCACGCCAAAACTCCCTTTGACAGTAGGAGCCCCAGTCCACGTCCTTTTTACACCACGCTCCCTGGCTTCTAGATCTTCCTTCATCTTCCGCCTAACCCCTTCCAGCATCTGACTCTCCCTCTTCTTCCTCTCTCGCGCTTCCCGCGCATTATCATAGAGCTGCCGTATCGAAGGATCTGAGAGAACATCGTATGCGATCTGAAGGAGATGGAACTTTTCGATGTCTGCAGGGGTGGGATTCTTAATTTTATCTGGATGGTATATCAATGCTGTCCTTCGATATGCGCGACGTATTTCCGCTTCCACAGCACTGGGAGATAGACTCAGAAGCGCATAGAAGTCATAGGAGGAGGCGGCATGCGACTTGAGGTCGTCAGCGGGCGCCATGATGCACACGGCTGAGCTTTGAGGTATTGACTTTCCCGTATGATCAGTATATATATAGTTTAAAATATATGAAAATGGACACTGTATTAGGAGATAGCAGTGAAATATCTCTGGTTTTGCTTTTGATATGTAGGTCCGAGTCTGTTTGGGTCAAATTCCCGCCGTTTCGTTAAAGAAATACTTCAGTTAATACCGAGCAGTTCGACCCGCAAAGTGGCACAAGCCTGCCAAGATTTGGTTCTCAACTTGATGAAAACCACGTGATATATAGTGTCATCAATCTTGACTTGTTCACATCAATTTTGTTCCATGTTCTCTTCTCCCTATAATGTTTCTAGCACAATTCCTGGTCATATGCATATTGCACAAGTCTTCGATCAAATGACGAAGTGCTCAGTTTTTCAGATATCTTGACATTTTTTTTGAGGCTTTTCTCTGTTGTCTCTCGAGCAGACTGGCCATGTTGCAGAATGATATGATTCCGGGGAATTCGCAATTGTCTCTATCTCACAGAAATATGAGAATGCATCGCCTACCTTCTGGTGCAGATCGGCAATGACTTCCAGACTGCCAATGATTCCTGTATCACTCTGACCTGTGCACTGTGATTTCAAGACCATTTGCAAAGACTCAGGAAACAAGGGCTATTTGACACTCTCACTGACACCATAGCCTTAATGATGTTAGATCATGAGATCTGATCAACATCTGAAGTGGCTTTGGCCTGGTCGGAAACAACAATAGATCGGGAATTGTAAATCAAATACACTTGGGTCAAATCGATTTCTCTTCTACGAGGCGGCTTCTCAATCATTATACGAAATTATGATCTCTTCCAACCGCTCTAATTGGAGCGAAAATACCCTCCATTGCTCTGATAGTGCTGGGATGCAGCCTCGCTATTGAGAAAAGAGTCTATGAAGCTTTCCCATACCAAATACCAAGACTGTATCAGTCCTCTCCAGGCTAACTTGTATGGCCAGTGAGAAAATGCTAAACTTCCACGCAGCACTATAAAGTGTGTTCCACGGCTGTATTCTCTCAGCATGTATCCAGGGCACAGGATTTATGGGAAACTTCTAGTATTGCCGTCTGCTAAAAGTCCTTCACATCTATTGCTTTGAGCTCCCTAGGACTGCCAGCTTCCTATTTAACTTCTTGCTGCGAGGCTTTTTCTGTGCTTCATATTTGACCCAAACACTAGTAGCTATTTATTTTGTTTAACGTATACCCGGTTAATAGGATGCGGATAATTGTTGAAAGGGTCCATATGTCAGGAGGGAATTCCAGTGCTGTTGGGGAAACCCCCCGAAAAGGAGATGGGGCAGCGTCACAGGTTTCCAACGTCAGGAGTTGAGCCTCATCTTTTTCTGCCCTTCATCCAAAGCCCATCCCGGTGGGAAGTTATAAGTTTCGACACCTTGTTCTCAAGACGATACAAGAATAGTAACAATGGCGTCCAGCCAGAGTGCTGGCACTTTCTGCGGTGCCTCTCAATCTCAATTAGCCCTTGCCTTGGCGATTGTCAAGTCAAAGCCGTCGCATATTACGGTCAAAGGTCTGGCCTATCCGTTCATTGTATAATGGCGCTTAAAGGCACACATGGAATGGGTGTGTTAACGTCTCTTATACAGACCATATTCTCTCAATACGGCGACATATCTGTAACGGTAGAAATCACCATGCTCCTGAGATGCCAGAGAAATATCTAGACAGCATAACTTTCTGGCGGGAGGCATATGAGAAGTCAGAGTCTGCACAGAGCAAACTCCTTGATAAGGTCTATGAGCTGGAGCAACAGAATGCATCTTTGCTTGCTAAAGGGAGAGGAAACACTCTTCTCGGATTTGAAGAGTCCATGGCAAAGAGGAGAGTGAATGGCAATGGAGATTCAACGGTGTCGAACCACTCCCTGAAGCGGGCTAAGACGGCGAAAAATAGCAGATCGAATACATCTCGTGCCCAGGATAAACAATTCCTTAGTGGAAGCGCAGATGAGCTTGGATATTCTGACAGTGGTGTGTGGATACATCCCCTCTCCTGTTTAGCAGTTTCGTTTCCGCATTGTATACTGATGATATTGAAGCTACAACTCCGCTCTTAAGACATTTCCATGCCCTCCAAAAACAACTGCAAAAGAAGACTGATCCCGACGCCCTCGTTTCTACCTCTGTTGCGCTTTGTGAAACGGTTGACCTGTCGATTCGGTCAAGAATTGGCGAGAGAAATGCCAGGACAATGAATTTAGGAAAACGAAAAACGTTACAGCCTCGCGATCCAGACTTACAGCATATTTTAAAGGGATTGAGCCCTTGTTATCCGTTCCTTGTGCAGGCCTTGAACAAGGTGTCAGAGAAAGATCCCACAAGCTCCGGTATCGGGGTTATCACTTACCATGTTGTCAATCTTTTTTATAGAGTTCTTAGTCACTCTCATCAGTATATCCTGTCAAAGGCAAAGGACAACATAGCACAAGAAAAATCTGTGGGTAAAAAAGTGAAACAGGGATCCAAAACGAGATTGACGAAATCAACCGCCTCCACTTCTACTCAGCCTCCTTCGGATGAGGAAATCACCTTGAAACTTTTCTCTAATTTTCTTACGGGCATGATTCTTTCGCTCAACCCCGTAAGGCCAGAAGAGAATTGCTTACTAGAAGGGTTTCTATTCTCACTTCTGGAGCATGTGGGAAAAATGCTCTCCCTCTTTGTGTTCAAAGAATTATATTCCAATCCCGACCTACGCTTGAATTCCGCAAAGTTGCCGGTGCCTGGTAATTTCGACAAAGAGTATGCTGCCAGGGGAGAAATGGCGGTTGCCCAGCGTGCTGCCGAGAGTGAAGCAAAGCATCTCATTTGGATTCTTGAGCGGGCAATTGCGTTTACGGACCAATTTGAGCGTCCCAGCGACGAGACAAATACACATTCGGTTTCAACGGAAGCAACGATACCACAAGGGATGCTGGAGCGTGCCAGAACTAAACTGCAGAATACGCTTTTGAAAGGGATTTTTGGAGAGAAAGAGCAGGAGTTTAGGGATTCTTTGAAAATGCCAGAGAAGCCGGCTTATTCACCTGGCGAACGCTCAATTTCTAGGCAAACGCACGTTTCAGTAGAAAAGGAACCTGCTGAGTGGTTTACGCAAGAAGTGTGGAGATTGGTTGGGTGGGACGTGTTGCTGAAGGAGAAGGAATACTAAAGGGGAATAATGCTAGGTTGATGGCCACCGCAGTATGTCAATTCGTACGCCCTACTGGCCTTGGACGACAAAATTATTCTTACGGGCACATCCCATTCTCCCTGCTTCCTCTTTATGGTCGATGAGTACTCTCACCATTATACCACTCTACATTGACACTATCTTTATGGATTCTTCGAAATTGACATTTGTGTGGATGGCAGGTTTATATGTGGAAGCTTGCTTTTGATTTTCGTGATATGGAATTTGCGGAGATTTCGTCACAATATGGCATTTTTATGAGGCTTAACATACAAACTCTGAGTAATAAGATTGTTTGAACTACGGCTTTTTAATCTGCCATAACAGAAAGGGGGTTGTGAAGGCGCTTTCGGTACATCCTCGGCTACATCACCACGAATATTGATTGCCTCGAGCGCTCTAATTAAAGTCAGATTTCTCCTTTAGTTCTCGAGTTTCAAAACTCTGACGGCGTTACCCCCTAAGACGGCCTTTGAGCCAGCCGAATCATCTCCGAAGGCATCATCAATTGCTTTTCGATTTGTTGTTACACTCAGCCATTGCCCACCTTTACCGTCTAGGGGTGGGAAGAAGGGGTGATCGGTTCCTGAGAGGACAGTGGTGTTTGTAACAAATGAGAATAAGATAATAGGAATCAAGGAATTAATGGATGGATCTTGAAAAACTTACCAAACAATACTCGATCTACAGTACCAGTTCCATGCAAAGCAGCCTTCAACCCTACTTCCCCATAAATAACCGCATCCAGGTAAATATTCTCCCTTAACACATCCCAAAGACCCCTTTTAGGCCCCACAACGTCACCTCCATTCGCAACAAACCTCCTCTCATGGGCAACACAACTCTCAATCCTGCCAACCAGGAACGGCAGCGTGCCGCCAGAATGGGCCAGCAGGATAGCCAATTTTGGATATCGATCAAACACCCCCGATAGGTACATTCTCGTTACTGCAATGGTGGTTTCCAAGGGGAACCCCAATGCGAGAGGGAGGACATGACCATATTGCTTCATCACATCAGCACCACCAAATGCGTCATCAGGCAGCCCATAGTGGGGATGCAAGAATAGGAGCGTCCTCGTAGATTCCAGTGCAGACCAGACGGGGTCCAGAGCCGGGTCATCCAACCCATTTCTCAGACCTGAAGTCCCCATAATAACGCCGCGGAGAAATTTCATTGTTTTAAGACGTGAAATTTCGTTCGCGATGATATCAGCGGAGGGAGCACTGAGAGGCAATGCGCCAAATGCAAAGAGAGAACGGAACTCATTCAACGCCAACTTCCTACCATCACTGCTGCGCCCGCTGGTGGCCTTTGCGTGCTGCTCAGCACATATTCTCTCAAGATCATTGTTGATCTGCTCTGCCCAATGAGCTGCATCTTGGGCTGGTAGAAAATCTAGCCACGGATTCGCGAGGGATACCACGCTTGTAGTGATATTGTGTTGGCGCATGAATTCGAGCTTGAAGTTTAAGTCTGAGTAAGTGGAGTCAACTGGACGGCCGCGTTTCTCTTTGGGGATAGCAGGATTCTCGTCCGATGACAGGATAATGAGGCGTGAGGGGGCGCCATCGACGGGGTCGTAAATGTATGGGACAGATTTGCGCGAACGAAGGAGGTTGAGGTAGGAGTCTGGATAGATGTGGGTGTGGATGTCGACGATGGGATAGGTGGGCATATGCTCTTTAGTTGCATCAGTCATGATAGCTGCGGCAGTGGGATGTTTCTTCTAATCTATCTGGGTTGAAGTTCTCAAAGTCGAGGTTAGAGTTGAAGATCTGTATATTATCGAGCGGGAAGAACTCCCTCTGACTTTCTCTCCAAGCTCTATAGGCATGCTTATAGTAATTGGGTGATAAACTACGGTTAAAGGTGTCACCTATTTGGGCCCAGGTGGTTCTCCGCCGTCCAGTAAGCCTATCGGCTACCTTTTTAAGTAAGAGGTTCTCTCCACCCGCCAAACCAAAGGGAGCTTGCATAGTGGGGGGTGTGGGGCAATGGCGGGGTGAAGATCTGATAAGATAAAGCGCCCTGACAGATCTTGACAACAACCACATCCATATTTATTAACTTACATTTCCCACGGTAAAAGAATGCAGACTGAAGAAATACCAGGGCTAAGCATGTAGTATCCAGTAGGCATTATTTGTTATGATTGTTAATGAGTCTACATAGTGTATTTCATGCTAGATTCTGCGATCAATATCCTAGAGTAGAATTAGTAACTAACTATAGTTATCATTAGTTCAAGGTAATCTTCAATTTAAGAACAACATTAACTTAGCCCGTCTCATTTGCCTGAAAATAAGAAGCGTCCAACTACTCTTCCGTTCCTATCTTAGGAGCTTTTGATACTGAAAGGTTATCCCTTAGTCACAAGGAACAGCCCAAGCCCAGCTTTGTGGTCCCCGACCATCCACTTGTGACTGCCTCTGCTTGTTCAACACTGCCAGGCGCGCTCCAATCTTCTCCACCCTTTTACCGTGTTCCACGGAATCGAGTACTAAGATACTGTCGCGAGGAAGACGGAAGGGAATATATACATAGCAGCAGCTAGAGCTAGAGTAATGTCTCTGTTACAGGAATGCGATCCTACTTCTGAGGGGGTCTCAAAGGATAACTTGGTTATTCCGGTGGGGCTTTCTGCTTGTCTACACTAACGATCTGTTTAGATGGATTTGGATAATCCCTGTTGATGCCACTTTCTAGGTAATCGATTTCGAACACTATCTCACTGGCACCCCTGCTGATAAGCATGCCGTGGGCATGTCCGTAATCAAAGCCTTCAAGACCTCTGGCTTTCTATACCTGAAAAACCACGGAATCCCTCCTTCGGTTGTGAAGACGGTTTTCAACACCTCCGCTGAATTCTTCGCAAGACCACAGAGCGAAAAGGACAGCTTGGCTTGGACGACCCCTCAGTCAAATAGGGGTTATGTTGCCAGGGGCCGTGAGAAAGTCACACAGTCCTTTGACAAGGATGAAATCAAGAAGATGAGGGATACAATCCCGGATCTGAAAGAGACCATCGAGATTGGCCGCGAAGGAGAAGATGGATTTCCGAACCAGTGGCCTGATAAAATAGACGATAAGGGGAAGGAGTTCACGGATGTTATGAAAAAATTTTTCATGACCTGCCAAGATCTTAACATCAAAGTTATGCGAGCTGTTGCCCTCGGAATGTGTCTCCCTGAACACTACTTTGACGGGTTCATCGACGTCGGAGATAATACCCTGAGGCTTTTGCACTACCCATCGGTCCCCAAGTCCGTATTCAGGGCCAACAAGGGACAGGTTAGGGCTGGGGAGCACAGTGACTACGGGACTATTACGCTCCTTTTCCAAGACTCTCGCGGCGGATTGCAGGTTCGATCTCCCCAGGGCACATTTATCGACGCTGTCCCCATTGCAGACACCATCGTCGTAAATGCTGGGGACTTATTGGCCAGATGGGCCAATGATCAGATCAAGAGCACTCTACACCGGGTTGTAGAGCCGCTGCCAAGGCAGGACAGTGAAGACTCAGATGAGTATCCTTCACGGTACAGCGTTGCCTATTTCTGCAATCCGAATTACGATAAATTTATCGACGCGATACCTGGAACATTTGGGGGGGATTTAGGTGAGAAGAAGTATGAAGGAATCAATTCCGGAGAATACCTTCAATACAGGCTGGCCATGACTTACTGAAGGCGCAAACTTATTTTCTCACATCCCATGTCATTCATAGGGAACACATTATATATTTTAATTGTCGACACTAATTCGCGTCATTCAGCGAAAATTTCCCATCCTTTTCCTTATGGTGAGAAACTATGTATGCGGTGGTAGGGGCTCTCGTAGTTAGCTGGTTGTTTTGACTGTCGGGCATCTTGACAACTATCGAATAGAGAGGTTTTACGTCAATTGATCTGGATGGTAGTTTCAGAACTGGTCCTTGATATTACAAGATGAGTAGCAAAATATGATAAAGTCTTTTTTCATCTGGTCCTGGCAAAATGAAAATTCTTGGTTAATTCATATAATTCATTTATACATTTGGTAGTAACGGTCAATGCGAATTTGCCTGATTATTTTACATAATATGCCCTGCTGCGATCGATAATTGGTACTGAATCTGAGGAATGAGTAACTAATACTTACAGAAAACTGCTTTGTATATACTAGATGATGACGTGGAATGCAGAAATACCGCATTTTGGTAAGAACGGAAAGATGGGATATGTCATGATTCATTTAGGAGCCTAGGGAAGAAACATATCCTCTAACATGGAAGCTTTTCGGCCATTTAAATACCATCTTAGAGCCATGCCTGCCCCAAGTTTGGATTCCCTGTCCAGCTGGGCTGTTCGTGGGGGGGGGGAATCGGAGTGCTAAATAAGGACAAGTCGACAAAGCACATACAAATCCGTCAAGATTGGTAGATTCCCTTCCACATTCTGGTCTGAAATGAGTCGAACGAAAATTGGCCAGCATCCCAGAACGACAATCAACTGTACTTGAATATGGATATGCGCTAGGGAGTCATGTACAGTAAATTGGGAGGAAATGTGCATGGCACCGTCGAAATAGTTTGGGAGTTTTCCCGAGAAAAAGACCACTTGATCTATTCTCGTAGCAATGAAGGCGTCGTTGGATGTCAACGGAAGGATTGTGAGAACTTCCATCCGACGGCAGCTAGCCTCAAGCTGTCTCACGGTTTGAAGCTGCTACGGTCGCATATCTGATAGACGATCCGAATTTGCTGCCTTTAATAGCATCATCATGTTCGTAGAGCGGAATTGTCAACGGGTTCCGCAGGCAGTTGACAGATGCTGAACTGTGCCTCCGATTGCAGTCAAGCATGCAAATGCCATCAGAAGAGCGCAATTAAATGGGGCCAGGCAAATTCCAACCAGTGAAACCAACCCTTCCTCCATACCGTCCCCGATGCTGACAAATTCTGCTCCCCCGAGAAAGTTAGTCGATGCAGGGGGTTTGCCCAGCGGCTGCCAGCGGAGCGCCAAGCTATTAATTCGCTCTTCCCCTCTTCTCACCCATTGGTTCCATTGATTAGTTGCTGATTAGCCTGCGTCCCTTTCACTTTGCAGTCCGTACGGCTCTCAATCGTAAAATTCAATCAGAAACACGCAAATGCTCATCCAGCCTCGTAATGCCAATGTAACAATTCCTTGGTTTGTAAAAAATCAAATTGATTCCTTTCGCCGGAGTTTCCTTACTCACAGAGTCCGATCCTGTGTCAACGGCCACTTGGGCCACCCGTTGTTGTTGTTGTTGTTGTCTGACACCCATGCTTCCAACCGACCCTTCTTCCAAACTTGCCATTCGATTCATTGATTCGTTCGATTCGCCAGGCTAAAAAGTCCTGGGGCTTCTTTGCGGTTGTTTGTTAGTTACTGGGCGTTGCGCAAGGTTTCCGCTATCTTTGCATTTTGGTTCTCAAGCGTTTTCTGAGCATGCCTTCCCCTAGGCGACACGTATTCCTTCAATATATCAGGCGTTCCACCCGACCTGAGATTTGAACTCAATTAACCAAGATATCGTCTAGGCACGTTAACTGCAGCTTCTCACAGGGCTTCATAACCTCATCAGGAGTTGTTCCGTGTTATTGTGTATCGGAACTAGCTAGCCAAACAATGTGGGGAGGCAGGTGATTTTGGCCGTCCCCATTTTGGTGCGGGGAAACTGTGTTCTGTGTCTGGATTTTAAGGTTCCTGTGTGTAGCTTTTTGCGGGTAATATGATTTCATCGGCTATAACCGGCTTTCTACGGCCTGACAAGCAGAGCCGACGTGGATGCCGGGAGATGCGCCTACGTGCGGGTTGCTGATAAGACGTTGGTTTCGGCAACTTCCAACTTTGATTATTTCATCTGCTGAAAAGTTGTGATTGATATTTATACGGAATACTATAAAGTGGCTTTTTAGTGCGCCGCTTGGTTGGGAGTTACGGTACTCAATCCACCGGTTTAGGAAATAGGGTCGGGTATTTGTCGGGGTAATGAAAACAGCGGGGTTGTGTCGGTGTCGGTGAGAGGAGAGGTGGAGAACTGTTTATAGGATCCTATCTTATCTCCCTCTTTTTACTAGAGCATAGAAGCGTATCCCTCCACCACAGGGAAGTACGTACTGCTGCTAAATGATAAGATAACATGGTGCCTGGGGGAGTCGTGAGGATCAGGAAAAGAGGCTTAAAAAAAGGCGGGGCCGCCAAGGAAGGTTGGAAGGATCCAGCCAATGGGGAGGCTGCAGGAGGTTCATTTAAGCGTTGCCCTATTTCCTGCGCTACACCGAAGAAAGTCTAGCTGATGAGGCTCTTGCCGCCAAGCTCCCCCTGCCCCGAGGTCCCCATCCGACCCATCAGTTGGTTCTCCAGAAACACCGGCTTGCATCGGCTTTAAGAGCTCTACTCCCTCTTTTTTTACACTTGACAGAGCCCAAGACAGGAGACCTGTTAGCAAACATGGAAATGCGAATACCAGCAGCTCTCCTGCGCATTCAGATCGTTCTGTATGTAGTATAGATACAAGCAACTCCTCGCAGCTTAACCGGCATACCTGATGCTGCTGGATCATGCGGAATATATCGTCCCTTTTGTGGCTATGGGTTTCCGGCAACTTTTCATTGATATTGCTGCTAGTCCGCCCTTCTTTCGTACTTGGAGCCCCCTTTCATTCTCTTTAAAAAGGGATCTTGTCGTTATTTAGTTTGAATATCAGAGGACGAACATCAAATGCCGTCGACAGCAGACAACGCCCCTCGAATGGAGGCATTCGAGGGACCTACGGCGAATGCGGCTGGAGCGAATGGTGTCAAGGAAGTAAGCGATGTCTCTAATGGGGTATCGAACTCGATGGATCTGGCGGAATACCTCTTCCGTCGTCTACATGAGCTAGGAATTCGATCTGTTCATGGTGTCCCTGGTGATTACAATTTGGTTGGTGAGTGTCTCGCTCTAGTAAATGCTGCTGCATCTCTGCTGTCCAGAAAGCTGACTCTCGTGTTCCCTGGATAGCTCTTGACTATCTGCCAAAAGTTGGCCTCAGTTGGGTTGGAAGTGTCAATGAATTGAATGCGGGTACGTTGAATTTGAATCGAATTGGTAATTTTACATGGACTCATTTGAATAGAGGGACTAACTCTTATGTGACCTGCTTAGGCTATGCTGCTGATGGGTATGCTCGAGTGAAAGGCGTTTCAGCTCTGATAACCACGTACGGGGTGGGCGAGTTGTCGAGTATTAATGCCATTGCCGGTGCTTATTCTGAATATGTTCCAGTTGTCCACATTGTGGGCGCTCCTTCAACAACCTCACAGAGGGATCGAATTATTCTTCACCACACTCTGGGAGATGGCAATTACGAAGTCTTTCCAGAGATGGGCAGACACGTTTCATGTGCTGTTGCTATCCTAGATGACCCTTCGAGAGCTGCAGCCATGGTTGACAATGCTCTTCGAACATGTATCCTGAAAAGCCGCCCAATTTATATCAGTTTACCTACCGATATGGTGCAAGCGAAGGTGGACGGGAGCCGGTTGAAATACCCTATTGACCTGAGTGTTCCACCTAATGATCATCGACGGGAAACCCAGGTTGTCGACATGGTATCAAAGCTACTCCAAGCTGCCAGCCGGCCGGCACTGCTAGTTGATGTTTTGGCTATGAGATACCATGTAAGCACCAAGGGCTTGTCAAAAGATGAAAATGTTTTTACACGGAAACGCAAACAGACCTCGTACTTACTATGGCTTCCTCTTTGTAGGTCACCGATGAAATCAACGAATTCATTACCCGATCCAACATCCCGGCTTTTGTCACGCCCATGGGAAAGGGGTCTGTTGATGAGAGCCTGCCACAATTCCAAGGCATCTACGTAGGGGAGGCTTCTCCTCCAAAGATCCGCGAAAGCTTTGAATCATCGGATCTCATTCTGAACATTGGCCCTCTTAAATCCGATATCAACACCGGATGCTTCACATCCAAATATGATCAGCTGGCCAGCGTAGAATTCCACGTTGACAAGACGATAGTGGAATTTTCAGAGTTCCCAGGCGTCGACATGAGAGGAGTTCTCCGCCAGTTGGTCGGTGCTTTGGACAAACTGGAAATCCCTGCAAGAATGCCGTTCAATGCTGCCAAGCGGAAAAGAGTCGAGCCCGTCGCCGATGACCACAAACTAACCCACGACTGGCTCTGGCCAAAAGTCACGGAGTACCTGAAAATGAATGACATTGTTATAACCGAGGCGGGGACCTCGAATTTTGGCGTCTGGGAAACGAGGTTTAAGAAAGGTACTATTGGTATTAGTTCTGTTCTGTGGAGCAGCATTGGGTTCGCACTCGGAGCTTGCCAGGGTGCCGTGCTAGCAGCTCGAGAAATGACGGATGTCTCTCGAAGGACATTGCTCTTCATTGGAGATGGGAGTTTCCAGCTCACAGCACAGGAACTGAGCACAATCATTCGTCATAAGCTTACTCCTACGATGTAAGATCTGCCCAATATGCAAGCCCATGACCCAAAAACGATCTTCATTTTACTAAACCTCACCTCTAACCACAGTTTCGTCATCTGTAACAACGGTTTCGTAATCGAACGATACGTCCATGGCATGAACGCGTCCTACAACGACATACAACCCTGGAAATTTAACGACCTCGCTGCAGTCTTTGGAGCCAAGTCAAGTACATGCAAGACATTCCAAATCCACACACGCAAAGAATTAGAGAATCTCTTTAATGATGGAGATTTCTGCTCAGGCAAGGTTCTGCAGCTGGTTGAACTTTATCTTCCTGGCGATGATGCGCCTACCTCGATGAAGATGCTTGCAGCCGCTGCGGCTAGGCGGAATGCGAAGAAATGATTTCCTTGAAATTCTCTTACCGCTCCATAATACTTTTGCCAATTTTACGCCAATGCTGGGACGTTGGTTCATCGGCATATATAGTGGATATTATTGGGTTTTATTTTGGTGTTAAAGGTTGCTCACGATACTAGTTTTTCTGTGTACTGACATGCCTTTTATGTTCGGTTTTCCAGACCTCGATATCATTTTCAGCGGAATGTTCTGATGCTTTTGCTCTTTTCTTTCCGCATGAATTATCCCGTCTGATTTCTTGTTTTTCTTTTTTTTGGTTTTTTTTTTTTTTTTTTTTGGGGGGGGGGGGGGGGGGTTAACTTTTTCTTGCCAGAGGGTGTTCAATATTTTTTTCGTGACCTATTTGAACACTTTTGACGAAACTTGACGATAATATTGCGATTTAACCCCCATAGCTGTAACTTAGTCATTTCTGTTTGTTATTCTAGTTATAGGTTTGGCAACTGAATAACACTGAACAACCGATTCAAACTCTCGGCTTGCGTACGCTTTTGTGCCCAATATACACAAAATAGAAGGAGGAAAAGCCTTCAACCAAGCCATTATTGCCTTAATTGTTTGAAGTTTCCACCACTCAGTTTCTCAAGTTCGTGACGGCAGATCTCTTATATCCTCAGTGCAGGAATCTGGGACAATATTGGTAGTTAACTAGACCGACACAACCCTTGTAATTTAGCTTCCACCTAGCAAATGCTTGTTTGCAATATGACCAATCAAAATCTGGCTGGTGAGAGGTGTTGCGAGTTCACATTAATTTCTGCACAGATACCCAGTCGACAAGTTGAATTTGTGTGTGTAGGGTAATATATGATTGGGTATATTGGAGACAGGTAGGTCATGGATTGTTTGAGCAGGAAGGCTTATGAGGGGTATGAGGATGGTGCGAAGAATCTGTTTTTGTGTAGGTATGCACAACAATGTAAGTCGAAGCCGATAACTATAAAGCAATCGATTCACCGCGATTTTTGGAGTTATTTATCCCCCAGGACACACGAGGAGAGAAAAACTAACGTGAAATCGCAACTGTTTTTGATTTGGAAGAACTATTCTCTAAATTTGTGTAGGGCATCCCTGGGCTTGCATCCTTCAACATCATGCATCACCAAATATCACCGGCAATTCTATACTGGGGCACCCCCGTCGTCCTCATCACCAGCGAAAACGAAGACGGTACTTCCAACATCGCTCCCATGTCCTCTGCGTGGTGGCTCGGTGATCGAAGTATGATCGGACTTGGCAGCTCAGCCCAAACCACCAAAAATATCATACGTACCCAGCAATGCGTCTTAAATTTGCCTTCCGAGGACATGACGGCCCATGTCAATTCACTGGCACGCACGACGGGCGCGAATCCAGTGAACGCTTGGAAAGAGAGTGCCGGATACCGTTTCGTCAAGGACAAGTTTGCCCATGCAAAGCTCACTCCGCAGCCGTCGGATTTGGTTTCACCGTCTCGGATCCAGGAATGCCCCGTGCACATGGAGGCAGAGCTCACAGAAGCCACTGGGCTGATGAAGGATTCTCCCAGCGAGAAAGGAACGATATTTGCCATGGAATTAAAGATATTGCGGGTTCATGTTGAAGATGAATTGCGCTTGGGGGGGTATGCGAACAGAATTGATTCTGAGAAGTGGCAGCCGCTTATCATGTGTTTCTCAGAGTTTTATGGGATGGGGAAGACGAAGTTGGTACCCTCACGGCTTTCGGAAATTGACGAGGAGGCATATCGCAGCCGGCCACCGAAGGCACCGGCGACACAAATCGCGACGGACAATGAAGAAAAATATGTACTGATTAGTGAAAAGCACGGAGGTTCAAGAGAGTTGGTGTAGTCTGGCTGTACCTAACCCTCTTTATTCGCCGGAGACTGACTTCTGGGATATGCAGAACATAGACCAGAAAGTTTAGAGTTGTGTAAATGGAGAATGTTGTTGATTTTCATCGATGCCGTTAAACGCCAACCCATAATTAAGGATTTGAACTCCGTGTCTTTCGAGAGTCAGTGTATCAAATATTTACAGGATACATTGAGCTCTTGGAAAATATGTCGAAGCGGTTAGCAAGAGATAACCACAACCACTCAGCAACATCCCTCATTCTAGCTCATTTGTGGGTTTCCACAGTAGTAAGTTAGTTACTAGGTCAACGAAGCTAAAAGCTGCCGCGTCCTGGGTTAAACGGAGATCTAACAGTCATGTCATGACTCTTCAGGGGCACATCTCTACGACAGTTCCATTAAAGTCTAGTTTTCCGGCCCAAAAGGATTTGCGCATATTCCGCAAAATCCCTGGTCAACTGCCTATATCATCTCCTAGGAAATTGTCAACTAATGAGAGGTTGGGGCTCTGGCCACTCACTTTTCGCGTTTTACGCTCTTGATTTCCTGGCTTAGATGAAGCCGGGCCTCAATCTTTCGACACTTTGTTGAGGTTATTATTAGTTATCTCTAACTTACTTGGTCGAGTTTTGTGTTTTGGTTTCCAATCTGTAGTTAACAGGATTGTAGATGAGTCGACTTCACTAAAAAAGGCTTGGCCCCACCTCGCCATGTGACCCGACCTCATCCTAGTCAGAACAGAACCTCTCACAATAACACTGTAAATCATTTATCAACTACATAGTCCTTATACCAGCAAAACTATTTTACAAAAACCTTGCTCATTTCTATATGTTTTCACTGAAAAAATGAAATAAGAAAAATGTCAGTAGTATTCAAAAGAACTAGAGAAAATGATAAAGAGAAAATAAAATTGATAAATTTATGCAGTTTATCTTAAATAAATGATTGAATATATTTTTACACTTTTCATTTCTAAACTATAAGTACTTAGAAACTATTTAATAATTGCATAGCAAATGATTAGTAACTGCTTTAAATAATTGAATAATTAATAACTACTAAGAATTGATAAATGATTGTTAAGTAATTGACAAACAGTTAATAAGCAGCTAGTATAAATACTTTAGAATCAATAATCTCAAACAGCATATACTACAACATGATGATATAAAGTTTTTGATCAAAATATTAACAGTTACTTAACTTTAAAAAAGAAATAAAAAGTGATTTATAAGTAATTTAAAGCTATATAGCAATTATTTAATATTTTAAAATTAAAAATAATATAAAGAATAATAAAAATAAGAATAATAATTATTATTATTTTAATTTTATATCTTTCTTAATTGAAAGACTCAAACTATTAATATAGTAAAATAATAAAAATATATATACTTTACAATCACTTGTTGAATAGTTATCAAGTAGCTGATAAAGAATTATAAAGTATTATTATATTAATATATATATTATATGAAAAAAAAGTTTTTTATATAGAAAATATATAAACATAAAAATTTAATAAATCATAAAAATTTATTATTTAATTAATAATTTATAATCAATTACTTATAAACTATTATAAAGATTATAATATATATATTAATAAGTTCAATTGCAGTAAAAGTGATAATGACTTGAGTTAAATACTAAAATAAATAATATTAAGTAGTAATCAATTATTTGTTAACTGCTTGATAAGCAGTTAAACATTAGTTGTCAAGTATCTATAAAGCACTTTTAGTATTTACAACTTTTAAAGCTATACTGATCTCATTATCAATTTTAATTCTTTGTTATTGTCATCATTCAGAAAATCATTCATATTATCATTAAACATCTGACACTTTTGAGAGTTGCAGATATGTTTGAAGTGCTTGAAAAGTAGTTGACAAATAACTACTATAGATGATTATGAAGAGAAATCATTATGGTAAGGTTTTTACCACCTGACCTCTCTTTATACATGCTCGGTTCCTTGATTTGAATGTGTAGTCATGTGGGGAGGTCGGCCCAGCCTTTTAGCGAAGTCGTTCAATCTGTATGCTCAGTAGTTAGCCTAACGGTTGAGCCCGAAGGCTTAACTAATGATCTTGAGCATGATGACTCAGCGTGGCGGCAACGATGAAACGTGCAATTTGAATTTATTGACCGGTCGATATAGTTAATGTCGCCGAGCAAAGGGGGCCTGGACCTCTACGATGCAGGTCTATCGTCAATTGAGATAATTTATTTCCCTTTCCCTCCGTGCTTCTCGACGCGAAAGGATTTCACTTCCCAGGAACCAACTTGCTAGAGTTGAACTACGTGCGGGAGCTTGGTGTGGAAAGCATAACGTAACTATGTAACTATGTAACTAGTTACATAGTTAGTTACCTTAACTTCTCGCTAGACATGACCAAGCTTTTGTTGAGTAACTAACTTATATTAACGCAATGACCTCCAAAAAAAAAAAAAAGTCTGGAGATTGTGTGCTTTATTCTGCATGTTGAGATATCGAGAACTCTCTCCTTAGAGGAATCTTATGTTCAATCCAAAGTTGAGAGATCTAGAAAAGATTTTGATAATTACCGCTAATTAACTCACCGTCCCATGCGTTGAAATTCGAGTTTTACTATTTGCAGTTCACCTCAAACGCAAGAATTAGCTAGCAGATAACGCCCACCGGCGGGAATAATTAGTTGCCCTTTTGCTCCTCGGAGGATATCTCCTCGGACTCAACGCAGGCCTGGACCATGGCATGGCTGGATTGAAAATATAACTCCAACCGCTAGCACACAACTACACATCGTTAGTTACCTAGGTATCCATGAATCATCAGCCTACTCCCCCTGTGGAGAAAAATAAACTACGCAAAGACCCAAGGGCAAAAGCTTCGTTATGCCTTTGGGTTTCTACGCCTCTAAATGAAGGCTATACCCATCTATGGATGTTCTAACCCTGTCATATTGCATATTGGGTCGCAAACGTGTGGGCAGTGGTGAATTACTAGTTACCACGTCATACCGGAGCCCCGGAACCATCCACAGCCATTAACTACATTGTTAGCCATAATAATGGTGAGCGGCATGGGGCTGACTAGGACGATGACATCCTTCCCCTGGAGCATCCCGGATCCTAGTTTTTCATCTTTTCTAGGGTTCTAAAGTTTCTTCATCTGCTTCTATGCTCCTTACGTGGAACACCTGAATGGCAGTTGTCAAGACGGCAAACGCCCAGGCCCCCAGACCATAGATTCTTTTTATACCATAGGCTGCTCTGCTCCACTTTCTGTCCGTGTATGATTGTGTTTTTACAATGTTCTTTTGGGCGTTTCTCTAGAACCTTGTCTACCAACCTTCCCGATCCATTGGCTTGGGGCTAGGGTCTTCTCATTATTCCTGGTAGTTGAGTGACAAATAGTTCAGAGGCTATTTGTCAATGCAGCCAGTGAATTACATGTTATTCTCTGCTTACGGACCTCCTTTGATTTCGCCGTTGGTTCATTGGATATATTTTATCTATAAAAGGCTCAGGCGCAATGGTTGGTTATCTCACGCCACTGGTTCTACGTCTCCTGCATCTATTATCTAGGATATAGATTTATATTTGTCCTTACATTTTTACCTGCTGTTTCAGGGACTGTGATTGTCTGGGGATTTGCCACGTTGGAGATACAGAGATTGGACGTCATTGTGGAGACACGGTGTGTTGGAATGGGTTTTTCACAGCCAGTGGAAAGCGCTTCTAAGTTCTTCATGACTCCGGCGAGACGATATTTAAGGGGCTCATGCGGATTTTGCAGGTATGATAAATACCTTTTTTCGGTTTAAAATTGACATCTTAACAGTTTTTAACAGATCTAAATCACTTAACTCTGCTCGATCGGGCCTTGCTCCACGCACCCAATGCTTCAGCATGTCTACAGAATCTAGTAGGGCCATCCGCCCCAACTCTCACGGCTCAGATGCTAAAATAGGTGACTGTCTGGATCAGGCCCTCCAAAATTCCCTTTCTCTCGCCCATCTGAGGCTATACCCCCTCTTGAGTATGCGAAACTCAGGGCCACAAATCCCGTTTCTCGAGTTACACTCTGGGACAACAGTCACCCATGGCTTGTGGTCAAACATAAGGACATCTGCAGCGTCCTTACTGATCAACGTTTGTCCAAGGTATGAATACCTTGGCCAGTCAATTGGAGAGCCTCAACTGTTTCTGACAAAAGGCACCGATTCTACAGCAACGCACCCGCCCAGGTTTCCCTGAAATGAATCCTGGAGGGAAGCAAGCTGCTAAAAACCGCCCGACTTTCGTTGATATGGACCCTCCCGAACACATGCATCAGAGGTACGAAGTTGTGCTTTTCAAATGAATGTCGGGAGGACCAAAGCTGACAGAATTGTTTCATTCAAGGAATATGGTTGCGTCCCTTTTCACCAGGAAGAATTCTGAGACAATGCGTCCGCATATTAAAGCCATTGCCGATATTCTCCTGGATGAAATGATCCAACACGGCTGTGAAAATCCCGTAGATTTGGTTGAGAAGTTTGCTCTGCCCCTCCCATCCTATGTTGGTCTCCGCTTATAGAAACGACTTTCTCGATCAGTAGGATTTGTAGTTGCTAACGGCACGAATAGATCATATACGGAATTTTAGGGGTTCCGGAGCATGACCTTGCGTATCTCACCAATTGTAATGCTATTCGCAGTAATGGAAGTTCTACCGCTGCAGCTGCGGCTAATGCTAACAAGTAGGTTCTCCTTCTTTTTAGCAGGTTCATATAGCTCGTTCAAATATACTAATGGCGATAAGGGAACTCCTGGATTACATCGGAAATTTGGTCAATAAACGACTTGAAAAACCAGAGAATGACATGATTAGCAAGTTGGTTGTCGAACAGGTAATATTTAATTGATTTGCATTTACCATCGGATGAATAGCAAGTGCTAACCATGAAACCCTTCTCTAATTATAGCTTAAACCGGGGCATATTGACAGGCTAGATGCCGTCCAAATCGCATTCTTGATGCTGGTCGCTGGAAATGCGACCTTAGTCAACATGATTTGTCTCGTAGGTTCTTAAACAGCAGCATTTCTAGGTGGTGAGTTTCTAATGAACCCGCAGGGCGTCGTAACTCTTCTCCAGAACCCGAGTCAACTGGCAGACCTCAAAGCCAATCCGTCTCTCGCGCCCCAGTTTGTTGAGGAACTTTGCCGCTTCCACACGGCTTCTGCTATGGCCACAAGACGAGTTGCTAAAGAGGATATCACCCTTGGTGGCCAAGTATGTTTTATACTTTGTGACTGTACTTTGATTTTTTTTTTTGATTTTTTTTTTGATTTTTTTTTTCCGCATTCCGCATTCCGCAGCCCTGAATTTACCAGCTGCTAATATCTATTTCTCCTCCAGCTCATAAAAGCAGGGGAAGGCATAATTGCTGCCACCCAATCCGGCAACCGAGATGAAGAAGTCTTCCCCAACCCAGACGTCTTCGATATGTACCGTAAGAGGGGATCTGAGACGGCCCTTGGCTTTGGGTATGGCGAACACACTTGTGTCGCTGAGTGGTTGGCTCGTACTGAGATGGAAGTTGTTTTTGGTTAGTCCTCTTTTTTTCTTCTTCTTTTTTTTTTTTCCATTTCGATTTCACAACCGCAGCGCGTGTCTCGCCTGCTAACATACATTTGCAAAACAGCAACGTTGTTCCAACGACTTCCAAATCTGAAGCTTGGGATCCCGCAATCCGAAATCAAGTATACCCCCGCAGATCAAGACGTTGGCATAACTGAGCTCCCAGTTGTCTGGTAGTGTGTCTCAATGCTTTCAACTTGGATCACAGTTGCAACTCCACTCCTTCCCACAAGTTTATATAGATAAAATGACTTGATATTATTTCAACAAGCAAAATACCAAAGTTTGAACCAGAAAAATAGGATGGCCAAAACTAGACATTTGGTCCTCTCTAACTGGAGTTTTGCGCGGCAATTTCATGTGTAGTGTTGAAAGTACCGGAAGTTGGAAGTTCTGTTGCTTTCCGCTGCACGCCTTTTTACTAGTGGCAGAATCAGTGAAAATGAATAAAATGTAGAACAAACTGCCTCAGAGGGGGTGGTAGGTAATTAATCAATCACCGCCACGTCCTTAACGAATTCCTCCAAAGATTGGAATTTCTCATCCGGAAATACAGTTTTGATATCTATCCCGTGGGCGGTTTTCTAACCCCATCCAAAGTCGCCGTCCCAACACACATGGAGGCGTAAGTTACTCCATTTGAAAACGTCTATTTCGTTATTCGCTTTCTTCACCTCACCTAATTTGTTCTCCAAATCTTCAAGGAATATGCGTTCACTTTTACAAGGGTTTCCTAACTTGTTTCCGTAAAGATGGACGGAATTTCGGCACTCAATTTTATGGACCCTGATCTCTTTACGTACTTACCTCTAACCTTCTCACACAACTCAATGGGCTCCATGCGGAATATGTTTTCTCCAGACACCAAAAACTGATCCGGCCAGTCCTTAAGGTCCAAAGCTCCCGCAACAAACTTCCCTACATCATCGACGGCCGTGAAGCGAATCCATTTGTCCTCCATCGCTTCGACAAGCTCAACACTACAGGGATTTTCAAAATCAACCGCCGTATCAAACCCAATAGGAACAAGGGATTCACTGCTTAGGTGCCTCTTTCCATCCTCCGTCATAGGGGAGTAGTAATCATAGAAGATTGCCGGTGTAAAATATCGTACACACTGGATCTTAACTCCGAACGGCGGGGGTGTCAATAAGAAGAAAAGAGAGTACTCTTCTTTTTGCATTTAAGGACTAGAATGCGATCATGCTTCGACGAATGCAACCTGGCGCTCTACGAATGACTCTTCATCGAAGCCTAGAAGCCTGATGAGGTCGATATGCATGTTTCGATACCGCGGAGAGCCTCCACGAGTGAAGATTTGTCCCCAGGGGTATTTTGACTTTCCGCCATGTTATGCCGGGGGCATCGAAACACTGAGGCAGTTCAAATGGAGACTGCTAGCATGGTTGATAGGTCGTGGGGATATTATAGATGTGTAGAGGACATGAGATTGGAAGCAAAGGAATCTCTCTTTAGAAGCTGGCCGTCCTCTCGTCAAGACAGTTCCTGAATGTTTCCCAGTCGCTATGAGCGCACGTAAAATGTGATGGCCAAGAGCACCAATGCCCGCAATGGCTACGCGCATAGTGAAATCCGTCTGCTTTCAATGATTTCACGCTCGGTTCAGCGTATGTGCTCTTCTCGAAGTCCTGTTCCTGGGAGTCAAGCTCACTTTCCACATGCTTTATCACCAATCGACCATACAATATATTGGGGGGATCTGTTTGATTTTAACTATCTTTATCTATTCTCAAGGACTCATATTAGCGGAAAATACGAAAAATACGTAGTAACAATTGCTAGGACAAACGTCAGGAAAGTAGGTAACCTACCCGGAGCTAAGCAAATTGGGACTAGTCCGAACCATATAACCAGTTACGTAACTAACTAGTGGTCCGTGCTGGCAGAGTTCGGCGATTCCTTCGAGTTGGCGCATTCCAGAGTTGAACGACCACAAACAACCCTGGCAAGGTTTTTCGTTTTGTTGCAAGCATTCAGATGGTTACAACCACAGAACTATATTTTCATAGTCAAGGCCACTTGTCAGACAGCAGCTGTGGTCCAGGACGACTCATCATCCTCAACGATGGCGCCGGTGGATATGAACTGAAATTGGAGCGAAGCGGCTAAGTCGGAGGAAGACGCCCAGGATCCGTCTTAATTTTTCCACTCTTGGACCTTGAAGCGATGGCCTCTAGGCTCAAAAAACAGCCCAAAAAATATGTAAAAGGCAAGATCCAAAGAATCACGCCTCGAACCCAAAGGTTTTATGTGAGCAAGGATCAATATTCGCTGTGGTTGGAATCAACAACAGTGTTTATTGCTTCTTCGATTCTGGGGAGCACAATCTCGACATTAGTGATTTCCAATCGAGAAAGCTGTACATGGCCTATCCCATATTCATCCTCATCCGCATAGGGAATCCTCCCGTCTGTGTAAATCACTGAGCATCTAGTCGTATATTGTATCTTGTTGACGTTTGGGAGGGCTTTTGGGCAGTTGATCCGATGATCGCTGTCACTGGGTCGGTTCGAAATAATCAGGTTTGTCGCTGTGCAGCAATCGGGTTCCAGGGTCTATTGGAACAATTCTTCAGTCTACATTGAATAGGAAGACTCATTCCTGAAATCGCAGTCATATTCACGCTTTGGTGCTCTAGGATTCTGAAAGGTAGAGCCGACGTTCAATGCCGTAGGCATCCCATAAGACCGGCTGCGTGTTTGATTACTCCACATCGTTACGAAGATGGACCCGGATCTGCCAGATAGGGAATAAATCCATTTGAAGTGATGACAAGCTTTCGTCCCCTGGGCCATTGAAACTGCTGATTCTCCCCGTCCTTGACCTTTTCTTGAAGTGAGAAAGACATCGAAGTTCCTGTCCGTACAGAATGAAAGGCCCTTTGTAGATAGTCAAAGCTCGAGCGGAGCCAATGGATTTCCTTGAACTGATGATATTAATGTCCTGTTCAATGTATAGACTGGGGGTGCCCTTTCGACTCTGGGGCAGTGTAGTTGACCCATGATAGGCGGATGATGCAGCGAATTGTGTCATGTGGCTCACTTCGGACTCTCCATGCCATGGCTAGTTACGCAGTTTGGATGTGAGATCTAGGTCATGCGTCGGAGTATTCAATTTTGATGAAATGGCGAAAGTAATCATCCCACATGTGGATATCTATCTACACAGACATGACACAATGCCACCGTAGATATAGTTACTTATTAATGCGCGGCGCAGAGGATTCAATAAAGGCAAGGCTGCAAATCCACGAAGTTTCCCCCCGGGTAACTAAATATAGTAAATTGGGTGGTTGGAATTCCACGCCGCTGCGGTCAACCACTCCACCGCAAGCAAATAAAAGATATTATTAATAAATAAACAGATACACATTGTGTAAGAATGAGAGATAGAATCAAGAAGAGAAGCTCTTGAAGTAGGAATACATAGGCAACATTTTCTTTTTGCTCTTGAAATAAATATCATGGTTCTCTACGCAGCGCAGAAGGGAAGAAGACAACTCGGATTTTTAAAACTTGGCATTAACCAGCTGTTTGTTCCCAACCCATATTTAACCGTCCTCGCTCCTCCGGGTTTCCTCTCACTTGTTATTCTGGGGTTGCAATTGCTCAGCTAACATATGGCTCGACATGCCACCTCGAAACCGAAAAGAACGGCGTGCAGCTCAAGCTTCCACCGCAGGTAAGGATGCATTCGACCCGGCCTCGATCCCTCTTAGTCGCCCTCCCGTCGTGAACGACTCCTCCCCGAACGCAAAAGCCCGAACGCTCTATGAGATCGCAGCCGAAAGAGAGGCGGAGCTAAAAGGAATCAGACCAAAGAAGGACCTCAAACCACCCTCGGGCACAGAGTTCGTCACAATTTCTCCTTCGGGTGAAATCTCTCAAGTTGATGATCCCTCCGAGCTATCTACGGAAAATCAAAGCAACACTTCAGCTCCCCGGGGTGATGAAGCTGACGTAGATGCGCCCATACCGCCTCTCCCTGACACTATATTCATCTCGATGCCTCTCTCGGTTCTTCACTTTACACTGTCCTTTCTCGCAGCACATCAGTATGCCCAAGAGATCCCACTGCAAACACTCCTAAGGGAGTCGGCTTTTATATCCTTCCCTACTTTAACTTTGCTGATCCACCTTGCCCACGGTCATATTATCTCGTTCGACATGTTCAACTCCCGAGGTAAAGAAGAGCAGAGGCGGAATGGAAAGAACGGGGATCCGACGCGACAGGATTCTCCCAATGATGATACTACTGCCATGGATAAGATTTTCAAAGCTCTATTTCCCCCCTCGGCAAAATCAATCATATTCGTCCCCCTGGCCTGTTTTCTCGGCGGACGCCTAATAGCGATCACGAACGAGGCATCCTATTATGCGGTGATGAAAAAAGCACCCTCTTTGGGGACTTTGTGGGTTTGGCTGGTGTTGGAGCTGTCGTTGATCCCGGCTCTTCTGGCGGTCTTAGTACCAATTGGATGGGCTGTTCTATTCAAGGGCTATGGAATTATCTGAGCTGGTTACCCCTAAAACGGGCGACGAAGTCGAATGGGATGATTTATGAAAGATAATAAGACTCCCTCAGCAACACTTGTGTTGATCATCAACATGCGGTCACTTTCTCCTAGCTTTGCTCGCCTACGGGAAATTCTTTAGAAGCAAGTAAAGCACGCATATTTAATGCTTTTCTGGTTACACACGTTATGGTAGTCTTCTCCATTGTGTAGACGAAATAAAGAGTGATCGACAAAACGTGAAAGTGTTTGATATGCACACATAAATAGAAATATTTTAATTTCTGCCCGGGTTTCGGGGATTTTGGGAACGATGGAGCAATGATCGAGGTCCCGGCCACAACAACACTGTAACTACGGCCTTTGAAACCAGTTGGAATGGACAAACATTGTATAGTTAACTGATTTCCATCTTTAAATATCACTTGCCACTATAACAGCCGCTTTACTTCCCGCGGGGGATTGTTTTTCTTTACCTGGATGACTTCTTTCAGCGTCTGCCATCGTCATCTAGTCTCACATCATCCAGCATCTGTGCTCGTCCAAGCAACTTGACATGATATTCTGCCGTTGTTTCAAACCTTTGTATCCCAAAAGAGCCAGCTGCACTTCGGAGAAAACAAGCAAACACTTCGTCATGAGTCTATCTTTCAACTCTACGGTGGATCTGCGGTCACGGTGTATGGGGGTCAGCGTCGTTCCAGGCCGCTTGGTGCCCTCCAACGGCAGCACTGGAGCAGCCTTTGCGACGCTTGATCAGCTACATGTTCGGGGCAGCCCGACTCTCCCCACCTTTCTATCCGCCGATGTCTGTACTGCTAAAATCGGGGTTGGAGCATACGTTAACAAGCAGCTCGTAGTCGTTCCTACCACGTCCCCAAGGGCCGCTTCTGGTGGCTGCTTTCTTCCAGCGGAGATTCCACAAACAAGCTCCCATTTTCGCTGTCGTTGCCTTAGTTATCTCAGGCAATTCTCTCAACGCCAAAACTGGAGGGAAAATAAAGCCCTTGCTTTGTTGTTGTACCGGGATTGGTTATGTCCAAGGAGCAGAACAGCGTTCCAATCATGGTTGTCGATCTCAGGAAGCTCTTTGATCTTGCCATTTTATTCCTGTTCGAAATTTTTCTCGTTGCCAATGCCGAAACGGTGGAGCTTCGGGTGTCAACTTCTGGAGGAAACGAATCCAGTCCGATCCTGTATGGGTTTATGTTTGAAGTCTGTATGCGAGAGCCTTCAAATGACAGGCTGGCTATCTCGCTGACAAGGTCCTAGGATATAAATCACTCTGGAGATGGTGGAATACATTCCCAGCTGCTCCGGAACAATGGGTTTCAAGGAGAATCTACTGATCTCACAGCGTATAATTCGGTGGGTAATGTGACCTTGGGTGTTGACCTTAGAAACCCTCTCTCTGCTGAAATTCCGCGCAGCCTCAAAATCTCCGTTCCAGAAGGCGCCTCTGGTGAGGTGGGCTTCTCAAATGAGGGATACTGGGGGATCCCAGTCAATTCCGAAACATACACCAGTGCTTTCTTTATAAAGGGGTCGTATACCGGCAGAGCCACCCTCAGTCTGAGAAGACGCGCCAACAATACATTATACGCCTCACAGGATGTCAATATTCAAAGTAATGCGGACAAGTTTACATATTATGAAACGAGGTTCAAACCAGAACAGGCGCCGGATGGAGATAACCTTTGGGCATTGACATTCAATGGATGCAAACTTGCTGGGCGAGAGATCTATGTCTCGCTGATCCAGCTGTATCCCAGGACTTTTCGTGACAGGTCTGTTTCTTTGCACATTTGACATTCTCCAAGGCGAAAATCCTCACTAGAGCGCCTAGGAAAAATGGTCTTAAACCTTCACTCGCAGACCCCATTGCGAATATGAATGGTTCGTTCCTTCGATTTCCCGGGGGCAACAATCTGTAGGTTGTTCTCCGCCTCGGTCCTGGGTGAATTAGGCCGAGCTAAACAGTGACAAACAGCGAAGGAATACATCCCTATTCCAGGTGGAAATGGAACGAAACTATTGGGCCGCTGGAGAGTCGGCCTGGCCGTGAAGGTATGATTAAGAGAATAGCTTATTTGTTCATGTCCTGTACAGCGAGGAGTACAAAGTAACCCCATGTTCCAGGTACATGGTCGTATGCGAATACCGATGCCCTTGGTGAGCCAATCCTTTCGCAAGACGATGTCACATTCCATGAATTGCTAAGTAGTACAGGCTTGCTTGAATATCTCTGCTGGTGTGAGGATATGAACCTCATTCCTCTCCTAACGGTTTGGGATGGTCTGAGCTTGGGACAAGGTCCAGGAGATATCATCACCGGTGATGCTCTAAAGCCCTACGTTGAAGATGTGCTCAATGAAATAGAGGTGCGTTTTATCCAATTTATACAACTACCCCTCATGTCACCACTCTGACATTGTGGGAAGTTTATTCGCGGGGAAGCATCAACGACATACGGAGCTCTCCGGGCAAAGCTTGGTCATCCAAAATCTTTCAAACTATTACATGTCGAAATTGGAAATGAAGATCATCTCTGGGGAGGTGGGCCATCATACCCAGAGCGGCTCATGATGTTCTACAACGCAATTCATGAGAAATATCCTGATATAAATCTCATTGCAAGCACGGGAGAGTACCTCCCGGCGAGGTTGCCAGACGGACTCTGGATCACTTTTCACACGTACTCTTCACCAAGCGAATTAGTCTCCTGGTTTAACAAATTCGACAACGTTGACAGGGCACATCCCTGGTCTGTTAGCGAATTTGCGTGCAGCAAAAATGACGAGGGAGCGCAAATACCAGAGCCTAATGTGCAGTGCTCGGTTGCGGAGGCGGTTTTTATGATTGGGATAGAGCGCAACAGCGATGTTGTGAAGATGGAGGCATATGCTCCGTTGCTGAGAAATCGAGGGGGCACCCAATGGACGGTATTTCAAGATCCTTTGCGCATATTAAGAAAAGTCTTTTTTCTAAATACCCCAGACTGTTGAAGGAGGCTCTGGCCATGGTGTGCTAAAAGAATTGAGTTTACAGCCCGATCTCATAGAGTTTAACCATAACCCAAACGGGGTGGTTCTATCGACCAGTTACTATGTGCACCAACTGTTCTCACTCTACCGAGGTCACACTATCCTTGAAGTACTGTCCAACCGCCCCTTTGGGCCAGGTACGGTTCCTTCTTGCTTTAAACTCACCGTCCAATTCTATGTGGCCAGCTCATTTCTTACGGACTATACTTTCCCATTGCTTCTTTTTTTTTTTTTTTTGGAATCTAACCCGCCCCCATTGACAAATAGTTTACTGGGTTGCCTCAAAATCTGACAGCAGCTACATCGTCAAATTTGCCAATTACAGCCCTGATAGACATGAGATCAAGGTTACATTTGATGATAAAAGGATCGACTGCACATGTTCCCTCCACCTCATCAGTGGCCCACCGGAGGCCAGCAACGTATACGGTTCAACCAAGGTAACCCCTAACAAATCGGTCATTTCACCAAACGGTGAGAATGGCACGTTTAGGTTAGATGCGCCCTCATGGGGGGTAGGCGTGTTGGTTGTGAGCTTCAGGTAGCAGATAGCTATGTATGTATATTTAGGTGTGGTAATGCGGCTGGCCTGATCCGATTTACGAAAGACGTCTTTCTATGTCTATTTTTGATCCATCAGGGGTCATTTTCACTTTCATTTCCACTTGTGGATATATGTATCGGATGTATGTGGAATAGAAGCCTATGTGTAATATATAGATATATCGAGGTTAAACGTGCCACTCGTGCGATGATTATAATCACACGAGAGACCTCACTAAGAGTTTGTGCTAAATAAATATAATTATGGTCATGAGTTCATTGTAGATTCGTGAGACATAGGGAGGCAGCTCTGTATATACAAAGTATAACTTGTCCCGTATTGTCGCCCTTTCATCTTACTTTTCGAGTGCATAAGCAAGGAATAAGAAAGCAGAAACAACCGCCGTAGATTCAAAAGCAAGATAATTGGGGGTATAAATGTATGTATAGGCAGATCCCCACGAGGAAAATAAAAGGATGAGCAGAGTTTGTGACAACTAATGGGAGAAAATTAAGACAGCGAACGTATAGGGAATGTTTGTTTCAGCATAGATGAGATTTAGAACAACGATCCAGCGCAAGAACGGAAAACGGGCGCATTTACTGTATCGCAGGCATGTTGCAGGGAAACGAAGGAGATCCAGTGGCTAATTCAATTAAGCAAACGAATGAAGCAAAAATAAAAAGGACACCGAGCATAAACAAGCATAAAGCTCCAAGATGTTGCAACTTTTACGCTGTTAAACTCTATAGTTAGCTGCATGTATTTGGCTCAAAGTAATGGGGTGGGGGAAAGGGAAGATGGTAGAACGGATCGTAAAAGTTGCTGGTTGAAAAATCTGGTCATGGAATCGTGGAGTTTTTTTTTTTTTTTTTTTTTTTTTTTTTTTTCCTTTCCTTTTTCTTTTTTTCTTCTTTTTTTCCTTTCCTTTTTCTTTTTTTCTTCTTTTTTTCTTCTTCTTTTTTCTTTCTTTTCCTTTCTTTTCTCTTTTCTTCTCTTTTCTTTTCTCTTTTTTGTTTCATGGACATAAGGGACAACAGAAAATATTGAAGCACTAAGTTGAAGATGACAATTGGCACTGAAATCGGAGGAGGGATGTTCGAATAAACTCATAATAATGGTATGCATATATGATCACAAAATGGAAAAGCATTGCTCGAAGTCTCAGGACGATTTTTGAATAGAATGGATATCGAAGATGATTATCGGTGATTGTCGATGGTATGGGGTGTGAGGAGCGAGGTTGACAGCGGAACACACGAGGGTCGTGTGGAATGATGGCATCAGTAAACCCCTGAAGGAAACATCGCCTGTCGTGTTTATACATCATTAAAATGGGTCCTCGGAGTCGTCAGGGTCCGATCAGCAATGTTTCGAGTAGCCATCTTGTCTCGGTTCACTCAGCTCTGGTCCCGCTTCCAGAATATCGGCCGTAAGCGCGTGATCCCAATTCCAGTGAGAGCTACTGAGATAATTCTCCAAAGGTCTCAGTATGTCAAGAGCGACAGGGTTCGTGAAAACTATTTATTGGCTCGAGTTCCTCAGGGTCCAGCGAGTGGAGGGAGGGACAGTGTAAGTCTCCACCGCAGCTTCGGATTTGTCGGCCGTAATATAACCCGGGGGGCTGGCAGGGACGTCGGTGTACACAGGTGGCATCTCTTCATCCCAACTAATTCCTAACCCAGCGCATTCCGTGACATGGAGCTGGAACACCATGCGCAAAACTCGTGCTGAGCCAGTTGGAGTGATGATATTGACGTTGCTATTGGGACAATACTCTTCTGCGACAATCTGTTCCACCACGAGATCGTGTTTGATCTCCAAGCCTCCATCAGGGGGAGGGTCGAGGTTGCACGTGGGTTTCGATCCTGGCGTGATGTGGGCTTCGAACTCGATATTTATCTCTCCACCAACCGTATCAAAATCCGTCTTCCACCCGTTTTTCTGTTCGCCGTTGCCAATTATCCGTCTCACTTGGTGCAAAATACCTCTTCCATCAGGTACTTTCTGGCAGTGTTGACAACAAGCAGAAGATAATATCGTCTGGTGCTCCTCTATCCGCCACATCATTTTCCGCAAGCGCCATCTGACGCTGCCGTGTTCCCTTTTCTCCACGACACCACGAAGACTAAACCGAATGGGAAAGTTACCGATTGGGTGTATTACTGGAGGAACGATGGCCCTGCCTACCAGGTTGGTTGGAGGGAAAATGCGCATTGAAGTTTTGTCAGGGCCCGGCATGATTGCTCGTTTTATGTTTACGGGCACTTGAAGGTGTAGTTCCTCGCCAGCTGCGGTAACTGCATACGCGGAAAGGTTGTAGGAAACCGAACCCAACGCCGTATGAGTTGTTGCCTGCAAGTTGCCAGGAAACAAGTGACTGAATGGGTAATCATGATTGCCGGTTTTCAGATGGCAGGGCTCCGTCAAAAACTCCCACTTGTACAACACATTCGTGCGTGATTTGCAGGCCGGACAGTCCTTAGATACGGGTTTATTGGTAGTAGCTGTGCAGGTAAGTTGCATGCGTAAGGCTTTGAGGATGACTTCCCCTTGAGAATCAAACACGGAAAGCAGCAGACGACCGGACATCAATGCACCGGTAGATCGACTGGGAGAACCGTATAGAACCAACGGTGGGGATTCAATAACAAGGTCCAAGCTCGCACCAGGGGCAGTGAGAGCATCATGGTTATCCGTTGGTTTTTCGCCGGAACGCAGATGTATCCAACTCCGTCGCTTCTCCTTATGACCCCGATCCCGATCCCGGTCCCGATTGTGATGTGGATGGATCAAATGATCTAAGGAGAAAGAAAGACGGCGTTCAGGTTGCTCCGGTGCATGGGCATCATGTCCAGAACGGTTGCTTGAGAAGACTTCGCTTTTCCGTGAAGGTGGTGACGAGGCCGATCTAACAGCATGACGATCGCTGTGCTCATGCGGTAGACTGAGGTACGGAGGGTGTGCAGTAGCAGACCGCACGAGGCTGGAGAGAATTCTGCCCGGCATGGCGAGCGTTGGATACTGTCGACTTGGAGATATGTATTGTCGCCGTCACAGAGGGCGGCAGCGGTTGCTAGCAGGGGAAGAATACCGCGACGGCAGAGTAAAGGTGACGAAAGAGTACCTAGCAAGGTAACAACTCCACTCTAATCTCTTGGTTCTTTTGGATGTCGGGGATTTCTGTTGCCCGATTGCATTTGCCATACAAAGGACAGATAGATCCCCGTGGTCATCTAAACCGATAGGAGGTTTTTGATTGGGGTTCAATATCGAGATCTCTGATGAATCCACATATCAATTTGCGATTTGTGAATATTCTGCATGGGTCATAGGAACAAGATTCATTTGCCATGAGTCAGGTAATAATAATCAAACAGAAAAACAACAACCAGTTGAGGGGTAGAAAACCGCGGGAAGAAAAAATTTGCGAAACTTTATGGTAGATCCCAGATCTAGGGAACGGGGTTGTATCGGGGTGGTAAAAGGGGTGTAAAATACACTTCGGTGGCAACGAAAGTTTGGTATTGCGTTGTCATGCGACCCCAAATACAGCGCATCTAGACTCTCCACCAAGGAACTAGACTTTGACGCCGTCATCGACATCAAAATACTTGGCAGCTCAAACTATCAATACTATTGAAGAAGAATAATTACGTTGAATCAAGAACAAACCAGGCAATTCCCAGGCCAGGGTGTGAACGTTTCAAAATCGTTGACGTCTGCAAGTCTCCGCCGCCCGTTGGACTCAGTATTTGACCCGCCCAGTAACTAGGTACTTTTCTGAGTAGTTGTGCAGGTCGTCACAAAAAGTAAATTGGCACCAACCAATGGACTAGTTAGTTATCTCTGCCGTTTTGCAGTAATGCACTCCGCAATTGGGGTAGATCATGCCATGCGCCTCTATCGTCTGGCAACAATTCACCTTGACGCAAGCGATTGGCCCAACATTTAACCAACCCTGGCTGGCGTGCGGAATGCGCTAGTTACTGCAAAAGCTCAGTCGCCTTGTTGGAACGTCGGTCAATCGTGAGAGCAGTCGTTGCGCAGGGCTAGAAGCAACACCAAATGTCAAATTGAGATATGCTTCTGGAGCGGGCATCACGCAATTGTGTTAAAAACTTGGGAGCTTTCAGGCGTTGGAACCCCGTGTGTTGTTGATCTTGGCATCCTCTTGACGAGAGAGCCAGAAAATATGATGTGGTGACTGAAATCTTTTTTTGCTCCTCACACCACGCCTGGCGAGGTTGCGACCCGATATCTGACTCTTGATCATCCATGGTAGCCTTCAACAGCCTTGCAAGGTTTGAAAATTACAACTAAATTGTGCCAAAACCAAACCATGGGTCCAGATGCCCCAAAAGAGAAACTTGGAGAAAGAGTTCTTCCAACATCTTCCACAACCAATGAGTCGATGTGATTGTTGGTTTGACTAACCAACATTGATAATTTTAGCAACATCCAAACGAATGAATGCTATAATGATGACTGATCAAATTTTCTTGCTGCTTCTCTAACCACACAACACGTTACAGGCCACACTGCAATGCCCGAGGAAGCTGCTTCTGATCACAACCGGCTGCAATGGCATATTGTGGCTAATAAACATATTTCTTCTTCTTTCGTCATTCTCTCTCTCATTTCGCACGTTGCTTTGCAGCGCGTTGGAATTTCAACCAAGTGTTTCGCTTCCAAATAAAAATCTCTCGCCCCAAACTCAAGAGGGTCAGCAACAGCAGAGTGACATTTGCGCCCAACCCTTGCCACGCAGATTGTTTGGAAGTAAGAAGGGAACTAACTCCCATATGCAGACTGGGGAGGTTGCCCTATTCGTGTACTGCAGAATTTACTAACCAGCCAAGTCTGACAATACAGCACAGTCAACCCCCGCCTCCCCTCACCCCCCCCAAAAAAAGACCTCGGGAACCACCTGAATGCCAGAAAGGTGCTGGTAGCATGCTTTTTTCAGATGCTGACAGAAGCTTCCCAGCTTCGGCTACCTAACTTGGCGCTCACATGGGAGGAGATCAAGAGGCTTGTCTACACAGACTTTGCCCTTTGAGCAGGCTGCACTTCACAGCCGATCCTGCGGATCTGCTTTCTCTGTTTGGGCTTCATCCCGAGAGCAGTTTGCAGCAGCGATTGGCTTACAAAGGAAAAGGTAATCAATTCCGTCATTTGGTTAAAACCTTTTGACTTGCTTTTGCAGAAACCAGAAAGCAAAGTTTAACGTGTTAGTCTTATTATACACGGAGGTGTATGATTCACAACGACTTAGGGGACCCGCTTTGGCGTTTTAGATGTGGTTGATGTTAAGACCTCAAACAGCGCCATACTTCCGTACGGTGATTTCCTAAACTTGGGACTGGGTATCGAATCAAATGTCCATGCTACAGACAGCAGAGAATACCACCCCCATAACATTCACATTGCCCAGGATGAATTGAAAGAGGCCGGGTTATATATAGAGTCAAGGAGTTGGAAGAATTGTGGAACCAGAGACAATGCAGAGAGAGCAGGTAGATCGCTCTTGTTTCCCGTCTGGCGTCGCATTGTTCACAGAAGCCTTGTAACTGTGGGAGAAATGGTCTTAAACGGAGAAAGTGCATCTAGAGCGGCGGCCGCAGTTATAGTTAAGCCAGGTGGTGGCGCGTCCTTTAGTAGTTAGTTATCTTAAAGTCATATATAGATCGCTACAACATCTACAATGTCGATCATTTATGCTCAGGTCGAACCTTCTGCCCGAAAGGAGCCCCTTTGAGATGAGCCAGGCGTTTAGGGCCTAAATACTATTTAGTTAGGGATGTTAGGAGGTCTCCATAGTCCAATATATAGAACTATTGGCGATTGAGCCTTTTTGCCCGTGTTGTTATGCAGTCTACTGGTTTAACAAATCGTTGACTCGTTAACAAACAGTCGTGTTAATTTTATATTACATAACCTGGAAGGTTTGTCATGTGATTGCGTTGTTTCTTCGAGGGTTTAAACTTCGGCATCAACCTGACCAACTCGTGAGAAGAAACGCCCAGTTCTTGATTGCTCTGTGCACAATGGCGGGATAGTTATTTAGTTAGTGTTGTTGACACCGGAGCAGCTGATAAAGGAGGATACTGTTCAGGCGCCGCTAGCCCATGATGTTCGATTAGTGTGCCCTTCGACTAAGCCTGTCGCGTTATAGGCGCGGCCACTTTGACCCGCTTAAAACAAAGCCGCCCCATCTCAAAGCTCCATTGGATCGACATCCGCCCCTCCCCCTTTTTCTACCCCGGAGTAGATTATTACGCCACGTTACCTATTCACGTCAGCTCCTCAGCAGCAAGTCGGTTCGTTGCGCTGGTTGTTCTACACGTACCTAGCCGAAAAGGGAGGAGAACAGACCTTCAAAACAACTACCTGGGGAGCGGAGTTAGCAGAGGAACTGTTTGCGACGTCAATCATCCCCCCCCCCCCCCCCCCCAACTGGGCGTCTTTCTACGTCCCGACATTATTGTTAGGTTGTGTCCCGTCCGTGGAGGATTGCTAAATTTTGTCACTATCGCAAGAAGAATTTCGTTATTCAATTGCACAATTCAGAGGCAAACTCTTCCACCATTAGATTTACTATCCCATCCATCCGATCCCACAAAATCTTGTAGCCATGGGGATCGACTCTAGCTCAACCCTTCTCGCTCTCGCCTTTATCCCCCCTTTTCTCCTCTTCTTCTGGACTATGTCTGCCACATCCTCTTCGTCGCCGTTTGGTCTTACCTTCCCCAATGTTCGGAATAAGAGGATATGTCTTTTAATAGCGCATCCAGACGATGAGGCCATGTTTTTTGGACCAACGTTGTTGGCAATGACTCGACCGGAGTCCGGAAATCATTTGAAAATTCTTTGTTTGAGCTCCGGTATGCGCATTAGGCTTTTCCCCACGTAGCCTCCCTGCATGTGCTTCTCGAGAAAGTGTCTCCACCTATCTGTCTCCTACCTAGCTCGACGGGGACGTAACGAGCAGTGTCTAACAACAAAAAAATTTACCAAATACAGGCGACGCAGACGGTCTCGGCCACATCCGTAAAGATGAACTAAAAGCCAGTGCGCTCCGGCTGGGCCTGCGCAGTGAATCCGACGTTTTCGTCGTGGACGACCCATCCCGCTTCCCGGACAGCATGACCGCAACCTGGTCCGCATCCGACATTGCGACCCTCCTAGCTTCCGCGTTCGCACCCGAACTTTCCTCCACCACCAACGGCTCCTCCAAGTCCACCCAAAACCCTCCCAATGCCACAATCGACATCCTCCTCACCTTCGACCAATCGGGCGTCAGCAACCACCCCAACCACCGCTCCCTCTACCACGGTGCGCGCACTTTCCTTCATAATCTCATGAAGGACAAATCTGGCTACTCCTGTCCCGTAACCCTCTACACGCTAACTTCCACAAATATCTTGCGCAAATACATCGGCGTGCTGGATGCGCCGTTTAGCATGGTGCATGGGCTTGTTGGAGCTGTCTTTGACCGGAAACGGCCGTCGAGTACGGCAAAGGACAAGCAGCCGAAGAGATTGCTGTTTGTGAGTAGCATTGGTGACTGGTTGGCTGCCGTGAAGGCAATGGTACGCGCACATAAGAGCCAGATGGTCTGGTTTCGATGGGGCTGGGTATCGATCGGAAGGTATATGGTTGTTAACGATTTGAAGAGGGAGAAAATATAGATTTGGTGGGTCAATTCCAGGGGACGGGAGCGGGGGGGAGGTGTGTTTGTGTTGATTTAGAGAAGTGATTGAACGGAATTTATATATTTGAATACGTATTTAGCTGTACAACCCTTTTGTATCATATTAGATAGATATCGTAATTATTTATAAACTGTACATACTATACTGAGCTATTTATCCCGAATTAACGATTCCTTTAAATAGCTAGAAACTGCTTCAAGTTTCGTGTTTGCATTTCAGATGGATGGAATCGGTATCTGCTCTCATGGAGGAAAAGTGAGGGGAAGTTAGGGAAATGATACAACGCTTCAAATAATGAATAATGCAACACAATTATACAGGTAGAGTATTTGTCCTATTGTAATCATTTGTCCACACAAACGCCAAAAATGAGAGTCGACAGAAGATGACGTCCCCTAGATTTTGAGAAAATCAGAGCATAGTGAAGGGAAAGAATGTGAGAAAGTATAAAAATGAGAGATGTGAACAGTAGATTGATTGAGGTATTTATTGTGTGGAAGCGCAGATAGACAGATAGATATTAAAGAAATTATCACATTAGAAAGGAGGCTCTGATATCAACATGAAAATTAAATTAAGCCAGGAGCTTATATCAGCCCACGGCTGGGGCGACTTTGTGCAATAAACCTTCTGGATTGTGAGAATCTGCCATGCACCCATTTGGATGTTCACCAATAACTGTGAAAATAGCTTTCAAAAACTTATTCTCCTCTGGATCACCCAGTTGGAGGTCCAGATCAGACAAACCTTTCTCTGGGCGCTCCCGTTTCCCGTTGGGCCAGAAACTTGCTGGTTGGAATTCCACAACCCCTGTTCTGATGTTATAGTATGTGTACTGTGGTAAGAACCGTTCCCACTCTTGCAGGAGACGCGGAATAAGCCGGAACTGCCAATGGTCAACGTCCTGGTCCCAGCGTCGGCCATCAAGCAGCAATCGCACCCATCGTTCTATGATTGTTGCATCTCGACTAGTGTTCAACTGCTCCAGGTTAAAGGCTGCCTTCATGGTTCTGTACTTCTTTATCATCGACAGATTAATGGGGATGCTGTGCTCATCGGGCTCAGCTGTTTCTTGCTGTTCCCGTAGCTCCAGTCGCCTGATTTGCCTCTGCGCCCACCGCTCATTAATGTAGCTAGGAGGTTTACCGGTTATCTGTGCATCTAGGTCCTCACGCAGGTAGTGAATGTACTTTTTCGCTTCTCGCTTTTGTTGTAGCTGTTCCTTGGCATCTGGGACAGAGCCATTTGCAGCTGCTGAATCAGGATGTGTGGCCGTAGAGGCGTTTGTTGGAATTTCTAAACTGGATTTCCAGAGGTTGCCTTGTAGCCGCTGGTAAGTTTTCTTGAGTTTGACCTGCCACTGGATATTCTCTGGTAGGAGTGTCAAAAGATGTTCAACAAACGCTTGCTTCGCAGTATCTCGTCTTTTCAATGTTTCTTGGAATAACGCACACCCTTCCCTCATATATTTCAAGGTATAGTCAAGCCTACTTCGCGTCCAGGACGTGGTAATGAGCATATCATATAGCGGGATTGTTGGCTTCACGTTATATGGATTAGAGGTCATGGTATCGAACAGTGCCTTGACGGTTTCTTTTGGAACTTTGCCAACGCTGTTCTCTTTTGCTCTGGGGCCCCATCGCTCGGAGGACAAGACAAAGGACCATTCGACCAATTCCAACCAAACAGAATCTGGAATTGGGATTTTGTAAGACGTAGAAATAAAATCAACCAGCTGCATTGCTGTGGAGAGGTCGTTGTTCGAGCCGAATATGTGTGCGACGGCATACAAGAGACGAAATGTAGGATGCAAAGGGGATGTGGGGCTGAATTGTTTAACCGGCGGGACATTGGCCGGATCCTCATGAGCCATTATCTGCTCGACATCAATATTCCACACAGTCTTCAGAACATTATTTACAGCCACGATATGGCCCTCTCTGCTGGAAGCAGTCATAATGCTGATATAAGTAACCTCATCGGGTTGTTGGCCTCTTGCAACCATTTCATCATACAGTTGAAGCACCTCCTTTCGCACACTGTTTTCGGCGCCAGTACCATATCCTTGATAACCCGTATTCCTGTTTATATAACTTCGCTTCCTGTAAACCCACGGGGTAAATCTTAAGTTATATTTCTCCTTCGACACGTATGCATGATGCCACCCTTTCGCCTCCATGTAATGGTTATAACAGGCAGTAGTTGGTTCAATCTCATCCACAGCCATATCATACCACAGCCAGTCTGCCATGTCGGCATCTCCCATTGACCTCGCGCAGTCCAAAAGATGGGTATATTCAGCAATGCCCAATATAAATCCAGCCTCCCGACGTCTCTCGACAGCGAAATGCAGCACCCGTTTGAACTCGTCGAATATTACCTCAAGGGTCTTGTATCCCTTGGCATGTGCTACAGCAGGATGAAATCGCCGGTGTAATCTTTTGTGAGGCTCGATAAAATGTGACGGGGTTAGGAGAGAGAGCGCTTCGGCAAAGGAAGGTTCAGGTAAGTTATACGTGATGGTCTGGACTTGCTCTGGGCCCAAAAAAGCATAAACCGCGATATCGGGCGTCTCCCGATCAAGGTAGTCAATAATCCCATCGTCTGTTGAATAGTACGTATCCATTAACTCCGAAGTGAGAGATTTATACGGTTTTCCGTCACCCCGTTTCAATTCGGCTTCGGTCCGTCTATGGGTGTCGAGATTAAATGACAACGCTTGCATGAGGAAAGGGGACTCTGCAGGTTCCGTGTGCTTGGGTTTCAACGAGTTCCATATCGTCTTAATTGGCTTAAATATCCACGGACTATAGGCTTGTGTAGAGAGCATCTTCAATTGTTGTGCGGTATATCGAGTGCGAAGAGTGTGCACTGAAGAGCCGCGGACATAGCCATCACCAAAAAGCCGCGTGCAGCATGACGGGCAGACAAAGTGAGAGCTCAGCGCCTCACTTCGAAAACCAATTCCTCGCATCAATGAGTCACAGTAAGCTAGGATGAGTCGAATTCGGCGAATCAATCGTGGCAGGTATGGAATAAGTGTCGTCTTTTCTTCGTTGTTCGGTCCAGCATAATTTTTTTGGGGGGGAGGCCTGTTAATTAAACTATCTGAGCAATCTGCCGTTAGCGCTAACCCACTTAAGGATACCGCCTTTGCGCGTTGAACTTCCTGTGTTTTTGCAAACGAAACTCCAAACTTCCTATCCAGCGTCCAATCTTCGCGCCTCGATCGAATCTCTAGCTTCCGTTTACCACAGTCAACATGGCTGAAGCAGATGCCGGGGCCACGGCTCCGTTTTCGGAGCCCTTGGACCTCGTTCGTCTCTCGCTTGACGAGGTGGTTTTCGTGAAGCTTCGTGGAGATCGAGAGCTAAAAGGTCGTCTTCATGTCAGTTATACCGCGCTTCCTCCACACCCTCCTCCGGCCTCACTGATTCCTGTTTTTTTTCTCACGGAGCAATTGCGATATTAATGTTTATGTAGGCCTACGATAGTCATTGCAATTTGGTCTTGGGCGATGTGGAAGAAACAATATACATAGTCGAGGAAGATGAATCCGAACGGGAAACGATCAAGGTAAGCACTTTGCCCAAGTGGTTCGCTGGTTTTTGGCTCCATTGTCGCTAATACTGCTCCATCGCAGACGATCAAGAAGCAAGAAGAAATGCTTTTCGTGAGAGGTACGGAGAGCATTTGGCCATCCTGTGAGCTGGGATGCTAGTGCTTCTGACTAACTTATTTGCGAACAGGGGACTCTGTTGTCTTGATATCTCCCCAACCTCCATCATAATGAGCACAACCAGATATGAAATTTAAGCCTCCAGGGAATAAATGATTGAACAATATAGGATCTAGAGGTAAAAATGCGGTGCTCCTGGAGCAAGGTCTAATGAGTCAACCGGGAAATGAGCAACGAGAAATCCCCTGCTATGTTATGTGTCGAATCTAATGACTACAGAGCCAAGTCAGGTGGATCCAATCTACGATATTAATGGATAGTGTCTCTATTACTTGAAGTCGAGGCATGCATATGTGGCTCTAGATAGACAAGACTCGCCTGAATCGGCATGCGAAATAGGCAAAAGTGGAGCAACTTCTAAATCACCTGTGCATATTCAGAGTTAGATTATTAGTAGGAGATTTACAACATAGATCAAAAGCGTATATATAACCAAAGCTATACAGGTAATAGGAATGCGTGTTCATGTGTCGGGGTTGTGAGTCAAAACCGCCACTATTTTATGACTCTGTCCAACGCGGGCAGCGTAGCTAATTACATCAACTAGTTAACTATTAGTTAGTTAGTTAACTATTAGTTAGTTAACTAGTTAGTTAACTGACTCCAACACAACCAAAGTAAATGGCTCAGTCAAACAGCTGCAGACTTCAGAGAAGCAATTTAAGTACTCCCATCACCTGCCTCGTCTACCTCAAAGCACATCCCAAATCATTGCATACCAGGAGTTTCCTCTGATATATTTATTGCCACTATGTTACATATCAAGCAATGATACTTCGAATACATCTTTGACTTCATACTTGACCTGCATCTCCGCTGGATGCACGTAACTACCTGCCACGGAACCAATCAATTTAGTTATAATCATGACGCACAGAGCCCATAGGCAAACAGTGGAGGAGAGACGGAAGGGGGAACTGGTACACCATGACTCCGTGCTCTTCTCCATTCGTTACGTTTCTGAGGTGCGAACAAAATGGCCTCGTACTAATAATCTTCTCATTAAAAGGCTCTCAGTGACTTCGCTGAATATGTCGAGAAGCAGCAAGCGCATCGCTCTGCGCTGCAACGTGAAGCTCGGGGGGACTCTGTGGCACCCAGCGACAGTGGCTATTCCACTGTGAGCCTTGCGGCGGTGACAGAAGATCATGCTGAACTCGATATTATCGACCAACTAGGCTTGTCGGACGATACCAGCCATGTTAAGCTAAAACATCTCCTCCTGGACAACTCCGCCACTGCGGGTGATACATTACAACAACTTGCTGGTGTGGTACAGACTCGTATTGATGAAGGACATGGCGAAACGGTTTTTGATCTTGGCCAAGAAGACAACGGGGAATGGATGGGATTTGACAAAGGGCAATGGGATACCGCTCTAGAGAGACTACGAAAGGCCGCTCAAACACTCCCAGCCGACTGTAGCGTACTTCTTACCCACAATGTGGGTGGCAGCCAGGAGGCGGAATCCAAAAACGAGCGGATCAAGCATGCTTATGGCAAAATCCTCATACGCCAGGCTGCAGCGTCGGCTGAGGATGTGATTGAGACCAGAATCGCAGTTGTTGGAAACGTTGATGCTGGGAAAAGCACTCTACTTGGTGTACTTGTCAAGGGCAAACTCGACGATGGCCGTGGGAGGGCACGAGTCAGCCTTTTCCGCCACAAACATGAAATCGAGAGCGGTCGAACTAGCTCTGTCGGTATGGAAATAATGGGATTTGACACCCATGGCGAAATAGTTGGGCGTGGACACGGGCGCAAACAATCCTGGGAGGAAATCGGCAAGCAGTCTGCCAAAGTAATTTCTTTCACAGACTTAGCCGGCCATGAACGATATTTACGAACCACTGTTTTCGGGATGTTGAGTAGCAGTCCAAATTACTGTCTGCTTATGGTGGCCGCAAATAACGGGATAATCGGGATGAGCAAAGAGCATCTCGGTATAGCGCTGTCTCTGAATATTCCTGTCATGGTTATCGTCACCAAAATCGATATTTGCCCTCCCCATATCCTACAGCAAACTATTACCCAGCTGACACGCATCCTGAAATCCCCAGGCGCCCGGAAAATCCCTGTATTCATCAAGACTCTCGAGGAAACCGTCAATACAGCAACTCAGTTCGTTAATCAACGGATCTGTCCTATCTTCCAGGTGTCCAATGTGACTGGAGAGTGCCTTGATCTCGTGCGAATCTTCTTGAACATCTTACCACACCACGGGCATTACGATGCTGACGCGCCTTTCGAGTTCCTTGTGAATGATACTTTTTCAGTTCCATTCGTTGGTACCGTTGTTTCAGGGATTGTTAAATCAGGGGTTATACACGTCGGTGACCCCATAATGATTGGGCCCGATTCGCTTGGCCAATTCAGGACAACTGCAATCAAGTCCATCGAACGGAAACGTATAGCTGTGCATGCTTGCTCTGCCGGACAGTCTGCTTCTTTCGCTCTCAAGGGGATTCGCAGAAAGGAAGTGCGCAAGGGAATGGTAGTCCTGCCAATGCTCGACCAGCCCCCAAAGGTCTATCGTGAATTTGTCGCTGAAGGTAAGCTAGGATACTATCACACGTTATTTTATAACTCTATATAATGCAGCCATTCGACTAAATATGTTACGATACAGTCTTGATTCTTTCTCATGCTACAACGATAAAAACGAAATACCAAGCTATGCTCCACGTTGGCGCTGTGAGCCAGACATGCGCCATTATTGACATAGATCGTGACTACATCCGAACAGGGGATCGCGCACTGGTTGCATTCCGTTTCATCCAACGCCCGGAATTTGTGTCTGTGGGCGACCGAATCCTGTTCCGTGAGGGGAGGACCAAAGGATTGGGCATCGTGAAAGCCGTTCGCTACGACCCCAGGCAATCCATTGAACCCAAAAAATAAAGATACCAACGAATGTAAATTCCCAGACGAAGCACCACAGTAACGACGCACAAATGATTCCACATTATATTTCGACAATACATAATGTGTTCCACCTCTAGTCGTGATTATGATGGTATGGAACTCCGCTGTTTGTCCTTTATGCGTTTGGTGTTCATAGGTGCCTTTTTTGCAACTGCTCGGGATACATTTATTCTTTCAACTTTTGCCATGTTCACCTATCTACGATTTATTGTCTCTCCAGTTTTCCATTTGATGATGAACTTTTCTTTCTCCATCGTTATAAAGCTTTCTTTTGTCTTACGTCTGTGCCGAATTTCGCATATTTTTCAACCTGTGCATATCAGGAGGACTTGAAAACGTGTATTTCATGTCCATGGATTACTCTTCAGATACATATACCCTGCTCTACTTTCAGATGTCTTTATCATTGGTTCCAAGGCTATAATCGCCCCCCCCCCCCCCCCCCCCCCAATTTATCTTCACTTCGACAACCGTTCCTCACTCATCACGTGATATCCTAAATGACCTTTAATGACCTCATCACTGGAACGTTGAAGGACGATTAGAAAAGGGTTTAATTTTTTAATTTTAATTTTTTTTGTTCGATAAGGCTTCCCCTTGACGTCACAGCTATCAATCAGCCTTCTCTCGCCACGACAAGCAACGAAGAGGCCCTCAGAGAAGCGTTTTTATGGGAATCCTTTCTTGTAAATTCCACTACTAACTACTTACTTTGTCGATTAACTAACTGCGCAATTCACCGATAACGCCAAAATTGTCTCTTTTGTATAGCCAATTACTCGGGATCATTTCTTCACCACACCTATCATGGAAGTTTTCAGGGAGGTGGTCCATGCCGCCGAAAACTTCCTGTGGGGCAGCGGAGAAACCAGTATGGAGAATGGAGAAGAGCCTGTGCCTGGCATTCAGGGGAAAGGCACATCGGCAGATCCATATGACGCTGGTAATGCACCAAGTATGCAGAGACACCACTTTCTTTCGCTCTCTTTCCCCAGTTCAGGTGCTTTTAGAGCTTCTACGAGGATCGAGTTTCGGGCACGACTGCTTCATTGAAACTTGAAATCACTGAGCTTTTCTTCTGGGATTTGGCGACAAGCAATGCCAATGCCCGTGCTATGCAAACCCAAAAGATTAGCGCCTTGAGTTAAAATGCTGCTAACACCTTTATCATAGAAGGTGTCGCCGTCGAACATGCGATAGATGACCCTGTGCGGGATGGAAAAGCACAACAAGAAGAAAACAAGGGACTTATCTCAGGTGGCCTAGTCCCTGGCAGTGGCAGCAGTACAGCTCCCGCTGGCGGTCAGGTCCAGGCAGCGGGTTTACAAAAACTGAAAACAATTGTCCCAAAAAAAGAATCCACTCTACAAGCAACTGTATCTGAGACGAGAATGCAATCCACCAGCTCTCAACCCGGTGCCTCGTCTGGAAGTCCAAGCACTCCCGCTGGTTCCCTTGGAACTCCAGTGTCGCAAGTTGGCACCACTTCACCACCCCCACCACCCTCCGGTGGCAATGGGAGCGGAACAACATCAATGGGAGCAGCCTCATTACCACAAGGGCCTCCAGCGCCGGGAGATGTTAGCCGTGTATGTACCTCCCCTTTATATCAGTTTTATTATTTTATTTTTATTTTTTATTTTTGGAACCCCATACTAAGGTCCTGTATCAGGGTTCCAAAAATGGAACGTCCTACCACATGCACAGCACGGGGTATGCAGCTGAGGGGGGTGATTTTGATGCGAAGGAACCGGGGGCAGGCAAGGAGGCTGACAGTATGTAATTTTTATTTTATTCCCCTTCCTATCAAAATTAAGAGTCGAGTAATGCATAACATATGTTCCATTCTTGCAGGACTGATGGCAGAACACAACCAACAAGATACTCGTCGCAAGGGGTATGCCGCTGTGGAAGGATCTCCTGGAAATGATGAGAGTTCCAGTAAGAAAAATACATCGCACCATTTTCCACTAAAAAATAAAATGCATATTTGGAAACATCGTTCGTAGGGACACCAGATTTCCCTCATTCTAGTTTGGACGGAGGTTTATGCGTGTCCCGTTATGTTATCTGTTCCAGGACTTGCTCTAAATTGTGGGGTAAAGATGGACATTACTTATTTAAATTGCTCCCTGGTTGTTTGGATTCTTTAGCTATATATCTGGTTCCTTTCGCCTTTACCAATAGGCTAATCTATGGCATGAGTTTGTGATTAACGATAATTCTGCCATGTGCGTAGGAAATGTACACCGACATTATTTGAGATATAAAAAGCTGACGCAAAGTGATCTTGAGTTGTTAAACATTTAAGCAGAAAATGGAAGTCTTCCGCACGACTTACTATGAAACATTTCATGAATCAGATACTATTTGTATATATGCAGTGTAATAATAATATGAACAACAGAAAAGGCTTTCCAACGCCAATGGATGCAAAACAAACACGGATATATATAAATATCTATATATAGCCACATATTTATAGGCTTATCGACAAAAAATGAATAAATAGTAAGCAAATTATAAACATATAAAGTTAAAAAATGTAAAAGATTCCTCATCTATTCAAACAACAACCTCAACTCCTCAATCCTTTCCTTCTTTCGTTCTTCCTCACCCCCATTCCCCCCAACCCGCAATCCCAACGATCCGGCGATCATCATCTTTCGTTCCTGGATCTTCAAAATTCGGCCTTCGATACTATCCTTCACGATGAATCTCGTTACTGTTACATCTCGCAGCTGACCCATACGATGAACCCGATCGATCGCCTGTGCTTCAGTTGCAAAGCTCCACCACGGATCCATCATAATAACATGGTTGGCAGCAGTAAGATTCAACCCGACGCCTCCAGCCCGCAGACTGATCAGCAAGACGTTTGGTGGCGATTCTTTGGCATGATTGTTGGATGACGGGAGCTTGGATTGGCGCTTGCCTTCATCATCGTCGTCGTTCTTGTCGTCAGCTACAGCAACAGAACAGAATTTGGCAAGAACTGCTGCACGGGACGTCTGGGATATGGAGCCGTCGAAACGGAGGTGTGAGATGCCCGCGCATGTTAATTGATGCCCAATGAGATCGAGGAAAGAGGTGAATTGAGAGAAGACCACGACCTTGTCGTTTGATGGAAGTTTAGTCAGGTGGGAGATTAGGGCGTGGATTTTTGCGGAAGTTTGAGCTGTAGGCGACAAGGGGTTTATGCGGCGCAGCGAAATGCGCGGTACAGGCGAGGACGAAGTTGGCGAAGTACTGTTGTGCAAATCACCTTCACCGGGGCGTTGTATTGGAGATTTATGACGGAATACTTCATAGATATCTCGAATGGTTATAGTCTCACGGCATGAGAAGCAACGAGGAATTTTTCCTCTATCCCTCTGGTGTTGCACGTATTCTACCAAACATTTCTTGCAAGCACTATGCCAACAGGACGTAACAGCGGGATCTACCATAGGCTCGTCTGTACAAATAGGACATTCTCCACTTGACTCTGTCTGTATCTGTTGAAGCGCGTGGGTGGTAAATTTGTGGGTTGGATCTTGTTGGCCATCCGGATCAGCGTTAGAGGTAGATATTGTAAAACGGTCAATGAGATCCTGGAGGTCCATATCATCCTTGAAAACATTAATATCATCAGAAGCAATAGCTGCATCCTCTTCTTCTGCAACAATGGCTTGATTTCGAGTAAGCACAGGATGACAACATGTCTGTCGGAGGCGAAGAATCTGCGCAAATATAGTTGTGTACGACTTCAAAAGAGTGCCGGCAGCTACATTATCATTAAATGTTCGTTTCGCTCGACTAAATATCAGGTCATATATTTCCCGTTCTTGGGTAGAAAGTTCGACTTCGGAAATTGTAATGGTTCGAGGTGGTAGGGGAACCAGAGCTTCACCCTCAGGTGTTTTCATAGTTTTGGTTCGACGTAGGACAAGTGGTTCAAGAACAGTTTGCACAACATTTAGTGCACGCACAAAATCCTTGGACTCAAAGGGGACGGTGATGAAAGTTTTCCAGAAAGAGAAATTGCTCCACGGCTCAACCTTGAGAAACCGCACAAGGCTAAAGAGATCTTCAAGTCGATTGACAATAGGAGTACCAGTAAGCGCCCATCTATGGGTGCCCTTGATATCATAACATGCTCGAGCAGTTTTAGATGCTCGGTTCTTAATATAATGAGCTTCGTCGAGAATAACACGGAAAAAATCCACGGAAAAAAGGCCCCTATAAGACCCAACAGGAGAGCGACTGGAGAACTGGCTATGTTCTGAACGAACAACACCGTAGCTCGTAATTACCAGATTTGGCGCAGAATTGGGATTAGAAATTGAACAGAGTTTTCTCAAATCAGCCGTTTTATCGCTTCCGTAGTAAACAAGAACCCTCATTGATCCTGGCTTTGAAGCCTTCATAGCCTCGCTTTCCCATTGCGCGAGAAGAGAAGTTGGAGCAACGACCAATGTAGTATACGGAGCTGGTACAGGCTTGGAAGAAGAAATGAGTGGCATTGCCGATAAGCTCTCAAATCCTGCAATCTGAGGTTTGACTACCTCAGACCTGTGGGAGTGCACCAAGCTTAGCATTTCAATAGTTTTCCCAAGACCCATTTCATCTGCTAAAATGCCACCCAGGCAATTCTGTTCTTGGACAGGAAATTCCAAGCTAAGCTCGCCAGAATAAGGATTGACGTAAAATTTATCGTGATTACGCACACGGAGAAGCGGCTGATCATCCATATCCTTCGTAGGCCAAGAATATTCTTCCCACAATGGATGCATTGATTGTTTCTCCTTCCGTTGGACATGTTTTTCTTTCCCAAGCAACCAATGCAGAGCTTGCTTCTGGTATTTTCGAAGGCTTAAAATAAAATCTGATCCTGGTTCCATTTCAGGGGTGCTGAAGTCAAAGGACTGCGCTTTCTGGTACAGCGCATCAAGTTGATCTTCATCTAGCTTCTCGCCATCTTCATCGTCTGACGATTCGTTCCCGCTGTTTTGCTGCGGGGTGGAGGTTGGTGAATATCTGGACTTCTCGCTCATCTCGGCTGCCTGAAGCAAGCCTTCCTTCTTGTGGCGTGCTGTTATTTCATTAATTGAAGTTGGTTCAAGGTTTATCTCGCCAAAAAGCTTGACTAATGCCACTTGCCGCAGACGAAGGGCCTTCTCCTCTGATGTTTCCTGCTCCTCGAATAGCCTCGGGGGGGCATTCTCATCTCCGAGGGCAGTAAAAGACTTCTGCTGAAAAGCCTCCCTCAAAAGAAAGCATTTCAACTGAAGATATATGGTATCATTGACACGGATCCGATCCGGAGCAAAAACACAGACACCCTCAAAGCGACATATCTTTTGATCTATCAATGTGGAAACCCACTCAGCCGTTTCTCGGGGAAGTCTACCAATTTCTTCACAATTTTTATTAGTGAACCGCGTTATCACATCCCCCTTTTGGTTTAACATCCGCGGAACAGGTTTTCCTCCCCTCCCATGCTTCATAGACGGTTGTAATTTGGTCCGTTCAATATAGACTGACTCTCCATGCTTCACCAAATTCGTACCACTCCTCGTCGTCCATGCACCAACACCAAATGCGCCTATATACCGGAATTCAGGGTTAGCAGTAGTAATGTTAGGGTCATCTTCAACATCGTCCTCTGCAGTATCCACAACCATAAGATCTGGAGCCTTGGTATCTGATTCTTCCATTGGCTCGATAACAGTTGTGTTTGGTGTGGAAGATGACGTTGAAGAGGGTCTGATTACATTCTCCTCTCCCCAAGAGCCGTCGAGATAAAGGTTAATCGCAGTTTGCATATCATCCTTCGCTGCCAGCCGAATCTTATGTATAGTATTCGAATCAACTGGTTGCCCCACAATGCTGGCAAAAAGATCGATGTCAAATCCACTTTCATCAATAACAGCGGGTTCGGTGGTATCAGAAGGTCCGGAAGACGGGGCTTCAGGGTTCAAAAAGCCCGCCGCTGAACTGTTGCGTGAGGGAACCGTCCCCGACGACGCGTCGATGCCAAGTACAGGCTCGTTTTGAGTGATATCACCCTCATCTTCGACAAAAAACCGACGTCTTTTTGCTGGCTTCTCGGGTAAATCTGAGGACGCTATGTTGTGAGCGGCCATACCAACCCAGAACAAGAAGCAAAATGAGGTTGTTAACAGTGGAATGGTGCAGATGTTGGAGATTTGCAGAAGTCGGGAAGACGCGAAGCCGTAAGTAGATAAATCACGGGAACACGCTAAAACCGCGACCAAGCAATTTAACTAGTTAGTTACCGACGTCATCGCTAACTAAAAAAATTGCACTCGTCAATGGACAGTACTTCAATACAATCATTTTTTGAAATTGATGTAAGAAAAATTAATTATCTGCAATTCTTGCATAGTAAGCTGAGTGCAAGAGCTATTATGCAGTAACAATAGCATGGCTAATTTGAATTGGTAATTACAATTCCTAACTTGGAGATGGGATTGTGACTTATAACTAACGCCATGAGCCAGATATAACCTCCACCACTTGATATTTCCCAGTGGTGTAAAATGCCCTCAAAATCACATATGGTATGCCTGCAGTGTGCTTCTCGACAGCTTAGGTCTCAACCAAAACATAGATTTCCCGGAAATCAAATCCAGCCGAGCCGTCACTTTTCAAAAGCTGCCCCTCTTTCATCTGATCCAGGAGAACGAGCCAAAGCGGAATACGAATCAGCACATGAATACTGTCTTGATCTTCTCCGGCAAGTAATAAACATATATACATATATCTCGTATAGCTATCAACCAAGAGTACAATCTAACCGAAACTAGAAAATATGACCGTCCTTCCTACACCCTCAGCACATTCATTCCCAGCCAAACTGTCAATTTCTACCTCGCCCTCCGGGCCTTTAATATCTCCTTATCTATGATTCCCGATACAATTTCAACCCCGACAGTAGGCCTGATGCGCCTGCAATTTTGGCGGGATACCATCACACGCACACTTGCGGGGAGTCCACCAAGAGAACCCATCGCCATCCTCCTCGCATCTGCGCTCTCTGACCTTGACACGCGCACACAGGCCAACGGTGGTGCGCGGATAAGCAAAAGCTGGTTCCTACGCATGATAAATTCGCGCGAACAATATCTAACAAACACTCCCTACACAACCATATCCACGCTGGAATCCTACGCCGAAAATACGTACTCAACTCTCCTATATCTAACCCTCAGCGCCCTTCCCCTAACCTCCCTGACGGCAGACCACCTAGCATCACACATAGGAAAAGCAGCAGGAATCTCCGCCGTCCTACGAGGGATACCACTGATCGCCTTCCCGCCTCCGCCAAGCCACCACTTTAAGCAAGCCGGCGGGCTGGATGGTTTACGGGGTGGTGGTAATGGTGCTCCTACTAGATCAGGAGCCATTACACTTCCACTCGACGTCATGGCTGAGACAGGTCTGAAGGAAGAAGATGTCTTTCGACATGGTGCTGAAGCACCGGGGCTTCGTGATGCGGTGTTTACCGTCGCGACACGCGCGAGTGACCATCTCATCACTGCACGGCAGATGTTGACAAACCTGCGGGGGGGGAAGGATGTGGGGCATGGTTTTGAGCATGAAGGGGAAGAAGGACATGAATATGCTAATACTAATAGTAATGCCAAGGGTAATGGCGGTACGTCGAATCTTGACGTGCAACTGGAAGAGGTGGAGAGGGCGTTTGGTGTCCTGATGCCGGCTGTCTCTACGTCTCTCTGGCTTGACCGATTGCAAGCGGTGGATTTTGATATTTTCAAGCCTGAGCTTCGCATGTTTGATTGGAAATTGCCTTGGAAGGCGTATTGGGCTCATCGGCGCAGGACTTTCTAAGCGACTGTATATACAGAGACATCGACGAAAATATTTCAGTTATATGGGTTGCGTAAATCAGCTATCTATCTTGCCTGGAAACTTGATATAGAATATGGGGATCAAATACATCCACACAATGGTAATTTCTATGCTTTAGTATTAATAGTATACATATATGCTATATTCATGCGCCAAATAGTATGTACGCAGATAATCCAGCGCCTTAATGAAAGATGTAAAACTGTGCACCATAGCCTAGAAGGCTGTGAGGGTGAATCATCGGAAACAGGCATAAGGTAACCAGTATTCACATATTCCGTACTCCTTTAGACCCATAATCCTATAATTAGAATCTAGAATCTATATGGCTACTCAGAGCGAGGCTTTTGTCGTCGCTTCCGTGAGATATTGATAAGGCGTTGTTGTGCACGTCTCAAGAGGTATCGTTGAATCATGTCACGCCTGTTCCAAACATTAACCAAATTTTCTCTTTCAAATACGATCGGAGACGGGTGATCTGAAGGGGAATGGCGTGGATGATTATCACTCACATTAATATTGCAGTCGTGACGATAACAAATGGGATGGCAATTGGCCAGAAGAAGCTAGATTTACAAGGGTGGAGTTAGCAGCAGAAAAGATTGAGATATGTTACCTCGATAAAATATGGTATAAAAATGAGGGCAGTGTTGTAAATTGTATAGCTCAGCAGAAAAGGGTTTACAATGGTATAGTGAAAACTTACGCATCACTATGGTTTTGCACACCATTAAACCGGGCGAAGTTCATTCCAAAGTATCCCTAATAGATGAAAAGTTAGTGCGTCCAAGCCCAAAAACAACGATCAACAAGGTTAAGGAATTGGACACGAACCGTAAGAAATGTCAGCGGCAGGAACATGCACGTCACAATAGTGAGCTGTTTCATACTTTCATTTTGGTAGGCTCCTGTACGAAACAGAAAACATTTACAGTTGGCGATCATCCGCTTATGAGAAAAGTAGCAAGCCAAAAGGAAGCCAATAATCGGTATAACTCACCAATAGTGTTAAAGGTAAGGTCTATCATATTATCCGCTGATCGTCTCATTTGGTCATATTCTTCCGTAATAGTGATACAGTGGTCCAAAACGTCACCCAAATAAGTATAACACATGGGGCTAATTCGGACTACAGTGGGCATTTTAATCCCTTCTGGATCGGGGGTGCTTGGTTTGCTGGGCGTTGGGTCCACAGACAGCAGAGGTATCGAATTTGTAAAAATGGTTTTAAATGTCGGTCCTGTACGAGCCGCTGGCTCAGATTTGTGGTCCCGAAGAGCATTCACAACACCAGTTAAGGGTTGCATGGCGTTGCGCAAAACGGCAATTTCGGAGGTTAGTATATATAGGTTTGTAGATTGGTTGATATCCGGGTCAGTGAGGACATTAAGTTCCAAATCTCCAATTGCGTCTTGATATGCCACCGTGACGGGGATGGCTAAATCAACGATAGCGTCGAGTATAGCCTGGACGACCATACTTGCATCGCAGGACTGTCTCAAGATCGTTTCGGGGGATGTCAGTCGTTGGACTATTGGCATCTCAATATCCTCGGCACTAGCTTCGAAGAAGGAGGTCACAGTATTGTCCGCATGAAGGAATATAGAAACTTGCTCGATGGCAACACCCAAATTTTTGGATGCAAGAACGGCGTGACGTTCCATAAAATCAATACGGTCCTCATTTGGGCCTCCTCTGTACCGCTGCAGAGTTCGTAACTTACTCAGGCGTGACCCGTCCATTGTCAAGGGCTTATCTTCAGCAAATAAAGTTTCAATTGGAGTGTCTCCCCTGGATGCTCCTGGTTTTCTCTTCTCACGAGAAGGTGATACGAGATCTGCAAGAGCAGACATAATTACCCCTCGTTTCCTTGCGGGTTGCTGCTTTCTCTTTAACTTGTATCCTGGCTTCTCATATGTCTGGTCGTATCCGTTATCAGTATCGCTTTCTCCGTCAAAATCAGCAAACTGACCATTTGACTGAAGTTTAACAAGCTTTTGCATCGCAAGGACTATAAAGGTGTTGTCTGAGAACCAGTCTACTTTCGTACGATTCACAGAGTGCAATAAATCCTCAATGGCCAATCTATGCAGGCCCTTATGACTGGCCAGCAAGCTAACAACGTCCCAACTTAACCCGTTGACGTTAATCCAACGGCAGAGCACCCACGGGTCCCTTTCCTTCTTCAGAAACGGCCGCAATGTTTCATTTTTCAGATGATACATTCGCATGTCATCCTGAGAGAAATCCACAACAGTAATATCGCATCGTATATGTCTCTGTTGAAGTAACGTTTCTCCTCCAGTACGATATGGGGGAAGAGGTTCACTTGGATCAAGTCCGGGTTCGTCCCCTGGGTGCCAATTATTATTGCTTGCTGAGACGCTTCCCCCACGATGATATGAACGGGCGGTATTTGATCGTTTGGCACGGCGCCTAATGAAGTCTTGAGACCCAGTACGATGAAGGCCCGTCACATCGGGCGGGGAACTTGGCGCGGTGGATTTGCGTTCGAGAGTGGGAAAGGCTGACAGAGCCTCAATATCGGAAGGAGAACTGGTGACAGCTTCTGGCTGCGCATAATCGCGCACTTCAACACTCATTGTAACGGAGGTTGATGAAACCACAGACGAACTGTAAACAAGGTGTTTCAAGGAATGTTGGGAAGCTGAATCTGCGGGCCAGGGCTATTTTCGCCGGGACAGCCTACAGCTCACCAGTGGCAGGGGAGCTGCTCGTTTTCAAAACCTCCAATCATCCCGTAAATCCGAGAGATCTTAGGAAGTTAGATTTGGGAGAACGCGCTCTCCTGAGCCTTGCATCAAATAACAATAACTCGTAGCTATTAGAGTGCGAATAGCGTGCAATTGGAACAGCAAACTGATCTGTTTAAAACCTGCGTCCCCTTTGGAGAAGAGTTTGATGACCGCGGAGGTAGTTGGAAATGGAGGGCATAGCTTGGTCGCGGGAATGGCAATTGACCATAGGACAGGAATGCGATCAAGGTTCACTTAAACCAAGCTGCACGCCAGGTGAATCAAGGGTTGTAAATAAGTGGTAACATTCCTATTCGGAAATAAGGGGAAGATGTGAAAGTTGAATTGATATGGTGTCGTCAAAACCTATAAAAACCCTCCAATTCTTGGCAGATCACTAGCATCGAACGCCAACAACCCTGGATGGAACCCATTGACGACGATCAGAATGGGCCACCATAACTCGCATCACAACAGATAGATATACATTTGTTATGGCTTAAATGGCCAGGAAGTACTTGCCATATATGATACACTTTCTGTTCGACTTCTCATTACTCCTTGAATAATCTCCTTAATCATCCAGCACCATTTGAAACAGACAGGCTGCCTCCCAAACCACCCTTCAAAAGAGAGACGAATATACCGTTCTCTCCAAGTAACCGATAATATTCTCACATCCAAAAGAAGCATAGCCGTGACAAGTTGGAAACTGTGATACTGAAATACATGACAGAGAGTCGAAGAGAAATAAAAAAATATACCTGTAGAACAAAACAATATTGACAGAGAATGATAGTCACAGGCAAAGAAACATCTTTCGCCATGCCTAGGTAATTATTACAATAACAATACATTTCCAACACCGAAAAGTAGAAGGAAAGGGTATCGGTAAACAGAAAGGAACCGGGACGTGTTACAGACCAGGAGAAGAATGTCTTGGCCTCCAGGCGACTCGATGAGAATTAGTAAAATGAGGCGATCTCGTGAAATTAGTGGCATTCTTCATGCTGTTCAGGAGCCCAGGTTGCACTTCTATGAGAATCGCCTTCTGTGGCTCTGCGTGTACGGGTATGGTTGATTTGGTCCGTGGTCTTCGAGTCGAAGGTTGCGGTATTGTTGTTGAAAATGGCGAATTAAGAGATGTCGGGAAATTCATGCCCTTGATGATTTGACGTAGTTCTTTGTCATCACTGCAAATCTGGGCTTTGATGAAATTTTGATCCTGGGAGTTTTGTAGGGAGGACATTACAGATTTTCGCGGGGTGTAGGTGAATTTTTCTGGAGTGGGAGGAACAGTAGGTTCGATGGAAGGATCCAATTGTGCTTCGACGCCTTTCGCAAGAAGGCTCTCGATATCCAAACTTTCACCATGTGGTATCTTGTTCGGGTGAGAAGGGGTTATGCAATCCATATCCACCTCCTTTCTTAGAACCTTATCAATATCAACAGCAGAGAAATACGCGCATGACTGGGGGAGATCGTCAATTCCCATCTCCTGTGAAAACATAGCTCGAGTCCAAAGATTCGCAACTTGCAACGCCATCGCGGCACGGTACTTGTCATGGTCTCTGACCAAATACCTGATCTCATCGTGTACAGTGATTGCAAGGCGGGCATCCAAGTTAAATCGTCGGATAAGGAAGTCCATCGAGATGATTAGTAAGTGCAGGTAGTCAACGCCAGACGATTGAATTGCCCAGTTTATCCGCGATGTCATAAAACTACCCTTGTTGATGAAACGGCGCATCAAGGCCTCGGTAATACCCGCTCCCAGAACGGGCGTTCTAGGCCTTTCCTGTTCTGCGAACTCTTCAAGTTTATTGAAAACAAACGACTCAGTGCCCCCTCTCCAAAATGGCCGATCGCTAAGTTGTTTTCGGTTGGTTCGAGCGCCTTTAGTTTCTTTATAAAGCTTCGAGGCAACCTCTTTTGTCTGCTGTTCAGGCATTGATGGGTTGAATTGGCGAAGAAGGGTAGCTGCAAATTTGAGACCCGCTCCATAGATACGGCCATAATTAAAAACTTTGGCATCATTCCGAGATATTCCCAAGATTTTCGCGGTTTTTGAATGTAAGTCTGTGCCAGCCGCCTTTGTGCCTTCGAGAGTCATGAATCCGATCGCGTTTCCTCCATGAATTTGAAATTGCGCATCTCCCACAAGACTGGCAATCCACAGCTCTTCAGAATCCACGTCGGCTCCCACAAACACATAACCCGGAGGTGCTCTTACCATAGCTTTAAGTTCGGATCCTACCCGGTTAGCTTTCGCGTTACTCGCGGTTAGCCAGGTGTTCTCCACTGCACGCCGGGTAATAGTTCCCATGGGAATAACTTGTGGTAAAATGAAGCCCTGCTTCAACGACGGGTCCGACAATGATCGCCCAGTAAGCTTTTCAATATCATTTTGGTAAACGACCATCTGGCTTGTAATTCGATCCCTTGCGCTAATCCAGTAAGAACATGACGCATTCATTTCCAGAGCCTCCTTAGCCAAATCGAATTTGGATGACAGTGTCCCACCTTCAAAATACTGCAGATAGCCTTTTGCAAGAGGATTCACGCAGCGAGATTCGGGTCCATCCTTATGCGGTAGTTTAAAATAGACATGCTCTCTATCGTTTTGAAGGAGTGGATTCTTTTCTAGTGCCATGTCACACGGATTAACCGCTTGGTTCTCGAACTTCTTCAATTCCTTTTTAGGAACCTGGAATGTCCACCCATACATATCTGACCAAAACAGGGGATATCCAAGCCAAGATAGTTTTAGGAGAATTGGTGCTAAGCGGGTGCGAACACTCAGATTAATAGCAGAAGTGCTTGTAGGAAAGAGGCCCTTGTACCATTTCGGCATTCCAGGCAATTTTTGCCTGGCAGCCGGTCTGACAGGGTCCCCTTTTTTCTTTCCTTTAACCATCCTTATTTCCTGTCCAGACCAGTCCAACTGCCGTAACCAGGGATCTTTCTCATATATTTCAGGGTTATCCTTCACGGCTACAGCCCTGTTGCAAAGCTCCAATAACCGTTTTTGTACATCTTCCAGAAGACGTTGATAGGTTTCCTCCGCATTCTTGAGGTATTCGTCCCAGGTGTTGTTTACCGGCAAAATGACAGAAGACAGGTGTCTCAACGCGCCAAAACTAACCGGATGTGGGCACACCTCCAAGAAGCTAGGAAAAACTCTTTTGTAAATACGATGAGTAATAGAGACATCAGCTGCGCAGTAATCAATAAGTTCATCAAGACGTTCCAGAACCGCTGAGCGATCGAGTTCACCGAAGTAATCCCGTTGAGATTTATCTATTGTGATATTGCAATGAAACTTGGCAACGTCGCGTAACGAATTGATTGAGCTCCTGCCAACCCAGAGTTCTTCCTCTTCTTCTGGAATAAAATTATTTTCAGCAAGTGCAGCAAGCTCAACAGAGTTCTTAAGCCTCAAGAGTTTTTCCCTTAGGTCGCGTTTTTTCTTGAGTCGCATCCAGGTGGGCCGTTGTTGAGAGCACATTCCGTTAACAGCGACATGCAGGGACATAGTGTCGAGAAAGAAGTTCCGAGTTTGTTCAATACTATACTCCTCCAAAATCCTTGCGCGATCGTACCCAACATTGTGACCTACAATAATTCTAGGGTGAGACGGGGATCCGAGGGGAATAAGCTGTCTTTCATTTTTTGTTTCGCCGAGAAGGTAAGGCGACAACCAGGCATACCATGCAGTTGGACTTGCCGCACATGCCATGACCGCAAAAGAAGACTCTTTCCACATTACTTCAGTATCAAAAGTTAACATCTCTTCGATGGGCACGTCAACTGTTTCGGTTGTTCCGTCAGGGTTGTATTTTGTCCACCCACTCCTTCGGACCCATTTTTTTGGTACAGGTGGAAGATCAATTCTTGCATACTGCTTGGCGTTGGTCAGGTAAGGCTCCGAAGAATCCATTCCCAATTTGTAAAAATGCTCATCCATCGTATGTCCTGTCAAGGGAGGAAGGTCAAATGCAATCGGATTTGAACCTTCTTGAGTTTTACCAAGCAGATCATGTCGTGAAAGATGGTCCTTCGAAAGTTTAACCAACTCCGGATTCGATGGAATAGATTTCCTTCGAAAAATTTGAGAATGAACATGGCTGCTTAGCTGTTGGACACCGATTTCATTAAACCGCGCGGTAGACGACACTAGAAACAAATGTAAGCGATAGGCGCATGTTGTAGAAATATAGAGAACCAAATGTACCTGCTAGACTCTGTAGCTTCCCTCGCTCCCCAGAGGAAGCAGACACTGCGTCTGCATACCGTCGTAACTGCGAGCATCGATATCTGGGCTTCCAGGTGAAGTGCAATAAGCGGAGAGGTCTTGAGGATGTCCAGAGCCCACCCCTTGAAGATGCGCATGCTAACAGGAGCATCCTTATGCGGTAAGAGGAGCTTCAACTACAGTAGTACCATGGCGCGTCCAGGAAACCTCGCATCCACAGCATCATTGTAGAGGGTTGAAGGAGAACCATTAAACGAGTTGTTCCATTTCTTCCGTTTTAAGTTAACTTTACAAAATCGGAGTGTGACAACTATTTTCCGGGAAACCTTATAACCCACACGTGATCTGTAGTTTTAAATCACATGACATTTTAGTTTGATGCACTAGTCCATATTGGGAACATAAAACGTCCACTGGCGCAATCGACTTCTTATCCACGATCTGCATCATTCATGACGATGTTCGGATATCTCCTCATGTACGGTCTCTCCCTTAATTAACTGTATCTTATTGGGCGGAGTTACCTACCTTCCTTCTTCTACGACCTTCTCCACACCGAAAAGCTGCTGCGTGCCTTACCGTCTCATCCCGCATCTCCCATTCCACCCGCCTATCCAACTGCTCTATCAAGTCTCCAGGATTTCCTCCTCGAACTCCACAATTTACTCTAGCTATTACCTTCGAAGATTTCTGGCGCTGAGAGTTCCACCTATTCGATATATGGTCTTATTGTATTTCTCTCGGAATCCTCGGGGTAACGTCAATTCCGACCGCCTCCCAGAGAACTTGGCCCACGCGTCACACCCAGAACAAAGACTCTTTTGAGGAAATCTCTGGTCAGATTCAATAAGCATATACAATAGAAGCCGACATTGCGGTTTAACTGGGAGCGGTTGATTTTGTTGCCATCGCATTGGTAGATTCGCTTCTTGAACTCAGCGTAATATTGGCTGATTTTCAGGCTCTTGTTTCTCCGATTTGGCTGGCGGGAAGCATGAGTGAGTGAGGTGTTTCAGCAGGCTTCCAAGATATCCTCTGTGGCTGTATAGAGGAAGGGGTGAAACCGACTGGGACATATCTTCTTTCTCATGGTCGAGTTCATCAACAGACAACACTCATCTCCTCCCCCTTGAAAAGATAAGTGCCTCTATAGGCGCCTTTGGTTGAATCGGATTCTTTTTGCATTTCGGTCATTTTTTATAACATTAGTACTCATGAATAATAATTCGATTGTCGACCTTACCATCTCTTCCCCGCCGTCGTCGGTGGGCCAAAGCTCATCGAACATGTATGTTCATCGGCCGAGGAATGAGTTACCGTTCGATGTCCCAGAGGGCCCTAGATCTCTTAAACGACGTCGACTAGATAATTCTTCCGTCGCTGGGCCTTCATCTCATACACCGCATCAGAATCACCAGCCCAGAACCTCAGAGAATGACCCAAATATCGAGTCGATCGACCTCACAGAAGTGAACGACAAGTCATCATTGGCGAAAGCTCTCTTAAAACAACGTGAAGATGCTGCGAAGTCAGAGCATACATCTGTCGATGCGGGCAGCCGATCAGCTCTGGCAGCGTATAAATGCCCTGTGTGTATGGATACTTGCACTGATGCGACATCTACCATTTGTGGTACGTGCTTGACCACTTGCTTCGTACATAACCACTGACTGAACTCGAACTAATGTGCATTTATCTCAGGACATCTTTTCTGCCATAAATGCATTGTCGATACGCTTCGATTTGGCGAGGAAAGAGCGGCTCATGATGGACATGGGAAAACACCTCGTGGCAGATGTCCCGTCTGTCGGCAAGCACTCTCTCGATTAGATACCCCGGGGCCAAAAAGGAACCTTGTTCCCCTACAATTAAGCCTTATGACGAGGAAGCGATCCTGAATCCAGCGGTTCAAAGGCGTTCCTTTAGATGTTCAACTAATACAGTATTATGGAGAGTTGATTGGGTTGCATTATATGACGGCGTTCACCACTTCTTACGGGGACACAGGATACAACAATGGAGTGTCTAGGTTTTATGTTTCTTGTACAGTACAGTTTCTTCCTTTTTTTTTTCCCTAAAAAAAGGTAGATACCGGGTGTCTTCGGTTGATATCCAGTTCATGCTTACGATCACCAATTTAGAGGTCAATCATGCACAGCTTCTTTTCATATATAATGGTAGTAGATAAAAGGCAAAAGTGACATCAGCCGATCGGATGTGGTAGAAAAAGTATAGATAAGTCTTCATATCGAGGAACGTAACCAGGTATTTTTACAAAGGTCATTACTACTAACCCTTACCCTCCAAATTACTACCTCCACCTGATGGTTCCAATGTATTACGCCTACTTCTTGCTGCCCCTAGACCTCCTCTGACTATAGCATCACCTTTCTTTCCCAGTACGACTTCCAACGCCTGCGTGAGCGCCGCTGCATCGTAGCGCATTCCAACAACTCCACCCGATTCGTTCTCCACTTTCCGGCCGTACAACCGTACACACTCAATTCCCATCCTAGCCAGACGCTCACGATCAACAAGGGGTGTACCAGGCCCATCAAGATGCAAGAGATGAGTGACGTATGATGTATACGGGAGAGAAACAGATAGATGACACCCATCTGACTCTGCACCCCTTATATTCTCGTTCAAAGCCATCAAATCATGATGTTGACGGCCACGACTCTCTTCACCTGCACGAACGATCGCTTCGACAAAATCTATCGCTGTGTACGGTTTCGTTGCCGGTCCTGTTTCGCGATCTAGAGACCCGTTTAGGATGAGGATCTTCTGGCGAGCTCCGCTGTTGGAGATAGCCTTTCCCACTCCCTTGAGTATTATAGAGGGTATAATAGAGGTGTAGAGTGATCCGATGCTGTATATTATCGCCTGGGATGAATATAATGCGTCAAGAACTCGGGGGTTACAAGGGGGTCGGATCTTTTGCCCATAAGGATTTATGTACCACAGGCGGGAAATGCGGGAGGGAAGATCCTCTGTGGCGGTTTTGCTGAATGTTATGTTTTTGTTACGCAGTGTCGGGAGGGAGCCTGGCAAGTGGCTTTCGTCGTATGGGATGTCATCAGAATCAGAGCAAGCGTCATCACCATCAGCAAGGAGAAGGCTAGGTCGCCTCAGTAATGGCATAGGTTGAATGGATGTTGCCTCGCTTGGATGTGAGATGCTGTTTTGGCCGACGATGGCTGTGCCATCAGCCAGGGAGGCGGATATGTGGTGAGAAAAATTGGAGTTTATTGCTGGTATAACCCGAACATCGTCCGTGGGGACTGAGCAGATACTACCCAGGAGGTAAATGGCACTCTCAAGGCTTCCGCTAAAAAGGCGTGCCCCGGTAAGAAACAGATTGCCAACACTGGCGGAGCTGAAGTCAAAGGTTGAAGATGGAGACCTTGCACGCTTGAGAATTTCCAGATTGAGAAGGTTAAAAAAGGAGCGGATTAATTCCTTTTTCGCAGGAGATATGGCCTGCCATAACGGAGATGTCCCCTCCACAATGGCATACCATTCAGCATGGGCAGTTTCCGCTGACGGGGACAGTCGATGGTTGAACAGCGTTTTAATTGCAGCTCGTTCAGAATGAGGAGGGCTATCAGGGATCAGGCGGACAAGTCTACCTATATTTTATATTAGATATGTAATTCAACACATCAAGTATGAAACTTCTTTCTCCTTTAAGTTTAGTGCAGCATCAATTTTAGACTTACTCCGCACATCACCTATTCCGGGCCCGCCAAACACTCGGATCAACTCAGAAGAAGAGCCACCGTTGTCACTGATCGGGATTATATAGCTCAAGGGACACTCCTTGCTGCTGCGAACCGTGCTGAAAACATCAACGAGGTTATTAGTTGCACTTCCACCGGAAAACACAACAATCCCCTTCGGGGTTGACAGTGCATGCATCCGATGAACCCTGCACCCGATGATAAATTAAAAAAAAAAAAAAAAAGAAAAAGAAAAAGAAAAAAACCAAGTTTAAAAGAAGAATATTGGTGTCAACAGGGAAATAACGGTAGAAGATAAATACATATAGTAAAGAACAATGACAGTAGGTAGTTAACGTCAAAGAAATGTTTATGGACACTTTGCTCCTAGCCCAACTACCCAAATGCGTAGGTCGCCACCAAATCAAAATCAAGCTTAACTTGTCTCGCTTAAGAGTATATTTGAAGGAGGAAATAATGAATTTCAATTCCAAAGAGAAAAGGAATAATCAACTGCAATGACCTTTGAACTTGACTGGGTTAACTCTCGCGGGGTTGATATTTAATACAGAATAACTGGATGGGACTGTAAAGTAACGTTTTTCGAGGAACGAATAACTAGTTAACTACGATAATTACTGGTTATTCTAGGTTAAGCATGACCAAGTAAGTTAACAACATACTTCCCACCGGGCGGCGGACACCACCGAGCGGCGGATTCTCTCTGAAAATCATCAAATATTCAACATATTCAAAAACCAACACGCTTAAATATTTAAAATATTAATAAATTAAGACTATCTAATAGTTGAATATATAGCTATTTATTAGGGCAATGTGCATAGCATGTCCAATAGTACCACAGCCACTGCAGTGCGGTGGAGCACACTGATGAGATATAGCTTCAATCTGAGCTTCAACCTGCATATCAAGCTGCTGAACACGCCCATGATCTTCCTGTATAGATAGAATAGTATTCTGACCTAGATTAGCATGTCTCCATGTCTTTTTCTTTGTCTTCTGCTCATTCTCTGCTCATAGAATCTTGATTTCTTGAAGAAGAAGAAGAAGAAGAAGAAGAAGAAGAAGAAGAAGAAGAAGAAGAAGAAGAAGAAGAATAGGACATCCTTTTGATCCTATTCATTCAATAATTGTGATCCATTCACAATTCCTCTGGATAACTGTACATGGCCTCTCACTGTGCTCATCTGCAGTAGTGACTTTAAAGATTGTACAAAGCCTCATTGCAAAGTCAGTCTCATCAAAGTTTCAGATATCATCTTCATGAATTTCATGTTCATGTATCATCTCTAATCATTGTTTTATAGTCTTTGAATTCTTCTGCTTGATCCATTGATAGGATATACAGCAATTATAGTGTGTACATAGTTGAGAATGGTGTTGAATGAATATAGATGCTCAGTTAACTCCAAGAGTGATGATAGATTTCAAAAGTATGTGTTTGAAGTAGAATCTATGTCATTCCACATAGAAACTTCAGCTAAATTGAAAAGCCTCGCTTATCTGCATTCAGTAATTGCTTGAGAAGGTTTTCCTCTTCAATCTCTGTCAATTTGTGGCCATTTGCACATGTCTCTGAGTGTAATTTGATGCCAGCAAGTCATTTGCACAGGATAGTTTCATAAACCTCATATATCTTTGAAGCTTTTGTCTTTGATATATATATTTTTTGAATTTATATGAAGCAATGACCAACTGTATGTGATATTCTTGAGATAAAGACATTTTGAAGAAAAAGTGTGAAGAAATGATGTGTTGAAGATAGTCGGGTTGAATATTTGATGAATTTCAGAGAGAATCCACTGCTCTCGGTGGTTAACTAGCTAGTTAGTTAGTTCGAGTAAGGAGTAAAACGCCGCACCCCATTGGGCAGAAGGAATTCATAATTAAACTTTACGTCAGTAAACAATACAGATTGCCCAAAACTATGTGCTAGGTATCGTTCTAAGTCTATACGCATATTTCGTTTCTCAACAGGTGACAGAAAAACAAATCATATACAACCTCATTTCACAAGATCACCATACAACAGAAAAATAATCGGCAAAATAATTCGAGGTATCTATGCATATGCAGCCCAACCTGAGAGATAGAATAAGGGTTAGTATCACATCTGTAACGGATGAACCACGGCGAAATGGCTTACCGGAATACAAAACCGCAAGGTTACGCTCATCTGTCGCTTGCTGAATTAACTCATTAACCGTAGCAGCAACGCTAAGGGTTTTCCCAAGCTTCTTCGCAACAACAGTTAAAGCCCGATCGGCCTCACTGGGTTCCTTGGGGTTCTTGCTTTTGCCGCCTTCGCTGGCCTGATCCGCGCCCCCAGCCGCCTGCTGTGTATCCTGCATTTTTTTAATGCGCAGCGGGGATAGTGACCAACTGTAGAGCGGATCATAACGCAGGACGTCTAGAATAGTCATAATGCTATATGATTCTTGGCGGAGAGCCTCGAGGGTGAATTCGCAACAGCGTCTGAACACCCCCTCTGTCTTGGTGATGCCCATTCCATCAACAAGATCGCGGGTTAGGCGGAATGGAACCATCTCCGGGATTGGTAGGACACGCCCTTGTTCGAAAGCAACACCTAAATCAATATGAACCACCTCACCAGTTCCCTCATCGAGAAGGATATTGTGCCCATGCCTATCACCCAAACCGAGCACATGGCCTAGCATGGAGATAGCAGCAGTGCTTCGCGTGTAAGCGAGGCGCTTGCTGAACCAGTCATCCGGCTCTTTGAATTTTTCCATGAAAAAGAATTTCATGACCGGATGGAAGTGATCCGTTACTTGACGAAAAATCTTTACTCGATACTCTAACGTTCTTGGTTGGGCATCGTTGATATTCTTGCGGCAGGCATTGGGTTTCATATCCTTGGGATAGTGCCTCTGATGGGCAGGCATGAGATAGTCGTGTAAAGGAATGGTGTTTTGCACAAATTCGATGATGCCGGCGTTAGCTGTAAGCGGAAGCACCTTATATGTTCGGATTCCCAAGTTGCGCTGTTGGGTGGCTCGATGATCCCGCAGTAAATTGCTGACTTGTTCAAAGACTTGTTCCATAATACTGTCCTGCCGCAAGTCATCATTTCCACCTTTGAACTGAACATATATGTCAGAAATATCTACTTTTACGAAAGCATGGACTTCACATGACTTACCAGTTGTTTATACTTTAGACCATCTGAGGCAATAGCGGTAACAATCTTGGGGGCACTGACACCTGAAGCGACAGTGAATTCTGGGAGGTATTTCTCAATTCTTGGAACATGGCTGTAATCGCAATCAACCCGGAGGTCAATTTTCATCGTGGCGGGTGGAATGTGTTGCCTCCTGATGTCTTGTTCCAACCGCTGTCCAGTAACCGATTTCCTAAGAGCAACTTTCGAACCACTCTTGAGTCCATCATCTAGTTTGTCCATAGCAAATCTAACATAGCTGATATTTGTGTTATGCAGCGTGATCCAGGTGCTCTGTACTTTCGGATCATTTTTCAGTCGGTCAACCAAGATGTTGGCTGCTCTGTAGCGGGAATTCGACATAAGGTCTTTCCCCACTTTAGATTTACTGCTGCTGAACATTTGATACATCCCGTGATAGGGGTGCTCCACGCAAATCCGAAAAATGAGCTCTGACAGTAAAGGTTGAAAAGTATCCTCAACATCAAGCAAACGCGACGACAATTGATTCATTAGCGGTGCAAATTTCCGACTTGGGACCGTGCTGATATATCTTGCGACAGCTTCATTGGCTGCTTCACTCTCGGAGTTATCTAACCAGAGAGCACAGCATCGTAAAACATCGTTCTTGAACATATCAGAAGCCCGCAGCGAAAGAAGATAGTTTTCTAGACACTGGCGTAGGAAAGATACCCGGCTTTTCTTCAGCCTTTGGTACTCATTGTCATCGAGTTCAAACCATTGTTTTGCTTTGATTCTGTGGATGCGAAGTTGATCTCGCTCTTTACCTCCAGCTGATTTCATCATTTGCTCTAGATCCATTACTTCTTTCTCCTTTCGATGGCGGATCTGTTCGATTCTTCTAAAGTCTTCAAGTCCGTCTGGGTTTTGCAATTGTTGATCACAGAAAGAAGCGAACTCATGGAACACCCGCCCAGCTTCGTCTCCTTCAAAGTTGCCTTTCAATTCCTTCATCGCAGGAACTAGATACTCCTGAATAATTGTATCCGGCTTCTGCAACCTAGCTTCCGCAACGTGGTGACCCTAACGAAATTAGTAACTGATGTCTTTTATATAAGCATAGATTTTAGTTTAGTTACGTACTAGACTAGCCAACACTTCTGCCTTATTCACAGGAATAGATTGTTTCGGGAGATCTTTTTGTTCGTTGAGCTGCTGTAATATCTGAATTGATGTCGTCATCTCCCCTTGATCCCAAAGCACATTTGCTAAGTCAAACGTGGCTGCAGCATCAATGAACACACCCAAGTCGGCACATGGCTGAATTAATTTACACAGAGATATCGCAGATTTCAAAGATGCTTGATGTTCGTCGTGTTCTCTGCTTATCTTGAGGGATTCTCGAATAGCCTTAACCTCCAATAGCTGGGCATCACGGGAGCTTAGACCAAGCATGGATCTAAGGTGAGGTTTCCGTTTGATTGACGAGAATAAAGCTTCGTGGCTCGAAAGAATCAGGTTTACATCGCAGAAACTAATGAAGTAATCACGTAAGTCAAAAAATGTTGATATTTTGGAACCCATGTAATGGACAACACGAACCTCTCGAACTTCAGCCATGAACTCCTCGATAGCATTCGTTCCCATTCATCCTGCAAGTCTTCGGGAGTTTGAGAGCTCAGGACTTCGTCAACTTCGGTTAACACGCCTAAAGCCCTCATCATAGTGCGAAGCTCGACCTTTGACTGGTTCTCTTCTAACAGGCGGCTAAGGATCTCTGAGAAGCAATCGTCCAACGTTCGAACCACTTGCATCTTGTTGTCAGAGGAATTCAAACTTTGAAGAACTTTGAAAACATTCCCGTTTGCGGAGGCAGTGGTGGAAGGCAGTGGTATATCCCACTGTTGTAAATACAGTGAAGTTGAAAGCATGCTTTCAAAGACTTCAGCCCTTTTCCCAATACCGCTAGGTGCCGCAAACATGGCACTTGCAACCCCTTGGAAATTTGTGGAATTCAGAGCTTTTATAACTCCAAGGGCATTTACTTCTCCAATTGAGTTAAAAAGCTTCATGTCGGTCTCATAATTAGCACTTTGGAATGTCAAATTTTTGAGTCCGGCACTCTCATGTTGAACCTTTTCAAGGACCGAGTCCAGAGTGGCACTTTGCTGGATTCCGTAGAAGAGATCGGGATCTTCGATGCTTTTAAAGATGTCATGAAGGAGCAGTAACGAGTCAGATGATTTGGAAATTGCCGATCGTCGAGTTGAGGGTGTTCGCGAGAAATGTATTTCCACAAAAAGAAGAGCAGTCTTATACATTTGACACTGCGTGGCTGCATTGGCGGCTTCCAAGTAGTCGATTTCGAGCCAGGCGTCTCGTTGGTTCATAGTTGACTCATGGGGAATTTTCTGATGTCTGAGGTAGAGAATGCAGTGTATGATGAGCCGGATGTGTGGAAATACAGTTTCTCGAACATCGCGGAATGCTTGTCGAAACACTTCGGAGATAGCTTGGCGAGAACTCTGTCTGTCCTCATACTCAGAGACTAACACATCATGCACAACACATGGTAAGAGTTTCACGGCTAGAGATGGTATTTCAAAAAGAACTTTTGGCAATGCGCCCATTATGGGGTCGGCGGCTTCCTTATTTGTTAGGCAAAGAGTTACATCACGGGCCCATTCGTCGACAGGTACATCTGGAATCCATCGAATATCATGATTGAACTGAGTTCTCTGAGAAGCAGTCAAAGACAGGTCAGGGCATATATACGGTGTCCAGGTAAGAGCTTTCATCGTTGAAGGAGGAATTGCCGCTGCGCACTCTCCAAGATTAGGGTCCGAAGGGAATCGAGTAAAGATGGTTTGTAAAGCCTGCTCTGCAAGGCCAATGTCTTTGCGGCTATTTGAAAATAGCGAGTCACAAAGCATGCGGATAATGGAAAACTTGGACGTAAATCTAATGCATTCGGGTATATCGTCAAAGGAAATGGATCGCGTTTCCTTGAGCATCGAGCCGTCAATTACACCGGTTGACGCATATGCTCGGCCCAATGCACGAGCCGCCCAGAGACGATAACCAGAACTGTGGTCTTGGTGTTGGATGGACTTCCAAACCGTTATCGCGTTCTCCGCAGCAATCTTGTCATCCCCCAAAATATCATCCCGGAAGTTGTTTGGCCTTTGGAAATCATTGCAGACAAGAGAAAAGATCAAATCTGTCGCTGGAACACTCAATAATCCCTTCCCGCTGGCGCTATCTTGCAAAAGACCTGCCATAAATTCACCCTCATACGTCCCCTTCGAAGCGTTTCCAGCTAATTGAATACGCTGAGAAGAGCCGACAAGATTTCGAAACGACTTCTCTGACTCTCGGCTAAGTTTCGGAGATATATATTCGTTCATAAATTTTGCAAACCAGTCGTAGAACATTTGAGCGTTCGATAGTGAGGAATGAAAATGTGTTTCTTGGGCAGTGCTCTTTTGAGAAGAGGAAAGAAACCCTCGGAGCGAGACAAGAGTTGACACCCCCAGTCCTGCCATAAAAGAGGGGTTTTCAAGTAGATACGATCTGCCTTTATCAATGAGATACCAAAAGAGTCCAATGGCATCTCCTGAACAATGAAAATCAGAAAGAAAGGGCCTTAGAAAATGTAGAAGCATCTCCAATGGGTATTCTTCAAGAACTACAGGCCCAGCGATGCAGATAAGAATTTTAAGTTTCCGGATGACAGAACAGGCATGGAGAGAGCCCAGGGAGGGGTGGATGGATTCTATCAATGTTCTCGCAACGAAACAAACTAAAGCGGGCGTCCACATCGTCTCAAGGTCATATCCACTCCGTGCGCACAGAAACTCAAACTCATCGAGGAGGTATCTGGCTCGGAAAGATGGCTGTTGGCTGGCAGGGAGTGCCGCCGAGGATGAGCTTCTCTCACCAATGTCTCTCCAGATATCTAGAGCAAATTTAAACGGGGGGCGCTTTTCGAAACCTCTCTCTATCTGCTCCGTTTGATCAACACATTTAAAAAATACAGCGACCGTCTCAGGAAAGAATCTCTCCAGCAGGGAGACAAACTTTTCAGGGCCCAGAAGTTTCTTGATACGACTTTCTGTTCCCTTCGGCTGACTGTCTTGGGAAGGTGGAATACTGATGTCGCGTGCAATACAGTATGCTTCGGCTTTGTAAAAGGATTCTTCAAGCAATTCTGGGAATGGCACACTTAAATACGATGAAACCCCGGCCATCTCATCGTCCTTGCCACGCATCACAATTTGGGCTACAACTTCATCCTTGACGTCAATCAGCAGCTCATTGAACGTCTCATAACCGAATATAGTGAATGGAATAGACCCCAAAGACTCCGTTTCCAACCACGTATAAATCATCTGTGGCGCAAAAAGTTTGAATATTTCTTTGGCATTGTTGAGACCAAGAGAATTTGCGACTTCCTTTAAGCAAGCTTTCGCATAGGGGGATGACTTAGGAAGTTGCCCTGGCGCTTCAAATATGTGATATATTCCGCGGCGAAGGAGGGTATGCCATTTAGATGCTAACTGTGCCAGGACGTATAGCCGTAGTGCAATGCCCTCGTTCCAGTCGGGGTCTCGAGGAAGACTCTCGAGGATATCATCAAATATAACATCATATTCTTTCAATATAAACCGATCGAACACTGACGGAATGATCTTAGACAAGTGGAACTTAACTGTCAAATCTCCATCATAAAGGATTTTAAATAAGCTTGTACGGGGTGAGAGGCGTGAATTTTCCCTACCAAACAGTGGATTTGTTCGCAAAACACTTTCCATTAATCTAGCAATCCGAATCAGAACTCTTGAAGACCCGAGCTTTTTACGAACTATGACACCAGTAAACCAGTCGTAAAGATCTGATGCGGATTCGAAAAGTTCATCGTCTTCCTCAGCGGTCCAGAGGTCAACAAAAGAAATCATCAAATTAATACACAGGGATAACGTCCCCTCACACCTCTCAAGCTCGTATGACTGTAGGCACTTTTCTCCAAAAAACTCGAGCAAAATGCAGGCGTCAGACCTAGAGATATTTGGCCAGCTCCCGAGAAGAACCGCTAAATTAGTTCGGCAAGTTAGAATGTCCGCCTCGTCAAGGGATGTGATATAGCTGACCAAGGTCTCATTTGTAGGGACTTCTAAGTTCTTTTTTGCCTCGTAAAAGTGATGTAGTATAAATAGATGAGTTGCTGTTGCGCGGCGGATTGAATTCTGGTCACCGTAAGAAGGCGTGTCCTCTCGATCAAATTTAGGGGTCAGGTCATTTTCCCTAGTGTGACTTTCTTTAGATGAAAATTGAATATCCAGATCCATCGGCTCCGTCGTGGAGTGAGATAGGTCCAGTTCCGCCTTGCGGTGATGATCGAAAACGGAAACCAACCCGGGGGTCATCCGATGCACCGCATTCAAAATCGGATCTTTGGTGTCAAGTGACAGCTTCAATGGCAGAATAATCGGGGAGAGAATATCCAAGCACGCGTGGAGAAATTCCACTTCCTTCTTGGCGAAATAGCCACAGAAACTTGTCCAGAGTTTTTCGGTACTTTTTTGTAGAGATTGACAGCGAAATGAAACAGGTATCGGAAGCAACTCTGCAAAGATAGTGCTGGTTAAACAGAGAGATACCAATATTTGGATGATTTCAACTGTAACATGTTGACGCTTGTCGTTGCATAGCTGGGTCCAAATTTCATTGAAGCTGTCTATTTTTGTCTGCAGCAGCTCCAAAACAACCTGGTCGTTAGGATGTTGTCTCACAGAAGATCCAACAGAAGGAGGACTGCCGATATCTGTTGCAGTCTCATTAGAACGTCCTTGCTTTTTAATAAGCAGCAGATACTCAATCAGCTCATAATCATGACGAAGGTCGAAGAAATATTTGGAGATCCTGCAAAGTGGTCCTGGAGGAGCAGGGTACGCGAATTGGAAAGATCTCCCAGTGCAGCTCATTAGGAGATTCAAAAGGTCTAGAGGTCTTGCAAAAGTGGCGACTTGCATCGTATGAATGCGATCAGTCAAATTCCCTGAATCTAAGTGTCAGCAAACGATTTGATTTCGCAAATACGTAATTCACCTAACATACAACTATTTCTTATCCATGCACAAATTTGTTTTGACATATCTTGATTCTGCGCGGGATTGATCTTTGTTCGGAATTCCACCATCGTTGCCCACATCAGCAGGGCAGAATCGGTCAGGCCAGCCGGACCGTTGAGATCAATAGAGGACGTCATTAATTCTATTGTATCCACAATACTTGAGTAGTCCAGCAATTTGAAATGCAGGATTGCCGTCATTAAATGGCAGGAAGCTCTGGATGTGGTGGGCGAGGCTAGGGTGCGGGAAGCCAAGTCCCAAACCTGAGTCCACAGAGGTCGTAGTTCCGGTGACATAGCTGCTGGACAGCTAGCTATGCTGCAAATACACCATCAGTAACCTTCTGTAGGCTTTCTATCGATCTGACATACCTTGCAATTGCTATCATAGTCCATGACGCAGATGACCCGTTTTCGTCTAGAATGTTTACAGTGAGTTGTTCAAGAGTTGATAAGAGCTCGTCAACTCCCGGCTCCCAATCTAATAACACAAACGGAAGTAGCTGCAGTGCACATATTCTGGCTAGCCCCGTAGAGGTTGAGGCTTCGCGAACAATATCCGATAACCTTGAAAGGAGATGTAGTTTTTTATTAGGCCTTCCCACTGCTTGTGAGTTTTCATCTAGAGTGTGGCATAATTTGTCCAAAAGCGTGGAAAGATTAGCAATTACTTGCAGGGTTGTCCAATTTTGCTCAGACCTAGGGACACCGAGACGCGGAGCCATTGTCCGAATCCCCAAAGGTCGAGGAATTGGGTCGAAACTAAATACCAAGTCGTCAACCTGCATGAGGTCCTTTTCAGGTTGCCTCATGTACTCTTGACAGATTCTCTCGAGGAGGCCTTGAAGTAACTCGACAAACGAATCTGGTGGGTATGACAGACCAATTTGTAGAAATACGGGTCTCCCCAGCATCAAAGTTATGAGCATCTCATCTCTTAAGGCAGCGGATTTCGTACGCCAGAACCGTTTGATTATCGGAATTACATCCAAAAGAATGTCTCTAACTAGAGTGATGTCATCTGTGACGGATTTCGAAAGGACAGCATTCAGTGCTCTAAATGCTGCATAAGGAGCCCTCGATATGCTATTAAGCGACAATAGATAGTCCACCAGGCCATTGAGCAGCTTCCCCGCGTTATCGAGGACGGGGCTTATCGGACAGGAGCATAGTAATTGAATACAGGTCTCTAGTTCTTCGTTATTTCCAGTGGCATCAGAACGGGAATTTCGACTACGTCGAAAAGAGCCTGGTTCGACTGAATTGGCACGACTGTTTGGTTCATCCAGACTCTCAGACGGAAGACGAGAGCGACTTCGGATGCTCAGCTGGTGTCCCTGACTGGGTTCTATAACGCCGATGGCTCGAAGGCAAAAATCAATCAGATGACGCCAATCATCCTTGCTCAAATGCTCTACATGGGGCGCATATTGTAATGTTATCCTTAAAATCTTTATGTAGTCCCCACTGAGTGGCTCCCAGAGGGCGTCTTCCGGATTTGGGAGCGCATCGGTAATATGATATAGCAGAGCCGTGACAGTTTTCAAGCGTATCCTCTGGACTCCTAACTCAACCGTCGTCCGAAGGGCAGATGCGCAACTTGTGAGCCTCGACGCAGAGGTAGATTTGGAAATGGACGACTTTGTGCGTTTATAGAAAGACTTCTCGATTGATATAAACCGGAACAGAGCCTCGAAAATTTTGTGATAGTTTTTGTCACCCAGATTGTTCCTTCAGCAAATACCACCCATGTCAGTATACCAATACGGATTGGCGAAGGCGAATCGGAGGCATACAATTTAGGTGTTTGTCTGCTCTGGAGAAGGATATGTTTTAGATCTTTTCAGCTACAGTCAGCCTTATGTCCATGAATAATACAGTCAGTTTCTACGTAAGCTAGAAAACGGCATTACCTTCAAGCCCATCTGTCCGATCCTTTTGTTTGTCAGAGCGAATTGCCTCCAGCGCATCCTCCAAGCTGACTTCCTTCATCGTTCCCCAGGCAGCCGCTTCACAATGGATCTAAGAACTGCTCCTGGTAGAACGTATTAGAGCGGGGAGCGAGGAGAGCATACAAAGGGTTTCTATCCAGAGAACCATGCTATTTAGATCATTAGAGAAATACTTCATCTCCATGGAAAGGAAGTGCTACATTAAAATGATAGACACAGTAATAGAATGTTACCACAGGCTGACCCTCTAAGGGGTTGGAGGATACGAACTTTGGTTGTTTCGTCAAAAGGAAATTTGTCCGAAAAAATAAAAAATAGGCTGCGGTGAAGTGAAGCCGTTGGAAGCTCGGGCCATTTGTGATTGGCCGCAAACTCTTTTTGCAGATCGCGTCTCTCTGACCACTTCAAAACACTCTACGGAGTATTTTCTAGCAATCTCAACCACACTTCAAACAGAACATTCTCTTGTCCACCTCTCTCCAGGATGGATGGCGGCGATGAACTAGATAGCCTGAGGGGCCTCTTCCAGGACCTTTCTAGCCTCTCCAGAGCTGCCCTTCCAGACATAGATAGGCTAATTTTCGAACTAGAGGCAACCATTCAAGACTTCAGAAAGCTCCTCGAAAAGCCCACAAAGAAGAACGAAAGCCGCCAAACCGTACTCTCTGGTACGATCCACCATATCTCGTCGCATCAAATCTGTTCATATGTTGGTTGTTTGTGCTAATAATGTCTTGATTACATAGGGAAAATTAAGGTCCACGATGTCGAGTACTCGGTAAATAAGGAATTCCAACAGGACGTCTTGCAGGTGGCAGACGCCTTGGATTTGGACGAGATCGAAGCGGCCGATTACTATTTACGAGCGCAAGACGACGCAAGGAAATTAGACCGCTCTCCTGTTATGAGTACAATTATACGTTTTCATGAACGACGATCTTTCCTCCTGGAATGCCTACGTTTAGTCTTCTATGAGTCGTTCGAGGTCGAGAGAGAAGGCACCCAAGCCATCATGCAGGATTATGTTGCGAAAATTCTTGAGATCCAAAATGGCCCCTTACGAAATGCGTCTCTTTTCGCAAGAAAGTGCATGGATTCCATGGTTGATATCGAAAAATGGCTGATACGCCTGGGCGAGTTAGCTCAAAAAGCTTCAATTGTGGGACAAGCTCAAGAATCAGATCTCGAAATTATAGAATTCCAATGCGGCAGCCTTGGAAAGGAGCATGAATCTCTTGGGGCGATACTGTGCTACCTTTTCAAAGGCACTTTCACCAGCTCAGAAGATTTCCGCCTACTCCTAGACAGACTTAGGAAACTCGATAAGTTCGACATGATATTGGTCCATTATATCCCAGCAATAGTCTCCTCGTCATCTCAGTATGGCTCTCCGGAAGGTTCTGGATCTCTTCGCGATGCAAGATCTCTCCATCAGACTGTTACATCTTCCAGAGAACCACAGGACTGGCTTTTATCGAAATTTCATGCTACTACAACAGCTCTATGGCTGGCCGAATACTCGGGTTGGTATTATGAAACTTCCCCTGCGTCTCCTCTTGAAGGTATTAGTCCTGAAAGGGAGACCGCTGATCTCACCAAGTTGTTTGTCACCGTCCTCGATGATGGGGCCCTCGAATTTATGCTTGAGGTCTGTGCCGGCGTCAGTCAGAACCAGTGGCGCGATCCATCAAGGGCAGAGCTAGTAAACCTACTCCTCAAAGACAGTGCGCCCTTGGCGATTGAACAGGACTCTTCTTCATATTTTCATGATTTACTCATGGAACACTTCGAGATATTCGTAGAATCTCTTATTGCCAACATGCCTGATGCGATCAGGACATTGAAATCGGAAGAAGATATTCAGCGACTGGATCAAATTACTGCTCTTCGGGAGGGCCTGACCTCAAATATACATAGGGGGCCCATTGAAACTCGCATGCATTTTGAGGCTTTGCTCATGATAATGGCGTTCGCGTTTGAGCATAGAGTTGACGCCGCGCAAGAATTTTGGGCAGATCCGGAAGGAAATTTATACGGATTTCTCCAGTGGGCGTCGAAGCGCCAGACTGTTCCTCGGGCCAGTGCCTTCTGTGAAATGCTTTGTTCTATCTCAGAAGGGGAGGAAAATTCCCTGTCAGCTCACAAGTTCCTCTTAGACGAAGAAAAAATATCACCCACGAAATTCAAAAGATCCGCATCGATGGGCTGGACTCAAATGATAGAGGAGCTCCAGCTCTATGCCACAAAAGCCACGGAACGTCCTTCAGCAGCACCGCCATCCGTTTTTCGTATTCGGAAACTTGAACCGGCGGATATTGATGAACCCGAAAGTCCTGTGATGCTTACATCTTACTTGAGACTCATCAGCCACCTATGTAGGCAAAACTCTACAATACGCCAATGGATCTTGGAGCATCCAACACTCAACCTCATTAACATTCTTCTAACGCTGTGCGACGCTCCTATTCCAAGCCATCTGAGATCCAGCATATTTGTCACCTTTCGGTGTTTAATGGTGGACAGGATATCCGTTCATGGGAATGAGATGTGGATTTCTCTTGACCATTGGATTTCTGGTTCAGGATCCCAAACTTCAGGTTTTGCCAAAATATCTCTTGTGACCAGTTCACCTGGCTGGAATGAGCGCCATTTTTTCCGGAAAATAGCAGAAACATTCGACCAAACATATTCATTTGTTGACCTGCTGGACACACTGGTATCACCGCCCATCGATTTGATCGATTCGCGACTCTCTCTTCCCTTTCCAGAAGCATTAGGGTCCTCCTACCGAATGCCAGGCATAGAGCCTTATATCGATTTTGTCATGGGCCAGGCATTCGCTAGTAGATCCATCGACCTTCACGAGCCACAAGCTCGGCTTTTACAACTGAGCTGCTTCAACTTTGTAGCCACCTGCCTCGAGAATTTTAACGAGAACCTCATTTCCATCGTAAATCAGCCTTCCATTCCGCTAGACTCTGGCTTGCGATCATCATCCCTGAATGCGTACATTCGATTGCATCCATTCGCGAGGGTGATGGAGTGGATATTTAACGAGGATGTTCTCAAGACCATGTTTGTTACGGCACATCAAAACATCGATGAGGTCGCACGGGCTGCATCTGATTCCATACTACTTCGATGCTTGGTCCGAACCATTGACGTTATGAACCTTGTGATGGACCACCAGTCGACCTACTTTGATGTCGTACGGCCATTGATTAAATATCAAACTAGACAAGCTGCAAATACCGTGGCTAATTCGTCTCTTGCGTCGTTTGAGGATAGTGTCATGGACAATCTCCGCCTGGTCACAGATTTGTGCCTCTACTGCGGGACCGGCCATCCACTGTTAACTCTGGCTTCTCTCAACCTTTTGGAAAAGCTATCCAGCTCCCGGAAGCTAAATAGAGCCACATCGTCCACAATATCGCGTTGGCAGGCATCTAATCAGATAGTGGAACTATTGAACAATGATGTTGAGGCAGAGCGCATTGCTCGCTCTCTTGCCCCTCAGATGAAACCTGATTTGCGGGAAATAGAAAACGGTCCAACATCTTCTGGCTATCTCATCAAACTAGGGCTTGTAAATTTACTTGATCGCTGTCTCAGTATGAATCCCGAAAAGCCAAATATGGCTCATCTCCTTCTGGGATTTTCTTGTTTGGGAAACACGCTTGATATAGCAGCCGAGGGATTGTTCCAGGACAAGATGTCACTTTTCCATGCTATGGTCGAGTTTGTGCAGAACTACCCTGATGGGGAAAATGGGACGATTTTGACTTGGATGATTTATCTCAAAGAATCGTGCTTCCGTGTGCTTCGACATCTCTGGTCATCGAAGCTCTCTTCAACACTAGTTCTTCCAGAGCTCCATCAGCGTCAGCTCCTTGTTACCCTGTTCATAACTCAACCTCAAGTCGGTCCAGAAACCCTCTGGGATAATTTCCAAACTACTGATCCAGAATTTTGGTACTCGAGTTCACCAGATTCGGTATCAGAATTTCTTAGTTTCCGCAGTCTTCTTTTTGACTATGCCGTGACCGAAGTTCGCTCTGCAGCAAGGCATGGCTCCCCTTCTCTGCAAAAAGATACCCTATCTACTCTTCTAGGAAGCTCGGTTGATGAAAATAACCGAACTTTTACCCACCCTTCTTTCTTCGACCTCTTTGATTTCGTCGATTTGGATATTGAGGCCGTTCAACCTCCCTCAAATCTTAAGTTTTTCGATGGCAGCAATCTGGATCTATGCGCAAAGATACAGAACGATGGTTTGGTAATCTATGATCTCCCCTCCGTGAAGGAGCTTCTTGAACTCACCAAGCAAGAATTACTCAACGCTGGAATAGCGACATCTAATGATGATGAACAGCTCCTTGCCGAACAGAACAACATATTGCTCTTTCTTCGTGCGACTAATCAAAGCCGAAAGATTCATCACAGCCGCTACTTAGCTGTTCGATCTTGGGCAGAACTTGCGACCACAATCATCGTCACGTGTGAGATGGACGCTGCACAAAGGCCGATGTTGATTTTGCACATCCTACAACTTATTCTTCCCAAGCTTGAAAGCTCTGTCATGGATAATGTAGCGGAAGCTATTGAACTAGGGCGTTTGGCAGAATCGTTGATAGAAAAGCTTGGGACTGGTCATCCACCGGAGACACCCAACAAGGGAACAGATATCATTGATGAACGACTCTACCACCTATTCCAAACATGTATCCGTGGAATTCCATTGGCTACCGAAAATAGTGCTTTGAGAGAATGCCTTTACAACATATGCTCCCAATACTTATCCCGCATTACTCGCAATAGGTCAGATCACAACCGTTTTGGAAGCCATTCGCAACAAGCTGTCAAGGCTTCGGGCTCCTCACTTGTTGAAGTTTTATGTGACGATGCATATTCTGGACAAGAAGCCTGTCGAATATCTGCTCTGCTTCTTCTCAACCTTCTTGCTGTCCTTGATCGCCAGCTATCCTCATCGCTGCTCATAGAATTAGTTGCCCAATCGAACTATCTCGCCATGTTCGTGGATGTTGTTGGGGCGATACCATCAGAGTTTCGCAAAGCGTCTGCAAGCGGTACGTAGTATACATCTGATTTTATTCCTCTCTCACATTCTCCTTGTCTAACATCGCTTTCCAGAAACCTCTCGACTATCTGTTTACTACGACACACACCTGTGTCTACTTCAGCAACTTGCACAATCACGAGTTGGAGCAGAACGCGTCCTAGACGCAGGCTTGTTTCAAGCTGTTAAGGAGTCCCAACTCTTTGCCACTGACCCTGATATTGGAATAGGTAAAATCATATCCTCTTCTTAGCCCTTTTCATGGTGACTAACTTGATAACTTTCAGAAATTGATAACCCAGACGCTCTTCAGAAATACTATGATCTGCTCCTTTCCGTAATGCGCGTGATCGTGTCAGCAGTTTTTGCGCGCGGCTTACACAACCAACAAGTCCGTGACCAAACTCGCATATTTCTGTCTAAAAATCGACAAAGTATTGTTGGCATATTCAAGCGGTATACAAAGATCTGTGGTCTGGATGATAAGAACGCTAGAGAGACAGTAGAGGATCTGGTAAAGTCATACATCGTACTAATCGAAGCTATTGGGTTTCTTGAAGTTAGTCCTACTCTCTTTCGCAATTACCCGGCGTCCGTTTAGGGAGACATTAATGCTGACTACCTGCCGTAGTTTGAGGATGAGCAGTCGATCGACAAAATGGGTCCAAAATCATTTTCTTAGATTTCTGTATTGCTGTAATTTGCAGCCGGAGGCGTTTGTTAAGGAAGCATTTAAAGGAGGAAAGAATATATGATATGCCTAATGATTCTCTTTATCCCGAGTCTTGGAGGACTTCCCCAGCGCATTTAAGCTACAGCATGAGTATTAATGTGATGTGTTAGTCATATCGTAAACAGAGCTAAGTGAGGGAGAAAACTATAGACTGGTAGAGATTTGGGATGACTGCCAAACGCATCCCTAGAGGTGAATGAACTGCAATATTCATCATAATCATCATCATCATCATCATCATCATCATCATCATCATCCACATTTCTTTCACATCTCATTTTTTTTTTCTCCGCATCAATCTCCTCTTTCATTTGTTATCATTCATCAATCTCTCTCAATCCTGCGCATATTGGCGTTCATACATCTCAGTCCGTCCATTACCTAGACCTTAGTCACGGAACAGCCAATCGGAGCTGTCTGCTGCAGTTGACTCCGTCAGGCGGTTCAACCCATGAACGTCAAAACAGCGTCATACTGAACGAGTCTCCTTTACACACCCACCGTTTCCTAACACTTCGCAGAGGTATCTTTTTTTCTATATGGCTGTATGTCGTTTATGTTGCTTTATGACATGTGAGCTCTGATGGACTTTGGATATCAATCTACAAAAATAGATGCATAATTCCAATAGGCCTGCACCGAGGGGCGGGAACTACAAGTCTCCAGGAAAACGGAAACAACCCGAACAAGATCCTGGAAATCGCGAGGACCTGGTGCGGAAACAAGCGACTATCACGTACCTTTTTGAGAACGGGTGGAATAACATATCGAGAAACGGCAGAGGGGAGATTCTGTCTCCAGATACCAAGCGCATGAAACGAGAGGGACTCCAGCTCCCTGCCTCATACCCTGCCGCTCCCACTCAGCTAATGTCAATCAATAAAATGTACATATTCCAAAATAATACCGATTCAAAATCACCAGCCGGTCCCGGTGGGCATAATCTGTCACCTTCGAATTCTAATGGCGCCATGCCGTTGGAATCCCGTTCCCGCAACTCGACAATCCGATCAAGCAACTTCACACCACACGCTGGAGCAAAGAAGCTGGTCGTAAAGAACCTAAGAGCCACACCTCGTCTAGATCGGAATCGATACTTTGAGAAAGTCTGGTCGCAACTGGATGCTGCTCTGATGGCTATCCTTGAGGATCAGAAGCCGGAACAATCTCTCGAGGAGCTCTATAGAGGGGCAGAAAACGCCTGTCGACAGGGTAGGGCTGCAACTCTGGCCAAAAAGCTACAAGATCGCTGCCACGAGCACATATGTGAGAATGTTTTGAATTCGTTATTGTTGAGATCGGAGGATGGTAATGACGTTGATATCTTGAAGTCGGTGGAAGAAGCTTGGGCTACGTGGAATGCTCGTTTGGTATGCTTTTTCTTTCCACAACGAATATCAAATTCTGAGTAATTCGGTTATTAACTACCTTCTGTTTTAGGTTTCAATACGTTCTATTTTCTACTATTTAGACCAATCGTTCCTCCTTCATTCCACGGACAATCCAGTCATCTATGAGATGGGTTTAGTTCAATTCCGCACCGCAATGTTCTTGAACGATACATTGCGCCCCCGCATTCTACAGGGAGCCTGCCAACTCATTGAACTTGACAGAAAGGATGGTAATACGGCAGTTGACCCGAACCTACTCAGGCGTGCTATCAAGTTCTTTCATGACCTCGGCGTTTACAAGAAATATTTTGAGCCATACATGCTTGATGCATCCGAAAAATACATCAGCAGCTGGGTCGTCAATGAAGCTAATCATTGCGGGCTTGCCACCTATGTAGAGCGGTGTCAACTGCTGATTAGCCGTGAGATTCAGAGGTGTGATCTTTTTGGTCTGGACAGGAGCACCAAACAAAGCATATCCCAAATGGTAGATCGTTATCTTGTCTCAGACCAGATCAAGATCCTACTTAAAGAAGATGACATTGTCGAACTCCTCAACACGCATAGTCAGGTGGCACTGGAACAACTGTACTCGCTACTGCAACGTCTGGAGCTGGGGCACAAAATAAAGCCCGCATTCTTCAAGTATATCACCACAGAAGGGTCCAAGATAGTGTTTGATCAAACAAACGAAGATAGGATGGTTACGAGGCTATTAAGTTTCAAGCAAAATTTGGACGTTATTCTGATAAATGCATTTCACAAAGATGAAGTCCTAGGTCACACTCTGCGTGAGGCCTTCGAAGTGTTTATCAACAAAACGCAAAAATCAGAATCTACCTGGGGAACGGACAATCCAAAACCAGGTGAAATGGTTGCAAAATACGTCGATATGCTACTCAGAGGTGGTGTCAAGGCAATCCAGAGCCTGGATGGAGAATCCAGCATCGGCAGCACGGCCTCGGCTGATGAAGATGCAGAGGTAAATCAGAAGTTGGACCAAGTATTGGGTCTTTTCCGTTTTATTCATGGAAAAGCCGTTTTCGAAGCCTTTTATAAGAACGATCTTGCCCGCCGTCTTCTTATGGGTAGAAGTGCAAGTGATGAGGCTGAAAAGAGTATGCTTGCCAGACTCAGATCAGGTACGTGCCATAATCAAACGAAGCCAACCCCTGGAAATAGCAAACTGACCATATTGAAAACCTTAAAGAGTGCGGTTCGGATTTCACCCGGAATCTCGAGTCTATGTTCAAGGACATGGATCTTGCGCGGGATGAAATGGCCTCCTATAACGCGCTACTAGGACCAAAGAAGAACAGACCTGGCTTGGATCTGAACGTGAATGTCATATCAGCAGCAGCATGGCCTTCATATCCAGATGTGCCAGTGAATTTGCCGAAGATAATATCATCTGCCTTGGAAAGCTTCGATCAGTTTTACAATAGCAAGTACAACGGACGAAAACTTCACTGGAAGCATTCGCTTGCGCACTGCCAGCTAAAGGCTAAATTCCCCAAAGGTGACAAGGAAATCGTTGTGAGCGCGTTCCAAGCCCTCGTTCTCCTCCTATTCAATGACGTAGTGGAGGGCGCCACTCTATCATACGCAGAAATCAGGGAAGCTACCAGCCTGCGTAAGTGTTACAGCATATCTTTCTTTTCTTTTCAGCAAAAAAAAAAAAAAAAAAAAAAAAAAAAAAAAAAAAAACGCCATTTAGATCTTATGCAATCTATTTCATATAGACACAGACTAATCTAATCCCCACCGCCCAGCTGACGTCGAATTGAAACGCACTCTCCAATCCCTAGCCTGCGCGAAATACCGAGTTCTGGTCAAGCGACCAAAGGGCCGAGAGGTAAACAACGACGACACCTTCGCCTTCAACTCGAACTTCTCCGATCCCAAGATGCGCATCAAAATCAACCAGATCCAACTCAAGGAGACCAAGCAGGAGAACAAGATTATGCATGAGCGGATTGCGGCAGACCGGCACTACGAAACACAGGCAGCCATTGTGCGCATTCTAAAGACCCGGAAAGTCATCACGCACGCGGAGCTAGTGGCGGAGGTTATCAATAAGACGAAGGATAGAGGGGTGTTGGATCCGGCGGGTATCAAATCTAATATTGAAAGGTGAGTTGAGATTTTTCCTTGGCCTCTTACTGCGTTGCAAACCGCAACCCAAATATATTCCATTTCCAAATGGTTATTTGTTTGAATATGTTAACTGACATGCAATTCAACCGCACATTCAGACTCATCGACAAGGAGTACATAGAGAGGGAAGATGGAAATAAATACGTATACCTAGCTTGAAAGGACAAGATCTCATTTCTTTGACGTGTTTCTTTTGATTCCATGGGGTTAACTATGCAGGAGATATTTGTGGAATCAGAATCTTCATCTGCCTTGTGACTCATCTCTCACCCAGTGTATGAAATACAGGCTACCATTTCCTTTGTTCGGCAGTTGCTTGCCCCTGACCAGTTTCTGAGAATTTTCATGTAAAAAAGTCAAGGATTGATAGACGCAATGCTAATGACAAGAATTATGATTTCCTTCCCCTCTTCTTTCGTTTTCCTCTTGTATTCCATGCAGCGAAAAGCTTTGTAGAATAAAGAATATTTGTGCTCTGCTTTGTTTCCAGCAAATCTCACTCTATTTCTTCTTTTTTTACTTCCTATAACTAACTAGTTAACTAGTTAGTTATATAATGGGCCCATCGACCGAGAACTCATGCCACCTCCAATTTCAACTCCAATCAGCAATAATTTATAGTTATTACGAAGCCATGCTTGATGAGCTCAACACATTTCACGGCAGTGCCACCGGCAATTCCCTTTCCCCACCATACATTCTATGACTTAAGCAAAACCCCACCTCCACTCGCTCCAATGTCCGTATCCATATAGTATCCGCCTGTCACAGTAGCGGCTATGACACGTCGCCATGTGTGCAGGACCATAATGGTTGTGTCTTTGGGACTCCGGCTGTGGAAACGAAGTAGTACGAAGAGACTCCATTAGCTCGGAATCGGACAACGTGTCGTGATGGGATTTCAACCCCGGCAAATAAAGGAGGTCGTCGACCTCTGCAGGCACCCACAATGCCAGCTAGAACGGTTCCAGGGTTCCGAATTCAAGTCATGGTTCCTGTGATTCGCCAGCAGCCGCGCCTGAGAAACAAAGAGCTCCTTTCGCCAAAGGGTATTTTGACCAGAAATAGGTCGGCCGCCATTACTCTCCCACCCCTTCCCCCATGTCAAACGTGCCAGTTCTTTTGTCCCCACCCTGCGCGCTCCACCATCCTCTCCCTCAGCATATACGGGTCTGGGAAGCCCAGATGTAAATGAAGGGGTGGTCGAGATAGCTGTTATTCCGTGGGGTGAAAATAGGCCATATCAGCTTACCATCAATCTTGCCCTCTTTCGATTCCATCACACTGGTAGGTTTTGAATGCGACCTACAACCATCCTGTCCTCTAATAAGAAAAGCACTTGGTGTATCCAAACGGCATATTTCTTTTGTGCCAAAGTCCTTCATCTTTCATCACTAATTTTGTTGATCACAGGGATTTGCATGCCTGATGATGGGTTGACGGAGGCGAGCCTAATGACTTAAATACAGCGGTTGCAGTCCTGTCAAATCCGTCAGTGTACTAGCAATTCACTCCTTTAGGCAGATTCTCAGCGTTAATAAAGTCCAGTATGAATTTCAGCCCTTTAAGATTCTTTATTTGGCTTCTACCTACAATACCCGCCACGCGGCAAAACATACCACATGCTGTGACTCAACATTGCCTCTCTCACCTCTTAAGGCAATAGCCTGGCATTGACTGTTTCTTGCACGAGTCTTGAGAAATTAGCACATGTTAACTGCGAAAAGGAGTAGTTGTTAACTATTTTCAGGTACGCTCTAATTACCGGACTCGAACCTGTGGTTACATCCAACCGGCAACATCCGGCGTCTTCATAAATCTGATTCCAAGTTATACACGATAGAACGTGCGCTTAGATATTTCTTGTGAGCGACGTAGCTCCATCTAATATCATAAGGAGATTCTAATTTTGGCGCTAAGGAGTTAAGCACCCACCCAAGCCACAGAAACGACAAAAAAGTGGGTTAAGCTTGATAGTGAAGATTTCTGTGAGCAGCAGCACAACGTTAGTTGACTAACTAGTTACATCAGCTGACAGGCGCCACATAACTAACTAGTCAACAGCGTGCATCGTACCTTTATATTGAGGGCGTCATTGAACTCAAGCTTCAAAGCTATTGGGTTTCTATAACCCATTGATCTGATTGAAGGTCGTAGCCTATTTATCTCGATGTAGCCGTTGTTTCAAGCACCAGGCGGCTTGTCCGTCGCACTGTCGCACTGTCACACCCTCAAAGGCTTGTGCTGTCTACCGACATGAACACAAGAGACAAAAATACTCCCCCATCAAACCCATTTAGCTCTCACTCCTGGTTCTGACACGGCAATTTCGTATATGCGCCAATCCTTGTCCCCGTTATATTGTCAGTGAACGGGCTACGAGACAATAAAACAGAGTAGCTTGGGTATGTTACACGCTTCCGACACTATCTTACATTGAATCATTAAAGCTCCAGCTTCACAAAATGCCAAAGAAGCTTTGTCCGATATTGACTCACCAGAACCTTAATGGCATTCGCTCAGAGTACTCGGGGCATCAACATTGAGCATTGGCTCGCTGGTGGTTGGCAAGGCAATATTTTCTGAAGAATTCCAGAATCCTCCTGACAACGTCACAGCAACACAACGCGTCTCAGGTCGATAAATCATCCCCTTCTCTTCCCTTCTTTCTTCTGCAGGGTCTTGTCCTCCTCTCGAGTTTCTTACTATTGTGCGAGAACTGGTTGGTGTGAAGGACAGCATTATATATAGCATGTTCCAGAACAATCACATACTTTCCTCCATCTCTTGCGGTCTTGCATTACTGTCGTTGCTTTTAACTCAGCCTGGCTGATGGTTGGTTGCACAAAAAAGAGCCATGAGTTCTCAAGTTCCTGAACCACTCCTGCTCCAAGGTGCAGCAATAAAAACATTCGTTCTAACGCGTGAAGCCAACTGTACACACTCTAGCTTTGCACGTGAGTATAGCACCTATGATCACCCGATGATATGCCTCAATTGTAATAGAGAGCCAGATCTTGGTTGGGTATATGCGTGCACGGAGGACAGGGACAGGCATGGCATATTGGCTGAATACTGGGAACGATTCCCGACTTACGTCCACTGGTCCATCCAGCAACTTTGAGACCGGAGATGCGATTCACTTGAATGATTGGGTCGCGAAAGCCATCGAAAGCGGACACTATACGCCCGAGCAGGTGGAGAGAATAAAAGCACAACGCGCAGAGGTTCTCAAGGCAATCAACACCTACCACCGTGTGAACCACAATTCGAGCCGTGCGCTGCCACCATTGCCGCCTCAAGAGCTGCGGGATCCAGAACAGGTATCGAAAGATACCTGTGCTGACGTAACTACGGATTTGTTGCCTCCAACCGAATGCGGCTCGCTCGCAACCGTCTATATCCCCAGCTGCCATTTACGGGTTTGCCACACCTGCCTACCAATCGCGGCCGAGCGAAGCTGGTTGAGCATCAATCGGGTGTGTACAAGTGGAAATATATCAAAGGATCAGCTCTTAGAATCCCTGATAGATGTCGGAGTTAGCGTCGATGATGCTTTCTTTACCAGGAGGATTCAGGAGATGGAGTCCCTAGAGACCGGGGGACGGCCAAATTGCGATATAGCCGATGAGAGCGTCTGGGGTGGAGAGTATTATGAATATTATGACGAACATGGCGGAAGTGTAAACTCTGCAGCGTGTGCGGGTAATGAGGCGAATACCGATGGCGATAGCTACCATGCAGTTTTACGGGACTATGAAATGGAAAGGGAGGGAGGCGACGATGGAAATGACGCCGATGAAGCCACCGACGAAGCGTATTATGAATCAAGAAGTCTGAGCAAGGTTTTGCATCTTCATTGGAGCCATGTGGAAACAGGAGTAGCCGATGAAACAACAACTCCATTTGCACAGCAGATGAGATCTAAGAATAGGCCGCCACTGGTACCACCGCGGAACAGCCGCTCAGCACATAGCTTATCTCGAAAGGCTAAGTTCAAGTTCACTGTCCAGCCTCGAGAGTGGGGAGTTGGTGGAGATAGCGGTGATCTGGGTCTCATCTCCATCGACAAACTGCTGGACACCACTGATGGAGACATTTTTGCCCACGTCTAGACGTTTGCAAATGGTAATATGGCACGGGCAGCGCAATGTCACGGTGCTCATGGGAGGGCAAATAGAAGTAAGTGGTGGGCAAATGAGGCGGGATAAGGCGGGATACGGCGAGGAATGGCGTTTGATATTTGAATTTTTGTGTGGCATCCCGCTAAAGTAACTAACTAATATGTTTTCCACATGTAATTATATATGTAATTAACTATATGCATCTACAAAGAGGTATGTGTCCCTGAAGTCTATATGGAACTATGAAGAAGACTTGTTGATTTTATCATCAGGGTTTGAAGACAAGTATCACAGTTAAACATGATTTGTTCAAAGAAGGTTGTTGAAATTCAACCAGAACAAACCTTCGTGTGATTGTATGCGATAAATCATGTGATTGAGGATGAGCATTGGCTAATGATAAAGTGGACCCAATTCAAACCATGTCCAACTTTTGTGATCTCTGGACCTTTCAAAGTTCCACTCACGTGACATCGACCTCGGCTGTAATTGACATTGGGTTATTCACTTACGCCAACCCACTGCTCTACTGCTGCCCCTTAAAAACATATCTACTTTTTTTTTTTAAAAAAAAAAGTTATTGTTTTTATACGAAACGCGCCCAAAGATGGTAGAGGTATCGGATCCAATTTCCCAGCCCAAGGAGGCGCAGTCTTCTCCAGAGGCCTCCGGCATCGCCGCTGCACGCACAGCGTCCCTATGCGCCCTTGCGAAGATGGACGTGGCAATCCGGCGGTTGGACAAGTACGTGTAGAAGAAGAATCTACACAACCTCCTCTGTAAAGCTTAAGTTCCCAATTTTGAAGCCCCGTCTGACTAGCGTCCATGTGTTCCCTCCGCGACCTTTCCGCGCGAGGGAAAAGAAGTAAAAAAATCACGCAATGAAACAGATTCACATCAACTGCAAATGGCCTGGAGCGATTCCTCGCAGTAGTCCAGTACAACTCTCAAATGATCCACTACCTACTCGCCTCTCCACCATTGCGCGCACTCCTCGCGCGGGCGCACGCGTTGTCCCGGCCTTACGTTATCAGGAGATCCAAATCACAAGCCCCTCCACCTAACACAGCACCAACACCGCCCCCGCCCTCGCCCTTCCTCGCGCTCTCCTCCCTAATGTCCGAAACCCGCACAACCCTGCGCCTCCTGGGCCTCCTCTCGCTCTGGTCCTGGGGCTCCGCAACCCTCAGAAAGCCCCCCACCGACCCAATCCTCTGCGCAATCGCCTGCACCCAAGTAACCGCGAACGTCCTGTACCAGATTCTAGAGAACGTGGCACATCTGGCGTCCAAGGGCGTGTTGAACAGGCGAGCGGTGGAGCGGTGGGGGTCCTTGGGGAAGTGGTATGTGTGGAGTACGCGGGCGTGGTTGGCACATGTGCTGTTGGAGTTTGTGAGGGTTTGGAGGGAGTATGTGTTAGCAAGGGAGATGCGGAAGAAGAATGCTGAGTTGCGGGGGGATGTTGGGGATACGGAGAAGGGAGGCCGGGATGAGGAGGAGGAGGAGGAGGAGGAAGGGGAGAAGAAGAGTGCTCGGCGGGCGGAGGTGAGCGGGTGGAAGAAAAGCTTATTGAATAGCCTGGCCTGGCTGCCATTGTGCGTGCATTGGAGTTTTGAGGGCGGGGTTGGTGTGCCGGATCAGCTTGTTGGGCTGCTGAGTATGGCTGCCGGTGCATGGGGGGTGCATGATATGTGGAATGTGACGGCAGCGGTGGTGTGAGTTTTTTTTTTTTTTTTTTTTTTTTTTTTAGAGTTTTCTTGTTTACTCCCTTCCAAATCTCAATTCTCCAATAGATGTATGTATATAGATCCGTTATGTTTGGAATCATCTGCTGTAATATGTTTTGATATCAAATCCCCAAGGGTTATGTCACATGTTTTTCCATGTGAAAGATCAAGCTGCTTCATTTTTCCTCCGCTACCTTATGAGCAATTGAATTGCGAAAAGCCCATTTACTTTCCTGGGATAGAGCAACAATTGAATGGTGTTTTAAAATCTCAGCCAGAGATATCTCCAGTGTGGTTTATTACTAAATCAGTGACTTGATGATATTTCGCAGGCTTTTTACTCTTAACTCTAATCCTAATCCTCAATTCTAATTCTAACCTAATCCACACTTCTAATCTACCTTCAATAACCCTGATGTCGATGAGGGTTGAATAGAACCGCAGTCATTAGTAATATGTGTGATTGTAGTTAAGTAGGAGATTGACCGGAAGTAGATGATGTTTGTTCAAAAGTGGGGGCCCCCACTGATAAACGTTCGACTTTTGCACATTCCTGTTCCAGGGTGGATCTGGAATAACTCAGCTCGTTTAGCGAGGTCGGTCAGTAAGTTAGTGAAATAGTTAAAATCGTTTGATTATGAGATAACAGTAATACAGTTTGACTAACTTGTTCGTTGCTCGCGGAGTTAGGTGGCCAATTGATGTGTTTTCTGTCTCATCATTGATGATATATGGCCATCATCCAACCCCCTGACCTGACCGAACTGAGCAAGTCAAGCTGTCAACACACGTAACTAACCAGGATCCGTCAACTCGTCAACTAGTTGTATTGAGTCAATCAGCATATAACCTGTTCTGCTCTTGGACGTCTAGAATTTCTCATCCAACGACGGCTCTTTGACTTCATCTGTCTCACGCTTCTCGTGGGGTTGCGCGATACTTTCTCTCCCCCTCGCAGCTTGAACCATAGTTAATGGATATACATGGGCCGATATCGGATCACCTGTAGTTGGGGGAATGCCCTGCCAAACGATATGGGTTCTGGCATCATCGTCCAGCTTCCCGACCTTTGCGTTGGCACCATTATTTTCATTTCTGTCTTCCTCTCTCTCTTTCTGTTCTTTTCAATTGCGGATGTCCAAAGAGTGAACTGGGGAGGCAGCTATAAAGTGAACAGAGCACACGATACCAGAATAGTACAGGTAGTTTTTAATGCGATGCACACGGGATGACGCGTGTTTTTGTTATGTAACGAGTTGGTTTAACCGCTCCGCCCTTGGGGCAACCTGGAGCCGGAGCGGTTTTGACTCACTTCGGGGTTGGGTTGGGCTGCAGCCTGCGGGTTACCGCCAACCCGTGGACTGTTTGCTCGGCTTGATTGGCCCAGGGGGGGGGCGTCGGGCGAGCCCTTGGGTCGTGGGTGCACCGCCCTGAGCTGCGGGGCCTCGGGACCCACTCGTGTGACCAACCCCATACTCCCCAATCCTCCCCATTCTCCCCATTCTCCCCATTCTCAACATGCGTCAAACAACCACCAGTGAGAACCTAAAACGACCGCTCTAACATGGATTATCCTGGAGGAGCAGATAGGTGCGGGAAGACTACGCCCAATGCTTGATCAATCATTCCAGAATCCTTCTCTAGCCCCCACATGCCCTTCAGCGACCCTGATTGGCTAATGATTAGAGAGAGTGTGTGTTGCTGCTGTTGTGGACGTCGTCGTCGTAGTCGTCGTCGTCGTCGTCGTCGCTGTTGTTGTTGTTGTTGTTGTTTCTGTTGTTTGGAAATACCCAGAGTTAGATCCAGGAGCTTGAGGCGCCGTGATACTGCATACTACCTTGGAATCAACTGAAGCAAGACCAAAAGGTTAATCATTCAGCATGGCCATATCTGTCAAATAAAGGAACCCCCTGCGAAGGTCAGCTATCAAATAAGTAATAGGCAAAACCCTGACGCCCCCCCCCCCTCTCCGGTATGCAAGTCTCGCCACGATTCTAAAGGGAGTCTTGTTCGTTCGTTCTTTCAGTCCAGTTATCGTTTTGGAATGAATGACATAATTACGTCTGTAAATTTTTGTTCAAAACTTTGGTAGCTTTTTTAACTTTGCCTTTAATCCGCCTGCCATTTGGTCGTTTTCGACCGAAAACTACCGAACCCATCACCCCATTGGAAATTCTAGAAAAACATTCTCAGCCCCAGTAACCATACATCTTTCGCCTCCCCGCGTCTATCGCGGCCGATTGAATCGTCTTCAACCTGCTCATTGATTTTTTTTTCCCTTCCTATTTCCTTTTGACTCAGGCAACACCCTATCCCTCTCAAGGTTCATATGAGTATTTGGATGATATATATCATACTCCGTTCTGATAGCAACGGTTACTGCATTTGAACTCCGAATAGGCTGGTCAGCCGCAATCCGAATATTAAAGAAAAGAAAGAAAAAAAAAAAAAAAAAAAAAAAAAAAAAAAAGAGGTACAATGTTCAAACGGGTCGTCTTCACGACCGTGACACCTCTCCCTCCCCATATTCCTCGAGATATTGTCATCAGCACACTCCACGCCCACAGCGAGATAATAGAATTGAATCCATTAGTGGTCAGCCACAAACGATGCAAAGCGCCACCCAACGCCCCGCCCGACGAGTTCCATTGCATCTGGTACGAACTGACTGATAACATTCAGTATCTCCCGGGGGGGATAATAAAGGGGAATATCACCTACAAAGCCTGCTTTCACGATTTACCCCGTGGCCTGCAAACGCACATATACGCCCCGACAGGTCTAGACATCAGGAACAGATGGAGCGTGAACGGAAATATGCCGGGAGAGCCGCGGGAGCCTGTCGAGCTGGGTCTGCCCAATGTGCCCCGAGAAGGACTATATCTCAGGGAAGACGTCGATATGCGATGCAATATCTTCGCTGCCGGTTTTGTTAGGAAGACCCTCAAGGAGGCCCATGCAGTGTTGGTTGAGCGACTTGTTGTCAAGGCTGATCTGCTGAAGGGCAAGAGGGAGGAGACAATCTATGAAAAGGCATATCCGGCGCTAGCTCTACAGCTGCATTCTTTATATTCCAATCAGGTGTATTCGGGGGAGGCTCCATACACGCCATGCATCACGCTGCCTCCAAGCCCCGTTTCCCCCACAACGCTCTCAGCTGGAAGTACCCCGACACGTTTCCCGAGTACGGTACATCCATCCGGCTCCAAAACCGATCCCAATATGCATAACTACGTTGGTGGACCCATGCATTATCTGACGACGCCGCACACCTGTTGCAACCATTGCCCTATCTGCCCATCCAGAGCAGAAGGCGGGTCTGACCAGACGGTGCCCATACCCCAAGCCGCAGAGATGGATTCCACAGAATGCCAGCCAGCGCAAGCAAAGGCCTATGCTGCCAAGCGAGCTGCTGTTCGGTTTACTCTAACTCCACCCCCGCCTTCGCCTTCGTCTCAGTCTCAGTCTCATATATATGAATTGGAGTGACCTTTTTCTCCCTCCCTCCTCAAATCTTTCCCGTTTCTCCCCTCCAGATTTTCTGCTTCCATATTTTCTGCTTGCTTGGTATTTCCTGGGGATCGAAATTCTAACCCAGTTCCTGCCCCCTCCAAGCCTTTTACTAGAGTGACCACGGGTAAGGGGCGGTGTGGCAACAGAGTCATTCTGGGTTGGCGCATGGCATACTTTAGTTTTGGCGTTTAATTGGCATAGTTTACCTATCAACTTTTCGTCATTGGTTGGGACTTTTACAACAAATTCCCTCGACAGCAATATTTTTTTTTTTTTTGTTTGTTTATATTTATCTTTCTCTTTTTCTTTTCTTTTCTTTTCTTTTCTTTCCTTTCCTTTCCTTTCTTTTCTTTTCCTTGCCTTTTTATATTTTTAGGCATACGTGGGTTGACCCAGCATATTGACCCTTTTCAATTCTTCCTATGCCTTGGGTATTTCATGAAACATAATAGCATTCTATAAATCTCACTCGTCATGATCCCTTGTCTTTTCCCTCGTTCTTTGCTGTTCGCCCAATGGCTCACCACAAATCCTCCTCTCCAAGCAGTGACCCACTTTTATTAGCTAGTTAGTCTTGAAACAAATTTTTAAAAACCATCTCCCGTGTCTGGACTCCTCTCAAAAAGATGTTAATCTTTCCACTAACTTTTCTCAGCTGATGTAGATATCTATCGAATGGGGCATGTTGCCCACCCATACAACACGGAGCAGATGCAGCTTCAGACCAATATTGTTAACAGCATTCCCACAGGCTCCAGTAGATGGTAGATGGACAGGAAAAATCTTCTGTGAAATACATCCATGTCAACATCTCACGAAGTGCCAGCTTGTCCTTGGCACATCCGTTCGTTTCTCTTATCATCAAAACCTCCACTTAGAGATTGTGTCCTGTCTGCACTGTGCAAGATACTCACATCTGCAGTTGTTGTCCTGTAGAAGAAAGGAATTGAAGTGCCGTTGAAGGCTGTTGTCATGCGTGTCAATAGCATTGTAGGGGCGATTGGATCATTGTGCAGGATGAACGTGAATGAATCTGATCTGTGTTCTACACATCATCTTGACCTGGAGGGGGGGTGTTTCGTAGAGCATTCTCTCTGATCTTGCAGGGGAGGTTTAGGAAGTTCCACGCAAGTTGTTTTCCCCATCTTTGGTGCCACTTTAAATACTCTGTCATCCTCGTTTCGTCGTGCTAGTATTTGCATCGGCTAGTTACTACTTATGTGGGCTAATATCTTGGTTTTTCAGCTAAAGGGTTTTAATATTCAAACACAAGCAATGTCTTTGATACTGGAAGTCCCCTTTTTTGACACCAGGGGGTTTCTATCATGGGCTGATGTAAGCTTTTTCCTCTTATGATTGATGCGGGTTTGTTGGACTTTGATTGGCTTCAGATTGATGGTTATTTAATGTATACAATCGCTGACTTTGCAGAGAACCTACGACACGTATTTCCTGCTACGCCAGCCCTTAATTCTATGTGTTGATTTGTCATTGGAAGGCTGGCGCGGAGCCTGTGAATCAAGTTATATACTTACGAAGCAGTCGAGAGAATAACGCGCAAAGGATCTAGCCTTGCTCTGTCTTCGACTGAGGACGGCTTTCCCCTTAAAACAGCACGCCGATTTGGGTTGGGTCGCCTTGACCTTAAAAAGAGAGCGAATATCAGAAGGTAGTGAGCTACAGGACTTCCCAAGTTCTTCGCCCATGATCTATCAATTGTAAAACCTAGACTATGCTTGAACATGTCTTTTATCATAGGAACATGTAGCTCTCCGAAGCACACAAACGTGGATATAAAACTGAAAAGATAAAATGAAACCGCCAGCGGCCACTCTCCAAATCCTTAAAGAAGGAAAAAAGAATCACCACCATCACCACCACCAAAATCTCACCCCACTTTTCATTCAAGAACCTCCAAAATATCTCCCGAAATCCTGTCCTCAAATTACTCCATCGCAACCCTCGCCCTCCACCCATATCCATGCACGCCCCCTGCACCGCCACTCATCATCCCATCCACCTCCCTCCCCTTCCCGGCCCCCGTGCACCTCGATTTCATCTCCATCAACTCCCTCCACCTCCACCCCCTCACCACCTGTAACTCCTCCAACTTCGTCAGACCCATCCATCACCCAAGCCTTGTCCCGATGATCATCCCCATGCTACTCGTCCCACTTCTCGAACGGCCTAGCAGCCTGCGTGCACAGTGGTGCATTTAGGAAGGGCGCAACATCCGATACGTTGTGGTGGCGTGTGAGCATGTTCCCGGGAAAAAGTGGGTCGATGTCGGAGGGGTAGGGGGGGATTGAAAGGGCAGGTGAATGTGTCTGACATCTCTGTCTCGACGAAAGCGCCTGCGTCCACGGTTTTGCATTCGCCGTTGGAGAAGGCGGATGGTAATGCGGACGGATTCAATGTGTTTGAACGGTGTTGTTTCGAAAGTGAGGAGGCTGGTTCGCTCCTTGTGGGATAGATTGAAGATAGCGAGTCCTGTGACGGTGTTGATTGTCGCTGCTTCTGATGTTCCTGCCCCTGACCCTGAGGAGTTTGACACGGACACCACGGACGGTGTGTCTAGAATTGTGTCCGAGACTTTCCCGCAGTGCAGAGTGTAGTTAGCCAAGCTTGCTGGGGTCATGTCCCCGGTGATATCGAAGGACGTCTGAGCATCGATAATGTAATTTAGCACGTTGGGAATCACGGCGGGACCGACGAGGAAGATTGGGTCGCCTCGCCTTTTCGAAGGCTTCTTTTGAACTTGTCAGGGGCGAACTTGTTGGCTGCCGCACGGAGGTAGGAGGGAGGGTGAGCTATAGATAGGGAAGACGATGAGACCGAAAGGAGAGTATCCTCATATGCGGAGACTTATCGTCTTAGGTTCCCTGAAAATGCCATAGCTCTGGTCCGTTTCACGAGATAGGAACGGCACGGGGTATCTGGTTGAGAATAACCTGAAGTGTTCTTGAAAACTTCGAGGCTTCTTGGAATACATATATATCAGTGAAGATATATGTAGACCAGATGGGCATATTTCGTGGCGTAAAAGAAATAAGAAGATCGTGAAAAACCTAAAGTGAAAGTCGGGTTTTCCATCGCCAATTTCAAGGTCGAGGCTGTAAACCCCTTTTTCCCCTTGAGAGAATCTTCGGCGTGCGAGAGGGTAAATGAGACTATTTAAAAAAAAGAAAAAGAAAAGAGAAGAGAAGAGAAATGGAAATACGCGCTCTCCATAGTGCAAATCCAAAGTCGAGGGATTACCCCCTTTATTCTCCTGTGATATTTCTTCCCATTTCTTCCCATTCCAATGAAGGCACTGGGCATTGTCCCTAAGACGAAAAAGGTAGATAGCGAATCACCGCTGTCTCTTAGAAATGGCACTGGGTGTTTCCCAGCTCATATGGACGGTTTGATGAAGGACACAAGTAACTGGAGGGAGTTCCCCCTGAACCGCCCCAATGTTGCTCTCCATGACTTGATTCAGCCATGGTAGGATAGATAGCTGTTGCTTCCCATAGAAGAAAGACAACGACATGGCATTGGGAAAAAGGATCCCAAATATCATAATTATCCCAGGTCATCAGGCTAGAGCATCATCCTAAGGGCCATCCCCGTGTCCACTGGAGCAGATAAGGGGTCCATTTCCCATAACGGCAAGATAGACATCGACTGGCATCTGACACAAAACGGCATATGCTCGACAAGTGAAGACAATAGGAATGGTTACAGATGCCCAAAAAACAATATCAACAACTATCATTCCCTCCCGGTCTCCCCACTTCATCTCCCACTCAAACCTGATCCCTTAATTCTCATTTCGATTCCTCATGTCTGCAATGCACGTGACTTCCGTGTATGTGTCTAGTGTCGTACAATGTGTTCCTCGTATGATGGCGGCCTCTGATTGGCTGGCAGCACGCAGCTTAACTCAGTCACATATGACTAAGCAGAGGGCAGCTTGGCAAAACGAACAAACCACCAAAAAGTCAGCCCGAGAGGAAAAGACACTGTCATATATATTCGTGTCTGTTATCTTCTACCGGTTTCTATCTTCTTGGTCTCACTCTCTAAATTCCTGTCCTCTCGGTCTTCATCTCTACTCTCATCTCTCTTTTCATTGTGATGTACTTATGTTGTTTCTGATGTGGTCTTTTCTGCATATACCCACTCGACATACAAGCGGGAGCCTGGATCGTCACATCTTTCTTCCGAGTTTCCCATAGCTCCAGCCTCAACTCAACATCCATCCAAACCCTTCAACCTCTTCTTACCACGCTTTCAACAACACCCTCCACCCTCCCCCTCTACAACAACCCTTTTTTGATCCACTTTTTTCTCTGTCTACACACCTGCCCTATCTCATAATCTCCCTCACTCACATTTTCCTGACTTCCGCGCTTTCTTTCTTCTCTTTTGCCCTTCCAACATGTCTGCAGAGCCAGATCACTCGAAGCACAAGGTCAACCTGACGTGAGTATCTCTTGCTCCACACCTGGTTTATGCTTGCTTCCTAGTTGATTACGGCTGCAGTAAATGCTAACAGCCTTTTCTAGCGATCCTTCAGGTGCCGAAAAACATGAGGTGAGCGCATTTTCAAGCGGTTCAGTAACTTGGTTGCGGGGGCTGGCGGCGCTAACAGCTATCCCTCCAGGACCTCGACACAGCAACAGCCATCCTCAAAAAGAAGAAGAAGCCAAATACCTTGATGTGAGTATTTTTATTTTTTGCTACGCTGCTAACAACCTAGGAAAAAACAAAAGTCATTGTAAGGCGTATATCATACTGATTTGTGTGGCCAACAGGGTCACTGACGCCGTCAACGATGACAATTCCATCATTGCCCTCTCCAACAACACTATGGAGACTCTCCAGCTGTTCCGTGGTGATACCGTCCTCGTCAAAGGCAAAATGCGAAGAGATACTGTCCTGATTGTCCTGGCCGATGACGATCTGGATGATGGGAGTGCTCGCATAAACCGTGTCGTCAGACACAACCTACGGGTTAAACATGGAGATGTCATCACAGTCCACCCATGTCCCGATATTAAATACGTAAGTTTATCAGATCTCCAAAAACAAGACGTTACTACCTACAAAGACACGAAAACTTACGTTATACATGTAAACAGGCGAAACGGATTGCAGTCCTGCCCATCGCAGACACCGTCGAAGGCCTCACTGGCTCCCTGTTTGACGTTTTCCTGGCCCCATATTTCCGTGAGGCCTATCGACCTGTTCGACAGGGTGACCTTTTCACCGTACGAGCTAGTATGCGCCAAGTCGAGTTCAAGGTGGTCGAAGTGGATCCCCCAGAATACGGTATTGTTGCCCAAGATACGGTCATCCACTGCGAGGGTGAACCCATCCAGCGTGAGGACGAGGAAGGCAACCTTAACGATGTTGGCTATGACGATATTGGGGGCTGCCGGAAGCAGATGGCTCAGATTCGTGAGCTGGTTGAGCTCCCCCTTCGCCACCCTCAACTTTTCAAATCTATCGGTATCAAGCCTCCTCGTGGTATCCTCATGTTTGGGCCCCCTGGTACCGGCAAGACCCTGATGGCTCGTGCCGTTGCCAATGAAACCGGTGCTTTCTTCTTCCTGATCAATGGACCCGAGATCATGTCCAAGATGGCTGGTGAATCCGAATCGAACCTACGAAAGGCATTCGAAGAAGCTGAGAAGAACTCTCCCGCTATCATCTTCATCGATGAGATCGACTCTATTGCTCCCAAGCGTGACAAGACCAACGGAGAAGTTGAACGCCGTGTTGTCTCGCAGCTTCTGACATTGATGGATGGCATGAAGGCCCGCTCCAACGTCGTCGTCATGGCCGCTACCAATCGACCCAACTCCGTCGACCCGGCTCTCCGCCGTTTCGGTCGTTTCGATCGTGAGGTCGATATCGGTATCCCTGATCCTACTGGTCGTCTTGAGATTCTTCAAATCCACACGAAGAACATGAAACTTGCCGAAGATGTGGATTTGGAATCTATTGCTGCTGAGACCCACGGTTATGTTGGTTCGGATATCGCATCTCTGTGCTCTGAAGCTGCTATGCAGCAGATCCGTGAGAAGATGGATCTTATTGATCTGGATGAAGATACTATTGATGCAGAGGTCCTTGACTCCCTGGGAGTCACCATGGAAAACTTCCGCTTTGCCCTTGGTGTCTCCAACCCATCTGCGCTCCGCGAGGTTGCAGTTGTCGAGGTCCCCAACGTCCGCTGGGATGATATCGGAGGTCTACACGAGGTCAAGCGCGAGCTAATCGAGAGCGTCCAGTATCCCGTCGATCATCCGGAGAAATTCCTCAAGTTTGGCCTTTCGCCATCCAAGGGCGTTTTGTTCTATGGTCCTCCTGGTACCGGTAAGACGCTGCTTGCAAAAGCTGTTGCGAACGAGTGTGCAGCCAATTTCATCTCTGTCAAGGGTCCCGAGCTGCTGAGCATGTGGTTTGGTGAATCTGAGAGCAACATTCGTGATATCTTCGACAAGGCCCGCGCGGCTGCCCCATGTGTTGTCTTCTTGGATGAGTTGGACTCAATTGCCAAGTCTCGAGGTGGATCTGTTGGTGATGCTGGAGGTGCTTCTGACCGTGTCGTCAACCAGCTTTTGACCGGTACGTAATTAATCCAATGCCTGCTTCTCTACTAAATTATACACTAACATTCTCCATTTAGAAATGGACGGCATGACCTCCAAGAAAAACGTCTTCGTCATTGGTGCCACCAACCGTCCTGAGCAGCTCGACAATGCTCTCTGCCGACCCGGCCGTTTGGATACCCTAGTCTACGTGCCCCTCCCCAACGAAGAAGAGCGCGTCGACATCCTCAAAGCCCAACTTCGCAAAACCCCGGTCGCCGCAGATGTCGACCTCAAATTCATCGCTAGCAAAACCCACGGCTTCTCCGGCGCTGATCTGGGATTCGTCACCCAACGTGCCGTAAAATTGGCCATCAAACAATCCATCGCCCTCGACATCGAGCGCACTAAGGAGCGCGAAGCTGCCGGCGATGACGTCAAGATGGAAGAGGATGTTGATGCTGAGGATCCCGTGCCAGAACTCACTCGTGCACACTTCGAGGAGGCGATGCAGATGGCCCGTCGGTCTGTGAGTGACGTGGAGATTAGGAGATATGAGGCTTTCGCGCAGAGCATGAAGAACTCGAGCGGGAGCAACTTTTTCCGCTTCCCGGCGGCCGAGGAGGCGGGTGATAATGCGGGTCAGAATGGGTTCGGGGATGCGGGGAATGACGATAGCCTCTATGATTAAAAAGGATTAGTTTGGGTGGTCTGGCCTTTCTCTTTTCCTTTCTAGTCAGTTAGATTTGGTTCTTGTTGATGATAGTCCCTATGCTCCTCGACTTTTGCCCCTCTAACAGAACTTGTGTACAACCGCCTCCCCATTCACCCAACCCTTTTTGTTTTCCCTCTTAAATCCCTATTCCTCTTCTTGCCCCTACGAGCATTTCAAAGTTTTCAAGTTTGGGTTTTGTTTTTTTTTTTTCCCCTAAAGATTAAAGAGTTTGATGATTTGATCGATGATGGGTGGGATGGAATGGGATGGATGAAATACGTTTCTTTTTAGTTGCTAAACTTACTGTGTATCTAGTTCTCTCAGCTTGAATTAAATACAGAGTGTTGCCTTTTCGTAAGTTTTTTTTTAAGTCGTTTTTAAAATATTCCGGGGAGAAATTGAATCAACGCAAGACAGATGGGGCTATAACCCATTTTGGTTCACGTCATCCAGCTGGATTTTCATGCTGTATAGCCACGATCCTTTTTTTGCAATTGTCGGAACACTGTTCCGGTATATCTTGATTGAGATGTCGCATGGCCCTTTTCCCTTGTTGCTTCGATGCTTGGCTCCTTTTGTAGTTACAGATTTGTGTAGTTGTTACTGTAATTATCAATCAACCCAATCGAATTTAGCGTGCGTATAAATCAGCCCCCTTTATCGACAACTGTGCAGCATCATTAGCAATCCGGGATATACTCTCTCTGCGCAGACAGCGAGGTAAGCAGTTATCACTTATTTCTGTATATGGAAAGTGAGGCTTATCCATCCTTTATCTTGTATTTGGGGTCAGGGCAGCTGATTTTAGCCTTTGAATGAGCTGGCTGGCGCTGTTTAACTAGTGTATGTCAAAATATAGCACCATTGAGAAAAAGCTGCGCATATTTATAAACTATTCGTTATCCCTCGGTTCAGGATAAAGAGGCTTGGTCTGGAACGTTGAAGGTGGAGTGAAGGCGAACACGATCTCGAAACTTGATAGATATAATCGTATATTCAGCACCATTTAACGTACGTATTAGAATCTATTTAAACTCTTTCTTTCGTCGAAGAAGGAGCTGGATGCTGATGTTTTAAGGCGGAGAAGGAGATCCTAGACGTGACTTTTTCCTTGCGAAATTGACATCTAGGAGAAGGGGCTTGGGGGGGGGGGGAACGAAAGGGAAGAGAGAGAGTAGCCAGCGGAAACAGAAATGGGTTCTTAAAAGTTAGACTTGTACAGAGTAGAAAGGTCGAAAGGCCATAGCGGGGAAAAGGAAAAGGGAGAGGAAAAGAAGAGTAAGAGGATTAGACAAGTACTGGGAAATAGTTGAAGGAAGGGGATAGCAGACAACAAAATAGAGCTCGGATTTACCGGCCCCCTTTTTCCCGCTCCCAAATGTGATGACTCCCATGATCCTCTTGTAGCTTCCTCGCATGCTGTTTATGAACGGCGCTGAAAATGACAATGGAGACGGAGGGTGGGTGGTGATAAAAGAAAGAAACGAAATGAACATAGTATACAGGCGGTAGATAACCGGCTAACATAGCATACATTGATATGCAAGTATGTAGTGTCGTCTATATAAAGTAAAAATGAAAAAAGAAAGACGGAAAAACATCGAGAAGGGAAAAGGCAGGGGATAAAAATGTGAGGATAAGAGATCCCATCCATCCACCCATCCAAAAATCCACCTCTCCGGCCCTCGGCCTATGTATTTCCGTGAATCTGGTTGGAGAAGGGGTAAAGTGTTCTCGATCAAGGTGGAGCGGAAGACGAGAAAACACGACCCTGCGGAGTTGGCAAGGCAGGTAGGGAAGCTAAGTCGAATACCTCAGGTCTGGAGGGGATATAGTCAATATATAAAAAGGGGCTAAGGGGGGTAATAAAACATGGAAAGCTAAAAAAACAATGTATATCAGTGTTGTATTATCACCGCTCCCTGACATGTCCCACTCATTTTCACGCTTTCTTTACCCTCTTCTCAGGCCTCCCGTCGCCATTCTCTTGTAACTTGTTCTTAACGGTGAACTTGGATTTCCCACTCTTGCTGTCTGTTTTCAGTGAAGGAGGCGACAGCTTTTTGGAGGATGTTGTGGTGCCATTGGTATTAAAGATACCACTTTGAATTGATGATGAAGTCGTATTTGATGTCGTTGTCACTGCTGCTGCTGCTGATGATGATGATGCCTCCTGTTGGTCGCTCGTTTCCCCACTGCCAATCCCGCTATCATTTCCACCAGTGGTTGGGGCGGTGGGAGTAGAATCCGTCTCTGCATCTCCTCCTTCCACAACAAATACCTCATGCAACGCTTCATGCAGCATCTTGACACCCTCCACCACGACAAATTGCGGGATGCGGATATCCGGAAACGCATCCCCGCCAGCACTGTCTTCCTCTTCAGTAGTATCAACCCCATCCCCATCCTCAGTCTGTTCATCCACCAAATCACTATTCTCTCCAATTCCCTTAGCAGCCATCCCAGCACCAATAGCAGAAGCACCATCCTCAACAATCCTAGCCTTAGCCCTGGCCTTCATCCGCTCCTTTCTCTTCCGTTTCCTCCCTTTCGCCAAGGACAACAGAGACACATCCTCGCTACTCGAGGCAAGTGCAACGACTGTATCGACGACCTCTTCGAAGCGGTCACAGTGTCCTGCGCGCAGGAGTTCGAGTGCGAGCCCGCGCACACGTTCCGTCCAGCCGGAGCGCTGGAGGTAACCTAGGATGGAGGTGTGGAGGTCTTCCAGCGGGGAGGTGAAGGAGGTGGAGGGGGTGGAGAGGTACGCGAAAAGGGCGGTGGAGGGGTCGTTGGATTCTGGGGGGGAGGACGGAGGGGTGACGGTGGTGGCGGTGGAGGAGGAGGTGGTAGGTGAGTGGAATTGCTCTTGCTGTTGCTGTTGCTGTTGGTTTGACGTTGAGAAGGTTGTGGTAGGCATTGTAGCGCTTGTAGGTAGGTATTTTTAAGTGTATGGGAGGCCGGAGAGGGTTGGTTTCGTAGATTCGTGCGGGTTTAGATGGGGTAATTAGGAGTGGAAAAAGTCGCAACTCGGGACTATCTGATGTAATGGATGCTCTTGTGCAAACTTCTAATAGCAGTGTTCTGAAGAATGGGTGGCCAGCGCCCGTCTAAGTGGATGTAAAAGCTGTCGATTTGATAGATCAGGTTAAGGTAGTGGATCAGTGAACTGGGAAGGACGACGAAGAGCGAAGAGACTGTTGAACGAAACAACTTCGGATTGTTAGAAACCGCAGTATGAAGGAGAATTAAGAAAGAGAGAAAGAGACAAGGAACAAAAAGCAGATACTTTACCCCCCAAGAGTCTATATAGTAAATCTCATCTTCTTCGCCAGACGCAACCGGTGAATGCGTAGGGAAAGGTTGTTTGTATGTGTCGAGGTTTAGCGCCCCGTCTGTTTCTTCTTCCTAACTTTTCTTTTTTTTTCCCCCCCGTTCCAGTTTCCTGGGCGATTAAGACATAATCTAAAGCAAAGGCCAGACTATGCAGAGTGTTGATTTGAGGAATTGAAGCCAGGATGAGTGGGCTTGAGGGAGAAGAGAGCACCCGAGCATTGGCGGAGGCGGAGAACGGGCGGATTGACGTCGGAGAACATCACGATATTTCCAAAACGTCATTTCTTGGCACCGGGAGCAGTAAGCCGGCGGGAATGGCCTGTGATTGGCCCCGCGAATGAAGCTGTGGCTTAGTCAGGCTTGGCATTACTTAGGGTTGTTCAACTTTGTAGGAGTCTCAACTTCCATGTTGCTATTACATTATACTGTTAAGACTAAATAGTTAGTTAACTATCCTAACTAGTTAATATAATTCATGTAAGTTAAATAAGTTGCTAAAATTAAATTATTTTCAACTTTTTAATTGATTTACTTTAGTGTATATATAAAAAATATCTTTAATTTTTTAAAAAATAAAAAAGATTAAAGTATAATTTTTTATTATTTAAATTAAAAATATTTATTTATATTAAATTTAAAGTAATTAAATAAATTTTAAACTAATTTAAAAAATAGTGAAAAAATTATATTATAAAATAAAAATATTTAAATTTATCAATTTTAAGTATTTATTTATATAAATATTTTAAAAAATAAACAAAGTAGATTTAATAGTAAAAACTGATACTAAAATTTAAAAAATAACTTAAAAATTATTTTTTAATCTTATATTAATAGAAAAATTAAAAAGTTATATTTTAATAAATAAAGTTCTAAAAAAAAAATAGAAAAATAATTTATATATAATATATAAAATAAAATAATAAAAAAATTTTAATAATAAAATTAAAACTTAAATATAATTATTTTAAATTTTAAATAAAAAAAATTAAAAATTTTATAAATTTAAAAAGTATAATTTTTCTGATTTAATTAAAATTTTATATTATATTTTATTAAACTATTATTTAAATAAGAATATTTAAAAAATAATTAAAAAAGAATACTTTTGATACATATAAGCAATTGAATAGATAGAATAAATCATATCTGATTCTCTTCTAATAAGATGAGTAGATGCTCTGCTATATATACATACTATAATCACTCTATATAGTAGAAGTGATTGCATAGAATAGGAAATATAGAAAAAATTGAGATCTCTGAGTGAATTAGAGAGAGGTAAATATAGAGTGAATACTAATATAGAGAGAAGTGAAAGAATAGAGATAGAACATTAGTCTCTTTGTTTAAAAAAAAATATTCAGACACTTTTTCTCTATTCATTTTAATGTGCTATTTCAGGTTTTCTTTAGTCAGTTATCATAATCAATTTCATAGTTCATTCATTTCATCTCTCTCTTCTTTTCTTTTTATTCTTTGCATGATTATCTGAGTGGTTTTTTTGTCATGAAGGCCTTGACAAGCTCAAAGCAGTTCTGTGAGAGATCATCCAAGGGTTCTCAAATGAGATTGCCATATTCTTTTCATTTGACCTGGAGATAGGTTTTCTCATTATTAATTCACTTTCTCATAATCTGTTCAACTTCAAATTGCGGCTGATTATTGACTATTACTGATTCAGATGACAGGTGATGCATGTCTGCTCCTGTTAGATTCATCTTTTCCAGATAAATCATGGAGATTATGAGATGTATCTGCCAATCAGACAGTAGCTTCTGTCAGAGAGTAATATTAGATACTTTCTTAAGAACATAGAATAGATCTATATGTAGAGATGATAATTTTGATGATCTCTTCATGATATAATCTTTCTGAGCTTTTTGAGCAAGATTAAGAAATACCTAGTCCTCTATGTGAAGGTCAGACAGCTGATGAATGCAGTTGAAGACTTCTGCCATTCTCATCTGGACAAGCATATATTGCTTGAGAACTTCTTTTTGCAAAGTCTTGTGCTCTGCTATGAACTCTGTCATCAAATCATCTTTTTCTTTATTGACAATCAGCATCTACTGTGATTTAACCTCTGTCATAAGCTGAAATGATAAGACTGAGATAGAATAAGCTATAACTGAGTTAAGAGTTCATTCTATCTATAGAAGTAGAGTATTTCAACCTGTCTCATATCTACTCACTAGAAGTGTTTGCAGCATGATCTTAACAGTTAGATTGCTGCACTCACTCTGATCATTTGACTGCGAATTGTAGATAATCATCATTTAGCTCTTAATACTCATCAATCTAAGCAAACTTTTTCAGAAGTAGAAGGTGAACTTCAGATCTCAGTCAGATATAATTGCCAGTAGTAGCTGTCAACAGCATATCATCTTGCTGTAGAAGCTTTTCACTTATTGAGACACATTCTACTTCTCCCTCCCAGCGATCAAAATAATTGTCTTGGAGAACTTATCAGTTGTAGTTAGAATAGTGTCATAGCTATCATTGACAGATAATTCTATGATGAAGTCAATAGAAAGCATCTTAAATGATTCTTTGAGTGGTAGGATCAGATGCACCTTTCTTTAACAGATGTGATTTAATGATTTGACCACTTGACAGTTGAGACATCATGATATATAATATAGAATTCTTCTTTGAGAATGCAGTAGAAAAAATAACTAATGAATAATCTTCTTTGTTTTATGCAAATTTGAGTAATCTACTGCATTATAATAAATCTGAATGATGTCTCACATAAGTGATTTAAGAATGCATAGATAAGCACTGTTAAAATATAGAAGCTTATTTTGAATTATAAATGCATGATATTAGTTCTTCTAACTTATCTTGCAGAAAATTTTCTTTAATGTTGAATTCTAAAAAATTTCTTTGTATAATCACTTCTTAATCTCATCAGCAAACATTATTTAATTAGTAAACATCATACATATGTCTGTCAGAGATGTATCTACCAGCTTCATATCTGAATATTTTTCTATCTGATTGATGATGATCTGGCAGATCTTCTTCTGTTTATTTAGAGTAATATTCTCTGAATCATCAGTCAAGTTATACAGCCAGAATAGAATATTGATATTGACATGTGAGATGTTCTAATAGTAGTGAATTGTCATCTGTGACAAGTATGAGCTCAAAATTAATGCTCAATTCATCAGTCAGTTGCTTTAGTGACTCATTGCTGGTGACTGTAAAGTGAATATTAATGCAATGTGATCAGTGACCATAGTGAAATCACTATCTAAGTATTGAGACAGCTTTTATAGCACTCAAATAAGCTCAAGACATTTCAGTTCTGTCACTTAGTATTGTTTTTCTACTCTATTTAATTGATGAGAAAGAAATAGAATGAGTCTTTCAATGTCATTTTTGTTCATCTGATGTAGAGTGACTTCAATGCCTCTTTGCTTGCTGAAATCTATGTATAGAATAAAGAGTTGTTTGAAGTCAGAATAGACTCACATTGAGATATCTATTAGCATTTGTCTGACTATCTTAAATACTAGCTGCGCATCTCTCATTAATTTTTTATACTTAATTAAATCTTTAAATCTGATCATCTTTATTTTTGTGATATATGAAGTTCTTTGACTTTCACTGCAGAGACTATTTCTTAAAAGATGAGTCTTGAGAGTCTTCAATACTTCTATCTTATCAGCAAAGAAATTGATAAAATTACAGTAGTAATTAAAGAGATCAACAACATTTTTTAGTTCACTTAAAGAGTTGAGAAATATGAGGTATTTAATTATCTCTATTTTTTTCTTCTGCATGAATATGCTCAGCTATCTGACATGACGCTTAAGCAGAGCTATTGATGAGTAGATAAAGTGGCATTTTCTTAGTAACATTATTATCTCTGACTTCTTCAATATGATGAACATACTACTCAGGTGTTTGAGATGCTCATCCAGCTCTTGTGAGTATATGATTATATCATTCACAAACATAAGTGTGAATTACTAGAGATATCACATCAGGATTTCCTTCATCTGTTATTGAAAGAATCTGGATAAGGTCATTAATTTCATGATGACAACTATGAATTGCTTCAACTCACAATGAGAAGTGATAAAGATTATTTTAAATTAGTTACTTTTCTCAATCAGCTGCTGGAAAAAGCCTTACTATATATTTATTGAGAAAAAGAGAGTAGAATCACTCAGTGACTGCAGAATATTTCTCTGAATTGATAGTAAATATATATTCAAAATCAGTTTCATATTGATCTTTCTCAGATCAATGATTATTCTCAGCTTGCTCTTATTTCAAACATTAAATATTAATGATATAATAGAATTCTTGTTCTCAAGAAGAATCTACTTAATTCTGTCATTATTCAAAAGTAAATTCAGAATTCAATTTATTGTCTCTTTATCTTATCTTAATAACAGATAGACACATTGCTTGAGTTCTAAAAAGTTGACTTCATTTATGAAGTGTAACAACATCTTCATGCTCTCTGTGAACCATCTCAACACAGGCTGAAACAGATGATAGTGATGATTAATTGTCAATTAAACTGCAAATTATTTTATCAGATTTAAATGAGAGAATATATTTACATCTACAGATTTCTCTGCTGCTGTCTCAGAAATTATTAACAGGTTTTAATCTTCATCATCTATTATGACTAGGTGAACAATTTCAGACCAGTGAGTGGGATTTCTTTTCTCTATTGAGAAGGTATATTCCACTACTTGACAGAGTTGCACAGTGATGAGTGTGACTTCTAGATTAGTGAATGAGAGCATTGTCACTTCTGAGTTAATTATGACTTGCAGCAACTCAGTAAATATGACTAATCTCTTATCAGTTCTCAATCTCAGCTTTATTATTCAAAGTACATCCACTAGCAGCCTGGCATGAGATACAGAAAGTGGAATTCCTTCATTCAGATTGACTGTAGTTGATTGAGTGATGTGAATTATGAATTGCTATCTGATCTGACTGATCTTTTCTACTTTCTCTGATGAATAATCTCATTCTCTCATTCAAATAATCTCTTAGATGACTCTTACTTGCATAGAATACTGATTGAAAAATATCATCACTCAACCTCACATGGTGATTTTCACACTAGAAGATACTAGAATATTATTAATTAATATGACATTATAATCTAAATGCTTTATTAAGTGAAGTTCATCCTTCATGAAAAAGAGAAAACTCTTTTAATTTTATATAATAATATCTGAATTAATATATGTATTGAAGGTGTCTGATTCTGCATCAACATCTCTGATTTCAATACTATGATTATCTGGTATAGAGATAAATAAGTACTGTGGAAAAAATAGCTTCACTATCTTCATATTGATGAGAGAGATTTCAGCACTAATGTTCATACATATGAACAACTCTTCTCACTGAGTAATCATCTGAATGAATAAAAATGTATATGACAGATAATGTAGACTATTAATAACCTTTTAATCATTTTCTGAAATGCTATTAGCTAACATATATATCTCTGTATTAAAAATGAGATGTTTTGAGAGAGAAGTCATTGCAGCTTCTGTTGATGAGATGGGCCTCTCAGTGCTCATCATCTTATTTAGTTTTTCATCTCATCATCAGACTATGAAAAGTCATTCTTCAGATCTGATAATGAGTCTGTGATGTTGAATTTTATTTAATTTTTGATATAATCATCAGTCTTCTTGAAGCATCTGTTAGAATAGTGCAGGTCTCTGCAAGTAAAGCACTCTGCCATTGGAGTGAGCATAGACTTAATAAGTGTGAGCTTGAATGAAGTCATCAAATCAGTTCTGCTGACTTCTGTGTCTGACTAATGCAGCTATCACAGTTGAGTGGTTGACTCAGCTTGCTAATCAGTTTGCCAGTTAGATCTACTAGCTTCTGTTTCTGATTGACACTGCTGTCATAATCAGACAGTCAGCTCAGTCTGTTAGTTAAACTGATGAAATGTAAGAGGCCTATTCTCAGTTTAGTATCTCACTCTCTCGTACTCAAGAAGTTGCTGTCATTAATCTTCTCAGATGCATCTAGCAGCTAACTCATTATCATGTATATGTCTGTGAAAATTATCTAAATATTTTGTTGAGATAAGAGAGGTGATCATAGCTAGACCACTCTTTAATTTCTCTTACAACAGATACTTAATCATGGTCTGATTAGAAATCACTGCTGCTTATAGAAGAGTGATCTTGCAGATAATGTAGACAGTAAGTGATAACTCACTTATTTTGTCAAATGAGAATTATAATTTTTGAGCTTAGTTTCAGATCTTCTCTTCTGAAAGCTTGAACTTGCTCTGTAGCTCATTAACTGTTACTGCAAGTGAAAATGCTATCTCATTCTAACATTCAGATGATAGTTCATTGTATCACTTCAGAGTTCTCTTCTTGAGACATAGAAGAATCACTTTGAGAACCACTGTCTTTTCTTTCATAGTTATTATAAACTCTAATTATAATGTAAAAGCAGCTACATCTATTTTATCTGAGTCATAAAGCATAAGATTTGCTGCTCAGAGCATCACTGACTGCTTCTTGCTGTATAAAGAGATAGTAATTCTGTCTTAAGTACCTGTTATGAGAGATGCAGATTAATCATATTTCTCAACAATAAATCAGTTATTCTATCTTATTTTATTATTCTTTATATCATATATATAATGCTCTGTGTTGACAGTTCTATCATGCTCTAGATTGACTCTGACATGCAAAATCAATTCTTGCAGATAACTTGTTGCTCTCAATACTTTTCAACTGACTTCTCTCAGACTCAGTCTTGCAACAAATGAGCAGATGATACTAACACACTCTGAGCAGATCTCATGAGTGATTAGTTCCTTCTCTCACTTACTGAGAAGAGATTCAGATACAGAGCTGAGATTTCAGATTTATCACTCAGTTCTTCTGCTTTTTTAACTGCATGTTGAGATTTATCAGTCTGTTCTTCTGCTCTCTCAATTGTACAATTGAACTCTTTCAGCTTCTCTATGATGTTCAGTATCACTTTCTCATCACAGCAATCATCTTCTGCAACTGAGTGACTGAAATCTGCAAAGGCAGAAGCAATAGACTTTTAATTTCTGACATACTTAATAACTTCTGTTTTGAATATCTGAATTCATCAGTGGAAGACAGTTATTCATTCTGCTACTAAGGTTTTCTGCATTATTACACTTATCTCATTGTATCATCTTGCAGAGACAGTGAATAGCATTTCCTCCATCTTAAGACAGTCATAGAGAATGATCAACAGTTGTAATTCTGTATATTGACTGCTTTTATTTCTTCACACTTTTATGATTGCTATCATGTACTTTTCTGTGAATGCTTGCATGCATTGATGGGAACTGCTGTGGTGAATGTTCTTATCAGTGCCTTGCTTTTTGCTAATTAACCCAGTACTCTTTGATCTTGTTGAAAATTTAGAAGTCATCAGAATGACAAAAGCATTCAAATAATAAGAGCATTTATCTTTGACATTTTATGAGATGGTTAAGATGATTATTTAAAGGTGATTGAGACCTGACTCAGAGAATGGTACCACAGTTATTACTTTTTTAAAGTGATTGAACTAGCAATTATAAATCAGAGTGACTAGTGATTATGATTTAAAGTGACTGATTTAGTGAATCTTGGACCAATTTGATGTATATCTTTAATCTTGATTGATTCAGTGAATCTTGAATCTTTTAGAGAGACATGAACATGCTATCAATTTGATGCATACAAGCAATCAAATAGATAGGATAAATTATATCTAATTCTCTTCTAATAAGATGAGCAGATACTCTGCTATATATACATACTATAATCACTCTATATGATAGAAGCAATTGCATAAAACAGAAAATATAGAAAAGATTGAGACCTCTAAGTGGATTAGAAAGAGGCAAATAGAGAGTGGATACTAATATAGAGAGAGGTGAAAGAATAGAGATAGAACATCACAACTTTACTAATTAATTAAATATATTTTTCTTTTTAATATTAAGTTAAAAAATAGTTTTTAATTAACTTTATAATAAAAATAAATATTACATCTAGAGAATAAATTTAAAATTTAAATAAAATTATTATTTAAAAATATATAATTAATAATATCAAATATAGATATTACTTTATTTTTTATATTTTTATTAATTTATTATTATTGTTTTTAAACTATTATTATTTTCTTATTTTCTTATTTTCTTATTTTTAATAATTTTTTTTATAATTTTTATTACTAAAATTATTTGTAACTAGTTAGTTATTAGTTTTCATAAAATTAAAAGTATATAAGCTTATTATACTGTATGTTAGGCTCAGCGCCCGACCGAGCCCGACCGAGGCCCGGTGCCCGGTTAGACTCGACGTCGGATTAAGCTCGTCGCCCGATTAGGCCTAATCTACATCACGTGACCACGTGACCACGCGACCATGCAGGTGGTAATAATCCAGGCAGGCCCCAGCACTTTCATCCCATCAAGCTTAGTATTTCGTTATATAGCAGTTAGCAACGCAGAGAGTTTCCTTCTTATGCAGCTCGCATTCGCTCCCTAACACTATATATCTATTTAAATATTATTTTATTTTAAGTTAAAATTATGTAATTATATATATTAAATCTATAAAATTGTTAAATATTAGTTTAATTAAATAAGTATTTTATTTTTTGACTATATATATTTTAAATAAATAATAATAATAATAACTATGAATATTTAATTTCTACACTTTTAACTTAATAATGAAAATATTATTGATTATACTATTTTATCTTCAGTTAGCTTTTTTATTTTCATTATTTATGCAGATAATAAGTTTGCAATAGAGCTTTTCTAAAGTGAAATCATATCATATAAGTATATGAAAGTTTTCATGTCTTTTATTTTTTTTTTAAATTCTGTTTATAAGAATGAGATTATTTTACACTATATCATCTGCAAATAATATGACAGATGATATTATCACTAAAAGTTACTAAGTTTGCATGCTAGAGGAAGATTGTAAAGTTATGAAAATAAGGACATAATGCTCCCTACTTTTTAACTGCTTTTTCAGTCTTGTTTTTCTAGTTGATTCTGTACCTGTTCTTGACAGTAGGCCTATTGTTGTACATAATATTAAGTACTCCTACTATATTAAGTGAGGGAAACCTTCAAATCACGTGACCTATTTTCAATCTTTGCAATCGATCAAGCTTGCCAGTTTGTCATATACAAAAGACATGCAGGCCAATGCTACAATGCTAATAAAGGCATGTTATATGATACTATAGGGTACAATTTCTTTAGATATTCTCATTTCTTTCTCTGACGCCGTATAGTTCCTTCTATTTAGTAGAGCGAGCTGGATTATAATTGATCTGCATAAAAGCAATAAATGAGAGGTCAACAGGGGGAAAGGCGCAGTTGGACGCGTCCAGTTGACGAGAAAATTTACAAAACACAGGACGAAGAATCAAAGGAGAAACGGAAGAGGAAAGGAAGGAGGAACGGAAATTTAAAGAGTGTAAAATAAAAATAATCAAATGCTTTGAACGCAGCCCAATGCCCAAAAGAGAAAACAAAGAAACGCATATCGCCTCAGTGATGATTACTCGCAGCAACACGCACACCGATTTGCGTCATCTTCATGTCTTGACAAATATGCAGCTGGCTGTACACAGCGCCCTGGCTCTATTTCCATGCTGCTTCTTGTATCACCGACTCACCGACCTCTCAATTTCAAAACGAAGACTATAATCATATAAATCATGACTTCATCCAGCGTACAAATTATTTGTTTCATCACTGAGAAAATATCACATCACCTCATCCAAAAAAATAAGCCGCACACATCACGTTTCACTTAATTGACCGATTGATAGAGCAATAGCGGCTCCCCGATATTCTCGATTTCGGGAATAGTGCATTTAAGATCAAAAGCCTTGCTTAGAACGATTTTAAAAATCTATAGCATCCATGTTTTAGCATTTGTTTGTCTGGGTCAATTTGATGTGAACTTGAGAACAGGGGACGAAAAAAATTACTATACATACCTTTTGCACATTTATGCTGTGACTCGTACTGCTGAAAATCAAACTGGCTCTCATGGCTTTGGCGAAACGTTTGGCCTTTTGTCGTGTTCTTGTCAGCTAAGAGGAAATAATAACTGCTTGGTTTTTTTGGGTGGGGGGAAACAAAAGTAGCCTAGAAGGAATATGTCACTGACCTGGATTGATATTTCTTCTTGGTCCTCCCGCGGGAAGTTAACGAAATGGTCGTATTTAGTGCCAATAAGGAATGGGATGGCGGTCTTGTTAAACCCACGCCCCTGTCGGTACCATTCCTTGATGGAATTCAGGGTGCTCTTTCGCGTCAAGTCAAACATGAATAATATTGCAACAGCATCGTTGCACACTAGAGGTAACATGTTGACGAATTCACGCTGTCCGCCCAGATCCCAAATGGAAAATGTAATTTCTGTATTCCGAATAGAAATCGTCTTCTCCATAAAGTTGACACCTATGATTGTGAAGGGTCTATATCAGTATCTGTATTTCTAAATACTAGATTGCAAAATTCAAAATATCAAAACAAAAGAGACGCTTGGATCCCATCATATCTCTTACCAAGTGTTTGGATGTAGTCTTCATCCCAGCTTCCCTCGACGTATTTAACCATAAGACTGGTTTTTCCTATCTGAGCATCCCCCACCATTCCAACTTTTATAACGACGCTATTCTTGCTGGGCGCAGACTGTTGTTGCTGTTGTCTCTGGTCCCGATTTGGGTCCTGGTAGGACTGTGGGTATCCGTACCGATCACTACCACCCGATAAGCCTGAACTAGGCCGCGAGATTGTCTGCACCGGTTGGGCCGATTGCTGAGAAGACATTGTTGGAGAATGATGACGGGGAGACGACTTGATTTCTTGCGGTATGGAAGTTTGACCAGAGGCGGGGCAATCGATGGAGTGTGAGGAGTAGTCGGTTCGATGGCTGTTGCTATAGCCATTGTTATTGTACGAGGGTAAGCTGGTCACTGCTTCTTCTGCGGCTGGTGGCATGTCCTGCTCTGGTTGGGCCTTTTGCACAAGAAGTTGGTCAGGGAGCTGTTGGTCAGGAACCTGATTTTGTTCCTGAACTTGATTTAGTCCCTGGTCGACTAGAGCTGCTTGCTCCAACAAAGGCAACTTTTCTGCTTCTGGTAGTCGGTTGTCCATTTTCACCAACGACCAGCACCAGCTTATTTCAAAGGAATGCTAAGGAGCGTGAATAAGGAGCCACGGTCTTAGAAGGCATAAATCACGGCCAATAAACAATGACGCTGAATTTTAGAATGTGGTCAAAGAAAGTCGTTGAATATCGTCATGGGAAACGGATGAGTCCTGTCTATAGCTTAGATGCCCATTAAATAGCTGACAAGGTCTTTCAAAAAGATATTATTGGTGGATACCGGGAAATAATATCATGCCAAACCTAGGGGCTGAAGTGGTTTGGAAAAGGGTCCTTTGGGGGACTTTGAATAAGGCGCGTGGCGCGCAAAACACGGCGTTTAAATAACTTATTAAACGCGAGCAAGGAAACAAAACAGGGTTTTAATGATCAAAACATATCCTGGAAAAATGGGATGTGGCAGAGTTGCTGTTAAAAACGACAGAAATCTTTCAACCAACTCTACTACCTCGCGACAAACCAATCACAGCAGAAACGTCGGCAATTACCAGATATATTATGGTCTGAAGATTTCTTCTGAAGCTCTTAAATTCCACAGCGTTGGGTTATTGGTCCCAGAACGGCCTAGCGTGTTTCACTCCTCTCCACCCCGAAAAAAATAAGTTCGTCCAGAAACAAAAAAATTAAATAATATTCAAATTCATGCTTGGAGGGTTATAATATGCCAACAAAATATCCCCACAAACAAAGCCCCATTTTTAATTAATATTACACTGGTAATATCTAATTTGAATTGGAAAATACGTACAAAATGTCAAAACGAGGGCCAGATGTGACAGACGATCCATCCGTGCCATTGAAATCTGGCGAACGTCCCGTGGCTGATTCCCCTACTGACGAGGTGGGGGAATTCGAAGACGAGTTTGAGGATGAATTTGAAAGTGAAGATGAGATTATTGAGGCTGGCGTTGACGGGCGCCCAGATGCAGATAGGGAGGCAGAGGAGCAAAGGGGTATGTGAATGCACATTAGATGAAATGAATTAAACAATAAAGAACAAAAAGAAAAAACGGTATTGCGGTGGGCAACTCCGTTTCGTTGCAATCCAGTTCAACGATTAAAGTTTTGCTGATGGACTGTAAACAGATGTTATGGAAGTCGATAAGCAGATGTTCATACCAGGGCGAACGAAGTTGGCTCCTGGAGAGACATTGTCGCCAGACCCTTCCACATACGAAATGCTTCATACCCTGAGCACGCCGTGGCCATGCCTATCGTTTGATATTGTAAAAGATAAACTGGGTGACAACCGGAAAACATACCCTGCCACCGTATATGCCGTAGCAGGAACCCAAGCAGATGGGGCTCTTTCGAAGGAAAACGAGTTGATGATCCTCAAATTGAGCGGACTTAGCAGGATGGAGCGAGAGGACCAGGACTCGGACAGCGATGATGATTCAGACGACGAATCCTCAGAACCAATCCTTGAGTCAAAATCTATCCCGCTGAACTCTACGACGAACAGAATTCGTGCTCATCAAATCTCCTCGTCATCCGGAGACTACTCCAAACCTCCACAAACCCTTACCGCAACCATGCTTGAAAATTCTCATGTCGTAATCCATGACGTTACCGCCCATCTTTCTATGTTTGATAACCCGGGTTCGATCCTCCCACCCTCCTCCTCGAAACCCCTATCTACTTTACGAATGCACAAATCAGAAGGATATGCCATCGACTGGTCCCCTCTTCAACCCCTAGGAAAATTGCTTACAGGCGACAACGACGGGTTGATATACGTCACTACTCGCACAGAGGGAGGCGGCTGGGTGACTGACACCCGCCCATTCGTCGGACATAAATCTTCAGTGGAAGAACTCCAATGGTCCCCCAACGAGCGCAACGTTTTCGCATCCGCAAGCAGCGATGGCAGTGTCAAGGTATGGGATATCCGATCCAAATCTCGCAAGCCAGCAGTGGACGTCAAAATCTCCAACACAGACGTGAACGTCATGAGCTGGTCGCGGCAGACATTCCACCTCCTTGCTACAGGAGCAGACGACGGCCAATGGGGTGTGTGGGATCTTCGACATTGGAAGCCAAATACCTCTGGAGGTGCTACATCGCAGCTCAAACCAAAACCTGTAGCCTCGTTTGACTTCCATAAGCAACCCATCACAAGTATAGAATGGCATCCGACAGATGACAGTGTGGTTGCTGTTGGGTCTGCAGATAATACCCTGACCCTTTGGGACCTGGCCGTTGAACTGGACGATGAGGAAAGTCGTGAAGCGGGTCTTGCCGATGTCCCTCCTCAACTTCTCTTTGTGCATTATTTGGAATCGGTGAAAGAGCTCCATTGGCAAGCGCAAATGCCTGGGACTATTATGGGGACTGGGAGCAGTGGGTTCGGGTAAGTGACCCATATGACATTTATTTATTTTTCTCAGCCTTATATGCGGATGGATCCCGAGTAGCAATGAACCCTTCTGTCCTTGAAACAACGCTAATCAATCTTCTTGCTTATAGGGTATTCAAAACCATCAGTGTTTAGTTGGTTGGGAAGAGGACCAGGGAGATTTTTGAAACCATTGTATGAATCTGCAAATAAATGATCTCTACCATTTACATTTCTACTGTTTAATGTTAGATATCCTGTTCTGTTAAACTTTCAGTTATAAACAAGTTGATGAATGATTAATGAGCTTTTAACATGACTACATTATGTTTGATACAACTTGTCCGACTCTTAACAGAACTACTCAAACCGACATTTCTTTAGGATCCGTCTGCACATAAGAGATTGAAGATGACGGGCAACAAGCAATTCTCCAAGTTCCGAAATGCTCTGCTTACTACGAATAGGGAAAATTGGTACTTCAGGCATTGCAAATCCTCAGAGAAAGGGAAGTGGTTGTTTGCCAGGACAAGTAGATATTAATCACGGCAATGCCCGTTAAGATTCAGATGCAGTGGTAAACCCTAAACTTGACCTTTTCTAACAGCCCTTGGGTAGCATATTGGACATCGGCAGCAGGTCTATTCCAACATTAAGAGAATGTCCAGAACTCAAAGTAATTTTTATTATCCCACATCCCAGGTGGGAAATATTTGACATTGTAGTGATATTTCCGGAGCAACCTTTAACCTCATAATTCAACTTCCTAGCGCTTCGATTGCAACTATGGGAATTATGAAGAAGACAACGAAAGCTCGGGAAAAGCATCAGGGAAGTACCCCTCATGTCTATTAAAATGCTTAATTGCATCAAACTCCTATCCAGCAGAAGGGGAGCGAACGATAGAGTATATATAGTCCCACTGGGGGTTCGAAGACCGTTTGCTAGGATGGTTCAGCCATTGCCCCAAGTACTGACAAACAAACATCCTCAAAAGATGCATTAAGAAGCCTGCCATGAAACCCTCTAATACTTGTTGTCAGTTAGATATGCAAAAACATAATTTTGGTCACCTTTTCCCCCCTTCACTTTCGGTTTTTCGCTTTTCGCTTTTCGAGCAAGAGGTACTGGTGGCATTTTCAGGAGTTCATATGTTCATGAGTTATAGTTTGAGAATAGTCCAATACTACTTGTTTAACATGAACGTAAATCATCCATTCACATAAATATGATATCAACAGAGACGCTGATGTGTTGAATGTTAAGGTCAACATCAGCAAAGATGTCTCACAGCCACACAATTGCTAGAGAAAGCAGTTTTCTGACAGTGAAAGGCGATGAAGTGAAATCTCTTGACATGCTTTGCTTATTTTCAGAAGATATCTATAGGTGTGTAGTCCATAGATTTGCGGCAAAGAAGCAGATGGGGCAAAGCAACAATTCCATCTGTAACTAGTTGTGGGGAGACAAAACCCGAAAATGTAGAATCTCTCTGCATTGGCTTGCAGTTAGTTACGGAGAAGTTTTCTTGGACAATAGCGAGATGCCGTGACCGCAGGAAACTGGAATTCATCCTCAATTGCACCGAAAAGTTCTCAATTGGAGGATATGAAAATGCTCATTGTGGTGTGAGTCGGAAATATGTATCTCCGGAGTAAACTTTCTAGAATACAACCCCTCCGCCCCTCCAAGGCTCGGACCTCGTCTCTTCCAGCTGAGGAATTCAATCATGCAAGTCTTCCAGGATAATCGGAAATTAGCGCATATGTTGGGCAAGGACAGACACTCCAATGGCAGCCAGCTAAATGGTGGGGGAGTAGGTCCTGTTTAAATAACTGACCGGCTTGTGAGGAGAGAAGAATTTGCTTCGAAACCCGGCCAAAATCTTCGTTAACTAGTTATCGGTAACTAGTTAACTATCGATAAACTAAGCGATAGGGGGAATTACTTAAGACCTGCAAGTTGTGGATCCAGTGACTCTGTTGTTAAGAACATGCGAAGTGATGTGGAATGCCATCCTCCGCTGTTGTTCCAACGCTCTATAAAACAGTCTATGGACGCGTAAAATTTTATGTGTGGCTTGTTCTATTCGCTGGTATGTAAGAACACGGCATATATTCTCGTCTTTAATGTGTTCTACACAAATTATATTGTAGAGATGTATGTATTTTTAGCCTTGAACGGTAAAATTTTTGTTTGAGACGCTTCTCACTCAAAATGCATGGATGTAAAATCCAGAAGAGTGATCATTCCGATAGGGCTGAGCTTCTCTTGTTGGTGTTAGTATTCTCGTGCCTCCAGTCGAGATATAAATAAGTTGCTTCAAAAGAAAGCAACAGCGTCGATAATATGCATAAGTTCGAAGTCCAGTTTGAAATATATATGTAGCAAATACCTGAATTATGGCATGCTTCAGAATGAAACCTCTCTCCTCCATTGCAGTAGTTGTACAGCTGCTCCAGCCACGCTGGTACCACTTCCTACACCCATCTCTTCACCGACAACCGTTCCCTGCCATGGTGACAGCGTGTATTCTTGTTTGGTGGAGGAGGGCAATTGCCAAAAGCGGGTCCGTTTCAGCCGGTTCCCAGGGATGAGCGGGGACCACCGGATAGCGTGCTTTCAGCCTCTGCCACGACACATGTATGCATTTGGCGGGATTAAGAAGTATTTACCAAGCAGCAGTTAGGTAAAGCTGTCAGAAATCACGATCATCTTTGTGGAAAGATTGATTCCCATGCTATGCATACGTTTTGTATTCCATGTGTAAAAAGATATGACTTGTATAGATAAATCATCGGAATTGTTCAATGTGGATTCATACCCTACAATTTTCGTTCTGGAAAGAATGGGCAGGTTCGTATGCATGATAAAAATATGTGGTACATTTACCTACAAATACTGTACCAATCCGGCTCATATTTTCTTAGCAACGGCACTGTTTTTGCGATGCTGTTTCACTGACATATGATTTGTGTTACTTGTTCTGATAGAAGATATCATAACAGGTTTTATTCTTGCTGAAGTGGGTATCCTTCACTGTTCGGTGCAACGGAGCTGGCATAACTACCTGATTGACACCATTGCCATCTAAGCAACCCATCTAACTAAAAGCTTTGCTATTATCAAGTGCGGTGCAGATCTCACTACGCCTTTTCACAGAATGGGGACCTACCATGGCAACATTATTTGACTAGAACATAGGTCCTAAAATAATGCACACAGGATATGTGCAAACCGTTCATCGCAACAGTGGACAGCTGTATCCAAGATACTCTCCTTTATTCACGACAAGAATTGCTTGGCGCATGACAAGCCTGGATGTGATAGGTGGTGCATCAAATCCTCGTGTGCAATGTGCGTTGTTTTGTGTCAAAGGTTCCATGCAAGCAAGCTTTTAATCCTCTAGGGTGGTTCACAAGCGAAACTCTGATTAGTTAACTGCCTGTGCATTTATAGAAATACCGAGGTAACTAACCACTAGAGAGTTAGAAGCACCTAAGATCAGGAGAGCTTAGTTAAAGCAACTGATTACTTCACCACCTCATCGCATATGGTTCTCAAGCAATATAGCTATAAAAACGAGGACGCCATGCTTCTGATTCATGATGAAATTGATCAAACATGATGGCATTACAAACTTTAGCTCAGAATCCCGAGACCCTGGATATTGCAAAAACGGCGCTGAGCGGACCGTCATGAAAACCTTACCATCCCAGCAGAGTTGTACCCCGGGCAACTAACTGGACTAAAAACAACCCGTCGTCGCAATTGTGGTTGGCGGAACCGCGGAGCGGGATGGTCTGAGGCAAACGCCCAGACATGTTCTGATGGCAGAGCAAGGGACCCTTGAAATGGAAAGCAAAAAGTGTGTTCGAAAGAAAAACCAGATATGGATAACTTCGTCTGCAAAGACAAGCAGTAAAACGCATGGCAAATGGCGAGAACCCAAGTTATCCAGAGAACAGTCTCGGAGGAAGGGGGGATGAGAGAGATGAGCGCTATATGCTATTGTCTATATAGCATATTATCTTCCATGAATAGCTTGAAGGCGAGTGAGTTGAGATAAATCGCTCAGACTTTGGCCCCCGGGTGGGCAGCATATGGGCACAATAGGTTACAGTAAGATATGGTCCTAACATAAATAACCAAGCTAATATAAATACCAGGGAATTATTACATACTTACCAAAACGGTGGGGTAAGCATAGCACCCCGGAAACGAACCTGTATTGAAAAGAGAACGATGTATTTTTCGATGAACCCACTCGACATTTCATGGGGCTGGAATCCCCGCATATTCAAATCATCATGAGTCGAGAACGGATCATGGGTTCTCTCAAGAGCCGACTTACATTGACTGGCTAGATAATTGGAAGTAGCTTGTTATTTGATGCGATTGCGCGGGAAACGTGCTGCTGCTAGCAACTCTCATTGATAATAAATCTTTTGCGAGCGGATTCCATGGATATCTGATGAAAGAGCTACGGAACATGGGGGACTAATGGGATGGGGGAGAGCTTGGTTATGAAAGAAAGTAACAGTCCAATGTTCCAGCAGGCAGTATTGGAGAGGACCCTAGTTATGAGATCCTAACCCGCGTCGAGTTTGAGGCTTTCAATATTGTCGATTGAACACCAGAAATTCAGGATTCTAGTTGCTGTTATCAGCTTCTCTTACCTGTTGGAAAATACTGCGCTGTAGCAAGGTTATGCAGTGTCCAAATGAGAAGCTAATGTATCCTTATTGCAGGTCAGTATCAGCTCTAATTATCAAAATTGTTTTATTACAAGCTTTCAGCTCAGGAGAACCAAGAGATAGGCGAGTTCAGTAAATGCCCTCGCCCATCAACGACCTGCTCCTACGTCAATGGCTCCTTAACTCTAATTGCGTTGGATCTCAAACCCAAGTTTAGGGATCGCCAGCCCTCTATTCTGATCCCTACACAGAGGAGTGGGAAGTTGGTTAGGAGAGAAGCATACGGTCACCCTTCATGAATGAATGTGTCAGAGGTTCTCTG